TGTTTCTGTAATTGTGGCAAGCATGAATCGTTTTTGTATGTAGTGTACAGGGTGAGCTATCAGGTTGAGCTCCACGCAATTCCCACTGGAACCCATCGTGATTAATTTCTAGTGAATTCTTCATAATGAATTAACTATTCCGACTTAATCATCACCTTTGATACGTCACTAAACTAGCCAGCAACACAGGCTATATTCATTGCTTAAAAAAAAAAAATATTAGTAAATATGTGTATTCCCTTGTGAACAATAACATCGCCAGTCTCAATCGTCATCACTTAAGGTTCATTAACGTACGACTATATCAAGTAGGTAACGCTCCGTGACATATCATCTTCTTGCCAAGCCAAGACTACAAGATAAATAAGTACAATTGTCTACATTTTGTATGATCACGAGATCATGGTCATTACACTTGAAAAAAAAAAACAAAGTTTGTAAGAAAGTTACTACTAATGTTCTGCTGTTTTTTTTTTTTTTTATTTATTCTAAATATATGTTGACGCTGTAGTTTATTGGCACTTACAATTTAAAAATCGTCATCATAAGAGAAATTAAAATATTGTACCTGCTCTTTCACTGATTTCCTATCTATGCAAATCCGCTAAAAACATAATGTCTGCTAACTGCCATGCATGCACAATAGCATCTTCGTCATGAAAAAGAAAACTATTAATCATTTTCAGAAATCCACAAAGCCCTATTCTGGTAGCTACTATGTCTGTCTTACAGTTCGTCTGTCTTTCTATCTACCTGTTATATTTTGAATAGAATAGAATAAAAAATATTTATTACCAGAAAAACACAATTACCACAGAAAATATATATATAAAAAGTGTCTTATATTAGGTAAAAAGGAACCGGCTTAGCTAATGCTGTAAGTGTACCAGCGCAATGTGTGCAGCTGCACAGCGCTGGTTTTCAGCCAATCATGTATTATTATATATTATTATCTTCTAAAGTCTATACTATTGACAAATTTCTATAAATTAAATGCGTATTTCAAAACTAATTAAGGTGCCAGTTCCATGTTCAAGTTTTTAATTGAAATTAATGTAATTAAAAAATAATCACACCTAATTATTATAAAGTACCTATAGACTAAAGAATTTCTATAAATAAAATTTAATCGAAATACCACAGATAAAGAAAATGAAACAGCTGATAATTTCCCGCCATTAAAAGCTAACGAGTTGACGACAGTCAACTGTTGTACTCGTATATTTGTAAACAAATTAAAACCCATTTAAATTATGTTGTTTAACGATCCTGACCGGGCGCCAGCGAGTGTTGATGGCCCTGATGCCTTAATCAAAACACATTTTCAACATACGGTTGTAGAGAATAAATATTACATACGAATGCTGACAGGATGCAATGGTAATTAAATCGTTTTATGATTACAGAAGCCAACATAGGAAATAAGCTGCATCCCTCCATAAATAAACGAAAAAAAAAGCTCACCGCGAGTCTGACTGACTCATGCACCATGGCTATAAATAGGATAAAGATAGGTACGTTCCTATTTTTTTTTATTTACAATTTACAATAAAAGTATTACCCCTAGTTATAAATATCTTTTAAACTATATAATGTTTCAATACAACTTAATGATAAAGTATCAAAATTTTATTTAATTTATCATAGAAACATTCTCTGATTCGTTCAAATACGCGAGGTTATTGTTGATACGGTTAAATCTTAGATAATAGGTTAAATGTAGATCTACCCGCATTAAGACCTACATCTGTCCTTTTTATTGTTCTTTCTTCTGTCTATGTATACCTATTATATTCTTAGATTATATTATATAAATTTTATACGACATTTGACTTACTTGCAATTACTTGCTCTGTATCACATTCCTTTCACTCCTATTATTTAATTTTGTACGGGTATCTTTCGACTGTTACAATAATTCCAATGATGTCCTAAAATTGATAAGGTATAACTGATGTAATAAAATAAATAAATTAGTAACATATCGAAACATAGGTATTTAATTAATTAGTTAATCAATTTTTAATTTGTACTCAAAGATGAAGTCATATCTATGCTACTAGTAAACACAAGTAGACGGTTTTATAGTGGGGTCAATTATTCGTTTGTTTACATATTCATTATTTATTTATAATTATTTATTATATTCTATTGAAACAGATATATAATTTACATCTATATAGAGACACTGAGGGGATTCCAAATAATAGAAACAGGTCAACTTCCACGCGGTTTCCCCTAAAAAACATTGCGGTTAATTCCTGGTGAGTTCGTTACGATTTCTCAACTAGTCGACTTCATCCCTCACTGGTACCCCGACTACACAAACCAATAACCTAAACAAGGTCAGCATTCCATTACAATAATTTAAAAACATATCCCCTTATTCATAAAAACGTTAAACCTCTTATAAACCTATCTTAGATATTGAACTGTTTTGTCTATATCTTTGATGCTAAATTCCAAATTTGAAAGTGACAAAACAGTGTAATATTTAAAATAGGTTTATAAAAAAAAAATAGTTTTTATGAATAAGGGGAATAATCTACAATTTGTATCAACCTACCTAACAGTAACTTACCTACAATGCCTTCATTATAAATCGTAATACGATGTTGAATCACAAGTTCATATATTATTTATAGGCATCCTTTAATATATTTACATAGAATCGTCAACTCAGTCAGTCATCTATTTTTAGGTTAATTAGTTACATTCATAGTATTCGTATGTCATTTACATACTACGAATAATAATTAGCCTAATTAAAGAGTATACTCACGGCAGTATTCATTATTGGATACAGGTAGTCGGAAACCTTTGTCAACAAAACTGTGCGTGACAGTTTTTTTTTTATATACTTAAAATTTGATTATACTAATTATTATTACAGAATGGCAAACAAGCTGACGGTCCACCTGATGAAAATTGGTAGCAGTCGACTATAGACATGAACAGTACCATGGACATAACGGAATGTTATGTTACCATTTTTGAGGACTATGGGGTTATGCCGCCGTACTCTGTAATTTTCCCGCTATATCCCATATATTAGTACGATATCCATATATAGATTTACCAATTCCGTTTATGTTTGGCATATAAGCAAGCTAAAGTGGTAATGAACTGGTCACATAGCTTGAAGAACCGATAAAGAAGAAAGGTTCTTGAGTGGCGACTTCGCATGGATAAATGCTGTATAAGACAAAGATTTACAATATTGTTCATAGGTATAAGACGATCCCCAACTTGATAGAGTGACAACCTTAAATGCATTGCCAGGAGTCAGTAGATGCAGATATCTCAGATATGTTCAGCAGACAATAACGGACAGATAATGTCTAAGATGCGGCAACCTACTCCAGCAATGGAAGATAGTCAGAGACTTTTTTCAACAAAACTGTGCGTGACTGTTGTTTCTTTTTTATATTAAATGGAAATTGGTAACTGTCGCCTCTAGGCTTGAACAGTACCATGAACATTACAAATTATACTGTTTCCCCCCATGCGTTACCATTCCCGAGGACTAAGATGTTATACATCTGTACCCTGTAAATTCACAAATTATGTTTTATGCAACTTCATATTGACACATTTCGATTACCTACTCAATCTATTTAAAAGCAAGCGGAACATGAGGCAAAGGTTAATAAATTAATGTACCTTTACGTCCTAGATACTTACCATCGACAATAGAGCCCGCATGCCGGTGTCTGCATAAATAAATGGCAAATTGACACTCGATCCCGACCCTCGTGACGTGTGTGACCTTATCCTTACCTCCGCATCTCCACATTGAATAATAGTGTAGGTAGCTTATAAATTAGTTCCGCGTGTAAACATATACTAGCAACACCGTCTAACCCGTGTTACATATAACTAATTTTTTTTTATACTACTTAGAATGGCCAACAAGCTGACGGCCCACCTGATGGAAAGTGGTAACCGTCGCCTATATACATGAGCAGTACCATGGACATAACAGAGTATACTGTTTCGCCCATGATACCCCCCATGCGTTGCCATTCCTGAGGACTCAGGTGTTATTCCTCTGTACCCTGTAAATTCACGCCATATCCCACCCTTCAAACCGAAACACAGCCATGCAAACACAGCTGCTTCACGGTTGAAACACGAATGAGACAGAGGTACCCAAGGAATCGACTTTTGTATAAAGTCTCCTTCTGATAAATATAGATACAGTACTCACATCTGTACTTGCTAAATCTCGATTTTTGTATAAGTGGAACGGTCACCCCGCCTGCGCTATCGGTATTCTTTGGCGGGATACAAGTAATGATAGTTGAAGATGAAATCAAACCAGTTAATTACAATAGTTTACATTATATATATTATATACATACAAGGCAAGGAACGGCATAAAGATTGGTCTGCTAAGAAAACTGCATGCAATTAAGGGGGAAGGGATTATAAGTAATATGGGCTACCAACTATATTGGTAGCAATATACCCTGTCAGATTAATCTCCCCGCGGTCCCCATTAGTAAAAAGCTATATATAATTGATGATAATATAACACGTTGAAGATAGTATGCAACATTTTAAATAAGTAAACCTTTAAGTTTATAATCCATAGACAAAACTGATAGCTCTATTCTTATGTATGATGTATGGTCTTTGGAGGGAAAGGTATTATTAGTAATGAGGTCTAACTGCCCCCTTGTTAGCAATATGCTCAGGTCGACCTCTACGCGGTTTCCCCTGGAAACGATCGTGGTTAATATCATCACGATGGGCCAACTAATCTGCAATCATCCTCGCCTATCCTTTCTTACTCTTACCCCGCGAGTTTATACAGTTAGCGCAGACGGAGTCACTATTTCATTTACACTCACAAAAATAAAAACAAATATCAATATTGTCCGTCTACGACAGTCTTAAACAATGAGACTAGGTACTTTACCAAAAATTAAAAGTCAAAGATGTGTCATTAACACTATGTCAAAGTCAAAATTAAACGTCAATTCAGATGTCAGTGAACCATCAATATTTCAATTCAAAGTAATCCAATTTTTATTCTTCTCGTTACTTAAAATTGTCCATTACATTTTTTCGTCTTAGTACTCTTTTTTTAAAATAAGTATTACTTTTAAATCTATGTTATTTTAACATTGAATTTTGTTAAAGAAGTTGCTTATTTGTATATTAAAATAGAAGATGGAAAAGGATTCAACTGAACGTGTCGGTGCTAACGGTGACATATTTGGACACCGATTGAAACAACTAACGGATGAAGAGAAACAGCGATTAGAAAACCAAAATAGCCGTTTGATTCCTGAGGCGAAGGCAGCCAAATTAGAACGAGAAGCGAGACGACATTGGGATATCTTCTACAAACGAAATGAAACTAAATTCTTCCGCGATCGCCATTGGACCACACGTGAGTTTCAAGAGCTGATAAACTTTGATCCGGAACAACAAATTGTATATTTAGAGCTGGGCTGCGGCGTTGGAAACATGGTTTTCCCGTTGGTCGAAGAAGGTTTCTCGAATTTTTACTTTTACGCGTGTGATTTTTCACCACGTGCTGTGGAGTTCGTGAAGGCGAACAAGTTATACAATGAGAGTAAAATGAAGGCTTTCACCGCTGATTTGACCACAGATGACTTGTTCGAGAACATAGCAGAAGGTTGTGTGGATATTGCGAGTCTTATATTCGTTCTATCGGCGATTCAGCCGTCCTCGTGGCCGCAAGTGGCGCGGGTAGCATTCCGCGCGCTCGCGCCGGGCGGCATTCTCTTGTTTCGCGATTATGGCAGATATGATATGGCACAATTACGATTCAAGCCTGGACATAAAATAGCTGACAATTTCTATATGCGACAAGATGGCACAAGGTATTTCATTATTTTTATTAAAAAAAGCAAAAATTACTTATTTTTCAAATTTTTCATGATTGCCACATGGTCATGATAATGCATATACAATAAATACCACCTCTAAAGGTTCATTCATTAACCATTGACAAAACATTTGATGTGATTTAAGTACATCTCATTATAATTATAAACTTATTTAATTAAACTATTTTTGTATAACAAAATAATAGTCTAATATAAAAAGTAATAGTTGTATCTTGCTTATTCTTCTTAACTTACATTGCCTTCTGAACTGAGTTTCATAAGTAAATTAAAATTAAATAAATTTACTACTCAAAATGCTTGAATTAAGTTTACTTGAATAAAAATTATTTTTATTTAAATCATCTTTATCTATTGTAAAATTTTGTAGACTCATTACTTACATCAACTTTCTTCAGGAGTTACTACTTTACAGTGGAAGAGCTAGAAAAACTATTCACTGAAGCGGGCTTTGAGATCCTCATGAACACATATGTACAACGTCGCACAGTCAATTTCAAGGAAGGTGTTGATGTGCCACGCATCTTTGTTCAGGGAAAATATAGAAAACCAGTCACTAGTAGTGAGTATATAATACAATTTTAAATACAACCGCAGCCGCTTAATATATTTTCAATTTTAATAAAAGAAAATAGAAATGCAATTTTTAACCATTAAAATTATGCCTTCCAATACCTGCTTCATTTTCAACTGACTTAAAAGGTATGGAATTTTCAATTTGTTTGTACTTTTTGTTTGTTACCTCATAACTGTCGGTTCTAAACCAATTTGGAAAATTCTTTTTTATCTGAAAGTATATACTTTCAGATTTGTCATATAAAATTTTTATTAAAATAGGGTTAATAATTTAGTTTAAATTAACTGGATTTGCCACAATTGAAGTTGGATTTTCTTTGTGGACCATAATCTTATTAATTATCTAAACATAAGTTTGAAAATTCAGATATTAATAAATAATATTGAATATTGACTTACCTGGACTAAGACCACAACCAAATGCCAACCGCTATCACCATTTTTTATAAAATAGAAATAACAAATGTAAGGGAATTTATAGTAATAAAACTTGTGCTCAAAATATGATAATCACACATTAATACTTGTTGTGATGACAATGCTAACCATTGATTGAAAGTGATTTGCATGTATATTAGCTCTATCTGAACAATTCACAACAATAAATCTCAATTAAATTTATTTTTCTATAAAATAACACAACCATTTTGTACATATAGGTTGAAACCTTCCGAAGGCCAATGGGATGAAATATTTTTGAAAAATGGTAAGTATATTCTTTTTTTTTTAAATATAAGTGTATATTACATTACATAAATAAATAGGATCATAGCAAAAACAATTTATAAAGCTAATATGCACTTTTAATGTCATTTAGCACTTATACAATACTTTTTTATCTGTCTACTCCTAGACAAGTGCATGTGAAAGGAGACAATGTCTGGTGTTCTTTTTCATAAGTGGTGCCAAATACGTCTCTTAATAGACACAGGGAAAGGGGATTGTAATGGGGACTTGTAGCCTGTTGCTAGCAATATACTCTGTCAGATAGAACTTGGGATTCCACCTGGAAACCATCAAGCTTAATTCCAGATATATTCATTAGATGGACTAACTATACTCCACCAGTATATACAGTTAATCCAGGTAGTTACCAATCTATTGCCACCTACCAGAAAAAAAAAATATATTACACTTTTATATAGATTTTTTCTATGAATGATAATGGAATGGTAACCTCCTACCTCCCTACGCCAATGGTATTCGCTGGCAGACCACTAGTCAGATATGATAGGTGTGAATGAAAAAGCAGGTCAGCACATCATGATGAATACACCCGAAATTCAGCATGATAGTTTCCAGAGAGACCATGTGGAGGTCGACCTGACAAAGTATATTACTAGCAATAGGACTGATTGTCTGTATTACTAACACTCCCTTCCCCTCTGTTTAAAGAAGTCGTATTTGTGATTCTGAGATATGCTAAATGGTCCTACATATTTGATGATAATGCAACTTAAAATTGCATGGAGATGTACTTTGCTCTATATCAAATTTTAAAATGATGATATTGCAGTGCAGCTGAAAACATCTGTTGTCTCACAATAGGTGGCAAATCAGAGTAGGGCCTTCATCTCATTTTATCATAGTTTACACGTATGTAAGTAAATCTCTTCCAACAATCATTCATCATTTCCATTTCAATCTTTAGAATAGGGACCCCTATTGTGAGGTGTGATGCAGTAATGCTAAACGCTGTCTGAAATATTCAAAAAAAGAATAGCAACTTTTTTTTTTAATAAACTTACTTTATTTTTTTATCTATTTCTACAGGTAATGGTTGTGGTGTGAAATACAACAATAGATGATCAAATGGTACGTTGATAGTGCATTTTTAACTTTCGCGTTATTTACACATATTTTTTAAATAAACGAAAGTAGTAAAAGCTGGTACACATACTTGTAACTGCAGCAAATTTTGTTTTGCCTTCTTAACTAGCATAATGATGATTTCATAGTTCATCTGAGAAGGTACTTTGATGCACAACTCATTTATGTCTTTCGCTCCTATCTGATAACATATCGCGCTGTATACTAAAGTTCAATTATGAATTATAAACGTCTATATTTTTTATTTTTTTATTTTCAGAATTGAATATTAATGAGGAGATGGAAAAAGGAAAGGTAACAATAATATTTCAAACCTCAATAATTAACTAATAATAAACTAATTATTTTCATTTGAAAACTAAACAACCAAACTAATTTTGATAAAATTTCTATGGAAACAATCTGTAAATATATCCTTCTAAATAAAAAAGAAAGAATTTTCCAAATCAGTTTACAGTTTACAGTAACTGATGGAGGTAACAAACATGGCAGTTGCTTGAAAATGTAATAACTACCCCCTCAATTAAGCTACCCGGTAATAACAAACTATGGAACACCATAAACCTAATTAATAAAGTCTAAAAAAAGGGTAGTATTAAACAGGAGCTATCACAAAAATCCCAAGATCGTAATCTGATGACTAATGATCTAGATCAGGGGGTTTCCAAACTTAGTCTACTGCCCACTTTGAGAGTAAATTATTTTTTAGCGCCCCCCATTTTTTCACCTACTTAAAAACTACTATTACTTCAAAATCAACCAACAAATCACATCCCAAGCCTCTACACAACGCCACCATTTTATTTTCTGGGTCTCTTACCGCCCCCCTTTAGGCCTGCATCGCCCACGAGGGGGCGTAATCGCCCACTTTGAAAAAGCTGATCTAGATAAATGAAATTAATAAAATTCTTTGACTATCATTGTCTGCTAATGTCATTCAAAAAGTCTTTGCACATTAAAGAGAATATAAATTTTCAGTGTAAATATTATTAAGAGTATATGCATTGTTCAGTGTCTTCTTTTAATTAAGAGTTTCCTCTTCTCGGTGCAACCAATTCATGCATCTCCCTCCAGCCAGTTCTATCCCAGGCCATATCCTTTATCTCCCTATACGACATGACGCCTAGTGTTTCCTTTATCTGTCCCATGTAGTTATTCCTCGGTCTTCCTCTTCCTCTTTTGCCCTCTATCTTTCCTTCTACTATGCTCTTAAAAAAATCGTTGTCGTATAAGTTGGCCCAGAATTTTCCCTCTTCTATTCTTTTTTTTTAGTGTAAAATCAAATAAATTAATCTTTATAGATTGCTAATGATGATTTTAGATAGGGACATCTGTATTTATAATGATGTTAATAAAACTATCATCACTGAAACAATTTGCTGCATTTAATTTACTTGTTTGTTAGACAAGCATGATATACAATTTTTTTTTTTATTTGCAGTTCCAATCGCTTTGAAAATCAACAGTGACATTTGGAAAGGTAAATATTTTTTAATCAAATTTCTGATATTATACGTGACATGATTAAAGTTATTAACAAGACCAGAGAGAGACTTTGTACAAAAGTCGATTGCTTGGGTACTTCTGTCCCATTAGTGTTTCTACTGTGAAGCAGTTGTGTTTGCATGGCTGTGTTTCGGTTTGAAGGGTGCGATATGGCGTGAATTTACAGGGTACAGAGGAATAACACCTGAGTCCTCAGGAATGGCAACGCCTGGGGGGCTTCATGTGCGAAACAGTACACTCTGTTATGTCCATGGTACGGCTCATGTCTATAGGCGACGGTTACCACTTTCCATCAGGTGGGCCGTCAGCTTGTTTGCCATTCTAAGCTGCCTAAAAAAAAGATATTAGAGGAAGTAAGGCAGTTAAATACCATGAAAGATGGCTAATTTTGAACACATTTTGTTCTTTTTGTATTCAGTGGGATTTACTGCCATTTTGCTATATATTACCATGTCCATTTTATGTTTAATTTTTTTTTCTTTTTTTATATATATAAATATGATGAGTACTAGAAATTTTACTTTGTAATGATGATTTTAGATAGGGACATCTGACTATAATGCTGTCAACATAACTATCTCTACTGAATATTTAAAATAATGTGTAAACATTTTTTTTTTTTTTTGTGTACATATAATTTTCACATAGTTATCTTTGCCACAGGATCAAAGACAAGCAAACCACATCAAGTACTGCCAGTTTGTCACATACGAGTATGAGGTAACATTTTGCTATTATTTATTTAATAAATAAAGTACATATAAATATTTATATTATAAAAATACAACTAAAAGTTATAAAATACAAAAGTGATTAAAGGTCTCGAATTGATCCCGAAACTAGTCAAGCTTTCTGGATCTGATTATACGTAAATTAAACCGGTAGCTATTATATTATAATATAATATGTGCTTACGAAGCTTTTAACGATAAAATACAAAAGGACAATACCTATTGTATTATTAAAAAGTTGCCAAAATATAAAACATTCGCTTTTATCCACGAGTTCATACACGTGTCCAGGATAAATTTTTATAATCCGAAAAAATTAATAATGGATCATAGAAAAAGGATTTTGAAATTGTAAATAATTTCTAATTTATTTTTTATGTAATGTAATTTATATATTGTATTTTTTTTTAGTATTGTACAACCATAGCAGGTAGACTGTTATATATACACCATATTACATACCTATCAAAGTACAACAGTATACTCTGTTATGTCCATGGTACTGCTCATGTCTATAGGCGACGGTTACCACTTTCCATCAGGTGGGCCGTCAGCTTGTTTGCCATTTTAAGTTGCATAAAAAAAAATTAATTAAATTTATGTCTACAGACTTTATCATACACATCATTTTAAAGCATTTCTATTTAAATATATGATGACTTCATAGTTCATCTGAACACTTTGATGCATCACTCTTTTAATGTCTTTCGCTCCTATCTGACTGAATGATATAATTACTTTTATTTGATTTTTATAGACAAATATTTATAAATCCCATTTTTGTTTACAGAAGGGAACTTATAGTTGAGAGATGAGCAGCAGCGTCCGTTTAAAAAGTCTAATTTGAACTAAAGCCGATCACTACAACACTTTTTATAAAGCATTGAATAAAGAGCAAAAAAGTGGAAGGGAGATATTTGACAACCTTATAACATGTCACAAACGAACTGGGCCCATAACTGACTGAACATAAGGTAAATATATATATTTTTTTATCTAATGTTAAAACATGTACGTACAAATGTGGTGTTATGAGTGTCCAGTTACAGCTATGGTAACCATTTACTATGAAATAATCTGTAACCTTTAGGGAATAATTAAGATTTGATCTGCAAAATTTACAAGAAGCATCAAAATCAAACCTCTGTTTTTAAAAATATCAGATGTTTACAAAAATGTAACTTCATTAATGCATTTTTTTTTTTTTACTATTTCCCCTATTATTATTGAACATGATGACTCGACCATCAGGTCTCCCTCAACAGAGCGAACCCAAACAACCATGTTGACCACACACACGTCTGATCACATACAAAATAACACTTCATAAATACAACAAGAAATTTGTTAATTAACATAACTGTATTGTTTCAGGTGCTGGAGTATTTACGAGGTCTGTCCGGAAAGTTCGTATAAAAGTGTTCTGGAATGCGAGAAAGAGGAGTGGGGAGGCCAGGTAAGCGCAGGACCCCTTCCTTATGTCCCTAACAATGCTTCAGTTCTGGTCTGACCGCCGTGCGGTGCGAACTGGCTTGTCACGCCATCTGTGAAGTTACCTCTTAACGAAACCCCGTCGGCATGGAGCCCGCTTCCGTTGAAGAGCAGCGCGTCGTAATCAAGTTTCTCTCGAAACTCGGCAAGAATGGCCGTGAAATTTTTGCCGATCTCAGAACAGTTTATGGGGATGATGCTGTGAAGGAACCAACCGTCCACAAGTGGCTAAAAAGATTCAGAGAGGGCCGAGAAAGCGTTCAAGATGACCCACGTTCAGGACGTCCTTCCACTTCACATTCCGACGAAAACGTGGAAAGAATTCGAACTTGTGTTAATGGGGACCGTCGTTTAACGGTCAGACAGGTGGCTGAAGAGCTTAATTTGGGCAAAACCGTGGTCCACGAAATTCTAAGAAACGAACTTCAAATGAAAAAAATTTGCGCCAAGATCGTTCCCACACACCGCTGTTCGCCCCTGTAGTGCAGTCATTGAAGCGAAAAATACGGTCTTACCTCCGAATTTTTTTACTGTGAACCGAATTGCATACAATTTTGGAATTAGGCTCATCTTACCCTTAACTACAAAAGTGAAAATGATCTGAACTCCGCCTATTATTTTTAAGGGGTGTAAACAACCCCTTAATGGAAAAATTGACATTGAGCCATTTTATCGCTAGAAAACATGTCTAATAGTAAGTGGTGAAATTGTAAAGTATTTTCTAACATAATTACCTCATATTAAAATCATTTTCAACCCCTTGAAAATCTTACAACCCTTGCAAACAACCCCTAAATTGAAAAAATCACAAAAAAATACTTTGGTATGACATAAAAAGATGTAAGTATAGAGTAAGTAATATTTTATATTCTCTATAATAATTATCAAATTTTTAACCCCCTTTCAACCCTTGAAAACTACCCCTTGATAAAAAATTGTTAAAAAAATTTTTTTGATAAAATGAAAAGGATTTAAATATTATTCCACACTCTCGAAAATGATTATCATATTCTTAAGCTTTTCTACCCTTAAAACTACCCCTAAATTAAAACAGTAAATATATATGATTACATATTTAAAAATAATTTAATTTAGAGTAAAAAATTGTCATTTATTGAATAAAATATTTATAAATTATATAAAATTGTAATATTATTATTAAAATATAATATTATTATTCATGACTCAATGTCGGAGTCGCTGTCACATTCAACATCTTCTGGCTGAATTGGAGGGCTATTTTGGCAGTTATCTCCACTGCACGTTCCACAGGTACTATTACAAAACAGACCAACTTTTCTGCATCCGCAAGACGCTCCACATCCTTTTTTGCAGTTGCAAAAAATCATTTTCAGCAGTTCTTGTGGTGCGGGTGGATCTACAGACTTAATAGGATTCAATAAACCGTCATTCATGACCCACCCCAATCCGTTGGATGAATGTTTTTGTTGCCAAGCCAAATCTGGGTTTGAAGATAAACCCTCTTAGTATGCTCATTTATGGCACCAACGGTTGGAACTAAGGATGATAATTTTACGGCAGTGTTTTTCGTAGCAGCTTTGAGAAAACTTTCATAGCGCATCTTTTCGAGATATTCTGATAAGCTTTCTACTCGACTCAGCTTATTTTGTTGTGCATCTTTAGCAAGTCCATAAAAACATACCATGCAATATCTACCTGCCTCTAAAATATCTTCGAGTTCAGATGTATTATTCAAAAATATCTCTGCCTTACTTCTCAAATCTTGCCTTCGTTCCAAAAGATCCATAAATATTTTTTTGCCTTTATTATATGCCGCCGAAGTTGAGTCACACCCAGTAAATGAATGTGCAAAAAGAATAAATTTCGAACTATTTGGGTATTTTATTTCCAAACTTTTCGATAAATATATTACTGTTTGCACTCTTTGTTTGCCTAATTTTAAAAATAAAATTTCTTCGTCTTCTGTAGCCCGGGCAGTTAAAATCACTAAAATGTCAACATCTTCTGCAACAATTATTTTTGTCAAGTCAGTACTAAATGATACTGCTGTATCAACAATTAGTTCGTCAGCTTCACCTTCACCTTGGCAGCATTTAATAGATTTTTTTTCCAATTCTTCCATAAGAAATTTAATAAAACGTCTTTTGTTTTTATAATTCGATAAGAATTTATCTTGGCTAATATTGGCTGGCATATCTTTGGTAAATTGGTATTCCTTTGAAGCAACTTTCAGTGCTCGACGATTTCTCTCTGATGCTTTATTACTTTCTCTATCATAACAATCAAAAACTACCGTAATATTATTACCAAAATGATTTTTTAAATATGAAATATAACTGTCAAAAACGTCTGCATAATTACATTTCGAAGGCCATTTTACTCTATATAATAACATTCCTCCATCAATAAAGTACACTGATGCTTCCTTGTTGATCACAATGTCCTGGGTTTCGAATAATGAGTATAAGATAGATTTGTTTGTCTTTCGCATCCCAATATCGTCAAATAATGAAAGTGGATATGGTGCCAGTTCATATTTCAGGTACATCTCCAACTCTTCGTTACTCTTTTTCATGATACAAATACGTTGAAATAATAGTAGTGGATCTATAGGCACAATTTTATCGTCAATTTTGACTTTGCTATTGACACCAATTAATGAGATAACTTTATCTTTTTTGGACAATTTTATGTCATTAAAAGTTATATCATCGATGCTCTTCATGGCTTCGATGCCAATCGCCAGAGCGTTGTAGCAATTTATCTCATCAGTGCCGATCAACCCTGTTACAATGTTTTTTAGGTGATCAATGTCTTCAAATGGATTGTGCTCCAACAAAAATGTTTTTAAAACCAACACGTCTTTCTTATCTTTTTTGATTCTCGCATCTCTCGCGTCAACATGTTGGTAGCTTTTATTAAATGCGATATCACAAAATTTCTCTAATGCTTCAATTACATCGTTCGTGTATATGATACCTTTGATCCATTTGAATACAGTGCTTTCCGTAGTGCCTCGTTTGAACGGTCCACCTTCTACGCTCATTGCTCTCATCAGAGTTTGTTCAATGGTTTGGTCGGAGAAAATACCAGCATAAAACTCATTGGACCTCCGGGAAGTAAAAAATCCTTCCTTGGTAAATTTTTTAAACTCACGTGGATCCATAATTAATTTCAAAAGTCTCATTTTTTGAAGATAAAGTCGAGCAGATTTTGCATAGTTGAAATGCCCAGCGGCGTGAAAAAAAGGTATCATAAGCTCAATACAATTCAGATGCGCTTCCCAGTCACCCATTCTTTCAGCTGCAAGAAATTTTTTAAGTAAAGATACCATTTTATAGTATAATATCCACAGTTTGCATGTTTTTCCTCTGTTTTCAATTTCATCCAGTTTCGATTGAAATATTTCATTCAGTTTTTTTAAGTGCTCATTAGACTTCAATTTCTCAAAATTCATTTCGTAAGTAAAATACTCTTCATTATCAAGTAATTCTTGAAACTCAACATTGTTTTCTCTTTTTAATTCATCAAATATTAGAAGCGATAATGCCTGCGGCAGAATAAAATGAGCTCGCACTGCACGAGCATACGAATGCCCATTTAGAATTTGATCAACTGATCCTTCTGCAAAGATGAGCGAAAATATTTCCTTAATTCCACTTCCTTCCATAATAGTGCCAATGCATCCCATAAAAGACATTAAGAGATGAAAACCTCCGAGTCGCACAACTATTAACACGTCATCGAAAACCAAAGTCTCGGCAATATCACAAGCCTTAATATATAAAGGCTGGTCAAATGTTACGATGCAGGTTTTCATGCCTTCTTTTGAAACAATTGCAGCAGCATTGTTTAAAGCTGTGAATAAAGTATTGTAATCACTTGGGGGTCCATTAATAAATGGCAAGAAATTTATTTTAGACACTTTATAATTAGTGTTTTCTGCACATAGCATAGACATGAATCCATTCCAACCCAAAAAATCGAGATCTCTTGCATACTTGAAATAACTCCATAAGACATTCAGCACATCGATTATGGTTATTGTAAATTTCGGTTCAGGACTAATTTTTTGAACTTTAATGATACCCAAACCACTTCCTGTTTTTTTAGTATATAATTGAATATCTATTCGGTTTTTCTCCACCAATTCTGATTCAAGAGGAACTTCTGAACTACGCAAACGTTTAATGGGTTTTCTTGCTTGTAAACATTCTGCAGGAGTAATTATTTCAATCGATCCTAAATTGTGAAAAGTTCCTCGTCCATCTATTGTGCAAACATTAAAATCACTATTATCTGAAACGATTTGAAGGAATGGTTCTTTTAGAAGTCTCTCGTCTTGGCATGCAGCTGAAATTTCGTACAATTGAACTTCAGCATAGCTGCACGAAAAACCAAGATTATAACATAATTCAATCATCTTTTTCGAACCAAATTTTCTGTAGAGCGTAGCACCTGTAGCAAGTTGAAGTGGAGAAATAAAACTTTTAGGTCGAGCGGAGGACATTATTGCATGAGCAATAGATGTAATTTTTTTTGAATACCAATTAAAATTTTGTTCATTATGATGCTTATCTTTATAAATAATATGTTCTAAAAATCTGAGCAATTGAGGCGGAATGCTCTCGTTAACATTAATTAATATTTTATCACTTGGTGAATACTGATTGACATCGCAAATGACGGTTCTAATTTTTCTACGTATGAGCTCGGCAGCAGAGTCAATGAGTGCATTTTCTTCCTCTTCGATAGTTTTTGATTTTTGCTTTCGCCATGAGTCGGTCAATATATCGTACAATGTAGTTGAAAAGCATACGTACGTTACACCACCTATTCTGCTAGAAATAACTATTTGATTTCCAAACCTTTTTTTTAAATGATTTTTTATAGTATCTTCATGTGGAATTACATCACATATCTGTACAGCTTCGATTAGTTGAGTCATAGTAAATTGACACTCTTCACTAGAGAGCATGAAATCGTAGATTTCTTCCATTGCTTCGCTGATTTTGTCAAAGTAAGGGGTTTGCGAACTTCTCGTAAAAAGTTTATATTCATTTTTTAATTTTAGTACGCAATCCTCGTGGTATTTGCCCTCTGTTAGAATGACATGATTTTCCGCGCTGTGAATGCGCTTCAAAATCTCTCGACGTTCGTCGTCTTTGAATATAATAAGCATTTTTGCTAAATTTTGTATAAAATCTAAAGACTGAACTTTCGAAGTTTTCTTTTTCATTGCAGACGCTTTTTTTTTTTCTTGTAAGGTATTTATCTCATTATCGCAGATAAAACAATTTTTATCCCAGTCAAAAAGAGTAGCACTTACATCACTTGCTGAACCAACACTTGAACTTGTACCTGATCTTCTCAATTTTTTCTTTGTTGGACTTACACTGTTTTTTACAGCAGCTCTTTTTGCACTTGCTGCAATATTTCCCTTGTGTACATAATTACTTCTGCACGTATGATGAACATACACAGTTTTTGAATTATCCATATTTGAAAACAATTTATCACGTCTTTCGTTTGAAGCTGCTTTTAAACCTACTTTACCCTTTGAAGTCACCAGCACAAGTCTTTCTGACGTATTTAAAAGGCAAATTTCACAGAATTTTTCTTCAGTATCATTGCTACTGCTTGTACTAGGTTCGTCCATGTTCATTTAAAATAAAAATTTAAGAAAAAATTCTGAAACAAACATTAAGAAATTTATTCAATATTTGTTGTTTTTTAGCTTATTCGATAATTTATTTTAACAGTTTAAATAAACTTACCAATACAGATACGCAATTAGTGAGAAGCTATTGAAAAAAAATCGCTTCCACAAGTATTCTTTTGAAGATGCTTTTAAACCCTCTTCACCCTGTGAAAGTAAGATCAATTTTAATTTTCTTAATTAAATTGTATGAATAGAATAGAATATCATTTATTTGCTTAGAATAATTAGGTACAATGTGTCATAGTATGGTATGTGTGCATGTTTGCTATTAATTTATCACCTTCTTGCTAAATTTTCGAATTTTTTATGTAGGGCAGAACTAATTAGTAATATATATTTATGTATCCAATAGCTCTAAAAAATGTGTTGAATTAAAAATTCCACTATACATAATCTATCAGTTAATTTTATTATCGAATAATTTTGTGACAATTACCACAATTGACATTGACACCTTAATATTTGAAAAAAGTAATTACATTAATTACGAGAATAAGCTTAAAAGCCGACCAGGCTATAAATAATTAAACAATTTACTTTATTTACAATATAAATTCAATTTTATAAAATTACCTGATATAAGATGCAAACTGGATTAAGTGCTGCTATCGTGCTATTTGAATAGTACGAACGTCAATACTAGTAGAATATATTTTCATTAGATTTTTGGATAATGTAATTTTATGGCACAATTTTAATAAGATATTATTAAAAAAACAGGTTTTTTTATCTACTTACATTTTTTTATTAAACAAAATGTATTGAAATTGGGTGTCTAGTTAAAATATTATATATATTAAACACGTGCTCATTCCTTTGCAGACGGAAATATACTGGTCACATTATAACGAATAAACGGAGCACGCACAGCTGATCACATGGCTTTTTCGTTGGCCCCCTCACTCAAATGTGTTATATATACATATAAGAACGTTGGTATGTATTCATGCCTACGTTTCCAACATATATGAGCCATATTATGTATATATATACACATTACAATAGTTGTGGGTCTCTATTATACTGCGTACTTTCACATTGCTCCTAATATTCACACTCCGAAATTTTCAGTTACTAAGTAGAAAGAAATATGATAAGTTTTTGGACCATAACTCCTTCAATTTTCATGCTATCACAATTTATAAAAAACCATTGTTAAGGTAATTAAGAGAGCTACAACATCCTTCATTGCAATATATAGTAAAAAACCTTTTTCTAAAACGGTGAAGGGTTAAAGGGCTGAAGAGAGGCTGTGATTACGCTGCCACGCGCTCTTTAAACAATCATATCTCCGTCAATTTTTGTTTGACAGAAAAAACAAAAAAACCAAATTGTTTGTCAGAAAAATACCTAAATTTTTAATCCGTACACTTTTATACGTATCTGTCGTCATTTTTGAGATATTATGAAAAAAAAGTGGGTTTTTTAAAAATTTGAAATTTTGTTTTTTTTTTAATCGTGACTTTTTTGAAAAATATGTGTCCTGAAGCAGCCAAACTGATACTATCTATCAAACTCTTCATAATAAAGTTAATTCTAGGCGGAATACGATTAATTTTAATTTTGGTGGAAATGGCACTTATGAAACCCATTGATTTAAAAGAAAAAAACATTAGATGCTCCGCTTATTTGCAATACAGCTCACTTATTTTACGTGCAAAAGACTTTTAATAGTGCTCATCTTAAAGCTTATTTCAAGCACTACAAAACCCATTTGTATTAGAATGTATAAAATGCATCTACTCGCTGCTACATGGCATTGACCACAACGATTAAATTTCAGACAAAATAAAAAACGGCTTTGATCTTTAATATCTAGCTTAATATTGCACTTAGGATACTTTATAAAAAAACAAATTGTTCATTGTTTTACCTGCTACAATTTTGTTCGGTATAAAATTTTCGATAAAACCTATATTTTTGGAGATATTTGCAAAAAACCGATGAAAAACGTGAAAAAATTGCGAATTTTCAATTGCCAATAACTTGAAAAGTATTGGATTTTTTTTTAAACTTTAAAGACAACTTTTGCTTAAAATTAGGTCTTCTATCGATATCCGAGGTTATTTTGCAAAAAAAAAAATTCACCCCCGAGAAGGGGTGGCAACCACCCCCAGGGTGGTTGCGGAGTTCAAATCATTTTCACTTTTGAAGTTAAGGGTAAGATGAACCTAATTCCAAAATTGTATGCAATTCGGTTCACAGTAAAAAAATTCGGAGCAATAATGCTTCAATGACTGCACTACTGCCCACACCTCTCTTGTTGTCCGATAGATTTTGATTAAAAATTCCATTACGGTGACCGAACACCCCCCTATTCGCCGGATTTGGCCCCGTGTGACTTCTTCTTGTTCCCAAAAACCAAATTGGTACTTCGGGGGCGGCATTTGGGGGACATAAATGAGATAAAAAAAGCTACGACGGGGCAGCTGAGAAACCTACAACCAGAGGACTTTCAAGGAGCCTTCTCACAGTGGAAACGGCGTTGGCACAAGTGCATTATGTCACAGGGGGAGTACTTTGAAGGGGATAAAATTGATTTACCTGAATAATTGTAAAATAAAATTTTTAAAAAACTTTTATACGTACTTTCCGGACAAACCTCGTAAGCGAGATGCCTTCTGAATGACAAGGTAATTAAACATTTTATAATTAATTTTAACTCTTATACTCATCATAAAGTTTGAAGAGGTCTTTCTATCTAAATAAAATTTATCAAGTCATGTTTGGCAATATAGTAGACAAAAAAATAAAAACATTTATTGAACTATAAATGTACTTGATCATGATCTTAAAACATATTACCAGAGGGAGACTTTGTACAAAAGTCATATATTTGGGCACCTCTGTTCCATTCGTGTTTCAACTGTGAAGCAGTTGTGTTTGGATGGCTGTATTTCGGTTTGAAGGGTAGGATATGGCAGTGAATTTATAGGGTACAGAGGAATAACACATGACTCCTCAGGAATGGCAACGCATGGGGGGTATCATGGGTGAAACAGTATACTCTGTTATGACCATGGTACTGCTCATGTCTATAGGCGACGGTTACCACTTTCCATCAGGTGGACCGTCATTTTGTTTGCCATTCTAAGTTGTATAAAAAAATCCTTTTCCCCTCTGGCAACCGCAGTTAGGCTTTGTTTTAAGAGGGACGAACTGCTGCTCATCACTCGGATCATTAAGTTACCTGAATCCTCAGATTATGGAAACGCACAGGGGTGTGTCATGAGCAAAACAGTATACTCTGTTATGTCCATGGTACTGCTCATGTCTATAGGCGACGGTTACCACTTTCCATCAGGTGGGCCGTCAGCTTGTTTGCCATTTTAAGTTGCATAAAAAAATTTGATTAAATTTATGTCTACAGACTTTATCGTACACATCATTTTAAAGCATTTCTATTTAAATATATGATGACTTCATAGTTCATCTGAACACTTTGATGCATCACTCTTTTAATGTCTTTCGCTCCTATCTGACTGAATGATATAATTATTGTTATTTGATTTTTATAGACAAATATTTATAAATCCCATTTTTGTTTACAGAAAGGAACTTATAGTCGAGAAATGGACAGCAGCGTCTGTTTAAAAAGTCACTCAATCCTAACTGCTGTTTAAACTCGCCTGCCAAGCCAGCAACTACTGTTAAAACTCCTCCAATAATTAATACCATAAGAAAACTGGCCTTAGACTCCAATGGCTCGCTATTCCTGTCCAAAGTAGCAGTTATGATAATGTTGGACCAAAGAGTGCTAAAAATCTCCAACAGCAATTCGGCTGCCAGCAAAAATGACTAGTCCTGACAACATACAGAGCATCTCATCATAGAAGTCGAGTGGATACAAGGTAATTTTCTAAACATTAACATCTGCATATTTATTATATTTTATATTCAATGATATTGCATTATAATAACAAATTTAACTATGTGTAACATACTAGCGACTCGGCCCGGCTCAGCATAGATAGATAGAATTTTTGAAAATAATATACGGTCCATATTATTCGCTGATAACATAACTTTCCATAGATGAAAAAGTTTTTAAAATTGGTTAAATAGTTTTTTTAGTCTATCCATTACATATAAACGATCAAATCTTCCCTCTTTGTAATATTAGTATGATAAAAAGTCGCACACGTCCTTCTTCGTGGTTAATAATACAACGTGAAATAACCGCATCCAAGTTGGTGCAGTAGTTTTTGTGTAATGTCATAATAAACACACACAAAAGTTTTAAAAATTATTTTATTGCCTTCTATTGCTCTTGTTAAGAACCCCTCATAATTTTTTCTTGAATCTCCCATGTATTAGTAAAATTAGCTGTCGACATGATGACTCGACCATCAGGTCTCCCTCAACAGAGCGAACCCACACAACCATGTTGACCACACATACGCGTCTGATCACACGCTACATTTGTGGTTAAAGAAATGTGTTTTATACAGTGTCTAATTAGTAATATTTTTTGTTGTAGGTAACATGTCACAAACGGACTGGGCCCATAACTGACTGAACATACGGTAAATATATTATTTTTTTATCTAATATTAAAACATACACGTACACATGTGGTGTTATGAGTGTCTAGTTACAGCTGTGGTAACCATTTACTATGAAATAATCTGTAACCTTTAGGGAATAATTAAGATTTGGTCTGCAAAATTTCCAAGAAGCATCAAAATCAAACCTCTGTTTTTAAAAATATCAGATGTTTACAAAAATGTAACTTCATTAATGCATTTTTTTTTTTTTTTTACTATTTCCCCTATTATTATTGAACATGATGACTCGACCATCAGGTCTCCCTCAACAGAGCGAACCCAAACAACCATGTTGACCACACACACGTCTGATCACATCCAAAATAACACTTCATAAATACAACATGAAATTTGTTAATTAACATAACTGTATTGTTTCAGGTGCTGGAGTATTTAAGCGAGATTCCCTCTGAATGACAAGGTAATTAAACATTTTATAATTAATTTTAACTCTTATACTCATCATAAAGTTTGAAGAGGTCTTTCTATCTAAATAAAATTTATCAAGTCATTTTTCGCAATATAGTAGACAAAAAAATAAAAACATTCATTGAACTATAAATGTACTTGATCATGATCTTAAAACATATTACCAGAGGGAGACTTTGTACAAAAGTCATATATTTGGGCACCTCTGTTCCATTCGTGTTTCAACCGTGAAGCAGTTGTGTTTGAATGGCTGTATTTCGGTTTGAAGGGTAGGATATGGCAGTGAATTTACAGGGTACAGAGGAATAACACCTGAATCCTCAGATTATGGAAACGCACAGGGGTGTGTCATGAGCAAAACAGTATACTCTGTTACGTCCATGGTACTGCTCATGTCTATAGGCGACGGTTACCACTTTCCATCAGGTGGGCCGTCAGCTTGTTTGCAAGTTGTATAAAAAAAATTTAACTAAATTTATGTCTACAGACTTTATCATACACATAATTTTAAAGCATTTCTATTTAAATATATGATGACTTCATAGTTCATCTGAACACTTTGATGCATCACTCTTTTAATGTCTTTCGCTCCTATCTGACTGAATGATATAATTATTGTTATTTGATTTTTATAGACAAATATTTATAAATCCCATTTTTGTTTACAGAAAGGAACTTATAGTCGAGAAATGGACAGCAGCGTCTGTTTAAAAAGTCACTCAATCCTAACTGCTGTTTAAACTCGCCTGCCAAGCCAGCAACTACTGTTAAAACTCCTCCAATAATTAATACCATAAGAAAACTGCCCTTAGACTCCAATGGCTCGCTATTCCTGCCCAAAGTAGCAGTTATGATAATGTTGGACCAAAGAGTGCTAAAAATCTCCAACAGCAATTCGGCTGTCAGCAAAAATGACTAGTCCTGACAACATATAGAGCATCTCATCATAGAAGTCGAGTGGATACAAGGTAATTTTCTAAACATTAACATCTGCATATTTATTATATTTTATATTCAATGATATTGCATTATAATAACAAATTTAACTATGTGTAACATACTAGCGACTCGGCCCGGCTCAGCATAGATAGATAGAATTTTTGAAAATAATATACGGTCCATATTATTCGCTGATAACATAGCTTTCCGTAGATGAAAAAGTTTTTAAAATTGGTTAAATAGTTTTTTTAGTCTCTCTATTACATACAAACAATCAAATCTTCCCTCATTGCAATATTAGTATATTAATTATAATAAAAAGTCGCACACGTCCTTCTTCGTGGTTAATAATACAACGTGAAATAACCGCATCCAAGTTGGTGCAGTAGTTTTTGTGTAATGTCATAATAAACACACACAAAAGTTTTAAAAATTATTGTATTGCCTTCTATTGCTCTTGTTAAGAACCCCTCATAATTTTTTCTTGAATCTCCCATGTATTAGTAAAATTAGCTGTCGACATGATGACTCGACCATCAGGTCTCCCTCAACAGAGCGAACCCACACAATCATGTTGACCACACACACGCGTCTGATCACACGCTACATTTGTGGTTAAAGAAATGTGTTTTATACAGTGTCTAATTAGTAATATTTTTTGTTGTAGGTAACATGTCACAAACGGACTGGGCCCATAACTGACTGAACATACGGTAAATATATTATTTTTTTATCTAATATTAAAACATACACGTACACATGTGGTGTTATGAGTGTCTAGTTACAGCTGTGGTAACCATTTACTATGAAATAATCTGTAACCTTTAGGGAATAATTAAGATTTGGTCTGCAAAATTTCCAAGAAGCATCAAAATCAAACCTCTGTTTTTAAAAATATATAGATGTTTACAAAAAAAAAATAACTTTATAAATGTATTTTTTTATTATTTCCCCTATTATTATTTTTAACATGATGACTTGACCATCATGTCTCCCTCAACAGAGCGAACCCAAACAACCATGTTGACCACACACGCGTCTGATCACATACAAAATAACACTTCATACATACAACATGAAATTTGTTAATTAACATAACTGTATTGTTTCAGGTACTGGAGTATTTAAGCGAGATGCCTTCTGAATGACAAGGTAATTTTACATTTGATAAAGATAAATGTATTTGCATAAACGTGCATGTCCAGTAGATACATACTGGAAATTTTATTAGGTTACAGTTTTGACACCTCTTGCCAAGATTACCGTGAATTTTTTTTATTTGACGATCGGTAGCCTTCCATAATTAAATATTGCAAATTATATAGTGTAATAATAATAAATAAATGTAAAAAATTTAAATAATATTGAAACAGAAAGTAATATCTTTGTAATTGTAAATATATGTCTTATTAAAATTTGTCATTTAAAAATTCATCAATATTGTAATAACATAATTTATGATAATTCATTTCAACTCATATACTCATCATAGACTTTGAATAAGTCTTTATATTTAAATAAGATTTAACTAGTCATGTTTGGCAACATAGTAGAAAAAAGAACTATTGAACTATAAATATACTTGATCGTGATATTAAAAGATATCAAATAAGTAAATATTAGTTTTATCTAATGTAAATATAAAATTTGGACTAGTTAAAAAACAAATTTTCTGTTCTGTTAAAGTAACTAAATTTATATGTCCATTAACTTTATTATAATACACATCATTTTAAAGCATTTCTATTTAAATATATGATGACTTCATAGTTCATCTGAACACTTTGATGCATCACTCTTTTAATGTATTTCGCTCCTATCTGACTGAATGATGTAATTATTGTTATTTAATTTTTATAGACAAATATTTATAAATCCCATTTTTGTTTACAGAAGAGAACTTATAGTTGAGAGATGAGCAGCAGCGTCCGTTTAAAAAGTCACTAAATCCTAACTGCGGTTTAAACTCGCCTGCCAAGCCAGCAACTACTGTTAAAACTCCTCCAATAATTAATACCATAAGAAAACTGCCCTTAGACTCCAATGGCTCGCTATTCCTGTCCAAAGTAGCAGTTATGATAATGTTGGACCAAAGAGTGCTAAAAATCTCCAACAGCAATTCGGCTGCCAGCAAAAATGACTAGTCCTGACAACATACAGAGCATCTCATCATAGAAGTCGAGTGGATACAAGGTAATTTTCTAAACATTAACATCTGCATATTTATTATATTTTATATTCAATGATAATGCATTGTAATAACAAATTTATAACATACTAGCGACTCGGCCCGGCTTAGCATGGATAGATAGAATTCGAAAATAATATACGGCCCATATTATTCGCTGATAATGTAACTCTCTATAGGTGAAAGAATTATTTAAAATCAGTTGAGTTTTTTTAGTCTATCCATTACATATAAACGATCAAATCTTCCCTCCTTGTAATATTAGTATATTGATTAAACAGAATAAAAAGTAACACACATCCTGCTTCGTTGTCAGTACAAAAAAAAAAACTGCATTTTGGTGCAGCAGTTTTTGTGTAATGCCATAATAAACAGACACAAAAGGTCTAAAAAATATTGTTTTTCCTTCTATTGCTCTTGTTAAGACCCCCTCATAAATTTTTCTTGAACATCTCCCATGTATTAGTAAAATTAGCTGTCGACATGATGACTCGACCATCAGGTCTCCCTCAACAGAGCGAACCCACACAACCATGTTGACCACACACGCGTCTGATCACACGCTACATTTGTGGTTAAAGAAATGTGTTTTATATAGTGTCTAATTAGTAATATTTTTTGTTGTAGGTAACATGTCACAAACGAACTGGGCCCGTAACTGACTGAAGAACACAAGGTAATTTTTTTATCTCATGTTAAAACATCGTCAGGATCAAAAACATACACGTACACCTGTGGTGTTATGAGTGTCCAGTTACAGCTATGGCAACCATTTACTATGAAATAATCTGTAACCTTTAGGGAATAATTAAGATTTGGTTCGCAAAATTTACAAAGCGAATCAAAATCAAACCTCTGTTTTTAAAAATATCAGATGTTTACAAAAATGTAACTTCATTAATGCATTTTTTTTTTACTATTTCCCATATTATTATTGAACATGATGACTCGACCATCAGGTCTCCCTCAACAGAGCGAACCCAAACAACCATGTTGACCACACACACACGTCTGAGCATATATCTTATTAATGTTTTATCGAAAAAAAAATGGACGTTACTTTAATTATAATATTTTTTGTTACAGACAAATACCTAAAGCTACGAGTAATGATGTCTATGGTTTATGGGAACATAGGTGAGTTGAATTTTTATGAATTATAAATAAGGAAACAGGACTTATATACTTTATAAAAAACATGGATAACTCGTCTCACACAATATCCTATCGTAACCTTCTAGAATAAAAGCCAACCACTACCAAGTGTTTTGTATGAAAGTCGACCTGCTCAATTCTATTTACGGTATTTTTTTTTATACAACTTAGAATGGCAAACGAGCTGACGGCCCACCTGATGAAAAGTGGTAACCATCGCCTATAGACATGAGCAGTACCTTGGACGTAACAGACTATACTGTTTCGCCCATTATACCCCCCATGCATTGCCATTCCTGAGGACTCGGGTGTTATTCCTCTTGTACCCAGTAAATTCACGCCATATCCCACCCTTCAAACTGAAACACAGCCATGCAAACACAACTGCTTCACAGTTGAAACACGAATGGGACAGAGGTACCCAGGCAATCGACTTTTGTTCTTCTAAACTAAAATTGCATTTCGAAAATAGAACCCTAAAAGAAGACGGGTATTCCAAAATTCTTAATTTAAATGGACTTACTTGAATAAAAACTATTTCGTTCCTATTAGAATAGCAAATTTTATAACTGTCCGCAATCCTATAAGCGTACTTTGAAAACACGGGTGCGATTTGTAAAGCGGACAGAGAGTAGTGTGGTCAAAACTGCTAATACGGCGTTTTGATCGCCGTTTTGGTTATATAGACTGACTACATTATTATGCAAATAGAATGACCTGTTAATGGGGGGAAGGGATTGTTAGTAATGGAGACTGAGAATCCCATTGCTAGCAACATACCCAACCAGGTCCACCTCCTTGCGGTTCTCCCTGGAAACTATCATGATTAATTCCTGATGAATTCATCATGATGGGCTAACTGGCCTGTTTTCATTCTCATCGATCACCGTTCACTGGTGCCCCGCCAGCGTATCCCGTTAGCGCAGGCAGGGTTATCATTCCAATAAAAAAAAAATAACCTGTTATTTAGCTTACCCCTTAAACGTTTTGATCCCTACCAGACTCATTTTTACCGACTAAAAAAATAGGTCGTATGTTTGACTATGTATTTTTTTTTATGTACATCGAGTTCTTCGATCTTATTTCTCAAGTTGAGCAAACAATACATATTTTCGAAATTTTATTAAAATATTCTAAACAATTCCGGAGATTAGTATGAATATTGTGACAGGGGTTTTTACATATTAACATAAACAATAAGTTATTATTCTACATTATTTTTAATAATTTCTTTACAGAATACACAGATAGATGTCGCATCAGTCCGTGATATCGACGCAAGATTAAAGGATCAAGAATTTCGTAAGAAATTCAAGGTGGTCAAGGCGAAAGGCGGAAGTTATGCTTACCTTCGATAGCTGCAACTCACTAGTACAGCGCTGGTGTGCCTAAATGGATGACCTTAACACCGCAGTACAGCTCCTCGTCTTCTTTGCTGTTTTGGGTGGCTTCGATGGGCAGAATACAACACGGGATAATCTTTAAGTTTGATTTGTCTCACACAACACTATAATACAGAGAGAGAGAGGCAGAGGGCGTGCTGTTACTGTTACTTCGGAGCGATATGTGGCCATGATCGAGGAGTTTTTCACACAAAAATTGCAATACTTTCCAGACTTTAATGCCCGAACATGGTTTCAACAGGATGGAGCAACTTCCCACACCTCCAATACTGCTATGCCCGTTATCCGTCAACTTTTTCCAAACAAAGTTATCTCTAAGAGAGGAGACATTTCCTGGCCACCACGTAGCCCGGATCTGACTCCAATGGATTTTTTTTTGTGGGGCTACCTTAAGGCTAAAGTGTACGACTCTAACCCGCGGTCAATTAATGACCTAAAAGAAAACATCCGCAGAGAAATGGCAAGCATTTCAGCAGTGACGTGCCGCGCAGTCATCGACAATTTCAGAAGGCGTTTGCAAGAGTGCCGTGACTGTAACGGATTACATTTGGACGACGTTATTTACAAAAAATAATTCCCGTTTTTCTAGCTATATTTACAAATAAAAATATTATTCATAGTGTAATTAGTTTTATTTTAATTAATTTTTTTTATTACTAAGGACTTATGGGCCACCTGTATATTTTCAATGTGATGCGCACGCGCGACGGGTTCGCTCGGCAAGCGGGATAATTGCACTCTGCTCTGTGTCGTTTTTGGTGCGTCACTTGCCCACAGAGCATAATAAAATAGATGAACCCAGGGACAATCAAAGCGGCGTAACCACAAGGTGTAGAAAAGAAATGAATAAATGAAACTTTTCAAATATGATAATTATATTTCTTTATTTTTTTATTTTATTAAATAAAAGTTGAATCATTTTTTTTTCGAGTGTTTGATTTTGTAACTTGTTACCGTCCATAATATGGCTAGGCTGATGGGATCACAAGCAATGTGATACTACTACCACACGTGTTGTCAAAAACGTATTGTCAAAATAAATTTTATTAATTTGACTTTTGAAGTTTTTTATTTACACGAATCTAATTATGTCTTTAATATATTTCGCCGCGCGTACATTTTGAAATAATGGGAAATAAGACTACATGATACTTAAAATAAAATTTATTATAAACTATAAGAAGAACCTTCTTCTTGTGGTCTCCATCTGGTGGCGCCTGCCGGCGATGATCCATTCATAGTCGCCATGTTTAGAGTCAAAGGTGCCCTGTTGCAATGAGATAAGCTTCAAAGTAAACCTGGGCCCAAGCTCGCGAAGCTTCGCACGCTTGCCGTCTGATGTAAACTCGTATCTGAAATTTATTTTTTATTATAATAATTTATATTCATTTTAATATGTATATACAAAAGCGAAAAACTACAACTTTAGCAATAAAGATTAAATCTTAAATTTTGTGTTGCACCTATTGTTTTTTAATTCACGAATACGGGATGATAACTAGACTTGTTAAAAGGATCGAGTTTCCCGAGTGTTCGACTCATTCAAGGCACGAGTCTCCTATGAAGGCTCGAGGCCTAGCTCCGAGGCTCGAGTCGCGACTCGAGCTCTGTTTTAAAGGCTCACTACACGACATTGTGCTCCAAAATAAATCTAATAAATATATTATTAAAATAATGTATGTTTTATTAACTTCACTGCTTAATAAGATATTTTTATTACAGTTTTATACCTCGTCCTATAGAGGAAACTAAACGCGCCGATCCAGTGTTATCGTTAGTTAGAACTACCCACATTACTATTAATATTATAGTAATAATTACTTGTAAACGCCATTCGTGTCAAGATCAATGTGCAGTTTGCCTGGTTTAAATAAAAAGACGTTTTTATCGTAGTTTTAACTGGTGAAAGTTTGTTAGATTTACAAAATAATTCAGGAAGATATCGGAATACATCGAGTTTGATACTACTGATACTTCGCTTACAGAAAATGATGCTTCAGCATCTTTTATGGTGTCGAAAAACCCGCGGATTAGTTGGAAATGGTGTCATTTTAAGAAAGAAACCAACAAATTGTTTTGCAAGGTATGCCATCATACATTTTCCAGAAGGAGAGTGTACAAAAGTCGATTGCTTGGGTACCTCTGTCCCATTCGTGTTTCAACCGTGAAGCAGTTGTATTTGCATGGCTGTGTTTCGGTTTGAAGGGTGGGATACGGCGTGAATTTACTGGGTACAGAGGAATAACACCTGAGTCCTCAGGAATGGCAATGCATGGGGGTATCATGGGCGAAAGAGTATACTCTGTTATGTCCATGGCACTGCTCATGTCTATAGGCGACGATTACCACTTTCCATCAGGTGGGCCGTCAGCTTGTTTGCCATTCTAAGTTGTATAAAAAAAATTGATAACCCTGCTAGTAGTTTAGCGAAATACCAGTGAGAGATGGAATCAGGTCAGTTGGCCTCTTATGACTAATTCCTTACAATGGTTTCCAAAGTAATTCGAGTCCTATTTTACAGATTAACTTTCGTATTCATAAAAACTTCAAACCCGTTATAATTCTGTTTTAGCAATTAACCTGTTCTGTATCATTCTTTTACACTAAATTCCTAATTAAAAAAAATGACAAAACAGTGTATTAGATTTGTAAAAAATTTTAGTTTTTATGAATAAGGAGATATTTTTTTTATGGATGACAGTAAAATGGTAACCCTGCCTGCGCTAACAGTATACGCTGGCGAGGCACCAGTACGGGATGATAGGTGAGGATGAAAGGGCAGGTCAATTAGCCTATAGTAATGAATGATAACACGATGGTTTCCAAGTGGGACCACGTGAAGGTCGACCTGGTCGGGAATATTGCAGCATTACTAACAATCCTATTCCCTCCAAGGGATTAAATTAGTCTCGCTGTAAATTTATTCTATACTGTACTCTGCCTAGTTCAATAATGAAAGATAATATATTAAACTAACCTATGGTGTCTGAAAAATATATAGTCTCGCTGGTTGTGAAATGTGACTGCGCGACGTCCGCGGAACTGAGGCTCATAGTGGAACAGGGCGCCCAGCATCCGCCCCACTGTCAGCCCGAGACGCGTGCTGAAGTTGTTTAGGATCACCTGATAAAATAGCAGCAATTTACAATGTAAGCGGTACTGCCCACAAGGCCTCAATAGTCTTACAAAAACTCCTTAACATGAAATGATAGGACTCAAAAAAATATTTTTACAACTATAATCCTCAATGAGATAATAAGAGGTACGACAAATTGATTCATACCCACATTACTAAGAAGAAAATATATATCGAATGTTTAATAATTGTTCCTATGTAACTACAGGAAAGTAAGAGGTAATTTTTATCTTTAAAATCGGAACATGTATGAGAACCTTTATTATAAATTTTCTAATGTCTACATTTATTAATTTATTATACATAAACCCCCTTCTTTGATCTTCTTTTCTACAAAGAATATGGCATGCAAATAAATTATTGATGTAATTTTACCTCAGGCCTATGGTTGGTGATTTCTTTATAATCCTTCCTTAACTCTGGTGTAATCTTGCAACTAGATAGCCTAAAATGTGCTGTAGGTCCATTGGGCAGGTGAATCAGTAGGAATCCATTTGGTTGCTTCTGATTCTCGTTGATGATAATGACATCTGTTACACTCTCACGGATTGCCGATTGGACTATCCGTTTTACTGATGACCTATTACAAGACAGTATTACAAAAATTACTATGTATATAACATACAACTATTCAATTATGAAATGTATGAAAGAGTAATAAAAAAGATGATATTTCTTAGAGACAAATTATTAATCATTTTTACTACATATGTTTATCAATACATCATCATATCAGCTTTTAACTGTCCACTGCTGAACATAAGCCTCCCCCTTATAGTTTTGCCAGTAGTTGATATGCTTGGCAGGCGAATTGGCAACCACAGTTAGGCTTTAGACATATTTTAAGAGGGACGCTGCTGCTTATCCCTTGCCCTCCCTTACTTGATAATTATGACATCCATGGGAAAGGAAGTGGTGGCCTATTCTATGTCAGGACCACATGATACGTTACCTAGGAATAAGTCTACTGTTTAACTGTTAAAATGTTGACTAATTGTGTTGATTTTTCTTTTTTGAATATTATCATTTTTAAAAACAGATATTAACAATTAATTGGAATCTGTGGATATTATACACACCTCTGTCTATAGCGGGATATAGAATTGGGTATTATCCTAGTCAATTCTTTGCCAAATATCCTTGTCTTGCTGTGAGGATTGTCAGAATATGTAATTAATACTTTGGGCTCATATGCATTTTCGTAGTATGCAGAGAGCTCATCAAGTTCCATATCCTTTTGTGCCTGAAAGCATAAATATTGCATAATAATTAAATAAATACAATATACACTTTGATATGAGAAAAAACAATATGCACAATCAAGAAACTAAAAAACAGTACATATATTTGTTTTATTACAAAAGCAAAATTTTAGATAAAACCAGAGAAATATGTATTCTCTACAAGTTGAACAAATTTGTTTTTATTCTGTAAATAAAAAAATTCAAAACATAAATGCGATAATAAAATAAATAAATTTACAGTGAGGACCACTCAGGGTAATGTAAGGATTCTATTAAATTAATTGAAAATTATTAATACTATAGGTATTCTAATCTGTTTATATGGCGGAGAAATAAACATACAATGTGTCACAACTGCTGTTTCTCTGCTCACATTAAAAAGCTGGAATATGGCCAGCATAATCATAATGGACTAGTATCTTCATCTTATGGACCCACATATACCATATAGATCTTAATGATGGTGAATATTGTGATAGTGAAATTAAATAAAAAGAAAATCGGTCTCGATGCCTTACCTCTTCCTGCTCCTCAGCCTCGACATTTGCAAGCATCGTCTCATCTTTCTCTCGGAGAGATTCCAACGTGTGCGGTACCTTTTTCGGGACATCTTCCCCTTCTTGCTTCTTCTCCAATTTACGTCTAAAATAAAAATAATATCACCAATCTGTGCAATGCAATTAATAACATAAAACAACATAACCAAACTTACTTCTTCTTGTCTTTTCCACGTGCCATTTTACAATCTAATTATTATTTTATATTCGTGAAGATCCGTTATCCAAATTAGTTGTCTTCGGTAATAAATAAGTTTAATATAATATGTTTACAACAAAAAAAGCACGAGTTTTGCAAAATTAAAAAGTCAACTTTTTAACATCAAACGTCTATTTATTTTTGACAGTGACAGCATGGCGTGAAAACTGACAGTTGTCATATTAGACAATCTATTACTCTATGGTCATTGATTACAAAGTTACCACATTTTTTAATCTAAGACCCATGAAGATTGCGCTCTCTTGCTCTAAATTTTGTTAAATGGTTTTTTAATAATAATTATAACTTAGTGAACACAAAGAATTGAATCGAGAAATAATTCACTAATATACATATAATTTCATTATTTTCCCTAAACTATATAGACTGGACTCATTTAAATTGTATTCACTATGACATTCAAATACAAATTTTTGTTTATGAATAAATAAAATAAAAAAATAAATAAATGGAATATAAATAAAACTGCATTATATTTAAAATTAAAATATAATTAAAATTAAACGTTAATTTAATTGTACATCTTGTCTGGCGAGCTCCAACAACATAGGGTCGTCGAAGAACTTGTTAATGGAGACGTCCTCGCTGAGCCCCTTCCGGCGGCGAGTCTTGATCATGAATTCGCGGGCTAGGTGCGTAGCAGGCTGCGGCTCTAACGGTCTAAACACAGATAAAATTACTGAATTCCATAATCCTCAAATAAAATAAAAAAAAAATAAAATAAAGGAAAAGTTTTTACTGGACGATCTTAAAATTACAGTTTCCTAGGAATCTCAATTTAATTCTCATGTTTCACGTTATCAGATAGCCATTCCAAGCTATGCCAAAACAAAAAGATATAATATATATATATATATATATATATATATAATTGTGTACGTAATAAGGGACAATAAATTAATATCAACCTGTTTTACCAATTAATCTACTACTTCTTTGAAAGTTTCAGATACTATACTATATACAGGGGGGAAAAGGATTGTTAGCAATGGAGTTTGACAGCCCTATTGCTAGAAATATACCTTATTAGGTCGACCTCCATGTGGTTCCCCCTGGAAACCATTGTGAACAATTCATGTTGAATTTGTCACGATGGGCTAACTGACCTATTTCATCCTCACCTATCATCCTTCACTGGTGGCCCGCCGGTGTATATCGATAGCGCGGGTGGGGTTACCATTCCATTACCATCCATTTAAAAAAAAAAACTATACTATATACAATGACTGGACCCAAAAATTACACAAAATAACAATAAGTATACAAATATGCTGCACCAGCGAGAGACTTTGTACAAACTTTGTTGTCTGCATGGTTACCAATGTTCCACCCATGAAACAACTTGGCAGTAAAATTACAGGGTATGAAGGCATTAGACTACAGTTCTCAGAAATAGTAATACAAGAGTGGTACCATGAGTATCATAATATATTCTGTTATATCCATGGTATTATTCACGTCTATAGGCAACGGTTACCACTTCCCATCAGGTGGAGCGTAAACTTGCTTTTCATTCTAAGTTTAAAAAAAAAAAACCACTGACCTGATAACAATGCTCTTGTCTAGCGGATCGCCGGGCACGATCTGCCAGTGGTGAAAGACTTGCAGGCAGAAGGCCTGGCCCTGCGTGTGCGTGCGCAGGTCAGTCTCGAAGCCGAACGAGTCAATGGCCGGCACAAACGCCTTGATCGTATACAGCGGCGAGCCGGCCACCGGTGCGTCCTGGGTCACGTGACCTGAATACAACGTTAAAAGTAATATCATTTCTAATGTATATATTATATAATTTTCTTAATTTAAACTAATATTATATATTTTTTTTTTAATTTATACCGTCAAAAAGCTCATTTGTATACAGTGTTCTGAGAAACATTACTCAAAGCCTCATGTCATCAAAACTGCGACACACTTATGATGCCACAGATAATATAAACTATCTTGCTTGGATTATTTAGCATCAGGCGGGCCGTATGCTTATCACACTTGATATATAAAAAATACTGCGATTAAATTTTCAATAAAACAATCAGATATACCATTCATCCGATTTAGTTGCATTCGTCATTGTATTTATAGTGATACACTAGGATGCGTCGAGAGGCATAATTTAAAAATGCCTTCTTAACTGAATGTGTATTAATAATTTGTAATATAAAATACATTACATCTACATGAAAAAAATATTCCGGGCAAAGCACGTTAAGCAGTAATAATTTATATCTCAAAATATAACATCCTATAATAGAACGTCAACTTTAAGCCATAAGTGATGACATCATGTACTCATATACAGAGTTAATCCTAAAGAATACACTAAATAAATACTAACATAAACGCAAGATACAAAAAAACATTTTGGTTACACTTTCTGTCGAAAGCAGTTTGTATGGAAATGTAACTAGATGGCGCTGTACAATTTTAGTACGATAGGGTTAATAGTAAGAAAAATATAATGATTAAACAAATTACTAAATATATAATTCATAAATATTATGAAGCTACGTAAAATAGTGAACATAAGCCGAAATATAAAAATGTTTTTGAAAGGTTGGTTACACTTTCTGTCGGTAGCAGTTTGTAAACAAATGTAACTAGATGGCGCTGAACAAATTTAGTACGATAAGGATAAAATTTAAAAAATACAGTGATTAAATAAATTATTAAGTATATAATATATAGATAATATTTATGAAACTGAATAAAATAAGTAACATAGGGCAAGATATAAAAATAAATTTGAAAGGTCGATTACACTTTCCATCGAAACCAGTTTGTATAGAAATGCAACTAGATGGCGTTGAACAATTTTAGTACGCGCTATGGTTGTATTTCGATGGTACTGGTAAATTAATATTGCAATCTTGTCCTTGCAATTTCTCCATAACTCCATTGTATGGACTAATAATATCATCATCATTTCAGCCTATTTTTGAGAAGTTCGCCGGTTTTCAATCGGATAGAACTTGTCTAATTTATTTTAAATTTTCTCGATTTTGACAATTTAAATACAATATCGCGTGAATAGTACTTACATACGTACCTAGTTTTTTGTTTACTATTATTTTTTCGTGCAATTTTTCATAACGTTAACTGTCGATAGTTTATTTAATTTAAATACGGACAAAACTTCATTAAGATTACGACCCGTTATTATCATATTACATGTTTATATTCAAACAAATAAATATTATTCATACCTCTCCTTTTAGCGAGCACGGTGTATACGGCGGAGACACAGTCCGCGGGCGCTTGCACCTCCACAAACAGGTAAGGCTCCATCAGCCTCGGCGTAGCCATCAGGAAGGCTGAGTACGCCACCTGCAGGCATAGTTTTTTTTTTTAATGGCCATGACAATGGAGTGACGAATTCGACAAAAATTAACCACGATGGTTTCCATTTGATTTCGAAATATACAGACAAACATCGTAAAAATTATTGAAATTCAAAATTCAAATAGACTTGTTTAAAAGCACAAATTTAATTTTAAATCTTTTTTTTTTTTGATCTACTGCAGGGTTCGGAAAGTTGTAATCTATTGAGAAGAGCCCGCGAGAAACTCAACAGTTAGTCTTTCAAATCTCTGTTAATATTATTTATTTATTTACACTTTATTGCACGAAGTAAAAAGAGAAATAACAAATACAGTAAATATTAATGAGAAGTGATACAAAAAGCGGGCTTATCGCTAAGCAATCTCTTCCAGACAACCTTTGGGTAGAGGACATTGAGAAAAAGACAATATTATGTGTTTTTATTTAAATGTATTTTTGCTCTGAGATTGTTTTGCCTTATACTGCTCTTATTAAGAATATCTGATACATACAGCTATCGTCTATTTACGATTTTATTAGTAATATTAGCTATCAACATGATGACCCGACCATCAGTTCTCCCTCAACAGAGCGAACCCACACAACCGTGTTGACTACACACACGTGTCTGATCACACACTACATTTGTGAATAAAGAAATATGTTTTATACAGTGTCTAATTTTATTGTACATAGGGGGGAAAGGGATTGTTAGTAATGAGGTCAAATAGCCCCATTACTAGCAATATAACCTGTCAGGTCGACCTCCACGCGATTCCCCCTGGAAACCATTGTGGCTAATTCTAGTTGAATTCGTCAGGATGGGCTAACTGAACTGCTTTCATCCTCATGAGTCATCTATCACTGGTGCCCCGCCAGTGTATACCGATAGCGCAGACGGGGTTACCATACCATTATCATCCAATAAAAAAAAAATAAAAAAATTGTACAATTTTATTATTTTGTTAGTAAGATAATCTCTGCTTTAGCTGTGTGGTTCCGGCCTATGCCGGAATGCCTATTCTATAATAGGCCACCACATCCTTTCCTGTAAGTGTCGTAAGAAAGGACTAAGGGAGGGCGAGGGATAGGCAACAGGGTCCCTCTTAAAACATGACAAACAAACTGCGGTTGCCAATCCGCCTGCTAAGCGTGGCAACTACTGGCAAAACCCGTCTTAAGGGGGAAGTTATGTTGAGCAGTGGACAGTTAATGGCTGATAGAACATACAACAAGATAATCTCACCCTCCTAGCAGTCGGTATAATTTGTCCGCCGCCTCTGTGCAGCGGCTCCTGAGCAATCACAGCGTCCAATATCTTGAACTTCACGTTTCGTATCGGTTCCTCACACAGCGGGCCTTCTCTAGTGCCCCATTGGAACCCTGAATTATTTAAGAGTGTTTTTCGTTACAGACATTTGAAAATGTGAAGATGAAAATTTGGACAACTAGAGAAAGTTTTAAATTCTCCGCGGCTAAAATCTGGAACGATCTGCCTCCGCCTCTATTTGTCTCCAACTTGCAAAAATATTTATATAGGCCTTTACAGAAAAATCATATGTTGTGTAAATATAATAAAATGGGAGAATTTATTTAAACACACTAAACTCTTGAATTGCTAGTCAGATTTGATGAAATCTTTAAACATTCTTTATTGCACTAAAACGATATAACCAAAGGTGAACTTATGTCTAAAAGAGATCTCTTTTAGTCAACCTAACACAGTGGCATAGGGGGGAAAGGGATTGTTAGCAATGGAGTTTGACAGCCCCATTGCTAGCAATATGCCTTATTAGGTCGACCTCCACGTGGTTCCCCCTGGAAACCATCGTGGCCAATTCTTGTTGAATTCGTCACGATGGGCTAACTGACCTGCTTCATCCTCATCTATCATCCTTCACTGGTGCCCCGCCGGTGTATACCGATAGCGTAAGTGGGGTTACCATTCCATTATCATCCAGTAAAAAAAACAGTGGCTTAGAAAGTAGAAAATGGCCAGTGGAACAGAAATCTAAACAATAATAATAATACATAATTTACATGTCATTATACCTATAATAATAAAATTAAGCCTTTATTCAGACAACATTTTTTTTTATAACAACTTATTATTTATTTAATTGCTGTTGTGTGTTTGCTTATTAGCAAAGGCCTCCTCCAACTGCCTCCAATGGTCTCTATTGCTAGCAATTCTTGTCCAAATACCACCTGCTTCAGCCCTAATGTCATCTACCCATCTTCTATGTGGTATACCTATATTCACTCTTAAATAAAAGTTAGCAACAATTATAAATACAACCGAATTAAAAAGCACCTTGTTTTTGAAGTCAACTGATTAATTAATACGTACCTTGTACTATGCTGTCCTTAACAGAAGCTAGCAGATGTTTGTTGACCTCGGAGGGCAGCGTGTCGTCGACTAGAATGTTGGGGCCCGTTGCGTCCGGACCGAAAGCCCATATCGAACGCGCCGCTAGCAAGTCCCAATCGTATCTATTTAGTTATAAATGTAAATTTTAGATATAAAAATTCAAGTCGTACTTGCACATGAGTTTAAAAAAAAACAAGCAACCTTTTAGATTTTTTTTTATATAACTTAGAATGGCAAACAATCTGACGGCCCACCTGATGGAAAGTGATAACCGTCACCTATAGACATAAGCAGTACCATGGACATAACAGAGTATACTGTTTTGCCCATGATACCCCCATGCGTTGCCATTCCTGAGGACTCAGGTGTTATTCCTCTGTACCCAGTAAAATCACTGCCATATCCCACCTTTCAAACGAAAACACAACTGCTTCACGGTAGAAACACGAATGGGATGAGGTACTCAAGCAAACTTTTGTCTTTTTTTTACTATTTTTTAATACAAAAGATAATGATATGTATAGATATATAAATAGAGATATAAGATTATGAAAATATGTAATATAAAATAAAAATAATTCCAACAATGCTCAACATACAGAAGGATATAAGCAGTGGCCTATAATGAACAGACATAGTGACCTATGCCTGTCACTTAACATATATCGGCCAGATCGACAAGATCGCCGAAAAATCTGCTCATTTACCATTTGATATTTCATAAAAAAAAGGTATCATAGTGCATCGAGCGGTGTGGTACCGACTTGGTCTGGAAGAACTCTCCGAGGCGCTTCCTGTCCCAAGAGACGCAGACGGCGCCCGCCTCGATGTCCTCGGCGAGCCCGCGCTCTAGCGGCTCCGCGATCATCGTCAGCTTGTTGCGCTTGTTCGGGGTCTCCGCGAAACACTTCAACGAGGACGTCTCCACCACCGTCTCACAGAACGAGACCACCGGGTCCGCCACTGAAAATTATCATTATTCTTTATTGCACTTGAACAATAGATACAGCGGTTAGTTTAACAACTTGTTATCAAGGAAGAGCTTATCTTTAAAAGAGATCTCTTCCAGGCAACCCAGTGTAGTTAGAGAGAAAATAATTAATTGGCGGGTAATCTAGTGCAGGAGAGGTACAGGTAAATACAACAAACATACACAAATTGTAAATAAATATATATTCTAACATATATATATATATACATACATACATACATATCTGTCACGCCTGTCTCCCATTAGGGTAGGCAGAAACAATGGAACGCCAAATGTTTCGATTCAAACAAACCTCTTTCGCTTCTTCCACATTCATATATATATATATATATATATATATATATATATATATATATATATATATATATATATTTTGAAGTATTATTATAATTATAATTTAAAATATTTTCTGTTATTCTTGTCACGCCATTTAAACTTTCTAGACGTATTAAAATATAATAAATCAATAAAAAATTTAATTAAAAGCATTTTTTAATAGTATTTTTTTTTTTATTCAAATGTCCATTCGCAATGGTAATTTGACTGAGAAAAACGAGTGACAATAATGCTGTTGCTTTTTTTAAAAAAAAAAGTGGACCATAGAGACCTTTGATGTCGATTTCAGAGTACATTTTCCTGAGGTCGTGCATGACGCAGTCGAGGTAGAGCTCGCCCGTGCCGAGGATGACGTGCTCGCCCGACTCTTCGACTCGCGTCGACAGCAACGGATACGACTTGTTGACCTGCGCAACGGAACAGCGACTGTATCCTTATACCGATAGAGTTGACTGCGGTTGCCAAGCGTGGCAACTACTGGCAACCCCCAAGGAGAAAGCATATGTTCAGCAATGGACAGTTTAAGACTGATAATGATAATCATTACATCATTAGAGACATATCTATATTGAGAATTATTCCCACTCTACCTTCCTAAGTCCGTCCAACATTTTCGGCAGCTCAGACGGGTTGACCGGCTCCACGGCGATCTTGACCACCGCCTGCGTGTTGAACCGCAGTGGCTTGAAGGTGTGCAGTTCCTCCGTCTCATCAGCCGACACCAGGGTGCACGTCTTCACTATCGGCTGGTCGACACCCTCGATCAGCGCCCAGCATCCGGCTGGCACACGGTTCAGTTCCACCTGTAAACCCAACAACAATACATATTAAAAATACAACACTTATTGGCCCGTATCCACTTCTTCCTCTTTCGTTCTCGCAGTTTTGAACACGGACGCGTCAAATATCCACTGACATACAAAACCAAAGATGGACACAGGCTACTGATTGCGGACAATCAAAATTAGCCGTGCCAACGTTGAATAAACGACTATCAAAACGTTTATTACATCTAGACAGGAAAAACCGCAAAATAATGATAGGGACAATAACGGGCCATTGTCCATTAAACAAATATCCTCAACGTTTAGATGTCCTCAAACAGTGAGGTCGCTTCGTGACGCCTCTGAAGATCCCAAGAAGCTTCTGTGCTTCTGGGCGGAGCTCGGCTGGCTGTACTAGCCACGACTCACACAACAGACCAAATGAGAGGCTAAGCGCAGAAAATACAGTCCAATTTACATTTACTTTGCTTATTTCTTAAATTTTCTATTTAAAGTTTATTTCTAAGGTGAATATATTTTTTTTGTTTTTATACTACTAGTAAAAAAAAGTATCCTATGTCCTTTACCTCCCCAAATAGAATCATTATCATCAGCTTAACCATTATCTGTCCACTGCTGAACATAGGCCTCCCCCATAGACTGCCATAAAGAACGGTCCTCAGACATCTACATATACTGCTGCCCCAGATAATATGTGCAATATACCAAATTTAGCAATAGTCAGTTAAACTATTAAAGTGCCATGACAAAGTTTGTTTCTTTGTCTATTTATTTATTTATATTCTTAATCTATTAATTCATTTAATGACATTTAATAATTTAATTGCATCTTAATGTTTCACGAACACAAAGCATGCTGTGGTCGCCTCTAAATGTGAGAACAGTTAGACCTAACCCACTAGTGTATTGTATTAAAATGCTTCGCTGCAACCGTTCACACCAATACTAGTATAGTATTATATTATCTGTGACACAGCATAGACAATACGGAGGGGGGTTATTAATGGATGATAATGGAATGGTAGCCCCATCCGCGCTATCGGTATACACCGGCGGGGCACCAGTGAAGGATGATAGGTGAGGATGAAGCAGGTCAGTTAGCCCATCGTGACGAATTCAACAAGAATTGTTCATGATGGTTTCCAGGGGGAAACATGTGGAGGTCGACCTAATAAGGCATATTGCTAGCAATTGGGCTGTCAAACTCCATTGCTAACAATACCTTTCCCCCCGACGAAGGGGGGTTACGAACGTAGCGCTGATTGAATTAAATCTTTTGCATCGCGAGCCACCGGCAACATTAAAAAAAAAAAAAAAACAAAAAAATATAATTTCTCCCACATTCACACACACGCAGATAAAAAAAAACTACCTGTTTTTGGCGAAACATTTGTAATCAAGCGTCTCCGACACTTTATAATCTACATGTGGGGTGTAGATAGCGCGCTCACCTTGTACCTGGCCTCATAGACCCAGAGGCGGCCGACGTTCATGACACGCGAGTCCTCCTCGTCCTGGCTACTGTAGTTCTCGCCCAGCACGCGCACCGTCTGCCCGGCGTACAGCGTGCCTGACATTATACGGGCTAGCACCTGGACAACACGAAACACCCCATACAATAATGATAAAGACCCCATTGCTAGCAATATACCCAACCAGGTTGATCTCCCCTGGAAACCATCATGCTGAATTCCAAGTGTACCGATGGGCTAACTAACTTGTCTTTTCATCTTCATCTATCATCACTCACTGGTGTCCCGCCAGTGTATACCGTTAACGCAGGCGGGGTTACTATTCCATCATCACCCATTAAAAAAAAAACCCCGCCAGCGTATCCCGATTGCACCAGTGAGGGATGACAGGTGAGGACGAAAAGGCAGGTCAGTTAGCCAATCGTGACGAGTTTCACTAGAATTAACTACGACGGTTTCCAGGGGGAACCGGCTGGAGGGCAACCTGATAGCTTAGGAGTGGGTCAATTAGACCCCATTACTATCAATCCCTTTCTCCCCAACCGAATCTCGTTGGGATACCGATTTAATGGGTATAATTCAAATATATATATACATATATACTACCGTCTCCTTACCAAGAAGAATGTGCAGTCGTCAGTGGGGTACATCTTGGTGGTGTGCGCGACTAGCCGGCCGGCCTGGTCGCAGGCGAGCATGTCGTCCCGCAGCGGCCCCGCCAGCCCGCGGTACGCGTGCGCCACCTTACGGCCCGCCGCCTCTAGCGGCGACGGCACGTGGCGGACCGCCATTTCCACGAAACCGCTATTGCGAAATTAGATTTTAGTCTGATTTACGTTACTAATCTCGTATCTTAATGTATATACCAGAGGGAAACTGTACAAAAGTCTTGGGTACCTTTGTCCCATTTGTGTTTTTACCTTGAAGTAGTTATGTTTGCATGGATGTGTATTGATTTGAAGGATGGGATATGGTAATAAATTTACAGGGTACAGAGACATAACACCTGAGTCCTCAAGATTGGCAATGCATGAAGAGTATCATGAGCGACACAGTACACTCTGTTATATCCATGATACTGCTCATGTATGAACATGTCGTCTGGCACATGTCCATGTTTTCAAATTAAAAATATTATATCAATTTAGTACTGGCCACTCACCAGAAATCACCAAAAAATCTACTGCACACGAGCCTCAGTAGGGGGCGCACATTCAGCTTGGACTCCTGCTTCGTGAGTTTGATGCCCAGCTCTGACAACACCGCTGGCAACGTGTCATCCACATCGCCCACCACCTGAAACATCAAAATCGGATATTTTTTTTTAATAATCATAGAATTGCCATAAAACGCCATCTAGTTAACAAACTGTGAGAACCTGGGGGGGGGGAAGGGATTGTTAATAATGCGGACTATTAGTCCCATTGCTAGCAATTTAACCTATAAGGTCGACTTTCACATGATCCCCCTGGAAACCATCATGCTGAATTTCAGGTGTATTGCAGGTCAGTCAGTCCATCGTGACAAATACTATTAAAATATAATGTGACATAATGCTCACATTATGTCTAGATATTAGAACTAGAAGAAAACTTACCAGAGGGAGACTTTGTACAAAAGTCGATTGCTTGGGTACCTCTGTCCCATTCGTGTTTCAACCGTGAAGCAGTTGTGTTTGCATGGCTGTGTTTCGGTTTGAAGGGTGGGATATGGCGTGAATTTACTGGGTACAAAGGAATAACACCTGAGTCCTCAGGAATGGCAACGCATGGGGGGTATTATGGGTGAAACAGTATATTCTGTTATGTTCATGGCACTGCTCATGTGTATAGGCGACGGTTACCACTTTCCATCAGGTGGGCCGTCAGCTTGTTTGCCATTCTAAGTTGTATAAAAAAAAACTGAATTCGTATGAGTAAAGACTTAATCACTTTAACATTAATTCTCTTAAAAATAGAAGATCTACGTCTGATTTTATTACTCTCTATAAAATAATAAACTATAAATGGGACACTAGCACATTGTTGAGCCTTGTTTCATTTCGTACAGGTAATAAAAGAATACAAAAATTACTTTATATACCGATTTGTAATAATAATGTATCGTATCACAATCCAATTATCCGCATGTGAAGAAAATATAACAATGTATGCAAGGAGCTTGATATCTTCCAGCAATCCTTGCAATGTTATATTAAAGCTGTCAATTTGTTATTTTAAATCTATTATTGCTATTCTTTTAATGTATATAATATCGAATGTTATGCAGAGCAGTTATTGGAGTGCAAATTTGATGCTGTTTTATTTAGTATTTATTTTATTAATGTATTAATTTATAATCTGTTGCCTTGCTATAAATAAATAAATAAATAAGTCTGTAACAATACCTGCGCAAATATCTTGTAGAGCGGCTCGAGTATGAACTCGACGAAGCTGCGCTGCGCGGAGGCGTGCGGCTGCTTCTTGGTGAAGCGGCGCGTCTTGGCGTTGAAGTACACGTCGCCCCACAGCCACGCCGCCATGTCGCGCGCCCGCAGCGCGGTGCTCGCGCCCGCCGCGTACATCGCCGCGAACGACTCCAGCGTGAAGCACACGTCGTACAGCGACGACGCGAAGCACACGTTCCCTGCACACCGGCCATCTCATAACATCAATAGGGTAGAGGAAAAGAGATTATTAGGAATGGAATCTGACAGCCCCAGTGCTAAAAATATACAAATATATCTTTAAAATAAATATATCTTTAAATATATCTTTACTTTATGGGTGATAATGGAATGGTAACCCCGCCTTAGCTATCGGTATACGCTGGCGGAGCACCAGTGGGGGATGATAGGTGATGATGAAAGCAGGTCAGTTAGCCCATCGTGACGAATCCCGCTAGAATTAACCACGATTGTTTCCAAGGGGAACTGCGTGGATGTCGACCTGATAGGTGTATTGCTGGCAATGAATCAGTTAGACCCATTGCTAACAATCCCTTTCCCCCCCAATATACCCTGTCAGGTCGACTTCCACGCAATCCAACACGCCCCGAACCACAAGCCATGGGAGGCTTCCACACGCCTCCATTTGGAGATCAAGAGATTAATCAATGTCAACCAAGGGGTTAGTAATACGGATTTCTGGGGGGAAGGGATTGTTAGTAATGGAGAGTTTAGTCCCCATTGCTATCAATATACCCAGGTATCAGGTCGACCTCCACGCGGTTCCCCCTGGAAACTATCGTGACCAATTTATCATTGAATTCGTCACAATGGGCTGACTAACCTGCCTATTCATCCTCACCTATCACCGCTCACTGGTACCCCGCTAGTGTATACCGATAGCTCAGGCGGTGTAACCATGCGATTTTCACGTATAAAAAAAAAAATACGGACTCCTAGTCCACTTGGTAGCAGTATACTCGTAAGTCTAGAAACTATCGTGCTGAATTCCAGGTGTATTCATTGGGATAGGCTGACTGACCTGCCTTTTCATTCTTACCTATTATCCCTCACTGGTGCCCCGCCAACGTATACCGTTAGCGCAGGCGAGGTTACTATTCCATTATCGTCCATTAAAAAAGGCCTCTATTTTCCTCATCATAATAAATATAAACACTTATACATACAAAAATTACATGAACTTCTTAAACTGGAGGCCATATTTAGTTTTGTCAACCCAAGCCTCTAACTGGATTATTTTATATTCACATATGGGATCAGCTAAGCCCTTGCACCTCAACTCATCGGGATCTTTTGTGCTTCCCCCTGCCTTATACCACCTTTTCATAGATCCTATGTGTTACCTTAATGATATCCCGTGGTTTAAGATATCTGTAGTCCCCTGGCTCTACTGTATGGATAATACATTCCTAGTAGACTCATATACATACTTACCAATGAATTGCAGTCTAACTGCCTTGGTCTTAGGCTTTATTTTAACTTATTACTTACCTAATAAGGGTGAGAATACAGTGGCAGGTTCATCAGAGTCTAACTGGCTTGGTCTTAGGCTTTGTTTTAACTTATTGCTTACCTAATAAGGGTGAGAATACAGTGGCAGGTTCATCAGGATTATCCTGCGGCTGGTTAGTCTCCAGCATGGAGTTCAGCTCATCTATAATATGTCTCAACTTATAATATGCATCCGCGGGTGGTAACTTTAATTCTAAAATCAACCGATCAATCTTGTTGATGCATATAGTAAGCGGGACCCGTTCTTGCACCGCGTGTCGGAGGAGCCTTTCTGTGTTTAGCATTATACCTTCTGCTGCGTCAACAAACAGTACAGCACCTGAAAAAAAATGTACATATATCTATTACTATCCACACACAACCAAAATGAGAGGATAAATGTGGAAAAAGGAGTCTAGTTTACATGTCTATTGCTTATGAAATCAGGAATGCACAAGTATGGGTAACCAAGTATAAAATTATCCAGGATCCCCTTCAAAACCAATTTTTTTTAGTAGTTAATTTTAAACTTTCACATGTGACAATATGAGGGAACCCGAAAAGACTGTGTAAGCTAGATGAAGTCATCACTGGCTTCAATCCAGTCACAACCATGATATGGTACAATCAACGTTGAAACATCAGCAATAAAGAAGTAGGTACTATATACCTGTAAAGGCTTTTACATCGCCTTTAAGTCCCAATTGTGTATTTAAAATATGTTTTTAGTAATTATTGCATTTGTGCAGGTACAAATACAAAACAATCACTGTATGTAGATAATATATAGAAATGCATATTTTAATATATCATCTACTCAAAATGATTTTTGATTTAGCAAACAAATCATTACACAAATAGTCTACAGCGGAAAAATCATCTTAATATTAAATGATTATCATAAAATTTTCATGTCACATTTATTTATTTATTTATTCATTAGTACAAATATGTGTAAATGGTGGACTTAATGCTAAAAGCGTTCTCCCAGTCAACCATAGGGAAGTGTCAGAATACTTGAATGCGGTACTACTAATTATTGATATACATACATACTAAAATTACATATATAAACGAATAAATACATATGAATAACAAATATACTTACACATATATGATATATACTGTATTATATACGAAATTGAGAATATAAAGCACTTACAGCTCGGATAAAGTAAGAAAGTGAGCGTGAACGCTTTTTTTTTTATTGTACATTGTCCATAATAGACTTGACTTGAGGCCCCACTTGAGAGATAGTTATTTTTCACAGTCACAATATTTTTCATAGCAAGTTATTTTTTTGTTTTATCAGCAAGTCTCGTAAATTTCTAACAGATGGCAGTATTAGTTAGCCACAACACATAACAGATATGCTAGTATTTAAATAAAAATTAATTTAAAAATCTGTAACACATTCTCACCATCAGAAATCCTCAAGGCAGCTGTGACTTCATCACTGAAATTGACATGTCCTGGTGTATCCATAATATTTAACAGATGTGATTTGCCTTTGATATCTTTAAGCAGAAGTGTTACTGGCATTGCCTTTATCGAGACCCCACGTTCTTGCTCCACAAATAGAGTGTCAGTGTAGCGCATGGGTATGGTTGTATCATTGTTTACAGTCCCCGGATGAGTTTGCCGTATCAGGCAGTCAACAAATGAAGTTTTACCTGAAAATATATTATAAGTTTAAAATTGATTAATAAATTCATTGTTACTTTTTTGTCACTTAACCTAAAAAAAATATTCCACTTAAATCTAATTCTAAAAATATCTAAAAATTTTTATAACTTATAAAATAACATGTAAAAAATATGCAGTTCCAGATATCTTGAAACTTTTCTAGCTTTCTCAATTAAAATACACATAAGTTAAACCAGTAATTATTACATTAAAATATATATAAATAATGTTAATACCAACAAGAGTTGGTAATAGAGTTTGTGAAAAGGAATTTAATTAAAAACTATTTATCTATCATGTAATAAAAATAATAGATTATAAGAATAATGAAGTCATAATACAGTTATAGAGTTATTATTAAATAAATATTGAATAGTGAAGTATATATATTAAGAAATATTTATAATACATGTGATAAATAAATGTGATAAATTTTTATATTAACACTAAATTGCAAATATAAATTATTAATTTCTTACCATTATGCAAATGACCCATCAAAGTGATGTTCCTCATCAAGTTAGTGTTATCAAGCATATCAGCCAAATATTCCATATCATATTTAGTTTCGGGAAGCTGTTGTTCCTGGACTTGGAACTTCTTATGTTTAACTGGTTCTACTAGTGGCTTGTCCAGGGCCTGTGTGTCTTCCTCTTGCACCACAGTCTCCACATCTGGTCCATATACCTCTACTGCTTGAGGGTAATACCTTTAGGATATGTGTAAAATTTTATTTACATATTAAAGTATAATTGTGAAAAGTTTAAAGTGAAATGTAATATACAAACAGTACCTTTTATCTTCATGTAATACAACAGACATGGGCGCCGTTTCAGGCTCGGCATCAGCATCCTCATCTTCTTCCATGGCATCTTCGTCGGCGTCCCGGTTATCTTGTCCGTATACACTTTGTTCATCGTCAGAGTCCGACTCCAAGTCAGGACCAATATAATTACCGAATTCGTCATATAAATCACCGTCCATTGTTTATAATAATAAGTGATAAATCGAATCAAAATATAAAAACAAAAGCCGCTTCTGAGCAGTTGCCAATTTTGACGTAATTTTGACAACATAACCTCAAATAAAAATATCATTTTTTTTATGAAGCAAAGAAAATTTGCCTATAAAGCTAAACAATAAAATATTATTTACCTATATAAATAACCATTTTATTAGTGCCATGTACCACAATATAATATATATATCAGTGGAATGATATATATGATTAGTTCAAAATAAAACATATTAATAAATAATTGTTAGTATTTTGATTAAAATTACTTAAGTCAACATTATAAAATAGAGTAACTGAGAACGCAACAAAACGAATACATTTCGTATGTTGTCAGCTTGAGTGACAAAATCTTTTCAATACAAAAATGGCCGCCGTACAGCAAAATTTATCAAAAATGGTATCGGCTCAACTACGCAATAAAGCAACAGAGTTTTTAAACTCAAGAAAACATGCTAACAATCTTGCGGATATCTTACAAATGTTTGAGGTGAGTTTATACTATCCTGTGTATTAGAAATTGGATTAAGAAAATTGTCATAGGTTACATTCTGTACCACTCTGTATTTCTTATTTAATTTTAGGCTGAAACGGAGAACTATACACCATTACTGCTAACAATTGAAGTAATATTTACGGATTTATTAAAACGCGGCGACCTGATACAAGATGTGGTGCCTCTCAAGCTGATAGGTGAGTACATTATACAAGCGGTTTGTTGCTATGCTATTTGGATTTAATGTTAAAATTATTGATTTTGCCCATTAGAGTATCTAAGTTATAGCATTTTCTGGCTCTATATTACAAAATGCCGCTACTAGAATGATTCGTATGTTCGTATAGCTGCTCTCACCTATTTACTATAATGGTCACATTTGGCGACATGTGACGTGTTTTACTTATATAAAAGGTTGGACCGATCGTAAGCTTGAATTTTTCTGGTGTGAATGACTTTGTTACCGAATGAACTGTCCTAGTGAAGAGTTTTATATAAATAAATTTTGTATGACCATAATTTCACTGTAACACTGTGTAAACATTATGACCTCAGATAACACTCCTCTTTTACACAGTCATTGTTTATTATAGCACTACAAGCTTAATGTTATTTCAGTATATATAGAATTGTTATTTATTTAATTGAGGCTGGGCAATAATGATGATTATTTAATCGCAAAATATATTTATACTAAATCCACAATGTTTTTACTTATATTTGCATGACTTACAGAATAGTTGTTTTGTTACTTTGTAAAAATATGCACATGAGACTCCGACATTATAATTTCCAATAAGGAGTACCAAATATTCTAATTTCATCATAATATATTTAATTTTACTTTTTTCTTGATAACTTAACAATGTGGAAGAATGAATAAGGATCTTTTGCTTCTTATAGAATGATACAGATTACATAAGTTAACAATATGTACACAAAAAAATATGTTCACTTATTTGTTTATCCAGTAATGACATTTTTAATACTAGGATGCTGAATAAAAGTTTTTTATTGAATTTAACATCTTCTATTTTATTTATCAAAACTTAAAAATGAAGTCTAACATAAGCACACCAAAAAATACTCCATGTTACTAAATGTTTATATTAACAATTGTAACAGTTGATAATTGGCTTTTGAGTATATTTATTTATCCACTTTTTTCCTCTATGGTTATATGGATTAACCAAAATAAAAAGAGTCTGGTCGTCATCTCCAATGCTATATGTATGCCATATTTAAATAGTGTTTGGTTGAACCATTAAGGTACCAAGAGGTAATAAATAAACTTACTTTTACATTTGTAACATTAGTAGAGATATTAATTTTAATTTATTATTCAGATTGCAGCCCTGAAGCAGAATACACAAAATGGTTGCGAGAATGCTATGAGACAGCCCTCACACGCACACTGGAATGTGTGAAACGTGGACGCACCAGTTCCCGATTGCAGGCACTTGTTACTGCTTGCAAATTGATGCAAGCTGAGGGCAAGCACCCACTGGAGAGTTCATTGGGATACTTCTTTCCATCAGTCAGACTCAAGGTGAATATAACAATTTGAGCACATAAATTTCAGTGTGTATGTAAATAATATGTATATAAATAACTTTGTACCTAAAATGAATATATATATTTTAAAATATATTTTTGAAAAAATATTTAGTACTTGAAATAATTTATGTTAAGAAAATTAAAAATAATGATCTTTATTTAATAATAATGTAATGAAGAATCTTTGTAAATTAATCATTTATTTATAGAAAAAAATTACAGTTGTCAATTTGTTTGTTTTTGTATCTATATTAAAGTACCTCAAACACTCCTGGTTTTTAGTAGTTTATAGGTTTTCAGGATAAAAAATTATATAAAAAAAAATATAATAGTTATAATAACTATAAATAATAATTAAATAGTTATATAATAACCATTAAATAAATTAATATGCTTGTTTTACACTTTATATATGAAAAAAAAGATTGGTTATATACTCACATCTACTAAGAGACTTAGTTTTGTGAGTTTGAATTTTGATTGTTCCAGAACCTTTTCACGGTACTCCTAGATTCAGAGACATTAATGTCGGCGCCCATAGCACGCTTCCAGGAGTTCACCGAGTACAGAGATGTACAGCAATATGGACTTAAAGTTCTCTCCACAATTGCTTACAAGAAGTAAGTATACTCTTTTAGCTGTTTGAAATTAAATCACTTTAACATACTTTTAATATAGTATTTTATCAATGAAATTGAACATTTTTTAAACAGACATAGGTCTATAAATGCGAATATTGATCATTCCTTGTCTTAACAAGCCATAAAAAAGTGAGCCAACATAGTGCGGCCAACAGTTGATTCATGAACCATGATGTCTCTGTGTTCACTCAGGATAGTGTGGTCATGTGTCATACTGTAATAAAGTAAGAAGCAGTGTCAATTCAACTGTGAAATTATATTACACTATATATCAATAGAATACAAATAATAATCCTATAGATTACTTACATATAAATACTTTAACCTCCAAGATAGCTACAAAAATTTAATTAAACCACTTCATACACTACCAATCTGTAAGAACCCTTGGTTTCTTTTTATTACAGGTCACCTACCTCAATATATATGCAGAATTACCTAGAATTACTAGACAAACTATTAGCATCCGAGATTCCTACAGAGACAAAAATTAAATTCAAAGATAGAGACATTGATGAAAAGGAAGAGAAAATCTTGTGCGGCTCCGAAAGTGAGTGATACTTCTTCATTATTTTCTATAACATAGTTATTGAACAAGATCCATGTTCAAAAATGTAGGAAGTCATGAAAAATCTTTAAATTTACTCACAGTTTATGTAACTGATAGGCCTGTAACTGGGTTACCTTGTTTTACAGATTATTACATAGAAGATTACACTCTACATTATTTTTTTTATACCACTGAGGTGGCAAACAAGCATAGGGCCCACCTGATTGTAAGCAGTAACTGTAGCCTATGCATACCTGCAATACCAATGGCTTTACGCGATCCGGTTAGTTGCTGACCCTGAAGAACCTTTATACCTCTTTTTTTAAAGAACCTATATCATATTCATCATGAACATACTGATATATAATATTTCATAGATTTCCTATTTTTTAAATATGTATTTTCATGTAGATTTTGCTTCACAAGAACTTCTGCTACATATCTTGTTTGTTCTTATTAACTGAAATTACATTCTGAATGGGTGGTGGTAGAATCATAAAAAAAAAAAAACTATTCCTTATTTCAGTATTTTCGAATAATAATTTTCTTTCTTTTAACGAACTATTTTTTACTCTACAACGAAAAATGGCAGCTTCAGTCGTTACAAAATTAAAAGGAGACCAACAAAGTAAATAATTCCTATCAATTGTAATAGAAATTGTAAATATTGGTTCAGAATTTTATATATATATATATATATATATATATATATATATATGCAACATATGTACCCCCCCTCCATAATTTTTAGAAATAAAATAAACACTATAATGTTAATGATATATATGGATGCACAGATAAGGCTCCGTTCCCGTACAACCCGGGCGTGTGTCGGCGGTACGCGAACCGCTGCTGGGGCTTTGCGTGCCAGTGGCCGCTGTGCGGGGAATCGCGTACCCATCGGCGCGCGCTGTTGCTGCTGGTCGAGCGTCTCATGCCGCTGCTGGCTAAACCTCATCTCGCCACTGACATGCTCTGCGACAGCCTAGACGCTGGTCAGTATAGCATACTTGTTTTACATTCCCTAAATGAAATCAAATTGTTTATAATTACTCCTCTCCATCCAAAGGTTGCATGGAAGAGGTCGCTTTTAGCGATAAGGCCGCCCATTGTTTTCTCATTGTGATTATTTCTTGTAATTGTTTTTATATATATAATAAGTTTACTATTGTAATCTTTTGGAGAAAACAATAAAGAGTAATCTATCTATCTATTTTTGAAACATAGTTCTAGTTTAGGAAAGTAACAAGTGTATTTCTTTTAAAGAATAAATTTCAAGTTGTAAAATACTGAATAGTAGTAGTGTAGTGGATTGCAGATTTTACTTTGCAAAAACCAGTTATTTGTTCCACAATTATATGATAACCATATGGAATAAACCATATCGACTAAAAATAATCATCATAATCAGTTGAAAATTTGCAATAAATTTATACAACATAACCATAATAAAAAATTACAGATGCTTGAGATCCTCTTTTCTTTTTAATCACTTAATATTCGTTATTACATTCATCATCATCATATCAGCTTTTAACTGTCCATTGCTGTACATAAGCCTCCCCCTAGGGGAATTTTGCCAGTAGTTGCCACACTTGGCAGACACATTAGCAACCGCAGTTTGACTCTGAAGATGTTTTAAGAGGGACATTGCTGCCCATCCCTAGTTTATTTTAGTGACTTCTCATATTTTTTTTTTCTCGTCTCAATACTACAATATGTTTGAACATGTTACACAGGTGGGCCGATCAGTATGCTGGCGCTGCAGGGCGTGCTGGAGCTGGTCCGCCGACACAACATCGACTATCCTGATATGTACGACCGGCTGTACGCCATGTTCGAGCCGGAGATGTTCGCCACGCGGTACAAGAAGCGGTTACTGCACCTCGCCGACGTTTTTCTTAGCTCCACGTAAGTTACACTGCGTCGTTTAGCGCCTAAGAGGAGTTATATACGCTTCTATGGTAGTAAACAAGCATATAGCTTATCTGATGGTAAATGGGTTTTTTTATAGATGAAAATGGAATGGTAACCTTGCCCGCGCTATCGGTATACACTGACGAGGCACCAGTGATTGGTCATTTGGCCCACTATGATGAATTTGACAAGAATTAATCATGATGGTTTCCAGGAGGAACCACGTAGAGGTCGACCTGAGAGGGTCTATTGCTAGCAATGGGGCTATCAGACCTCATTACTAACAAACCCTTTCCCCCCAGTAATAGGGGTTACCATAGCCTATACACGCCTGTAATACCAGGGATGTCACCTGCGCGTTGCTGATCCTTAAAAACCTTCAATACGCTCTTTTGAAGGACCCTATACTGTAATCTCTAATGAAAGCCTCGGAGATCATTCAATTACCTCAGTAGGAAACTCCTCTGAAAACGCATTGTGTGTTACCATTCTGGTTTTAAAGTGTGAGGATAGATTCCATGTTGGTGGCGAGTGGTGCGATGCTGAAAGGTGGCTCTAGGCATCATATTTATTATTATTTATTTATTCATGTAATTCAACATTTTTCTCTAAAGAAAATGGGAAAGATGGGGAAATTCTTTTTGAAACTCATACAAACATCGCGTGTTATGGTTTATTGTCAAGGCGCGTATTGAACTGCCAGTCTACCGTGAAATGAAATTCCGAAATTTCGGACTCCATATTTGTTTATACCAAAATCGGACCAATAAATGGAGTGTAACATTTCGTTCGTCATACATCCTATCATAAAAGTCTAAAGGAACGATATTTTAACATTTTTAATATTTGCAAACGGCATGTATTATGTAATTTTAATATCAAATTTCTGTTTCGTTTGGCTCCGAAATTTCGAAAAACATTTCATGGTAGGCCCTCAGTTAACTTAACGCGGCTATCATTTGAAACTGCCCTTTATGGCTAATCGTATATTATAAAAGTGAGTGAGACGCGTGTTGTGTCGTTCGCAGGCACCTGCCGGAGGGGCTAGTGGCGGCATTCGCGAAGCGCGTGTCGCGGCTGGCGCTGGTGGCGCCGCCCGAGGACGCGGCTGGCCTGCTGCAGCTGCTCGCCAACCTGCTGCACCGCCACCCCGCGCTCAAGCGCATGATCTGCCTCGACGACACGCCCGCGCTCAGTTAGTACCGTCTACTGCTTATCTTTCCTCTTTAGAGTTATAACACTAGCTTTTTACCTGCGACTTTGTTCGCGTGACCGGAATATGTTTATTGACCAGACTAAAAAGCCTACGTTGTTCTCCAGTTGTACTGTTAAGACGCTATAAGGTAACAAACAAACAAATTCACTTTCATATTTATAATATTAGGAAGGATAGGCATTGATGTATGATTTATAGAAGGAGCCGCTGTTATTATTATGTGGGATATATTCTATAAAGGAATGTGCTACTGAGTTAGTTTTGTATTTTTATTTATGTAACTTAGAATGGCAAACAAGCTGGCGGCCCACCTGATGGAAAGTGGTAACCGTCGCCTATAGACATGAACAGTACCATGGGCATAACAGAGTGTACTGTTTTGCCCGTGATACCCCCTATGTGTTGCCATTCAAATCTGTCGAGTACGTCATATATATTTATATGTAAAAACATGTTAAAATTTGACTGACTCTTGAAAGTAAACTTAAAAAATACGTAAAAACACACGCAAAGATTTGACGCGGCCGAAAGTTTCTGTCAATTTTTGGCCGAAACCGAAACTAAGGCCGAAAGTACCAGAGGGAGACTTTGTACAAAAGTCGATTGCTTGGGTACCTTTGTCTTATTCGTGTTTTAACTGTGAAGCAGCTGTGTTTGCATGGCTGTGTTTCGGTTTGAAGGGTGGGATATGGCGTGAATTTACTGGGTACAGAGGAATAACACCTGAGTCCTCTGGAATGGCAACGCATGGGGGGTATCATGGGCGAAACAGTATACTCTGTTACGTCCATGGTACTGCTCATGTGTATAGGCGACGGTTACCACTTTCCATCAGGTGGGCCGTCAGCTTGTTTGCCATTCTAAGTTGTATAAAAAAGAAAAAGTAGAATTTGTGGCCGAAACTAGCCGAAACCGAACGGAAAGTTCGGTCGGAGAGTAATATTTGTACGTTTGGCGTGCGCGCAGTGTCGGGCGACCCGTACGTGATGGAGGAGACGAGCGCCGAGCGCGCGCGTGCGCTGGGCTCGTCGCTGTGGGAGCTGCGCGCGCTGCGCCGCCACGCCGCGCCGCCCGTCGCCGCCGCCGCCGCCGCGCTGCTGGCCGCGCCGCGCCCCGCCGACCTCGCGCCGCCAGACCAGGCCGTCAGTATACCCGTATACCCTGCACCGCCCACCAATCACCTCCGATAGGCCCATTGCTACCAGTATACTCTCCCACCTCGACCTCCACGAGGTGGGAGGAAAACATCATGGTTGATTATTGTCGAATTCATCATGGTGGACCAACTTTTTTTTTGTAGGTGATAATGGAATGGTACCCCCGCCCGCGCTATCAATAATAAATAATATCCAGTATATCCGAGCTCCTCAGACACTGGTAAATAAATCCCTTGATGATTTAATTCACATTTTCCTAGTTTTTCACACTTTTATTCCTTGTCTTTGATTAATGTGAATACAATCACAAACAACATTGTGTTTATACATAATTTCCTTTCATTTGAAAATTTATAATTTTACTATTTACATTTAAGAAGTACCGTAGCAGTCGTCGAAGACTTAAAATTTCTTTAATTTCTTCCAGTTATTCGACGCCGAATTAAAAAAACGCTTCAAGACAATAGAAATGAATTTCGCCAGGCCGCAGGGAATGCACGCGCAGAATGTCGAACGCCTGTTACAGTACTGGGAGCTGATGGCCTGAACAATGCACGTGCCGGCTACGTGAGGTCTATTTCACATCTTATACCAAATTTACTATTCTCGTGGTCTATGGTGGAGATGCATTTCATTGATTTCTTTTTTTATATATACTATATTGGTAAAACTGTTAAAATGTCAGAATTGTAATATTCAATTGTTATAGTTACGATCTCGTTCGGATTTCGATAAAGTATTAAAAAGTATTTATTTTCTCTAGAAATTCTAAATTCAAAAGTTTGCAGTGCAGTTGCTTGAGGATTTTATTGAATACCAAAATCGGTAAACGTCTTTTAGATAGCGAAATTTATCCATATTGAAACAGTATGACTGAATTAAAGTCCAGTGTATGCACCTATTTTGCCATTAGACAAAAATATGTGCAATTGTATGTATAGATTTATTACGCAGAAGTATTGTACAGAATTTATAAAGCTTTATATTATATAATTTAATTTTATTATAATGACTGCGTCGCTGAAAAATGGAAGTTTCGACAATAGAATATAATGACTATTGAAAGTTCTTTTTATTCGCCTCGCTATGGTAAAATAGGTATTTACTAGGACGTCATAACGAAAATGTATAGGGACCCTTTATATATAAGAACACGATATTCCACCATTTTAATACGTGGAAAGTTAACATTGACATGTGGCCATCAAAATTGCATGATCGACAATCATTGATCATACGATTCTGATTTTATTGTGATATGAGAACGAGACGTCCCGCCGTCTGTTTTCACTTATATTTCTTGATGCTATATGTTTTTTTTTTTTTTTTATTTTGCCTAATGCCATACGTACGCAACGGGCGCTCTATCCCAAGTCTTGAGCTTTCAATATTTAATTTATATACCAGTTACTCTATCTATAAGCTCGTCCTAAATGTATTTGACAAATTATATAAGATTTCGATTTTTGCACATTAATGTTAATGTTAGTAAATTTTAAGTGAAGTTAATGTGTTGTAGTTTGGTTATTTTATTTTTTTACGAACGCAATTGTGCACGACTGTGATTATGAGGCGGTTTGTACACGTGTGTGTGTGACGTGCGCAGACTGCCTTGAAACTATTTGATAGGATGTAAGGTTCCGAGGGGCTTTAACCAAATGGAGATGGCATTATAAACACGGAATTGAAGATAAGTTTGCTTTTATCGTGTAAGCAAGATATAAGACAATTCATCGCTATTTAGCGTCTCTATCTGTCGGCTATGGGGTTTAAACTCTATAAAATGCAACAGATCTGTGCATGATAATACAATTTTGGATTAAAATTTACTGCAATTTCCGGTTGGTTATGAGCGTCTCGGTTTGTTCTAGAGGAGTGTTTAATAACTACAGTTGATAAATTTGGGACGCGGTGTGTCTTCCTTTCCATTAACGTTTATTGTAATCCCCTTTTAGTTTCATTCCAGTTTGTATTTTCTCACCCTTATTTGTTTGATGTAAGGTTATTAATAAGTAAGAACTATGTTCAATAGCCTGAATTGACTAGATCAAAGGAAATCAGGTAAACGACACCCAAATGCCATATTTATTTAATTATTATTGTTACAACCGTTTAAAAAACCTCGCAGTCGAGGGCGCGGCTTCTAAATGTAATACGACGATCATGTCTATAAGTCAAAATCATTTATTCGTATAGGACATTTATGGCCATTTACGTGCATCATTTTTGATCTGCAATCCAGTTTAGTGAGCAGTTTCAGTAGAAACCAAGGGAAAAACTCGACTATTGTCTTGTTTTATAATCAGTCTACATCTGTTAACATATTGTTTGGATGTAGATATATGATAATTTTAAACATATATATAAAAATATGCTTTATCTTACGTATTGAATATATGTATATAAAATCACGTGTCTGACCAACAGTTTGTTTGTGAACATGTTTGTTAACATGTAACAATTATTTATATTTATACTGCATATACAAAAATAGTGCCTACTCATTACACAAGTTAATGATTGTTAAGGATTTAGATTAAGCGAACAAGAAAACTCTTGTTCTTTCATTACTCCTATAATTTTTGTGATTTGTACATTTTTGTGGTTATTTCAATATCAGCCTATCTACGTCTCTTGGCTAATTAGAGTATGCCTACTTGTTTAATAATAGTGTGTTCTTTATTTAAATAGTTTTTCTTTTTTTTTTTGTATTTGTTTATAAACTTATAAACAAATACAAAACTAGCCGTTTGTCAGGATTAAAAAAAAAAACTATTTAAATAAAGAACACTATTATTAAACAAGTAGGCATTCTCTTTATAAACAAATACAAAACTAGCCGTTTGTCAGGATTAAAAAAAAACTATTTAAATAAAGAACACTATTATTAACCCTTTCCTAGCGAATATACCAAAAATAATGAAAAACAAAGTTTTTATGATTCTGTATGGATAAGGGGTAGTAAAGAAAACTAATATTTTTTTTTTTTTCAGATTTATTTATTATATCTAGATACTATTTTCGTAACCTAGACTTATAAGTACCATCAGAAACTTTAGGTAAAAAAAAGACTGATAAAATAGAAACATTAGATATTTATTTTTGGCTCAAATAATAATAAAATTAAAAAGCAATTATACATTAACATCGTGATATTCTGTAAAACAATTCTTTTTTTTTACTTATGCACAAAAATGTATTGCAGTGAGAACATTTTGAGTGAGGTTCTGACTGCACTTTCTTCATGCTGCATACTTCACATCGCCCTCTATTTGGCACAAACGTAGGCCAATGTACACCGCGGTTTCCTAATCGAACGTCTTTCAACGTTGAGAAGCCAGTTTTGCGCCTTTTAGATGGCCCAGGACTAAGCACAGGGTCTTTTGATATGAAAGGTCTGATTTTATATAATTTATCTTTGCAATTGGAAGGCATTTGCGTGTTGTCATTGCAATGAAGATGGCTCAAAATTGCTGCAAACCTATCTCTAGGCATAGTTTTACAAATCAAGGGGTTATTCAAATCAAGTGCCGATGAATAATGGTCTGTCCATGAAGGCCGAGTGTTGTACCCCATATAGAAGTTCATTCCGATAAAAGCCAGTAGTTCTTCTTTTTTCAAGTTGAGAAATTTATTTCTTTGTGTTGCATATAAATTACTTTGATACATAATATTATCCAGTACATCACTAATCAGGACTAAAAAAATGTCAGTCGGCGTAGTGCATTCAGCAAAATATTCGTCAACGACCCCCATGTTTGCAGAATATTCTGGTAAATACGTTTCCACATCACGTTTCTTCCATTTACGATTAGGCTCATGTTTTGTTTTTTTGGATTGTGCATCTGTTGACGTAACAGTTTCCTGAGCCGGTAAATTATCTGGAATAGTGTTAGGAATAGAATATACAATTAGCTCTTGGTCTATTTCCCTACTAGGATCTTCTGTCTCATATCCTGTAGTAGGTTTAGTTTGGCTCAGCATATATTCTTCTAATGCTGCCTCAAAATTTTCATCAAAATTGCTAGTTGAGGGTAGTCGTTCTTCGCGAAAGGTTTCTTCGTCAGAAAATTCCACATCTGAAGTGTCGGCACAGTCTGGAAGATCTTCCATAAAAAGATCTTCTATCAAAGCTGTATTCTTTGAAATATTCATTATAAAAATCTGTAATATAAGATAAACAAATATCATAATATATTCGATCTAATTTACAAAAAACAAACCATAGTCACTGACGGTACTCATAAGTCCTGGTACATTTTTATCGTTATTTTAGCTCTAAAATTTAAATTTATAACTAAAACAATATTAATTTTATAGTTAAAACCACAATGTAATATATTAATATAAAACAATAAGACTTACCTCGTTTATTCTATTTTTAAATATTTTCTAAAACAAAAGCAATCTGCAGTTCTCAAATCCGAAACAGGTCGAAACTTGAAAGTGTCACTTGCTAGCGGTAAATAGGCAAAATTGAAATAAATCACTGTGATTGGCTAGCGTAGTAGTACTTGAAAGGATCCTTAATGTCAAATATGGAATGCGCGATCGTATTATCGAAATAATGGATGGGGAATCACCCGATACAAATTTGTACCGTCAGATAGGAAAGAGTTAAACAAGTAGGCTTTTAAATCGTTATTTTATGATTCTTAATTTGAATAAAACATGACCTGGTGGAAAAGTATATAAAGTAATAGAAATAAAAATATAGCATATATATATATAAAAATAAAAATATAGCTAACTATAAAGTATATAGTTAGCTATATTTTTCTTTTTATCGTATATGCTATTTTAAACAGATAATTATATCAATTGTTTGATTAGCCTCGATAGAAATCAAATAGTTTATTAAATTTTTAATGAATTTATTATTTTTCGAAAAAATGCATTATCAAAGCTTCATTAAGTCACTGAAGAAGTGTTGTTAGAAACACCTTATTGTGATTGGCAGATTTTAATATAATAATAATAAATTTAGAAATGGGTTGCTAAAATAGCCACTTTACACGAATTATTGATTAATTGATGGGATATTGACCGCATCAATCAACCAGCCCATAGTGTCCCACTGCTAGGCAAATATCAACTGCTTCCATCTTGGACAAATGCTAGCCAATCTGTACCAGTCTGTGGAACCGGTCACACGTGATACATATAAATAAGGCTGGTTATACAAAATAAATAAGTGAAAAGTGGCTTTTTTTAACCAACCTCCTAGTTCTTTGTACCTAGAAACAGAATTCAAATATCACTCATACACTCCGAGTGTAACAATGTGTCTTAAAGAATCTCAATATAAAGGATTTTAATGGTTTATTAGCAAGCCGCGCCCGCCGTATCATGTGATTATTTGTAACAAACAATCGATGTTAAGCTAGATTAAGTCATTATTTTAATATACTTCATTTAATGTTCTATTATTATATTGATTAAATAAAAATATTGATACACTAAGGTGTTGTTTTACTTAAAAAGTATTTTTTTAGTGTTTATTTTTTTTTATATGACTTAGAATGGCAATCAAGCTGACGGCCCACCTGATGGAAATTGGTAACCGTCGCCTATAGACATGAGCAGTACCATGGACATAACAGAGTATACTGATTCGCCCATGATACCCCCCATGCGTTACCATTCCTGAGGACTCAGGTGTTTTTCCTCTGTACCCTGTAAATTCACGCCATATCCCACCATTCAAACACAACTGCTTCACGGTAGAAACACGAATTGGACAGAGGTACCCAAGCAATCGGGTCTTGTACAAAGTCTCCCTCTGGTTGAAATAATAGTGAAATACTCAGAAATTCTGACTCAGAATCAAACAAACCTCTTACGTTTTCTCTCCATTCCTCGTATAATCTCAGAAATGGAACCACAGAACAGAAACCCGGTCATTTATTAGTTAATATTGTCAACCGACTTTAAATAGAAGTCTTTTTGAAGCCGACTTGTAAATTAATGGTTTTAATGTCACACTTTAGTAGGCTGCGGTATGAACGTTCTCGAGTCGAGGTAATAGATCAACATAACTCTCGAAATAAAAACATCTAATAAAATATAGTTGTTGGACGTTTGCTATTCAAAGTTGCATGTAGAAAAAAAAAATACATAAAAGTTATTGTCATTTTTTATTGCAACAAATATACGTACAGAATATACAAAAAGAAATTTTACAACTAATTTAAAATTTTTGGCACTTGGCAAGACAACAAGGAAAGGCACGTTCTAATCGGGCGGAATATAGCGCTGCCATTTTATAGCTGAATGCTTGTATAATAACTACATTAATAGCAAAACAATTCATCACAGGAATACGTATAAAGATATAATGCTTTACAAAGAAAATTATTACTAAATTACTATATAGGTACATGCGATGCAATCTCGTCAGAATGTCTGTTAACAGGTTCAAAAATTAGTGCAAAATACAAAATTTGCAGCACTACTACTAGAGTACCCATAAATAATCTCAAGGGCTCTTACATAAAACCGAGGCAAGCATCCCACCGCCTTCGTCATATTGTCATATAAATTAAGCCTTTATTTCTAACCATAGACAATAAATTTTGACATGTTTCGACTAGATGTTTATTTTTCCAATTTTCAATGCGTGGTAAAGGCCTTACCAAAATACTTTTTAATTTTTAATCAAGACTCCGTGACGCGCATATAAGTATTTTTAAGAGTAAATGAAGAAACGCATGTAGAGTCTTCCGATTTAAAATAGGAACGCGCCGCTGTCAAAAAAAAAAAATATTATGGCAGTATAATATCTAATACATAGCATCTAATTATGAACCCGAGGTTATTAAAAATAAATTCGTTTAGATAACAATATTAAAAATTCTAATGATATGTAATCAAAATATATTACTACGTAATATTTATAACTACCTACTTTGTGAGCGAGTGTGATAGTTTATATAGTACTACACTACTACATTATTTGTTCCTGACTTTCGGACGGGGTTCTACTATTGTGGAAACATGTGATTTGAGGGCTGTCCTCTCTTTCTTGTACTCTCGTTTCTTCCTCAGTACAACAGTCTTTGGCGGGCTCATGGACCACAACAATTTCCTGGCTATGACTAGACTTGCAGCACGTTTCCTCGGGCGGTGGTTCTTGTTTCTTCTTGCAGCAACCCTGGCGTTCCGTTCTTAGTAGTTGAACATCTTCTACACTAGGACTATCTTCTTTTTCACTCTCCGAGTGATGACAGTGAGAAGTTCCGGGCTTGGGCTGCATTTTTTTCGCTCTGGCAACTTTGGAAGGACAACTTTTAGAACCGTAGTGGCATGTCGGCTGATCACTTGAACCCTGCGAGTTGGTGGGAAAATAGTGAGATGGCTGGATGCACGTGCGAGTCTGGCATATGAAGAGGTCCGACTCGGAACTAGAGTCAAGGTGCGGTGGCGTCGTGTTTTCGGCTGTGAATAAAAAGATTTGAGACACTAAGGTTAAAATTATGACCTGTAAGGACTAGGAAATCACGCAACCAATTTATAACAATTAACAACAAATGCTATCTATAATAAATAAATCATAAATAAAAAAAAAACAATTGCCACTAACAAAATTATATTTGTTTTTTGTAAATATTTAATTTTCTGTTCCATTTTTTATTTTATTTTTCTATATATTTTATATATATATTCATATTTAACCATTGGTGCTTATTTCGCCCATAAGTGGGGTTTTATTAGTAGCTGCCACGCTTGACAATCGGATTGGCAACCGCAGTTGGGCTTTAGTAGTATTACACTGCTACTCATCTCTCGACAATTAAATTACTTTAATCACCTCTTACGACACCCACGAGAAAAGAAGAGATGGCCCATTCTATGCTGGCACCACAGGGCAATAATATCCTCTTTGCATTACACTAACTTTGTATTATTAGTTCATTTTGCTACATTGGCATACTACTAAACACTACATGGCAAGAGATTGTTACTCGTTACAAACTGTTAACATAATTTATTTATTTGTTAGCATTTATTTATTTATAAGTTTTAACAAGTATGCAGGGAATATAGGTCAAAGAAAAACTTATACGTCCTACTGTATGAAATGTAACACATCTCTAAACATTAGATTAGATATGTTGAGGTTATTGAACTTTATCATGTCTTATGTATTACGTAATCAACATGTCATAATAAGACGGTTTTCCCTTACATCAGGACATATGATATACACAATGGTCGAGTGATGGGTGGCAGCGTTGCTGTTAAAACTTCGCCAAAACCTAACTGCGGTTGCCAATCCGACTGCCAAGCGTGGCAATTATTACCAAAACCCTTACGAAGGAGGCTTATGTTCAATCGTGGACAGTTGAACTGCTGATAAAGGGAAGAAAGGGATTGTTAGTAATGGGATCTAGCAGCTCCATTGCTAGCAATGTACCTTATCAGGTCGACATCCACGCGGTTCCCTCTGGAAACCATTGTGGTTAATTCTAGTGGAATTCTTCACGATGGGCAAACTGACCTGCGTTCATCATCATCTATCATCACTGATGCCCAGCAAGCGTTTACCGATAGCGCAAATGGGGTTATCATTTCATTATTATCTATATAAAAACTGCGGTTGCCAACCCGACTGCCAAGCGTGGTAACTACTAGAAAAACCCTCCGTTATGAAGGAGGCCAATGTCTATAAATAAATTAAATACTTGATTTTGTATCTCTTTAGTATATTATTATTTTATTCTATTGCTTACTACGTGGAAATTCCATAAAAAAGTAACATTAACGGACAACTAAGCAAAACTAATCTACTATGACAAGTTCTATGTACTTATATTTTAATTGTGAGTATAACTGGATTGATTTACATGTATTTTTGTCAAATCAAATCCTCTAGACAAGTGGCAAACGAATCTGTCGATACAATCATTTCGATCAGCGCCTGCATGAGAGCGAATGTTGCGATCTCACTCTATGTCATAGGCTCGCCAGCGATAACGATTCTATAGATAGAATCGTTTATTATTTTTATATTTATTTATTCATTAGTACAAATATGTGTACATGGCGGACTTAATGCTAAATAGATAATTGGAGAGTATTATTGGAACGAAGGTTACGTTCGTGAGTTTCAAAAAGATAATGGAATTTACTCCTTAAGTAGTTAGGAGACTGGGAATCGTTTGCCATTTGTTAAGGGTGGGTAATAATATATAGCAATATTCATATATTTTAGTTGCAATATCTATAAACTGGTTCAATTAGAAATATGTTATATAGTCTGTAATCCAAAAAATAATCTTGGATAACAGACTTTTAAAATATTAAAAATCCGACCGAGAAAGTTCTTTTTTTGTTGTTTGTACAAGGTCTCCCTTTGGATCCGGTTATTTTTACAATATAGTTCTACATAATACAGCGATACTCAAGTGAATCTCATGTTATGTGTGATGTAGCAGTTCTAATACTTGTCGGGAAGTTAAGGATCCGGGGAGAGGGTGGTGTCCGCTTGCTGCAACTCCATCGCGTCCAACTCCTTGCACAGTCTGCCTTCGCACACCTCCCACGTACACTTCTCCGTGTTGCAACGGTCTTTCAGAGGGGGGAGTACGTGTAAGGAAATTAGTAAACCCGTAGAAATAAAGGGGGGAAAAGGGATTGTTAGTAATGGAGACTAAGAACCCCATTGCTAGCAATATACCTAACCAGGTCGACCTCCTCGCGGTTCCCCCTGGAAACTAACATGGTTAATTCCTGATGAATTCATCATGATGGACCAACTGGCCTGTTTTCATTCTCATCTATCACCCTTCACTGGTACCCCGCCAGCGTATCCCGTTAGCGCAGGCGGGGATACCATTCCACTTTCACCCATCGAAAAAAAAACCCGTAGTAATATATATGGCAACATTAAGAAGCAGTGACTAACTTGAAGTCGCCGTCGGGATCAGCGTTGCCAGATTGGATATATTTTCGCAATTTCAGGTAAAATTATTCTGTTCGCAGAAATGTTTTTATCTAAATAGAAAATATAAATTCTTAGAGAAAATTTCGGTGAAAAATGAAAAGGGCTTAAGAAAAATTTGGGTAAATTTTTGGATAGATTCGTTATTTATTTATAAATACTATACACTATAGTATAGTCAGAGGATGGAGTAAGAAAAAGAGAGGGACGATACGCTAAAATGTAGAAAAAGAACGGAAGGTTATTGCGTCATCACATTTTGTGACACATAGCAGAACGATGTGGAAATTGTCATTAAAGTGGCATTAAGTGAACAAAATGTCGCTACACATACCGGTGTCGTCGCATTCCGGTGTACATATGACGACCCGTTTGGTGCTGAAGCACTGCATCTGCAGCCGCGTCAGTTTAGTGCCGAATAGGAAGTAACCTGCAATTCGATTTTTTTTTATACTATATACTTTGGTAGCAAATAAGCATACGGCCCGTTTGATGTTAAACAGGGTTACCGTAGCCTATGGACATCTGAAACGTCAGAGAACACTGTTAACTTTGTTAATTCACAAATTACATTTGGACTGTGCTATTTCCATGTTAAACAGACAAACAAAACATTTGTATTATCGACTGTACTAAAAAGACATTCATAAATACAGTTTGATCCAAATCTGAAGAGTAATAAACTTTGTATGGGCTCTCTATCTGTTCTAACAAATGCTTTATAACTTTTTTTCCTGTTTGTGATAGCTGAGTCAACCGACATACTTGTATCGCAATTCATGATTAGCCAAACGTGAGATTGGCATGCCTCTCGACTCAAGGTCTATATGTCGCTAAGACAAGGACGCACATGTTATTTCTGCATTTAAAATTGAACTATAGCCTGTATGAACGATATAGCGTTCATACAGGCTATAGTAGTAATAATTTAAGGTTTTATTAAAAAAAAAAACAACTTAAATGTTGGCCCAAACCAGTTTGTACCAACCGAGCATCATTCCGAAGACGACCGCAAGCAGCAGGTGAATGTTGTACACCATCACCGCCAGCATCAGTAGGTAGCCCACTAGATTGTGCACCACGAATACCAGGGACTGGTGGGAGTTCACCAGGGTCCTGCGCACAAATCACTGTTTTTATTTTTACTGACTATGCCAGATATTAGTTTATCCAAAGTAGACACAGAGAGACAACAACACATAACGGGCAATATTTTTTTTTCAGAATGCTTTACTAAATTAGTCAGGGAATTCATCTTCACACGCTTAAACTCAAATAGTGACGTACAGTACGATCTCAACAGAATTTTCTCCCGCTCGGGCTATGGAATGTACTTCCTGCCGAGATTTTCACTAGAGACTACAGTATAGGATTTTTAAAAAGGGGATTATTAAGGTTTCTTCAGGGTCAGAAACGCGCACTTAAGACCCCTAGTGTTGCAGGCGTCCACAGGCTAAAGTTACCGTTTGCCATCAGACGAACTGCATGCTTGTTCGCCACCACAAAAAATAAATTAACTACTAATTTATCACCTAAATAATATGTGTAAACAAACATTTACTTGATTTTAATTGAGTATTTTTATTCAGTTATTAAATTATTCATTACTCGTTTAACCTCTTTTTTCATAAAAACTAAAAGTATCCCAAATCTACTTTTACACCGTTCTGTCACTTTCTTTCAAATTGGGAATTAAGTATAAAAGAAAGAGAAAAACAGTTCAATATGGTTTATTCGATTAAGTATATGAATAAATTCTTTCTTTCTCTATGTTATATCCTTGTCACATCCTGATCAACGTTATAATTTTATTGGCTCAATAAGATGAATATAGTTAGAAAAACGGACAATTTGATACCTGACCCGGAACGAGGCCCAGCGGCTGACCTGGCCGGTGCTGGCGTTGCGGCTCGTGGTCGGCTCAATGGGGTTGCCCTGCTCCCTGGGAGAATAATATTGTGATCATTTGTATGGAACATCGTCAGTTTAGAAGTTTTTTTTTTAATGGATGATAATAAAATGGTAACCCCGCCTACGCTAACGGTGTTCACTGGCGGAGCGCCGGTGAGGGATGATAGGTGAGGATGGAAAGACAGGTCAGTTAGCCCATCGTGATGAATACACCAAGAATTCAGTACTATGGTTTTCAGGGGGGCCACGTGGAGTTCGACCTGATACGTATCCATTATGTATTGTGTTATGTATTATTACGTATGCATTGCTAGCATTAGCAATGGGATTGGTAGTCCACAGTACTAAAAATCCCTTTCCCCCCTCAATTTAGAAGTTAGACATGTGAGATTTCAGATTTAATCTCATTGTTGAAAACAAAATCCGCAAGAAATCTAATACCACACGTGAGCTAACTCGCGGGCAAAAGCTGTAGTATAATATTTACTATTTATAAAGCCGGATTTTAGAAGTTCGGAAAACCGGATCGCACGAATTCGATTATCATTACGGTCACTTGCATAATCCATTCATAGGACACGTTTAGAATAACCACAGCTGACTCGCTCAACAATTTTCTATGGAGAACTTACACAAGAATTACATAGAGACAAGCACGCCATGCACCATGCGAAGGGCAAATACCGGGTCAATGCCAATACAACAATAATTTATGGTTATGTTACGGGCGGTGTATATTACAGTGAACGCTCTATATAAGCAACTCATTTGAACCAATTTCTATAAAAAAAAAAAAAAAACAATCTTATTGGGAAAAGTTGTTTATAGGGGAAAAATAAAAATACTTACCGTCTGAAAAATATTTTTACTTATTTCTTTTACTAAGCTGAGTAGAATAAATAAAATATAAAGAATGTTGCTTATAGAGAGATCGCTTATATAGAGCGTTCACTGTATTTGTTTATTTATTTACTAGCCTTTACACGTGACTTCGTTCACGTGACCGGCATAAAAATGGCCTATGTACTTCTCCATCCCTTAAACTACGTGCATATCTCATTTCATAGTGATTGCTTAAGCCGTTAAGATGCTTATGACGTAAGTCATGAAAATAGATTCCTTAGCGACTTGAATACAAAACACCGAATATATTTATTTGCTCAAAATTTAGGTAAATTATTTCGATGTATCTCTTATGAGCTTTAGCCAGCGTAAGTCATGAAAATAGATTCCTTAGCGAGTTGAATACAAAACACCGAATATATTTATTTACTCAAAATTTAGGTAAATTATTTCGATGTATCTCTTATGAGCTTTAGCCAGCGTAAGTCATGAAAATAGATTCCTTAGTGACTTGAATACAAAACACCGAATATATTTATTTACTCAAAATTTAGGTAAATTATTTCGATGTATCTCTTACGAGCCTTAGCCAGCGTAAGTCATGAAAATAGATTCCTTAGTGACTTGAATACAAAACACCGAATATATTTATTTACTCAAAATTTAGGTAAATTATTTCGATGTATCTCTAACGAGCCTTAGCCAGCGTAAGTCATGAAAATAGATTCCTTAGTGACTTGAATACAAAACACCGAATATATTTATTTACTCAAAATTTAGGTAAATTATTCCGATGTATCTCTTACGAGCCTTAGCCAGCGTAAGTCATGAAAATAGATTCCTTAGCGACTTGAATACAAAACACCGAATTTATTTATTTACTCAATATTTCAATTAGGATATATTGTACATACAAATATCCAAATGATAGTGAAACTCATTATCAAAATTCTTCGCATGGTTTAGAAATAGGCGGCGTAACATAGACACGGATAGCGACTTTGGTTTATTTATTTATATATCAGTATATAGTATAAAACAAAGTCGATTCCCTTCTATCTGTCCCTATGTATGCTTAGACCTTTAAAACTACGCAACGGATTTTGATGCGGTTTTTTTTAATAGATAGAGTGACTCAAGGGGAAGGTTTATATGTATAATACATGCATAATATAGCAGGGAAATACTGATAATTTTAGAGGTCTCTAATGTAATGTCGTAATGTAATGGGGGGCCGGTGACGCTATTTTGTATCAGCATTGCACCCGTGCGAAGCCGGGGCGAGTCGCTAGTTCTTAATATTTAAAGAATAGATAATACTGTTATACTTTTATACTTTTAATGCAGTGCCTCTTAATAATCAATAACAGAAAAGTTATAAGAACTCGAAATCAAGCTCCGAGCATCGATCTAATAATTTGCCTGAAGATACCTTGATTAGAAATTAAACACTTGTCGAAGTAAAGGTTGTAAAATTTTAGGTAGTAATAGCCTAAAGAACTTGAAGACTGCAGTTTTCAAGTGTTGCCAGTCATACACATACCGGAATACATACATAATGGTAACGTAATTAAATTAAATAACTAATCAAATAACCAGTAACTTGAAATCAGTTAGTTGATTTTATGTAATGTTACCATTGACTTTCTCCAAGGGTTTTCATCACAGATAGCAGATGATAAACTCGTATTAATCTATGCACGGAGATTCGTAAGTGAGTTAAACTCTAGACGACGTGACGTTATTTTTAAATGGAATCTCACATATCCCCTAGCCATATCTATCATCTATATATCACATAGCCCTAAAATATGGTAATAATTTTTTTTATACAACTTAGAATGGCAAACAAGCTGACGGCCCACCTGATGGAAAGTGGTAACCATCGCCTATAGACATGAGCAGTACCATGGACATAACAAATATACTTCATATACATTTCAGTGCCTCGTGAGGCTACTCGTGTATCAGCCTTTAACTATCCATTGCTGAACATTATCTCTTAGGAGGTTTTGCCAGTACTTGCCATGTTTGGCAGGCGGATTGGCAACCGCAGTTAGGCTTTGAAGATGTTTTAAGACAACGCTGTTGCCTATCCCTCGCCCTCCCTTAGTCGCTTCTTACGACATTTACGGGAAAGGAAGGGGTGGCCTGTTCTATGCCGGGACCACACGTCATTTTTATAGTAATTGTTACAAATATTCAAATTGATATAAATACATACCTGTCATATAATAAGTTCCGCCTCTCGTCGGATCTGTATGGATAAAGTTTCTTATACGCTTCACGCTGCACTTTTGCTAGATACACCTGTAACAATAGAATAAAACATCCAGTTGGTCAATGAACATGTCATGACATGGAACAATCATCATCATCATTAAACCAGCTGTTAACTGTCCACTGCAGAACACAAAGCTTCGTAAGATAGTTTTGCCAGCAGTTGCCACATTTTACAGGCGGGTTAACAACCGCAGTTAGGCTTTTAGAGATGTTTTAAAAGGGACACTGCTGCCCATCCCTCGAGCATAAGTTCCCTTCTATAATCCTAGCTTAAGGACTAGGCAATGGATATGATTGCGTAGTATATTATTATTATAATTAAATTCTCACCTTAGATCCTTCAAACAGGACGGCGATGAAAAATAACACGATCCACGTGAGACCGAAGGCCCATCGCGTGTCAATGACGAGACCGGAGAACAGGAACTCGCCCAGGTTGTACCCGGACCACATCCACATGTGCATCGTGGTAACCTGATACGTCAAAAGGAGAAGGGATCGTTAGTAATGCGAACTACCAGTCCTATTAAGCAATTAATCCCGCTAGCAATTAACCTGTCAGGTCAACCTCCACGTGGTCCTCCCTGGAAACCATCGTGTTGAACAACCACTCTTTGGAATCAACTTCCAGCAGCAGTATTTCCGAACCAATACGACAACATAACCTTCAAGAAAAAAGCATATTTCTTTTTAAAAAGCCGGCAGCACACCTGCAATGCCGTAGGTGTTGTGGGTGACCATGGGCGGTGTTAGTCACTTACCATCAGGTGAGCCGCATGCACGTTTGCCCCCTGTGTTGTTAAAAAGTGTATTCATCACGATGGGCTAACTAACCTACCCGTTCATTCCCACCTATCATCCCTCACTGGTGCCCAACCAGCGTAAACTGTTAGCGCTGGCGGGGTTACCATTCCATTATCATTCTTTGAAAAAAAAGCCACATATTTATAGAGGGAAGATGGCTTTTTAATAATGGGCAATAATGATCCCATTGTTAGTAATATACGCTGGTGGGGACCAGCGTATACCATTAGCACGGGCTGGGTTACCATTCACATACATTTGTTTACAATGAGGACCCATCATGTCGCTAGTGTTGATATTAGAGAGTGCAAAATGTCTCAATTCCAATATCGATCTATTGGAATTTAGTTCGAGAGTAAACTCACTAGTGTATCTTGATACACTACTTAGAAGCGATCTAGTTTTTAGTCTTCCTACTTCTGAATTTCACGCGTATAAAGTAGCAGGCCAAAAGTTAGTTAATTAATTAATTACATCATTTTGCACCAAGTAAAAAGAGAAATAACAAATACAGTAAATATTAATGAGAAGTGATACAAAAGGCGGGCTTATCGCTAAGCAATCTCTTCCAGACAACCTTTGGGTAGAGGACATTGAGAAAAAGACAAAGGGTAGGTGGCGCACTATTATATATAATATATATTGTATAAATAAATTAAGAAAGTCTCCCACTTTGTACAAAAGTCGATTGCTTGGGTACCTCTTTCCCATTCGTGTTTCAACCGTGAAGCAGTTGTGTTTGCATGGCTGTGTTTCGGTTTGAAGGGTGGGATATGACGTGAATTTACTGGGTACAGAGGAATAATACCTGAGTCCTCAGAAATGACAACGCATGGGGGGTATCATGGGCGAAACAGTACACTCTGTTATGTCCATGGCACTGCTCATGTCTATAGGCGACGGTTACCACTTTCCATCAGGTGGGCCGTCAGCTTGTTTACCATTCTAAGTTGTATAAAAAAAAAATTAATAGATATTTTCAAACATTACATAAGATACTAGGGTAAATTAATTTCATGGAATTAGCTCTGAAAGTGTTCTTCAGTGAATTTACGCGGGAAACAACAGCCTAAATAGAATCATGGCATCTTTTTAAAATATCACATTATAGCAACATATTATACCACTTATGGAATTCTCATAAAATTGTACTTTACGTATAAACTTTTTAGTATTTATGTATGTGTAAATTGGAGTGTTTACTACAAACTTTATCGTGTGGTGATTATTTGATTAACTATATCCAATGTATTTATGTAATCTACTTGTGTATTCCGCAGTTCAAATATAGAAAACGTTCCGAGGAGATAAGGGCATACTAAAAGTTTGAACTGCAATCGCTGTGTACAACGTGGAAACAGGTATTGTTTATTTATATAAAATAAATAAAGATTACTTCATACCCTCTCTTTTTGGTTTTGATGACTATATTTCTAATTCTTTTTTTTTATATTGAACTTAGGTTTAAAAAACTAATACTAGTTTACCTATTTTTTTTTCTTTTTGGCTGTTAATTATTATGTAAGGCCAATTATTTTATAATTTCATGTACACATAGTATATCGGATGGCGAAGGATATAGGCTACTTTTCATTCCAGTCAGTGAACATATCCCGATCAGACAGACGAAGCCGCGGGTAAAGAGCTAGTTACTTAAATTCTATAATTAGATAAACCTAAGGAAACATTATGTTACTTTTTAGGACAAAATTAAATCGAAATTATTGTATTTAGAATTTGAATTTAAGTGAAATAAATAAAATTTCTGCCCCCGTATGATCTTGACATAGAATAGACCCCTTCCTTTCCCGTAGGTGTCGTAAGAAGCGACTAAGGGGCGAAGGATGGGCAGCAACATCCCTCTTAAAACATCTCCAAAGCTTAACTGCGGTTGCCAATCTTTCTGCCAAGCATACTAACTACTGGCAAAACCTTCCCTTTAGGGAAGGATTATGTTCAGCTGTGGATAGTTAAAGGCTGATATGACGAAATTTACAATTGAAATCACCTCCATATCTTGCAAAGTTGCAATACAAACACCACAATGCACACAATTTTCACATACCATTTGGTTAAGTCAAAATTCATACAATATGAATATTACATTGTGTCAAGTAACTCTATACTGTGTACAGTTATAATTACAGCTTATCTCAACCAATGCAATGAACTAATGCAGATACAATGAGCGTATTTTAATTATCAATTACAATCGAGAACAATGGCATATATAATATGTTAACAAAACATGGTTGAATTTTCTTACACTGACTAGACTATGTAAACTAGCCTCTTATTGACAATAGAAGACATGAAAATATGAGTGTTATTTAAAAAGCAATATCTATTCATATACTTGTAATGCTGTAATAATAATGATCTGCATTGGGACAATATAGCCGGCACAGTAGATACTGATAGATAGTTACCAGAGGGAGACTTTGTACAAAAGTCGATTGCTTAGGTACCTCTGTCCCATTCGTGTTTCAACCGTGAAGCAGTTGTGTTTGCATGGCTATGTTTCGGTTTGAAGGGTGGGATATGGCGTGAATTTACTGGGTACAGAGGAATAACACCTGAGTCCTCAGGAATGGCAACGCATGGGGGGTTTCATGTGCGAAACAGTATACTCTGTTATGTCCATGGTACTGCTCAAGTCTATAGGCGACGGTTACCACTTTCCATCAGGTGGACCGTCAGCTTGTTGCCATTCTAAGTTGTATAAAAAAAATTATCTCAGATATTATGTAACTTTTTTTTTTATTTTCTATTAACTATTTTGGACTACCCAGTGTGGTTAGTGTACAAAAAACATTGGAAAGCACTCCTCATAAATTTGTATTGATTCAGTCAGCAGATTGAAGAAGGCAGTTCATATGATTGTCTAGCAGTCCTAATATTAACACATATTATTTTCTTTGGAATCTAACTGATATTTAAGTTGTTACTAGGCAATGTGTGTGTATATATATATATATTTAAGAAAAAACAAAATTAGCAATCTTTATAAGAGTAAAAGAAACCAATACAATATATTTTAGAAGTTTTGTCAATCTGTATAATTGTTGGGGCATTATACAATAATTACTGCACCAAATTAGATGCGGTTTTCACAGTTGTATTCCTGATGGTCAAACTTAATAGTTGTGTAAGTTTTATCTTAATACGCCATTTATACGTTGTTTATTTAAATGGTTTTCCTACTTCTAAAATCTACATGTACATAGTAACAGGCAAAAAACTAGTATAAGGATAAAAATTAAATACTATCTACCAATATCAAATACTTTTATCCTCACAAGTTAGTAACATTGTCTATATATATATATATATATATATATATATATATATATATATATATATATATATATATATATATATATATATACATATGTATTTAGTTACATACATCTTATGATAGTCATTTACATAAATACATTCAACAGATTTTAAGGAAAATAAACAGTAATTATTATAACAAGTCTGACCAGTTGAGATTCCTTGTGTTATGGGACAACTTATTTATGACCATAATAGTATATATTGCCTCACCTTCTGATGGTTGTAGGTTTGACTCTCTCATAATACGATTATTTATATTAATTAAAATGTCTGTTTGTATTATTAAATTAAACTACCTTTCACCTACAACTTTGTCCATGGCACCTGCATATGTTTACTGACCACAATAAAAAGCAGCCTATATCCCATATAACAGGGATGGCCATCAACAATAGTCGACTATTAGTCTAGTCGATTATGGCAAAGCAAAACATATATTTTGCTAATCTAGCAGAAAATGCTCAAATGCAATGCTCACACTAATATAAGTAATTGCTAAGAATAAATTTCAGTTTTATGTTTTTCTTCTTAATACAATAAAAAATATTACAATACTACATAATTGTGTTCTGAACTATATTTGAGATTTCAAGGAGTATGTAATTGGTAGATTGCATAGGGTTATGTCAGTAAACAGTAGATTTTGGGTCTAGTCAAGTCGGTCACCTCTGCCATATATTCTTTCTTTATTCTTTATTGTACACAAGAGGTTATTGAAATGTAAAAACAAACATAATAGTGCACAAAGGCGAGCTTATCTCCAATAGAGATTTCTTCCAGCAAACCCAATATGAGAAAACTGACTGTTCATTATAATATGTGACAGTTCCATATAGTATGTGATATCTAATTTCATAGTGATTGTATTAAATACTCCCTAAAAATATGTATTTTTGTAGCACACAGAGTGATAGTGTGCTACAAAAATACATATTTTAGGGATTTCAGGATAACATCTACAGACTGACTGTTTTTAAATTACCCACTTGAGTACAAAACAGATTAGTTAAGCAGTCAAGGCACTATAAGGTAACAAATAAACAAACTCATGTTCACATTTAAAATATTAATAAAGTTGGATGATAATAGAATGGTAACCCTGCCTGTCCTATGGGTGCTTTTTCATCTTTACTGTGATCCCAGTAGGTGGGATCACAGTAAAGATGAAAAAAGATCAATTGGCCTGTCATGGCAAATTTGCCAGAATTTAACAACAATGGCTTCCAGGGGGAAAGTGCATGGAGGCCAACCTGATATACTATATTGTTAGCAATGAAGTTGGTTGTCCCCATCACAAACTATTCCTTCTCTCCCCTGTCTGTTTGTAATGATCTGAGTATTTTTGATGCATAATACATAAATATTAAAAAAAAAACATATTACTATTAGTCTTAATGTTATGGATCAAGTGACTAATAGGGCATTCTTAAAAATGTCTAAATTCTTAAATAACATGCCCAACCAATTCAAAAAAAACAATTACTATTGAAACAGATGCAACCAACCCTAATTTAAAATTAACAATAAAATAAATACAAATTATTAAGTAATATTTTATTTTACTTATACCAAATAATAATTTAATTGAATTTATTTAATTGATGGCAAACACGAAAATAACAATTTATGTATCATAATGTAAAATCAGTAATTAAAGGTCATTAAATAAATAAAATATAATTTGAAATTATGAAGCATAGTAGTAATTATTTCTATAATAAATTTATTCACCTATTACCATTTTTCAAATAAATTCATTTAATTTGGAAATGCACTTTCTGGACAGAAAGATTAGCAGCAAACTATGCAACATAGAATAGATAAAATAGAACTTTTCTTTAAATAATTTATTTAAAGAACTTTTTTTAAATAAATCATTTAAAGAAAAGTTCTATTTTATCATAAAATTATAAAAAAAAACTGATACATATTTTAAAAGTATATTTATACTTTTAGGCCAAACACTTAACACAATAAATCACAGTATTCTTGACTATTAAAAAAAATTAAAATTTTAATATTTCAAATTCTACTTACTTGAATATTAGCTGCCAAAGCAATACTTTCTAAGCGACATATTCTTCACAACCGTTTGAATGTATTTCCCAATAATAACTCACGAGACCTCCATTCTTATCAGAATCTTGATCGATAATAATTTTGTTGTTCAAGAAAATAATAACACAAACTGATTGCTGCTTTACAAGAAATTTTTAGGTACTAAAAATATAGCACTTTCGTCACGTACATAGTTACAATATTAACAAAAATCTAAGTTAGAATACATCCACTTAATTATATTGACAAAAAAAAGGTGAAAGTAAATAGATTCTTAACAATCACTTTACACAATCGCAGGAATCGCTACAATCAGTGATGGAGTTTACTCTTCGCGGTTGATTAAAATCAGAATTGAAAATAAATTTCAATTTATAATAGACTGTGATAAATATTATACGGACAAGTTGTAAAATTTAAAGTGCTTCTGTGATTGTTTTTTTATAATTGTCAATGTCAGAGTGATTGACATTATCAATTGTAATAACAATAAAGTGAAACCATTATAGGGTGTCATTTTAGACATAGTCTATCTAATCTCTGGGTGTCATGGCTTCGATATGTATCAAAGTCATACATTTTAATTATATACCATTATTTTCACACACAGAACACAATGTATTTTTCATAATAAATCGATTTAAAATATGTAGATGAGATAAATATTATGGTAATTAATATAAACATTATATCTGTGGCATCATTTAACTATCTGTTGTCATATCTGTCAGTGTCACTACAAACTCCAGCTGTCTCTTTAAAACTTATGCGTGTTGTACAATACTACTAAAACAAATCGAACTCTCCTAACCAAATATTAAAAAAACTGTAACTTTTATACTAATACCTTGGTTATATACTCTTTATTTGATACGAATTTACTTTTAACCGAATTACATGTGTAAATAAAATTTCCTTTGAATGAATTTTCCTTACAATATGGAAAATCTCGAAAGGAAACCAAAAAAGAAACCAACAAAGATAGAAGAATTAACGAAGGAGCAAATACGACAAGCTATTATTAAAAAACGCGAGTGTAACGCAAAAGCCCAACAAATCGTCGAGAGTTTGCTTGAAAAAGAAATCACGGAAGCCTATTTTATGCAATGCTTGTCGGATATAAACCAAAGCCATTTCGAGGATGTGATTGAAGAGCGAGCAATCATACACATTTGCGGTTATCCTCTTTGCCAAAATACACTGTCGGTGAAAGACATACCCAAACAAAAGTACCGAATATCATTAAAAACGAATAAAGTATATGACATCACAGATCGTAAAAACTTCTGCAGTAATAGTTGTTATAAGTCTGCTACACATATAAAGAAACAATTGCTAACAAGCCCTCTTTGGTTTAGAGAATATGAAGAGATACCCAAATTCTACTTACTGCCATTAGACAAGACTGGTACTCTTGGCCAAGAAGTGGATGTGGCTTTAGTAGAAAAAATAAAAGTGGAAAAACCCCAGTTTTCATCTATCAATGATTTTGCAACTGCTAGTCTAAAAGAAATGACAAATACACAGGTTGGTCAAGAAAATAATAAATGTGAAAATGAAAATAATAAATATTGTACAGAATCCAATGAAGTAGCATGTGATTCTAACATAAATAACAACACAGATAAAGTTGAATCAATTATTAAAAATACAGTTAATCATAATTCTCAACACGAAAACGTGCTAACTCAAGAAGAGCACAATACAAGTTCCAAGGAAGGTTCTAATAAAGAAGCTACTAAAAAACCAATTAAAAAACATTCAAATCCATTTAATATAGTAGGAGAAATTCTTGAAAAACCAGAGAAAGAGATTGATCCTATACTGACTCAAATACCTGATGTAATACCGGCACCCAGTGTTACACAAAATAAAAAGCATCATAAAAATATGCAACAGAAAAAACAGCCTGCAGTTACTGTCTTGACAATCCAAGTTGAGAAATGTCTTGCAGAATGGTTTACATTGGATACCATGTTACTATTATTTGGGGAAGAAAAAGTTAAAGAAATAGTCAAAGACAAAGGAGAATGTATAAAGGAGTATTTAAATAATTATTCTAGCAGCATAGCATACAATTCAAATACATATGATCAATATCAAGCACTTTGCCGCAAATTGAACATGCTAGAGTTAGAAGATAGAAAGTTTGATGCTCAAACATTACAGAGAGAGACAAAACCTCTTCCAGATTATTCCATTCTACAGAAGGAAAGTAAAAAAATTCAGTTAAAAGTGAAAGCATTCTTTGCAGGTGAAATGGAAATACCTGATGTTGCTGAAACTGTAGACAATCCTTCTCCCATAGACAATAATGAAAATTTCACACAATTGCCATTAATAGATAAAAATGCACAGAATGCATTACGAAGACGAATTGTATGTGAACATTTGAATAAAGCACTGCCTGATTTACTCCAGTCACTAGGCATGTCAAGCCTATCAATTAGTGCTGATGTTCGTCTACTTGTAAACACATTTAAATTGAAAGCAAATAACATAATGTTTAAACCAATTCAGTGGACTTTAATTGTTATTATAGTAATAAAATTGTTGTCTCTGAGAGACAGAAGACTTGCTTACTTGTTGGAGCAACCAACAGCATATCAACACCTACAACTGTTGCTTCTTAGTTTTAAACAAGATGGTGGTTATTTGGATCGTCTTATATCGTGGCTAACAGACATTGATAGACTTTTAGACACTAATGATATTCAACTAACAATTGAGTGATTGTTAATAGTATTATTAAACCTCCACCCATGTGATATTATAGATTTATTTATAGCTATAGATAATTAATATTATATTATTGATTTTTATATACAGATTTTTCACTAAAGTCACCTTCGCCACCAATTATCCTGTACCCACTAAAGATGAGTATAATGTACTAGTACTCACAGACATGTTACATGGTATCAAGTGATCGCATTCCATAATTAGCCATGGATTTTTTTCAGTGGATAATATAATAATAGAATGGTAATTCAAACAAGACATCAGTGACGATGTAACGATATTCACGATGGTTTCGGGGGGGGGGGGGATCACATGGTGGTCGACCTAATATTTATTATATTGCTAGCAATGGGATAAACAATCCATTTAGTTTATTTTCATTTATAACTCATATCTTCTGTTTAGGAGTTTGGGCGTAAGGGTAATGAGATATAAGGCTCTAACAAGGAAAATGATATGATTTGAACAGATTTATTGTAAGCATCTTATAGTGGACGCAGCCACAAACATATCTACATATATACAATTTTATAGTAAATTCCTTATTGTTCTAATGAGACTATAACACAAGCATTTATTAGATAGATAGATACATTTTTTATCTGCATTACTTACAGTACACAAATCATAACAGACTTAGATATACACAAAAAACTAAATAAAAGAATATATATATAAAAATACATAAAAGAATAACAATATTTCTTCCCTTTCGTGCGTACGCTGTAGCAACACTATTCTTACATACATATCTAACTTTGTACATATTCATAGTTTGCCTCACAAATTAGAGACTGCATTTGACTTGTGCACATTGGCCGGTTTGGAACTTAGGGTGAACTTCCCTCGCATATAGTGGGGTTGATTCTTCGGCGCTATTTCTCTACCCCTTAACCTATTATTTTAATTTGATCATTGAGAAATAAATAAATTAATAAAAAAAAAATATCATTTCATAAAATCACTGTGTTATGGACTACTGTAAGTTAAATTTATAATAATTTTGACTTAAATCTATTAGCAATTTAATCTCTGAATTTTTTATTTTAGAAAGAGATTTTGAGAAAGTGCCTCAAAATCAACCCCCTCATTATACATGCAGTATTTATACAAAAATAATTACCAAGTATCCTTATGTTCACAGTACCTATTAAAATGTTAAGTATTTAGATATCATTACAGTAAATTGCTCATTATAGGGGGTAGGTACCCCATTCATATATAAAAAAACAAGTAACTGAATGATTACCCTAACTTTATATATCATTGTTATAATACATTTTTATACAAACTATATGATGTTATGATAAATATTAATTATTTAACAAACTGTTGGCATAATTGTTTGGCTAAATCAACATCAGTAAGAGATTTCCAGCCTTCTGTGGCCATCACTTGTGGATTTTTTTGAATGAAGGCACACACTTTGAACCAAAGTGTCTCCAAATTATATTTCTTTGCTAACTGTGCTATTTTGATAGCATTATCCAAATTAATCTGAGTTTCAAATACATACTGGGTTAGTAAGAACAAATTTTCCATTTTCAATTTGTCAGCAACATCTTGTAATTGAATGCAATCTCTCTCTTTTATACTTCTTATAGTTCCCTTGTACAAGAATTCTAAGAATAGCTCCATAGTTTCGTCGGAGAGGTCCAATGAAGCAGAAGTCTTCCCTGATTCTATTATTGCCCTAAGAACAGGACTGTGCGCCCCCACAACGATTTTATGTGTTGGAAACTTTTTCTTACTTACAGATTCTAATATAAAATCAGTTTCCTCTTGTTTCAGTATGACTTCGCTCAAATTCTGTTGAAGTTTCATTTTCTTAATAATCTCACTGTCTATTAGCTGATTTGTCTGGTTATCAATAGACACAGATATATAAAGATTTTGATCACCCAACAATTGTAAGTCTTCCTCTCTCAGGAGGAATGTTTTTAAGTGATAATGTTCGTTAGGACGTAAACTTTTCAGTATTTGTTTTTGTGTGACGCCATTTAAATTAACAGCAATTGTTACATTCCCAATTTTTCTGTGGCACACAAAAAGATTTAATAAATAGTTCTGCTCTGAGAATGGGAAGGCTGTTAAGTAAAACCAAAGATCAGATTCAGAGTTTGTATATGTTCCCCCTATGTCATAATATTTTTTGACTGACTGTTTTATTTTGTATACAGGATCATATATACATAGTTTTCTTGCATCCTTAGACTGACACTTGTGTAACACTGACACTATTCCATAGCCAGACTGAAAAAAAAAAAATTAAAAAATAAATTTATTACTTCATTCATCTAATTATATATTTATGTAATATACATATAATTAAGGGAAACAGGTGTGACAGATATGTATGTATGTAAACAATTATTCCTTACAATATTATAAATGTGACAGCAAATGAAATTTGGTATACACATGCTATTGAAATGGAGAATGATATAGAGAACTTTTTATTGTGGTCAGTAAATATATCTGTCATGCAAAAAAAGTGAGTATTACATAAATACCACTATCCTACCACTTCTTCACATATCATATAATTAAGAACAGAGTTTACAGTTTAGGTTCCAGACAAATGACACACAAAAAAAATTTTTTTTTTTGTAAATATGTGATGGACACATGAAAATCTGCCAAGATATAAACAATACAATAGGATAGTTTGGTGAAAATTAGTTTATCTAATTAAACATAGTTAATCTTTTTTTCACATTACTAGATACTAGACAATCCTAGCAAGTCATTTAACAGGAATAAGTAACAAAAATATTTGTATATTAATCAATTTATACATTATTGTTATTTTTTAGTTTAATATTAAATAACTAATTCAGATAAAATAAAACATGCTGAGATCATTTAATAAATATGTCAGTTATAAATAAACAGATTATACATGTAAACAGACAAATATTATGGCATGCGCTAATAAAATACTCAATGACAATTAATTTTTATCTTTTTATTTAATAAGAATGAAGTTGCCCGTATCTTGGGTATGCTGTCTCAGTATGGTGCATTGGGTGACTATTAGTGTATTCTTACAAATAGTATGAAACTAAATAAAGTTAGAAAAGAAGTTACCAGGTCTGCATTCTTGTCTGTGCCACTTGAGAACAAAGCTTCTGGTTCATTAGTGGAAACCATGACTAGAAATGTCACAATTACACCACTGAAATAAAATAGAAGCTTTATTGAAACATATAAGACTGAATGTTTTACAGAATAAGATGTTATTTTACAAATGTTCATATAAGCAGTTACTTGATTAGAATTTTATTAAATTCTACTACCATTAGTATGTGTGACTGCCAACAATCAAATATCATCATCATTATTACCAGAAATTTTAAAACTTTCCATATTAGCTATCTTTGGTTATCATTTCATTCAAGCATGTTTTGCAAAACAAGTTTCATTTCTAAATATGGAATCTTCAGGCACATTATTAGATTGCTACTCAGAGCCTAAAGTTCATTTCACATTTTGGATTTCAATAATTAAATACTTACTTAAGATCATAAGTACACAAAAAACTTTAGTATAAATGACTGAAGTTTTTGCAAACAAGATATTAAATTTAATAACTGTCAGATTTTTTTATAATACATATTTAATAGATTAAAATTTGTCCAATACAAACTCTTAATATGTATAATTACAGATTCTACATCCTGTTCTGCATGCAATTTAGAAATTAATCACTGATATGAAATTGACTGATGATTCATATCCATAAAAACTTTTGTATCAAATAATGTAATTTAGATACAATAATAAATATAAGCATGGTCAGTGAGCGCCCGCCGCGGTTCGCACCTCTTATTTAAGTTAAATATTGCAGATAAATTTATTAAAGAAAATACTTCAGTACACAGAATAAAAGTTTAGGATAATTAAAAAAGGTACTTTACTACTTACACACAACAATAAAATTAATCTTTTTTACTAATTAGTTGTAACTAATAAGAATAAGATGACAGATTACAAAAAATTAAAATAAATAAAATAGAGATACAGTAGAAAACAGTTCAAAAGATAAACAAAATTTCATTTACTTCCTTAAAATTATTGACAGTCAGATTTTTTAAATATTTGTTGTTTCACAGACATTATTACTCAAGTAGTGAATATCCGTTTTTGCCGCCTCTGCTGAGCGATTTTAGAACTAAAATTATCCTTATGATAAATATGTATTATAAAAATATTTAAGCAAAAATAAGATTACGAATTGTCCAAGAGAAAATTAGACAGAATTTTATTTAAATATAGAATGGCATATAAGTAACAGGCAATAACAAAAGGTAACCATACTTTCATCTATATTGGTATACTACAAAATCTAACATCTTTTCTTGAAGCTCATAGTTCTTTTCCAGGATCTATATCTGTAAAATCTGTTGGCATAGCATCGCCAATCTTGGCTTATACAAAGCTTTCACCACCATAATCAGCACCGCTGTAACAGATAGATAGATAGATGCTCTTTATTGTTTCCTCCAAAAGATTACGATAGTAAACTTATTATAAATATAAATAATTAAAAGAAATAATCACAATAAAAAACATTGGGTGACCTTATCGCTAAGAGCAATCTCTTCCAGGGAACCTTTGGATGGAGAGGAGTAATTGTAAACAATTTGGTGGGAGGCACGATGAAAAATAACAGGTCAATCTTTCTTTGTATCTTTTCTGTAAGTAATGCAGTAATTCGTAATAATTAACCAGTAATTGCATTTCTTCGACTTATCCCTGACAGCTAACTTCTTTAGATTTGCGTTTACCTCCGGTAAGCATGAGAGATTCTTCTACGAGACCATGACCTTTTAGAACTAGTTTTATTTGAAATTTCCATTTCCATGACACCTTAGTCCTTAGGAATAGCAAAACAGGGAGCACTGTTATTTCTATGTATTGTTCATGTATATATATTATCACTTTCCATTAGGTCATTCTGCGTTACAAAAAAATTACTTCTTGCAAATTGGTTTGGTTAAATATTTTTTATTTTTTATGTAATCGTAATCGGTGCTTAACCGTCTATACCTTCCTTTAGCGTTAGCTATAGGGACGTCATAGATTTAGAATAGAGAGACACGCTTCATAACTGTCAAAAAGTTTTCTTTCTCTTTCACACACCGCAAGTGAGTGAATACCACCCGTCCGTTCCTTCAAGCGTGGCTAATCAAGGCACGAAAAGGTGAGGTTTGTCGTGATATTACTATTAAAACTCTTCAAAAAGAAAGTTTCATATCATATTGAAATTTAAAATATTTTCCTCTATCAAAATTACAGTGTTCGCTTATAAAATATTATCGAATTACAACTGAAAACCTTGGTATGTGTTCATTTCATTACAGCTTGCATTCAAAAGCATTCGGTATTATTACGTCTAATGTGTATCACACCTAGAATTTTCGATAACAAATTTCATTGTTTTAGAAAAATGAGCAGCTCGGAGGAGGTGTCTTGGATTTCTTGGTTCTGCGGACTACGCGGGAACGAATATTTCTGTGAGGTGAGTTTAGTAATTTGATGAGTTGATGCACTTTGTGGAAATAATGATACTAATGATTTACTTTCAGGTTGATGAAGACTACATTAATGACAAGTTTAACCTGACTGGGCTCAATGAACAAGTTCCGCATTATAGGCAAGCCTTGGATATGATTTTAGATTTGGAGCCAGGTGAGTTAGTAAATTGTTATTGTTTTTTTATGCTACATGTATTAATAATTTTCTGTACATGTGTAAGTAATAATAAAATAACTGCTAACCCTCCATTTCTTCTTAACTACATGTCTCAAAGCCTACTGTTTATCCACACAAATTAAAATAATCTTTCATAAATGTATTTTAATATTTATAAAACTCATGTCTACATGGATTATATATACATTATGTATGTTTGCTGGTAACACAATGTGATCACTGATAATTTTAATGGAAAATAGATAAAAATGTTTATTTTACATTAACAATATTGGGATATTAATTTGAAAAATTTAACCCTTGGTCCAAGATCACTATTCACAGCTCTCGAATTAAACTTGTTTACTGTTTTTATTGATATTTCTGTTGACAACTTGGTCTTTTTATTATTATATCAGTCATTAATTGTCCATTGCTGTACATAGGCCTCCCACATAAGGGGGGGGGGGGGGATTGCTGGTTGGACAACTTGATCTTACATAAATTTATATACATATACAGATATTATTACATATTTTGTAAAAAAATTAGATATTTATAATATTAATATGTTCTAATTATATTGCGAAATAAAATGTGCTGTGTAGCTTGAATCAGTTTATGTCATGTTGAAACATGTTCTACCTACATTAGTACACTTTATTATTTAACAAAGTATAAGAGTACCCACATTAATATATATGACAAATATAATGATCTTTAAACTTAAGTACTTAACATATAGATGTCAATATTTGTAAAAATATTAAATTGTTTGTTACCGAGTACGAGTAGAGTTTGTTTGAGTAACAGATTTAAATAGAATTTGTTACACAGATGGACCATTTTTACACCACATACACCACAGGATACTTTATTTCAATCATACAGGCAAATATGTGAGATGCAGCTGGTAGGTTCTAAATATGATAATGAAGGGGGTAAAAGGGATTGTTAGCAATGGAGTTTGACAGCCCCATCGTTAGCAATATGTCCTATTAGGTCGACCTCCATGTGGTTCCCCCTGGAAACCATCGTGAACAATTCTTGTTGAATTCGTCACGATGGGCTAACTGGCCTGCTTCATCCTCATCTATCATTCTTCACTGGTGCCCTGCCGGTGTATACCGATACCGGGTTACCATTCCATTATCACCCATTAAAAAAAAATATGATAATAAAGACTGACATTGTTCCAAGATATATATTCTTTATTGTACTAAAACATACAGTAACAACAAGAAGTTAATAACAATGTTTGTAAAGGCGAACTTATCTCTAAAAGAGATAGTTACATACATAATTATATGTAATTCATATAATGAGAGGGAGACTGTACAAAAGTCGTTTGCTTGGCTACCTCTGTCACATTCGTGTTTCAACTGTAAAGCAGTTGTATTTGCATGGCTGTGTTTCGATTTGAAGGACGTGATACGCCATAGTGTGAATTTACAGGGTACAGAGGAATAACATCCGACTCCTCAGGAGTGACAATGCATGGGGGGGTACCATGGGCGAAACAATGTACTCTGTTATATCCATGGTACTGCTCATGTCTATAGGCGACGGTTACCACTTTCCATCAGGTGAGCCGTCAGCTTGTTTGCCACTCTAAGTTGTATAGAGAGAAAAAAAGACAGGTTAAAATTTTTGAGTTAGATTTAAAAGGAGCTTCATCGCCTTTATATTTTTCCGTGTTTGTTAGGGCATTGTTTCTCAACCATTTTTATGTCACAATCTATGAAAAAGCCTAAAAGTTCAGTAAAGTCTTGCGATCTCGTCAATATAAAATTATAATCAGGTGCTAATTGAGTCACTCATAGTTACTATTACATAACAAATTCCAGCCTAATTGATTCATTAGTTTTCAAGTTATTAACAAGTAAACGAGTCGATCAGAAAGAAATAAAGTACTATGAAAAAAATTTAACACACCATCATAAAGTTCTCCACTGTTTTTCAAAAAATATTAGCTATTTATGAGGACTCTGCTCCTAAAAAACTATGATTTTTAAATGGCATGGTCTGTTCAGGCGAGGGAGAGAGCCAATTTCTCAATACAACTCAATTTGGACGGTCTTTTAAATAAGATGCTGCTTTCAGCATTAGTTAAGAGTATCAGAAACAACTATTTTAGATGTTGTATATCAACATATTGGCATGAGCAAACTGTGCTCAATACATATTTTTTACAGAACCACATCGGAAAATTCACAGATAAACTATGTAATAAATTTTGGATGTGTTATTTTGTAATTAACTATGAAATGCAAATCTATTAATTTGCATTATTTTGTAATTCTTACAATAATATTTTTAAACATGTTCTCCTTCAACATTACAGTCATAAATAAGGATGAATTTATTAACTGACTAAGTAACCATTGTTGTCTCTCTTTGACATATATTTTTTTAAATAAATAATCTTTTATTTTAGACAGTGAAGTCTATATTGTGTTAGTTCTATCTTACTTAACACTGTTTAAATGATAAATTTTCATTGTTTTGTCTAGATGATGACCTGGATGATAATCCAAATCAGTCGGACCTAGTGGAGCAAGCCTCGGAAATACTTTATGGGCTGATACATGCACGCTATATATTAACGAACCGGTAAGATGAACTATATTATATAAATATACAAATAATTTCTAAACCAACGTATAGGATGCTTTTTAATTTACATAGGAAAATCGAATCCACTAGATTAATGACTAGTTAAACTCCCTCCTACTTGCTGTGCCCAACAGGGTCCAAAATTGAAACCTTATGTAATAATTATGTATTATGTATTAATAAATTATTATGGAATGCAATAAATAAATAAATAAGACTAGATTAAGTCTAGTGACGTGATTTTTATCGAACATTTTATTTAATAGTGGTCAATAAAGAATAAATGAAATCTATTGTTACCCTGATGTTTACAGGGTACTTAGTACTTATAAAGATTATTGACTACTGACTATTATTTTTATTACCTTAGAATGAAAATTAATAGTGTCTTTGGATTATTATAGAGCAACCTTTCCCAAAATGGGCGCTAACGCCCCCTTGTGGGCGCTGCAGGCCTAAAGGGGGCGGCAAGAGACCCAGAAAAAAATGGGGGTGTTGTGTAGAGGCTTAGAGGGTAATTTGTTGTTCTTGAAGTAATAGTGGTTTTTAAGTAAGTGAAAAAAAGGGGGTGCTCAAAAATTATTTATTCTCAAAGTGAGCAGTAGACAAAATAAGTTTGGGAACCCCTGCTATAGAGCATGGAGATACATGAAATTATAATTTTCTATTTAGTTACATAATCATAATGCTTTATTTGAAAACTCACCAAGTAACCTATAATTTTATCTTACAGAGGTATCGGTCAAATGTTAGAAAAATTCCAATCTGGCGACTTTGGACATTGCCCACGTGTTTACTGCGAGTGTCAAACAATGCTTCCACTTGGTGAGTGATATGCTTAATTAAAAAAGAAAATGTTATGCATAACAGGGTATGGACATGTTTCTAGAGGGAGCCTTAGTATAAAAGTTACTTGCTTTGGTACCTTGTCCTATTCGTGTTTCTATCGTGAAACACTGCATGGCTGTGTTTCAGTTTGTTAGAGTATTGAAATTACAGGGTACAGAGGTATAAAACCTTAGTCCTCAGGAATGGCAACACATGAAAGGAATCATGGGTGATACAGTATACACTGTTATGTCCATGGTACTGTTATATAGGTGACGGTTACTATTTTCCTTCGATTGGTCCTTTAACGTGTTTGCATTTCTAAATTACAAAAAAAAATGTTAAGAATGTTATTACTCCAATATAATTTGTTGTTTTCTCGGTGTGATTATTTCCTAAATATGATTGATTTATAATTGTCTGTATTGTGAACGGACACAATGTTGTAAATCACTATTATTAACATTCTATATGTAGCACTAAAAATTTAGCTAAACTAATATTATACTATGTAATGAGGGTTGGGCGCTGTTGTTTGATATACAGGTTTCATAACCTAGTTCAGACACAGATGTTTAAACTGATCCAAATGTACAAATGAATTTGTATCTACTTTTACTGTAATTTTCAGTGCTGAGTTAGTTACTATCATGGTTATGCAATAAAGTTATTATTATTATTATTATCTCACTGTATAAATTATGGAAAACGGTAAACTTAAATGGTCTGCCGTTACAGTAACCGTGATCGTAGTGATTTGTTGTGGATGCATTAGTTTGATTAAAACTAATTCCAATATTTTTATTGAAATGAGTAACTAAGAAGGAACAAGTAATTGTACATATACAAATTAATTTGTAAAGTTGGATTTTAGAAAGAGGGCTTTATTAACTCCATTATCCCCCCCCCCCCCCTGAACATGTGCCAAACGAATCTGTCGATAGATACGTTATCATTACGTATTTGAGACGAAACGAGACAGCAATACACAGCATTTCTTTCTCACTCAATAACATATCAATTGTTAAATTAATTTACAACTTTTCTCGGGGTCTGCATTTTATCAATACTCATGTGATCTTCTGTTTTTATTTATATTAAATATTCATTCTGCTATCATTTGAATAAGAGATGTGAGTCTTCAAAGCTGAAGTCAATTAATTCTTTTTCTAAACTTTGATGTGTTATATTTAGATATATGTACATTGTGTGTAGGCAAATTGGCAACTGTAATTAGTCTTTGGTGATGTTTTAAGAGGGACGCTGCTGCCCATCCCTCGACCATCCCTTAATCACTTTTTACGACACCCACGGAAAAGGACGGAATGGTCTATTCTATTTCTGAACTACGATTTATACATATTATATACTAATTATTATTATTCTGCAGGTCTATCTGACGTGCCTGGCGAGGCAATGGTGAAGTTGTACTGTCCGCGCTGCATGGAGGTGTACACCCCCAAGTCCTCGCGCCATCACCACACCGACGGCGCCTACTTCGGCACCGGGTTCCCTCATATGGTGTTCATGGTGCACCCGGAGTCGCGCCCCAAGCGCCCGGCCTCCCAATTTGTACCTAGGTGAGTCACATTTTCATTGTCCACATTTGATAAGAACTTTTCAATGCCACAAGGTACAGTTCTGACCCATTTAGATATATCAATAGCTTGCAACACATCTGAAGCTGTAACTGCATGTGGTCCTACATTAACTTCTATGTTTGCCGTTTCATCATTGATTACCAGTTCTTAAAACTCTGTGGATGGGCCGTTGCTACTTTTTTCATGACACTTAGAATGCTTAACAAGCTGATGGCCCACCTTATGGAAAGTAGTAACCGTACCCTATAGATATGAACAGCACTATTCTACTAAAAACTATAAACGTTTCTTTTAAGGATATACTGTAGTAGGTAGGTATATTTAGTATCAGCATTGCACCCGTGCAAAACCGGGGCGGGTCGCTAGTTCATTATAAAATCGATATTCCTCGTCGACTTTAAACAATTCATTGACGTCTCTCCAGCTATATTAAATTGACTATGTCATATCATGGTACATGGACATGGTAGTAGAAAATCAAAATTTTCTTCTTTTATAAAACTGTACTTCATAATTTGTTACAAAATTGATATCTTAGACTACCTTTGCCTAGAATAGAGTCGTGAGTATTTTAAAAGCGTAAAAACGCTCTTTGTCCAGGCTGTACGGCTTCAAGATCCACCCGCTCGCGTACCAGATCCAACAACAGGCCGCCGCGAACTTCAAGGCGCCGCTGCGGGGCCTCTCTTACAACAACGGTAAACGCTAGGCGCCAGGCCCGCGCCGCGCAACACACCAACACCGATACAGATAGCTCCTTGCTCACACGCGTGTACATAGTATGTCGCTAGCCGGCACGGGAATGGACATATTCTAAGGCTAAAGTTATAGAAATGTAAAATTAAGATTAAAGTATGTACGGTGCAAGTGAAACACACACTCTCTCTCTCTCTCTGATCTCTCACTCTTTAGAGATTTACGTGAAATAATAATATTTGATTTTATTCCATTTAATTTATTTAATAAAGAAGTACTACTTTGTCCTTGCCGATGCGGGTAATTATAAAGAAGAGGGAAGTTTAAAGAATGGCATTACAAAATCGCTTCTCTTATTGGCTAATTAAATACTTATATTTTTTTTTTTATTAAAACAGTACATAAACAGTCAAAAATAAGACTGAATTAATTGGTTATTGCATATTATTTCTTTTTATTTTACATTAAAAATTTCAATTGCTAAATTTGTTAAAAAGACATTCTGAGATTGCAATAAATAATCGAGCCAAGTATATTCCGCCTTTTAAATAATATTCTAGATGGCTAATGGAATTATTGTAAAGAAATAAATACACTTCGTACTATCGACTTACCGGCGAAGATTTTTGACAGTTTAAAACAGGAGTTGTATTACTAAATTATTAATAATGAGATATAGAACAAATATGATATGTAATTATATCGCTGCCTGCCCCTTCTCGTGCCGTGCTAATATCATATATTCATATTGCGAGCATCACTTAAAAAACCTTTTCACCGTCCACAGAATTTATTGGCGTATAATTTACCCTCAACAAAATTTAATTTTGATCATTTGAATTTTCAGAAACCACTGGTAAGTTTTCAGTATGCATGGAGGTTAAAAGGTTAACAACAAATATAGTGTTGGCTCATTCTCGCATTATGAAATTTTGTGTTCCTTCTCTCTCTAAATCTAACTTTCACGCTTGTAAAGTTTCCAACGATGTGCTCGTGGCAGTTGATGAAGACATTGGCGATGAAACTGTACCACGAGCATTGTGGGACATCACTGTAACTGTACGCTGTCGTCTTAAGTATAAACCTATTAACATGAAAAGACACACTTTTGTATCGTGGAAATAAGGCTAACAGCATGTTTTTATTCGGCGTATTGTTTTTATTGTAAAACTCGAGCCCTGAATCTAGTAAACGTAATGATATTGCCTAAATAAACATTGTATTGGTCGTATATTATATGTTACCCGTTACGATGAAGCTGCGTGCGCTTGTTACCGTTTATCTTACGATGACAGCTGTGTATGTGTGGGTCGGAGGATCTGTATCGATATAACACGATTCGTATATTTGTAAGTCACGTAAACGTTATGGTGTCACGGGCTATGGATGTACACACGTCCGAATCATACGTGGTATATTGTTTCGTTCGTCAGTAAATGTTGCTCTTTTACTCATTGCAATTTATAGACTATTCGAGATTTTTTTTTTTAATATTGAATTTAATATATTTAGTATAAGCTGCTTCTATATAGGTTTATTAACTATGTCCCCTCATACATTTCGATCAAATATAAATATTTACCTTCAAAGTATTGATAAGAGATAAGATATGCGAAAATAATATCTTCATACAAATTGATTGATAAAATCCATAGACCACGAAGGGCCAAAAGGCTTTGTAAGGGTATTTTTTTTTTAAAACAGTTTTGGATGTTTCCTTTGTATTTGATAGTGCTGCCGATCGGTACCAACTCTATCGATAGTAGATATAGATAGCCGCTGAGATGTTCCAGTTGATAATGTCGATACTATCGAAACAAACTGCTAAATATAGGCAAAAGTTCATTATTGATTATATTCATGTGGCTAATGTAATTACAATGCGATTAACATTTAGCATTTTACTAATTATGCAATCTATGTATATTTTCGCATCATCCATGATCCTATTGAGATCTATGTTGAAATGCTCCACGGAAAATACTCAATATCGACAACCTCTATCGTATCTTACTTCTCGCTCCAATTTCAAAATTCAGCTTAAGCATATACGCCGATTCCTAGTTCTTGCCTTCTCCCTCGATAAACCGATGTCCACAATTGTCGATGTTATTATATATTCTGAAACCGTCTATCGATAGTTCGGCTACACTATACAGCGCATACAGGATAATTTAAATTTCGAACGCAATTAAAAAGCACTTTATTTTTCTTAATTCTTGTACAGAATGTTTTTTTTTTTTTTTTATGTATCAAGGTATCACTGTATATAGCCATCAAACGCAGCTTGTACGAATATATTGAACAAATTAATTAATATAAGTAAAAGGGCAGCAAAGTTGTAAATCACATCATTTGTCCCACAGTAACAACATTTCACAGTAAATCAGCCAAATGTCATAGTAAGATCAGCCAGTTTGTTCCATGCAAATAGTAAGAGTGGATGGTATGTTTGTTAAATGAATTATGAATTATAAATTGTAGATTTGTTGGACACACTGGTTAGAAGTGATGTATTGTAGCTCTCATAAGTATGAAGTAGGCTCATGTAACTTTTTATTTTTATATTTGCTCTACTGCGTCGGTGTGCGTGCTCGCTCAGCGTATACCACGCGACATTATATACATTATCTCGTTTCTGTATCGGTACCACTAAAGTTAATAAACAATAATTGTGACAACTATTGGCCTTTTTTCTTGCTTATCCTGCATGCAACCGAGTTTCCTTTCGCTGAACGCCTAAAAATGGACTTGCGGCTACATCGGATTTGTGTGAGAAAAAAAAAAATATCATAATAATTCCTCACTTTGTCAAAATTAATGTTGTAAAATTTCACAAAACATTTGAGTCTTCAAGTAACATACATTAGTGGCTATATAAGCGCTATCCACACTTAAGCTAGTAATAATTTAGACTAGCTTACGATAAATAGACACGTAGACACGCTTCGAGGTACAATATAGATCACAGTCATACATATGCTTTCTCATCCAATTTTATAGTAAAGAGATACGAGCGTTTACGTCTAGTGTTCCAGTCGCATGATTTGTCTAAATCCAGCGGCGTTAGTGTGGCGACACGCCTACCGAAATTACGCGACGAAAGTTCGCCATGTTTACGCACATACTCTCACAGACGCTCTTTACTGTAATGACACACTATCGAATTACGCGGCTAAAAATGAAAAAAAAGAAGGTTGTTGTTGCGTAAATATGCCGAATTTCTGTCGCATAATTTCAGCAGAGTGCGTTACTCTAAAAAGCATTGGCGCGTAAACATGTCGAACTTAGATCGCGTAATTTCGACAAACGTGACAAGTGTACTCGACACTTAGACAAGTCATGTCACTTCGAAGAAAACAAAGCCACGTTGATTGTTCCTATGCTATTGTGGTGGCGCTTTTGTATATATTGTACATGAACGAGTCCATACACTCGCGTGTAGTGTGGATCGAGCTCGTATAGTAGCGTCCTAACGTTAGGCCGACGCTGGAACCGTCAAAGTTCGAACTAACATTTTAATGGAGGAAAATGTTTGTTTGCCGCAGAAACGAAGACTTCCAGTAACATTCCAAAATGATTATTTTCGTGTGGCGCGCGCAGTGGCCGCGGTCGGAGTGTGTCGGAGTGTGTCGGTGCGTGTCGGTGCGTGTCGGAGTGTGTCGGTGCGTGTCGGAGTGTGTCGGCGCGGGTCGGGCCGCGCCCCCGCCGCCCCGACACACCCCGCGACGCTAGCGACACTCGCGGACAAACGTTGACGGACCAGGCCGAGACCCGACACCGCTAATGCAAACTATACCCGACCTCCTGTAACTTTAACTAATATTATAAGATAATAATATTTATTATACCATTACACATTATTTAATGAAAACTGATTAATGAAAGTTATGTTTTAATGCAATAAAGTTTATTTTTACGTTTTCTGTACAATGCTTTTTATTTGGTTTTTTTGTTTCAATTTAAAAAGCAATTAGAGACCTCTTAACATAATGCGAATTTATTTATTGTTCTTTTAATTACAATGTAAGGTTAATCACAGACAGAAGGAAGGCAAAAGCATTGAATTAGTAGCTTCCAAACTAATAAACAATTATTCGATAACATTGGTACATTTTTACGAAGCTAAATACTTTTCCACTAACGTTATATTAAAATATGAAAAATAATAATTAAACTTATAAAATACATTTTATACTTTACCTACATTTTTATTAAAATAAAGGCAACAAATAGGATTTTTTTTTTCTTTCTTCTTTCGGGTTCTCAAGGTCGACTGGAAGAAATCTCGATATGGGATAAGTCCCTGCCTGTGTACATTTTTGTTATAACCTAATATCTGTACTATAAATGAATATAAATAAATAAAAATATTATTGAAAATTAATATTTATCTTGTTATATTGTAAGAAACTATCAACTGGTTTAATAGTAACAATTTAAATAAATACTATAGTTATATAACCACAAATTATCCAAACTTAACTTCTTAATGTAATTAATTAAAGTTTGCCTTCAAAATACTATTTTGAGCAATAGAACCGCCTTGTAGCACTTATACAAATTCACTTATAAATTAGGTAATTACATATGTATTTTTTATCATTAACAATATATTAATTATAATATAATTAACAATCGACATTAAAACAATCTCTCTTTGTCACACACACGCACACAAATGCAAAAATAGTGTATAAAAATATTTTTTTTAACATTTATTAGAATTCCATTTTTAAATTATAAAAAGTGATTCTCAGTTGTTTATGCTATGGAAGGCACTTCCAAACTTCAAAACCGTCATCCGGATTTATAGGACTTAAAAACTAAGACACTCTCGTACGAGTGGTAATAATAATAACTATTTATTAGATTAAGTCTAGGAACTATTTTAAATACACAATCCGGACTTAACGCGATGAAAAAAGTTTTACAGGTAAATAATACCTACATACTTGGACGTGACCACGACATGGTGCAATCCATGTCGAAACGTCGGCAAGAGCTTCTAGACAAGTGGCAAGCGAATTCGTCGATGGAATCGACATCGCTAGCGAGTCCATGATATAGAATGAGATAGCAACGCCGGATGACTCATTCCAACACACGGACTTGCTAGCGATGTCGATTCCATCGACGAATTCGCTTGCCACTTGTCTAGAGGCCCAGATATGTAGGTTCTTCATCGCGTTACGTCCTGATTGTTTATTTAAAATATGTGTTAACAACGCGAAAGTTTAAAGTTAACTACATCTAGATCTGATTAAATAAATAAAATAACCATTTCATATATAAACAATGTCTCTAACGGTAATGTGAAAATTGTCTACGCTTTAGTGTAGTAACTTATGCATTTTTTTTATGGGGGTTAATGGAAACTAGTGAGGGATGAAAGCAGGCACTTCCTAATTCACTAGGCACTAGGAATTAACCATGATGGGGAGATCGACCTGACGTCCGAATAAAAAATAAAATAAAATAACCTATATTGCTAACAATAGCAATTCCTATTATAAACGACAACCATGATACCCCCCCCCCCCCCCTGTTAATAGGAGGGATAAAACATTTGACACTATACATAAGATTTTATAAGACATGGGAACCGTAATATTTTACATTGACGTAAAGGAAACCCTCGAACAGGTTAAATTATCCACAGTTGGGGGGGGGGGGGTTTGTTAGTAATGGGGTCTAACACTTTTAGCACTTTCCATCAGATGGGCCGTCAGCTTGCCATTCTAAGTTGTATAAAAAAAAAGCCCCATTGCTAATAATATACCCCATCAGGTCGACCTCCACACGGTTCCCCCTGGAAACCATCGTGGTTAATTATTGTTGAATTCGCCACGATGGGCCGAATAACGTACATAAAGTACGTTAATGGGTTAATGGGTACACGATGGGTTAACTGACCTGGTTTCATCCTGACCTATCATCCCTATCTGGTGCCTGCCAGTGTATACCGATAGCATAAGCGAGGTTACTATTTCATTTCCACCGATAAAAAAAAAATAGTTTAGAGACTCTATGATGCAACTTGAAAAGTTGTTAATTTAACAAAATATTTGATATATATATATATATATATATATATATATATATATATATATATATATATATATATATATATATATATATATATATATATATATATATATATATATATATATATATATATATATATATATCACATAGGAACTATATTATTTTACATCAACTTTAAGACTACTTATTTAGTTACTGGCATTTTTTTTAAAGTGCCAACAATCACTATTGGCCTAGTTGTGAAGTTAGGATCAGGGTATGTTATAAAGAACCAAGAACCCGCAACCCAGAGCGCCTAGACTTGAACAAATTAAGAAAAGTTCTTTTTCTAAATTGGTCTGACTGGAAATCGAACCCGGTGTTTAATTAACGTAAAACGTTTTTTTCTCTAAAGAGAATTTTTTTTTTATAAAACAAGGGTCATACGAGCACGCGGCTCACCTGATAGTAAGTAACTACCGCCGCCCATGATCACCCACAACACCAAAGGCAACGCAGGTGTGCTGCCGGCATTTTAAAAAGGAATATACTCTTTTCTTGAAGGTTACGTTGTCGTATCGGTTCGGAAATACTGCTGCTGGAAGTTGATTCCAAAGAATGGCTGTGCGTGGAAGAAAGTACCTTGAAAAACGCACGGTTGGAGGATCGCCACTCGTCCAGATGGTTGGGATGAAACTTTAGTTTGCGGTGGGTTGTACGGTGATGAAATTCAGCAGCAGGTATGAATCCGAACAATTCCTCAGAACACTCCCCATGATAAATTCGGTAGAAGATGCACAGAGTTGCAACATCTCTGCGCAGTTTCAGTGGGTCGAGTCGGACAGTAAGGCGTTGACTATCAATAATTCGAACCGCCCGACTTTGAATGCGGTCTAACGGAAGGAGTTGGTACTGTGGGCTTGGTAGGTAATGTCTCGATACTTATTAATATTCACATAACAATTTCTATATGTTCTTGTTAAGTAACCATATTATAATAGATGTATGTCCAATTCATTCCACTAATAATATCTTAGGACAATCGAAAGGCTACGGTGTTAATGTTTGCACAATACAATTGCCACTGGATTATACTCAAGTAATCTTTTAATACTGTCATTTTTAAAAAAAGAATATAAATTGGAATATTTTAACTTTTTTTTCCGATGATTCAATGTCATAAAAATATATAAAAAAAAAAACTATCTATATAAAAAAAAAATACAAAAAAAAAATAACACCTCTTAGTAGCAAATTCAATATTTAAATATAATTACTTTATCTTAATTTGAACTTAAAACGAATCCAACAAAAGTGTAGTAAAAAGCCTTAACTAAATCCCACCAATAGACAATTTTACATCGGACCTACTAATTATAGGAGTCGACATAGTACTCAAACTGGGATCTAATATGGACAGCGCAGCACCTACCAAATGCAGAGAGCCTGTAATCAGTACAGACGATTTGAACAATCCGTCGTTATCCTTCTTGATACTCGCCAACGCGTCAGCGACGCATTCGAAGACGGTTACCTGCGGAATTATAGAAAACAATTTTATTTATCATATTAAAAAAAAAAAACATGTAAACAATAAAAAAAAAATCCTTAAATTTTATTTATATATCACCTCATATAGGCACTAGTTTTGTTTTGCGGCTTTGTTCTCGTAAATTTGGTGTTAAAGAGTATGCTATTTGTTAAAGCTATATATATAAACATACTAGCTGACTCGGCAAAAGTTGTTTTACCATATACATTATTTCGAGAACTATACATGAAAATTTATCCTACTACAATTATTATATTCGATTGCTATCTTGTAACCCTATTGCGGCATATAAAAATCGCGATTAAAAAACAGGGATTGATCGTAGAAGTGTGAAAATTTGAATTTGTATGTATTTTTCAATGCTAAGTCATAATAAAATAAAAATAAAAAAATTGTCAAAAAAATTAATTAATTAAAATATTTAAAGGTGGGTCACCCTTATCATTGAGGGGTATGAAAAATAGATGTTGGCCGATTCTCAAACCTACCCGATATGCACACGAAATTTCATGAAAATCGGTAAAGCCGTTTCGGAGGAGTTTGGTAACAAACACTGTGACACGAGAATTTTATATATTAGAGATAGATAGAAATAGTTTAGATTAATTTAAGACAAATATGAATATTCGTTGGCCCGAAAGCTCCATCTAAGACTATAGCATCACTTTGTTAGTAAGATTATGCTGGTTCCTTCAACAGTAAAAAAAGTCTATTTGTATTCATTCTTTATAACTTTTAGGCGATTAAATAACAAACATCCAAATAATATTATACATTGTAGAATTTTCATCGATAAATTATTACAGTAGTTATTGTTTTTGAAAAAAAAAAAGAAATAGTAATAATTTATTAGAAATGAATACAAACTGCTCCAGTTACCTATTTAAAAAGTTCGGTTAATACCTACTTAAAAAAGTTTAATTAATGTCATGAATTGAAATACTTGTTGTAAAAATACCATAAATGGTCCTTCGAGCCGGATTTTAACGACCTTTAAGGTATTATTGGAGAGAAACCACTTCTGATTTTGTTAAATCACACCATTAGTTAACTCACCTGTGAGCTGCTGTTGTACTGTTTCCAAATCTTGGCGTTCGCGTGACACCTCGCCAGCTGTTCGCTCTGAGTGGCCAACGAGTAATTGTCATCGTTCTTACTTGTCACCTTGTAAGCTGTTGGTATGACGAAGTAAACTCGCTTGAAGTTGATCCCTCTCAACGGTCGTAGTAACATATCGGAGTTTCGATCACCCGTCGAGCTAAATATTAGCACTTTATCGTCGTAACTAAAAAAAAAAAATTAAACATATTGAAACAAAAAATTCGTTAAAATCATTAAATTAATTTGGATTTTAATTAGAATTTAATCAGATTTATTATATATATCTATATAGATAGAGAATTATTTAATTATTGAAATCTTTATGAAAATTTAAGGATCGACGCCCTCCTCGCTTCTAATTGCTGTGCCCGACACGGTCTACAATGGACTTTATCAATTACTAACATCTTTTATAATAATACATATTGTAGAATGCAATAAATAAATTTAATTGAATTGAAATTAAAGGGTTTTTTATACGGGAGAGTAATTTAGTAATGTAAGTCGCCTGATTAATAATAAATAAATATTAATTAATATTTATATTAATAATTATTCAAAAATTGTTGTTGGTGTTATTATTAATTAAATTTTTTTGTACCATCGTAGTACCTACTATGTAAGTTTGTTCGAAATCAAAGTACAAACGAAGATTAAAAAATGAAAAAAGTTTTATCAAAAGTGTACCTTCGCCTTGGGGTGTTTTGCTAGTAGTTGCCAAGCTTGGCCGGCGGTTTGGCAACCGCAGTTAGACTTTAGAGATAGTTTAAGAGGGACGCTGCTGCATATACCTTGCCCTTCCTTAGTCGCCTCTTACGACACCCACGGAAAAGGAAGGGTGGCCTATTCTATGCCGGGACCATAGGGCATAAAATATAGATATTGCTGTATACTACCCCTACTTTGTATTAATTATACCTCTGATAAACCAACCGCCATTTTTTGTGTTGAAATATTATTATTTACACGACTTGTGTGTGTGTGCGTGCGTGCGTGCGCTCGTGTCTCTCTCTGTGTGTGTTTGTGTGCGCGTGTGCGTGTGTGTGAATGTATGCGAGCGCGCGTGTGCGTGTGTGTGTTTGCACGTATGCGTGTGTGTGTGCGCGTACGCGTGTGTGTGCGCGTGCGCGCGTGTGTGTGTGTGTGTGTGAGGATGGCCTCATCCTGAGCATACATAGAGTTGACACGGTGCATGAATACGTATAATCGAAAAGAGAATGTTTCACTTTCAAAGGTTGGCCGTACTGTGCCAACTCACTAAGCGCTTTTTCATGCTACATTTGGAGGATCCGTGGTTACAGGAATAAGGAAACATCACGGGACAGGCCATTCCAAATTTTTACAGTACGGTCATTAAATCATAATTTTACCTAACACACTCTTGGAACCAAGCTGAACAGATTTCCATGGATTCTTTGGTGTGCGCTCCGTCTAAGTGGAACATAGCATAATGCGCTTCTACCGTTTGGTATCGACCCGCCCACCTGTTGATGTAAAATATGTTTATTTATACTTTATTGTACACAGTAATAATACATAAAAAAATATGACAGTGGAAAGCAAATGTATATAGACGAGTTTAACTCTATTAGAGTTCTCTTCTCTACCAGAGGGAGACATTGTACAAAAGTCGATTGCTTGGGTACCTCTGTCCCATTCGTGTTTCAACCGTGAAGCAGTTGTGTTTGCATGGCTGTGTTTCGGTTTGAAGGGTGGTATATGGCGTGAATTTACTGGGTACAGAGGAATAACACCTGAGTCCTCAGGAATGGCAACGCATGGGGGGTATCATAGGCGAAACAGTATACTCTGTTATGTTTATGATACTGCTCATGTCTATAGGCGACGGTTACCACTTTCCATCAGGTGGGCCGTCAGCTTGTTTACTATTCTAAGTTGTATAAAAAAAAACTCAAAGTGGAAAGGAGCATCAGTGTATATAATTTACAATGAACTCTATCCGTCCATTTGTTTGTTAGCGTAACATTTTAAATACAACAAAGTTCTTTATAAACAAACTTCATTACGTGGTGTGATGTTTCATAGGACACAAAACAAAGGATTTTTTGTCTATGGTAGTAGGCTTTTTTTTTAAACCGAATAAATAAGATAAAAAGGACAAAAACTAAATAGTTAATATCTCATGATGTTAACCCATCTTTGCATAACTTTTTTTTTATTGGTGAAATAAATCAAGGTGATATAATTAATGTTCACAATTAAAGGAAAATTGGTTAAAAAAATAATTTTGACAGCTATGTTTTTTTTTCTGCAATGGACAGATTAAAAAGACACGATCAACTAAAAGTGAATTTTTTGTTTTATATATTTTTTGGCCATTCAATGTTATGATGGAAATTTCCACCATTATGCAAAGAAGGGTTAACCACTATTATAGAAGTAGCTAGCTACAATTACCACCCACCTGCAATCCTGAAGTCCTGCTGCTGCGGCAAATGGCACATTCAGTACCAACCCATTACTGGCAACACCTTTATTTTGTTCTATTAACAACGTTTTATTACTATTAGGTTTTATTTTCTTTTTATTTAAATATGAATTGATCTGTCGTTTGTGTCGCATCCACGCATTGGCCAATTGTATGGCGAGCGATGCGTTGGCCTGGTATGCTGGGATATTCACTTGGAGATGGTCTTTGAAACCGTTCGGAAATTTGTACGCATCGTAATCGGGCGCCACGTATAGTGGACACTGGAATAAAATTTTAAAATATATAAGATGTTACGGAATATATTATTATTGTAATCCAAAACCCGGCAACGAGCACTACCCCGTAGACAATATTTTAAACAGAATGTTTTTTCCTAAATAACACAGTGGAAATGACCGTCTTCCTACTATTATCCTAATTATTATTCGGGGTCGTAGTAATATGTTTTGGAGTGGAAATAGGAAAATCAATTTACGATCAATTAAACATAAATACATCTAACTTATGTTAATAATGAAAGATTTAATCTTTTATTTATAAACAGAGAAATGGAAATAATAGTTTTAAAATTTATTCCACCTATAAAAAGCTACATTATCAGCCAGTAACATGATTTATAGATTTTTTAAACAATCTACCTATCTACCCGTGCGAATTGGGGGTTTCTAGCTAGTATTTATATACTGATATATATATATATATATATATATATATATATATATATATATATATATATATATATATATATATATATATATATATATATATATATATATATATATATAAGTATTTAAGGTAGACTGTTCTTAACAATAAGATTGAGCTGAACAAAAAAAGGCTCCAACTGTGGCAACACCAGTTAGTTATTTAAAAACTAAATCACTTAATTAATTTAGATAAAATTGCTATAGGACCAATCTATAAGTACCTATATCCTTTCAGATAAAAAAATCTAAATAGGTATATAACTGACGGAGTTTATTTATTTATTTATTTACACTTTATTGCACTATTTATAAAATAGTAAACACATTTAACTGTAATAAGAAATGATACAAAAGGCGGCCTTATCGGCAATCTCTTCCAGATAACCTTTGGGTAGAGAACATGGAGAAAAGAAAGAAAAACAGAGTTTTATGGTAACAAACTCAAAATACAACCGAATTGAGAACCTACTTCTTTTTGAAGTTGGTTGAAAAAGGAGTATTCAAGTATCTCTATCAACAGCCTAGTATATGACCGATATGACATCGTAACCTTCAAGAAAAGAGCATATCCCTTTTTATAATGCCGGCAGCACACCTGCAATGCCGCTGGTGTTGTGGTTGATCATGGGCGGCGGTAGTCACTTACCATCAGGTGAGCCGCATGCTCGTTTGCCCGCTGTGTTGTAAAAAAAAAATAGTATGCACAGTACAAGTTCTGTTTAATTTGTGATCAGATGGACATATGGCCAGTGGTATTTGTCAACCAACCTTAGTATCACTGGCGACCTGCCGCAGCACGTCCATGGCTTCCGGCGGCTGGCTGACCGTGTACGCGACACAGCCAGGCTTCATGATGCCGGCCTTTGCCGCCGCTATCTGCGGCAACGTGTCCCCGAGCAGGGCCGTGTGGTCAATGCCTAGCGCCGTTATACCAACCACTGGCACCTTTCTATATTTAAAAAAATTAAATAAAAAATGTTTATTGCCAACAATGATCATATCAGTTGTTAATTATCCATTGCTGAACCGCGCGCAATTCATTTTTACGCACGAAGCTGAAATAACATGATAGTGAGATTTTAAACCAGCCAATAAGTAATCATTTTAGCGGTTAGGTGGTGCAGTAGTCTCGTGCGTGCCGGCAAGATGACTTGGCTCCAAAACACGAAAATATATTTAATCTGAAAGAAAAAAAAAATCTTGGGTCTGAAATGGCTATGGGGAAGGCCTATGTTCAGCAGTGGACTGTTAACAGTTGATATGATGATATATTTAATTTACATCATCACATTTGACTATAACATCAGTTTTATAAATAAAGCTTTGCATGGAATCACTGGTTAACAGTATTACACCTGACCTAAGTATATTTGTGTAGTCCACAATGCCTCCGATGCCTACTTCTATTATGGCCACATCAACTTTCTCCCAGAGGAACGTGTTGACGGCCATTACGGTTAAGAAAGCGAAATAACCGGGCATGTCTCCTTCGTAAGCCTGTAAATACAAGAAGGGTTGTATTTAATTTATAAAAAGCTATGTTTTTCATTTCATTCTTTTAAACGATTGCAAAAATTCTTACCATTTAAGACAAGGCTTACTTTGGCACAAGCTCTACTGTTATCTCTTCTTGATTATGCCGACATATCCTACCTTGATGCAACTGAAGAGCTTTTAAACAAATTAGAGAGATTACAGAATTTGTGTATACGTTTCATATATGGTCTGCGTAAATATGACCATGTCTCCGCTTATAGAACAAAATTGAATTGGCTGCCAATTCGAAGGCGTCGAGACTTTCATATAATGTCGTTTTTATATTCCGTTCTATATAACCCTACTTTTCCCTCCTATCTTCGTGAACGTTTTGATTTTCTAGTTCCCCATGACGTGTCCTCCCGTTCGACGAAATCTCTTATCCTCAAACTCCCTTCACACTCATCTACGCGCTATAGTGGATCTTTTACCGTCCATGCTGCTAGATTGTGGAATTCTCTTCCCATATCTATCCGTGAGAGTCAATCCCTAAATATTTTTAAGAGTAGACTTAAAGAGCATCTTCTATCTCTATGAACATATATTTATTTATCTATATGTGTAGGTATATTGTATGTATATGTGTATGTATATGTAGGTTTATGCATAGATGTAGGTATATATTTATGTATATGTATGTGTGTATTTGTACTATATAATATAATCTAATTAATTTAATTTTGGCTATTTAAAAATTGTACACTGCTGTATCCGCTGACATTGATGCTCCTTACCACTTTGGGTTTGCTGGAAGAAAACTCTATCAGAGTTAAGCTCGCCTTTGTACTTTTGTTTACCTCTGTCATATTTTTATAACTAATGTGTACAATAAAGTATTAAATAAAAAATAAAATAATCACACGGAACACGATATGATACCACCGTGAACACTTACAACAACACAAGATATCTGGACATTGAACTTTTATAATGGTCCTAAACTAATTATGTCAATATAGATAGATAGATACTCTTTATTGTTTCCTCCATAAGATTACAATAGTAAACTTATTATATATACAAACAATTACAATAAAATATTTACACTAAGAAAACAATGGGCGGACTTATCGCTAAGAGTGATCTCTTCCAGGCAACCTTTGGATGGAGAAGAGTAATATTTAATTATTATTTTTTATACAACTTAGAATAGCAAACAAGCTGATGGTCCACCTGATGGAAAGTAATAACCGTCGCCTATAGACATGAGCAGTACTATGGACACTCAGATGTTATTCCTCTGTACCCTGTAATTTCACGTAGTATCCCACCCTTCAAACCGAAACACAGCCATGCAAACACAACTACTTCACGGTTGAAACACGAATGGGACAGAGGTACCAAAGCAATCGACTTTGTACAAAGTCTCCCTCTGGAAATTTTTTTTTTTTTGTAAAACAAAACATTATTTAGACAAAATCGTGTACACCGGTACCTTCGTGGCATCCAACATATCATAAACCCTGTGAAAGTGTTCAGCAAACTTCTCCTCGCTGACGACCCGGCCGTCGAGTCGCACCCTCTCGCGGACCGCGACCAGGTGCGGCGATGAGTAGAAACCTGTACGGAACCCATGGTGGCGCAGAATAGATTCACACATCGCGCACGTCGAACCCTGGAAAATTACATGAATTATATACATACAGAAACAAATTAAAAGAGATTTTTTTTTTTATACAGCTTAGAATGGCAAACAAGCTGACGGCCACCTGATGGAAAGTGGTAACCGTCGCCTATAGACATGAACAGTACCATGGACATAACAGAGTATACTGTTTCGCACATGATACCCTCCCATGCATTGCCATTCCTGAGGACTCGGGTGTTATGCCTCTGTACCCTGTAAATTCACGCCATATCCCACCCTTCAAACCGAAACACAGCCATGCAAACACTGCTGCAAAGGGAGATGTTCTAAACTGCAGAAAATTAAAAAAAATATTCGAGACCCTAGAAAACTCTGATATGGTAATGTGTCTAATGACATGTTCCAGGAACATGTCAGAATGTATGGAGGAACTTCCTAATTATGTATTGCATATTAAAACATAGCAGTTAACATAAAAGGTTTGTAATTAGTTAAGATAGAAGTATTCATCATGTAACTCTGAAGCACACCAGTTTACAACCATCAACAAGTGTGTCTTACTCTCCGCCAACCTCCCTCATCCCAATTATATTAGATTATTGAACAGTATTTTTTTTTTTTTTTTTTTACAACACAGGGGGCAAACGAGCATGCGGCTCACCTGATGGTAAGTGACTACCGCCGCCCATGATCACCCACAACACCAAAGGCATTGCAGGTGTGCTGCCGGCCTTTTAAAAAGGAATATACTCTTTTCTTGAAGGTTATGTTGTCGTATCGGTTCGGAAATACTGCTGCTGGAAGTTGATTCCAAAGAATGGTTGTGCGTGGAAGAAAGTGCCTTGAAAAACGCACGGTGGAAGACCGCCACTCGTCCAGATGATTGGGATGAAACTTTAGTTTGTGGCGGGTTGTACGGTGGTGAAAATCAGCAGCAGGTATCAATCCGAACAATTCCTCAGAACACTCCCCATGATAAATTCGGCAGAAGATGCACAGAGACGCAACATCTCTGCGCAGTTTCAATAGGTCAAGTCGGACAGTAAGGCGTTGACTATCGATAATTCGAGCCGCCCGACTTTGAATGCGGTCTAACGGAAGGAGTTGGTACTGTGGCGCTCCTGCCCACAGGTGAGAACAGTATTCCATATGCGGCCTGACTTGGGCTTTATATAATTTCAGGCGGTGTTCTGGCATGAAATATCGTCTCACCCTATTGAGCACTCCTAACTTTTTGGAAGCTATCTTAGCCTTCTCCTCCAGATGACCGCAAAACTGGACGTCGCAAGATATATCAACGCCCAGAATTCCTAGACTTGACTTTTTATCAAGGGAAGTGCCCTGAAAGTGAGGAGATACGACAAACGGCGTCTTTTTTGCGGTAAACGCGCAGACTTGTGTCTTTTTGGGGTTAAATTGGACAAGATTTTGTTCACCCCAGATCGAAACTTGATGGAGTGAAGTTTCGATTTCAGACACAAGTCTATTCCGGCACTCATCGGTATGTGCCCGCGAGATCTTTGCATGACCGGTATATAATGTATCTCCTGTACTGTCGTCCGCATAGCAATGAATATTACTTATCTGTAACATATCATTGATATGCAGAAGAAACAGAGTCGGAGATAGTACACAGCCTTGCGGGACACCAGCATTCAAAGGTTTTAAATCAGAGCATGCACCGTCGACTACGACCTTAATGCTACGTTCCTTGAGAAAACTGGCGACCCAAATGCACAGTCTCGCAGGCAACCCAAATGAAGGTAGCTTTGAAAGCAGCGCTCTATGCCACACCCGATCAAAGGCCTTCGCAATATCCAGACTAACTGCTAAGGCCTCTCCCTTACTCTCGATTGCCACTGCCCATCGGTGTGTTAAGTAAGCTAAAAGATCACCGGCCGAACGTCCCTGTCGAAAGCCATACTGGCGATCACAGATCAGCCGGTGCTCTTCTAGGTACCGGAGCAGTTGACGGTTAATGATGGATTCCATAACCTTCGAGAATAAGGAAGTGATAGCTATGGGCCTATAGTTAGCTGGATCTGAGCGATCTCCCTTTTTAGGGATCGGATGCACCAGAGCAGTCTTCCAAAACTTTGGGACTATGCCCGATGAGTAGCTAAGCCGAAAAAGACGCGTAAGAACCGGAGCCAACTCTGGTGCGCACGTCCTAAGCACAATTGGAGGAATACCATCAGGCCCACTCGACTTATGGATTTCGAGAGAGAAAAGTGCTCTACGCACTGAGCTATGCGTGAATTTAATGTCAGGCATAGAGCTCCTACAACACGTGATGGTCGGTGGTGGTTTCTCCCCGTCATCCAATGTCGAGTTTGACGCAAAGATGGATCCAAGAAGATCGGCCTTTTCTTTAGCGTTCTGGGCCAACGAGTCATCCTCCCTGCGCAAAGGTGGAAAAGATGACTTACAGAAATTCCCTTGTGCAGCTTTGGCAAGAGACCAGAAAGCTCGAGTCCCAGAGGGCCAACTAGCCAGTCTCTTGCCAATTCTACTAATATGCTCTGACTTCGCTGTGGCTATAACTCTTTTGAAAGACCTAAAGGCAGAGTTATACTTCTTTTTAAGAGCACTGGTGTTAGGATCTCGCGACGCCACACCTTTAGCCCAGGTTAGGAAGCACTCCTGTTTCAGACGAGATGCTGTTCTACAGGAGGCTCCATACCAGGGCTGGGATTTCCCGCCGACGGGCACCACAGAGTTAGGAATAAATAATTCCATTCCCTGAAGCACCACATCAGCAATGGAATCGGCAATGGCGTCGGGATCATCCAGTGTGAAGCAAACCTGCCTCCATGGGTAAGATGCGAAAAAAATCCGCATCTCATCCCAATCTGCCGACCTGTAGTGCCAAATGCGACGTCTACCCGTAGAACGAGGTGGAGTCGGACTCGTAAGAGGCACTTCGCTCCGCACCAAACAGTGATCCGACGATCCAAGCGGGGCTTCGACGGAGATCACATAGTTGTCTGGGTGGGTGGTCAGCAGAAGGTCCAGCAGTGAAGGTGAATGGTCCAACACATCAGGGATTCGCGTAGGCGAGGAAACAAGCTGTGTCAGACCATAAGCCAAAGCAAAGTCATGAACAGATCTTCCCGCATAGTCGGTTGTACGCGAACCAAGCCATTCGGCATGGTGGGCATTAAAGTCGCCAACAATCACGACTTCAGCGGAAGGAATCTGCTCAAGCAGGGAATCTGTAGCCATTTGGACGTGCTCTATTAGTTGGTCGGTTTCAGTGTTACCGCTGTGGGACCTGTATAGGCACGCATAGATGCGGGGATGGTCATTGCAATCTACGCGCAGCCATAGAATGGACAGGTCCGTACCTTCAAGAGTCCCAAGGCGTCGACAGCAGATATCCCTTCTGACATACGCACATACACCGGCACGCGAAACAAAACAATGTTCAAGCTTATACCCCGGGTAGGTCAGGTATGATGTTTCGTTAGGAGGGGATATCTGTGTCTCCGTGAGGAAGAGCAATGCCGGCCGCGCCGTTTCTAGGTGGTGGTGGACAGCGTTCAGGTTTGAATGAATTCCCCTAATATTACAGAGGCTCACATTGAGCAAAGGGGATGCCGCAGAAGTCTTGCTCTGTTTGCCCTTGGTCCCATAGAGCGGAATTTTGCCCCCCCCCAGAATACGCAGGGCAGCCCGAGCGTGGTTGCTCGAGGGAGGATTCTCCAGCAACATGGCTGCTGGTACCTCCCTGGGGTACGTTATTTTTTTTAAATTCCACTGCCATGGTATTGAAAGATGGAGGGACGGAGTTGGGGGAGGATTTTAGGATAAGGAAGGGGATGGGTATAGGATGGGCCTCCGGACTCTCTCACTCACCATACGGAATGTGGTCGCACTAAAAGTGCGGCCACTTAGCGTCGGTATTCTGTGAGGGTGTGGTACTTCCCCGGTCGAGCCGGCCCATTCATGCTGCAATACCATATGGTATTACAGCGTGGCTCTACCACCTACAAAGTATTTGGGTTAAATACTTCATAATTTCATAGCAACCAATTTTTTACATTTACTTTCAATATTTTAATGATTTTTGTCTATATATTTTAGTCCTAACAGTTTTAAAAGAGCAACATGCAAGTTTCTTGCTCGTTCTTCTTGTGATGAGACAGCTTTCCGAACGAGCGGTAGATTCAAAAAAATGTAATGACTATTCAAAAGTGCTTCAATGTAAGTTTATTTGAATAAATGATTTTCTATTCTATTCTATTCTTTAAGCATAAAAGTAATATATTTTATGCATAATTAATATATTATATATTTTTGTAACATAAATTCGTCCACTTCAGAAAACTTCTGTTCTTGTTTTAGTGTTTGATTTTATAAACAACTTAATTCAAATCTATTAAATGCCAGACAACAATATCTATTTTCTTAGTACCAGTAGTAAAAAAGGTTATAATTGAAAAAAAAAAAATATACCTGAGAGGCATTTGGTTAAGACGGCAATAAACCAGGGCACGGTTATTTTGTGCTTTAGTCATCATCCTGATAAAATGCCCTCTCACAGGTGCATGAACATCCTCAGCTATCATTTTAAGGATAGTGTTGTTAATACACCGCCATCTAACGGTAATAATATTATCATAACTACATTTTAATAAAAATAGATAGAAAAATAATTATGGCACAAAGACAAAACTCCAAATTCCTAAAAAATTAAAATGTAATGTTATCAAATTGTCTTTGCATTTATGATAAGTTTACTAGTGTAATCTGTAGGAGAAAACAATAAAAAGTATCTATCCATTTAACTAAAAATCGAGAAAATAATTTAGAAGAAAAAAAAAAAATTAAATCCATGAAGGCCTTATGACTTTTTTATAACGTATAATCTCATTACATGTCACATTATGAAATAAATATAACTGATAATGATTTATCTTCATTCCAGTTATATTGTTTATATTAACAATTAATTATGTAAATAGTGCAAATAATAATGAGACATTACTTGAGTATTCATACACTACTATAATAAAGATAAAAACCTAAACAAAATTAAAGTTAAAATAATTCCAGTTTACCAACTAATCCTCCTTTTATTTTTATTTTGTACATTCAACACAATATATCTACTACAATATATAAAAATAGATTATAGATAGAATAAATAGAAATATCATTTACCAGAAGGAGCTCTGTTCCATTCATGTTTCAACCGTGAAGTAGTTGTGTTTGCATGGCTGTGTTTTGGTTTGAAGGGTGGGATATGACGTGAATTTACAGTGTACAGAGGAATAACACCTGAGTCCTCAGGAATGGCAAAGCATGGGGGGTATCATGGACGAAGCAGTATACTCTGTTATGTCCATGGTACTGCTCATGTCTATAGGCGACGGTAACCACTTTCCATCAGGTAGGCCGTCAGCTTGTTTGCCACTCTAAGTTGTATAAAAAAAAAAGATAGTATAAAAAAATATTCATATATTTTTTTATGTAAGACTTTCAATTTTAAATTACTTTATCTTGTAAACAAGAGATGGTTATGTAGAAAACAGTCATATAACCTGGGATGCCCATAATAGATAGCTGTTTTCTACAAAACATTCTCTGTAACATTATATCTAGGAACTTACCTTACCTTTAGTCCCTGCTACATGTATCACAGACAGTTCATCCAACTTTGACAGAGACACACCAGTCCTCCTGAGGTAGTTCTTCATATCTTCTAAATTTGTGCATCTCTAAAAAATAACAATAACAAAAAATAATTAATTAAACAATGAACAAGTATGGGCATAAGCCGGATTACAGAGACCCTCTCATATTTTGAAAATTTCATTTTCCAAATAAAACTGACCAGAATCAAATTAGGGACTTTATTTGCAACATGGCTGCTACTCCATCATGATTTTTTTTTTAATGGATGATAATGAAATAGTAACCCTGTCTACAATATCTGCATATACTGTTGAGGTACCAGTGAAGGATGATAGGTAAGGATGAAAGCAGGTCAATTAACCCATTGTAACTTAATAATCATGATGGTTTTCAGGGAGAACTGCATGCAGGTTGACTGAATAGGGTATATTACTAGTAATGGGACCCACCTGCCCCTTTACTAATAATCCCTTCTCCCCTATAAAGTGTAAAATAATTATTTAATATAAAAAAATAATCATCAGTATTTATTTATACACATCTTTATCTTATTGGAGTTATTTTTATTAATGATGTCAGAAATATTAGTAGCAGATTAGACCCACAAGCGCCAGTCCCAGGGTGTTACAATATAACTGGCAGCACAATTTAGAAGCTATAATAATTTTTTTGTAGCCAATTCTTTTTTACATTATTTTAAATACAAAAAAAAGTGCCAAAATTCAAGGCAAAAAATTTGGTCAATTCCACTTTATAAAAACTATGTTAACATTAAAAAAATATTATTCATACTTGTCCAGTTTTAATATTTCTTCTTATTTGTTCCAAAATTGCTCTATTTGACTGGAGAGAGTTCAGCTTTTGCACAGCGTCCTAGAAACAAAGTTATTTATAGTAATTTAAAAAATATAATATATAGATACTTGAAGATTCTTTATAATATTATTTCCTATACATTAGGGTTGGTTGTAGCAATCTACAATTAATCTGATTCAATGCCTGTATAATGTAATATAATCATAAACAAATTAATATTTAAAAGTGCAGATAGTTGGTTCATTGCTTAGGTTTATTTCAAATTATATATATATATAGAAACTATTTTAGAGATAATAATATACCTACTTTACATTATATACTTTAAGGAGAACTATTAAAAACTAAGAGATAAACATTAAAATTTACCTCATAACACTGTTTCTTGGAAAACATCCTGGTGGGAAACCTTTTAATCACTAATTGTCCTAAACTACGACGAAGACCGACGCTAAACATCGGCCAAGTCAAAGAAGCTACCGGTCAACGTTTTATATCTACGCTCGCAGCGCAATGCACTCATTAATAGACCAATACAACACAAAAAATGAAGCTGTCGTGAATGATTTACTTTGGAGCGAGGTCACATAAAAACAAACGAGCTTCTGTCGTATTGCGTGTCAATTTAGCGACATTTGACCTGCGTATCAGAAATCTGATGTCGTCATAAATTGAAACTAAATATAACCGGTTAAAATACAAGACTGATTTCCAGAAATCAAAACATCGACATAACCTTAAATAAACGAACACATGTGAATGACATTGACATATAGTTCGGCAGTACAATAATAGTGACAGTGACAGCACACATAACAATCGAATGACGTACTGACATGACGGAAATTCAGGAGCTAAGAAGAAGTTAAGAAAGAAGGAAGAAAAAGGTTATGGCCGATTCTAAAATGCCATTTGTTTATTAGTTATACGGGGTCTAAATTATAATAATTTTTAACTTGATCTATAAGACAATTCTTTTATATTGGTTCTTCCAATAAAGATTTCGCTGTAGTATCAAAATTGACATTTTAATTTTAAATAGATGTAGAGAAATGGCACCGCAGAATTGACCTCTTTGTTGAATTAACTAAAAACTGGTACTAGTAATTACGGTCGATATAAAAGATTTAAAAAATAAAAATAAAAGAACAAAAAATTTTCATAAACCATACTTTATCCGTAAAAATATATTCCAAACCAATATTTATTTTTGTTTATATATCAACAAGTTTTGATGATATTCTACTTATTTAGATATTGCATACTATTTTTATAAGCAAAGGTTTTTACGCATTTTGAAAAACTATAGCTATTCATCGACTTTTGATGTCAACTCTATGAAGCTTATATACTTTAAATAACTGGCATGAAACAAAATTTATATTTATATTATATTAAAATTGAATAAATCATCATTCACTTACTGACAGTTTACTGTACCATAATAAATAATTACCTAATTTTATTAAAAAGTGTCCAGATTTTTGAGTACCTACATTTGCTGGTTATAGTGTAATTGTGATATTGTTATAAAATGACCGAGACCGATGCTACCACGAGACCCCTAACAATGCCAGAGAAATTTATACCGTACCTCGAGAGACATAGAATTTATTTTCTTTTAAAGGCTAGTATGCCAATATCTTAGCCAGTATATATACTATCAGCATTATCGAAAATACCATCTTCTAACCGCAACTTTGTCCACGTCTATAGTAGTGCAAGACCTAAATTGAATTCGGGAGGGGGGAAAGGGATTGTTAGTAATAGAGACTAAGAATCCCATTGCTAGCAATATACCCAACCAGGTCGATCTCCTCGCGGTTCCCCCTGGAAACTATCGTGGTTAATTCCTGATGAATTCATCCTGGTGGGCTAACTGGCCTGTTTTCATTCTTATCTATCACCCTTCACTGGTGTTCCGCTAGTGTATCTCGTTAGCGCAGGCGCTGTTAGCATTCCATTTTCATCCATCAAAAAAAAATTGGATGTGTGCAAGATTCATTTTACGCGAAGACCACAAGAACACGATAAGAATAAAAAGTAGCTCTTTCTTTATCCCAAATATTATATGTACCTAGCCGAATATAGGTGGGGGGAAGGGATTGTTAGTAATGGGGGTCCAACAATCCCCTTTCTAGCAATATACCCTATCAGGTCGACCTCCACGCGGTTCCCCCTGGAAACCATCGTGGTTAATTCTTGTGGACTTGTCACGATGGGCTAACTGACCTGCTTTCATCCTCACCTATCATCCATAACTGGTGCCCTGCCAGTTTATACCGATAGCACGGGCGGGATCACTATTTCATTTTCACCCATTAAAAAAAAATTAATATAGGTATGTATATATACCGAATTTCATGAGCATTAGGTTATTTGTTAAGACGTCGAGAAGTAACAAACAAACATAGTTTCACGACTTATTTAGTAAGAGGAGGAAAGAGAGTTTATATGCGCTCCTCGCGGTACTCCCTGGAAGGCATTGTAGTTCTATCTTGTTGAATTCATTACAATGGACAAACTAGTCAGCGTTATTCCCATCTATTGTCGCTCGCTGGTGCCCCGCTAACGATGGCGTTGGCAGGTTAACTTTTATCCATTAAAAAAAAACACTATGCTCAGGCCATAACTTGCTATCGTAAATGAACACTGCTTATGATTCTCTTTTGATTGTTGATTTACAGAACTAGGAATTTAATATTGTGTTAAAAAAACCGACTACAGTTATAGTATATATATATATATATATATATATATATATATATATATATATATATATATAATACACTATGAAAGAGAAAGGATGCAGATACCGGAAACCTCTGGAATCAGATTATTACATAGAATGATATGTTTATTAGATTTCTCTTCAGGAATATAGTATGCACACTCTGATGTGATATATACCCAATATACGTACCACAAATATATATTTATTATAAATATCATTTTACATATTCTAAATGTTTCAGGATATAGTAAGAGATGTAGCCATCAATTTGCCCAAGGACCATTTGAAACATATGAAGGTGTTCCTCACACAACACGCCCTCTGCAACAAGGAGCCAGACAGAGTCATACTGCTTGTCTCGCCTAATCTCGAAATAGGTGATAATTTGATTATTTTAGCACTAGCTTTTTACCCACTACTTCGTTCGTGTGGATTTCAAAAGTACGACGACTAATAGACTACTTCTAGATAGCATATTAAAGATAAAAAATAAAACAGTATTATAGTAGTATTATAAATAAATAACTGCTAAATAAGCTTGAACGGTTGCAAAATTTAGCGATAAGGTTTATTTTCAGTTTACGAAAATATAATCATGTCTCGGAATACCGCATTCGTTTAAAGTGGCTCCTAATCAGACAGCGTCATGAGACACATGTCCTAACGGTCCTATATAATGTTCTTAATGATTGCAATTCTCCTTCCTACCTTCATTCCCGGTTCCAATTGTTACCTCCTCCTTCCCGACCTAGACGTCTTTGTCTGAACTGACTTTGTTTGTCTGAAGCTTCCAAGCTGTAAAACCCATTTTATGGGTAATTCATTTGCATATCGTGCTGTACAGCTGTGGACCGCCTTTGTACTACACTATACTTATTAAAAATTGTTCAATAAATCCTATAATGTTGGTGCAATAAAGTGTTAAATAAATCAACAGTTTTAAGCTAGATCTTCAGAATCACACTTGTGACAACCGCATTTAATTTAGTGCAATAGTTTTACACAGACATAAGGACAAAATTTTTAAACATTATAGCTTTGACTCCTGTTGTCTTTATTAAAAACCCTTACATATTTTTTTTTAAATATCTCCCATCACCATCCAGTTACAAGAGTATTTACCAAATGTAGACTTTGTATATACCTCTGTCCTGTTTGGATTTTTACCGTGAAGCAATTATGTTAATATGGCAGTGTTTTGGTTTGAAGAGTGGGATATGGCAGTGAATTTTAGGGTACTGAGGTACAATATCTTAGTCCTCAGGAATGACAATGCATAGGGGGTATCACGGGTGAAATAGTATACGCTGTTATATTTATAGTACTGTTCATGTCTATAGGCGACGGTTACCACTTTCCATCAGATAAGCCGTTCGTTTGTTTGCCATTCTAGTTGAATAAAAAAAAAAAGAAAATTTCTACCTTACGTAGTGAATTAAGCAATTTAACAAATTAATTTGTAATATTTAGATGTCAAGAGATTGGTCAAAGACATGATAAAAAACCTCGGATTCTTCGTTATCACACGTCGTTGTCTAATGGATCGTTACGAAAAGGTTTGTAATTGATTACAATTAACAAGCAGATAAAACATTAGATTTTGAAACAATTAAAGAAATATTGATATCCATTTTATAGTTAAGATTTCAAAATATTGCAAATTTACTAAATCCTTCAGAGATTTTCAGTTTTATGGTTGAGTTTGGTTTAACTTACTTATTTATTTATGTAGTAACATAATCGCGTATTTTTTTTTATATATTAAACAAGTGCCCCACACTTGTTTAATATATATAAAAAAAAAAAATTTTGCCACACACCGAAGTTATTTATTTAATCATTTTATACAGTTAACACTTTGAAGGTTCACTTGACTCGCGACGCGCGAGACGATGTGGAGAAGAGAGAAAATCTATTTGAATCGAAAAATATTGCGTTCTATTGTTTCTGTTTACCCCAATGAGAGACTGATCTATCAGATACAGGGAGCGCTGAAGTCTAACAGCTTCTGTTAGACTTCAGCGCGCCTTGGAGCTTATTAACCTTTAACTTGGGGGGAATGGATTGTTAGTAATGGGGAGGTTAGTTCCAATTGCTATCAATCATCAGGTCGACCTCCATGCGGTTTCCCCTGGAAACCATCCTGAGTAATTTATCGTTTAATTCGTCACGATGGACTAATTGACTTGCCTTTTCATCCTCACCATTCATCCCTCACTGGTGCCCCACCAGTGTATACCGATAGCGCAGGCGGGGTTACCATTCCCTTATCATTCATAAAAAAAACCTTCTACTTGACCGAACCTTCCTTAACGCGGAAACTGATTACATAAATGTCAAAAATATAAATTAGACATTGATGCTCCTTTCCACTTTGGGTTTACTGGAAAAAAACTCTATCAGAGTTAAGCTCGCCTTTGTACTTTTGATTACCTCTGTCTTATTCTTAAAACTGGTGTGTACAATAAAGAATTAAATAAATAAATAAATAAAAATATTAAGAGCATTTTTGAAATCAGATTTTACTGTTTAATAATCGTTTATCGATATTTGTATCGTCACGTAGCATGACAACTACGTACCAGGATGTGTGTCGCCAGCACTCCTCTCGGAGGTGACGAAGACGATGACCTTAAAGGAACCAGTACCAAATGTTGGGTGGCTGATGTTTGGTAAGTATTATAAACCGAAAAATATATCATATTAGCGATTATAATTTCATGACAAGCAAATTTTTTCTTAAAAATCAAATAATATTTGGATACCGAATTTATTCATTTGTTATAATAACAAATCCCTCGACTTAGCGAAGTCTACTATAACTATGTTTAGTGATAAAGCCGCCTTTTGTATCACTTCTCATTAATATTTGCTGTATTTGTTATTTCTCTCTTTACTTGGTGCTTATTGCACCAAGTAAAGTGTAAATAAATAAATAAACTATAACAGTTTTTTTTTTAATGGATGATAATGGAATAGTAACCCCACCCGTGCTATCGGTATACATATACCGATACCGTACATATTTTTTTTTTATACTACTTAGAATGGAAAACAAGCTGACGGCCCACCTGATGGAAAGTGGTAACCGTCGCCTATAGACATGAGCAGTACCATGGACATAACAGAGTATACTGTTTCGCCCATGATACCCCACATGCGTTGCCGATCCTGAGGACTCAGGTATTATTCCTCTGTACCCAGTAAATTCACGCCATATCCCACCCTTCAAACCGAAACACAGCCATGCAAACACAACTGCTTCACGGTAGAAACACGAATGGGACAGAGGTACCTAAGCAATCGACTTTTGTACAAAGTCTCCCTCTGGTATATTTATTGTGTTTCTCATTTCTTACACAGATCACCCGTGCACGGTGCGGGAGGCGCGTTGTTTGCAACAAGACGGCGTATTACCAACAGTGACTTTAGTGTTAATGCCAACGCCATCACAAGCAACTCCAACCCACGACCCGCGCACCCCATATAGAAACTTTTTCCAGCAGGACTTTGAGGCTCTGAAGTTTGCATTTAAAGCAACGCTTATGGTATATTTAGATTTTTATGTATTAAAATGTATTTGGTAACGTATTTAGCATTAATTGTCTAGATAGCTTATCACCTAAAGATGCAACGTTTCTCCTGCTTGTATTGATTACCTTATATCTGTTGCTGACCCTACCACACGGGGGGGAAAGGGATTGTTAGTAATAAGGTCTAATAGCACCATTGCTAGTAACATACCCTCTTAGGTCGACCTCCACGCGGTTCCCCCTGGAAACCATCATGGTTAATTTCTAAAGTCGAATTCATCATGGTGGGCTAACTGACCTGCTTTCATCGTCATCTATCATCTCTCACTGGTGCCCCGCCAGCGTATATCGATAGCGCAGGCGGGATTACCATTCCATTATCACACATTAAAAAAAAAGACCCTACCACACGTAATGAAAAAAGAATAGTACTCTCGCCTGCCATCTAATTGTTTGTTTTCTATGTGAAAAAAGGTTTGGGAAAGGGATTGTTAATAATGAGGTCTGATAGCCTTATTGCTAGCAATAGACCCTCTCAGGTTGACCTCCACGCGGTTCCCCCTGAAAACCATCATTTATTTATTTATTTTTAGAAATCGTACAGCTGAATGACAATCAATACATAATCAAATTTATATCTATGTTAAGCCATGAATCGTTTTCACATTTGCGTGAATTCTTGTCGAATTCATCATGGTGGGCCAACTGACCTGCATTCATTCTCACCTATCATCTTCCACTGGTGCCTCGTCGGTGTATGTCGATAGCGCGGGCGGGGTTACCATTATATTTTCATCTGTTAAAAAAAAATCGCAAAATCCTGCTTGCTATTTAAATCTAATAATTCATCTGAGGTTTATTTATTAACAGCTTTTGCTCGCGGCTTCACTCGTTCTTAAATATTACCCTCTTTTTCACGCCTTTAGAGGTGCATTCTTCAAAAGTTAATAAATATCGTAATATTTATTTTGAATCAAAAGCCTAAATTTAACATTTCACGTGTCTAACTTCTAAATTGACGAAAATTCATATAAATTTTCAACTCCCACTCTACTCCCTCAGGAATTGAATTTTCAAAATCCCTCTCTGTTTACTTACACTATATAAAAATATTATCTTCAAAATTTCAGATATAGATATATAAATTTCAGATATAGATATGTAAATTTTATGCAACTTAGAATGGCAAAAAAGCTGACGGCCCATCTGATGGAAACCCGTCGCCTATAGACATGAGCAGTACCGTAGACATAACAGAGTATACTGTTTCGCCCATGATACCCCCCCATGCGTTGCCATTCCTAAGGACTTAAGTGTTATTCCTCTGTACCCAGTAAATTCACTGCCATATCCCATCCTTCAAACCGAAACACAGCCATGCAAACACAACTGTTTCACGGTAGAAACACAAATGGGACAGAGATATACAAATATATAGATTGTTCAAGTATAGGAAGAAACACAGTATCACATTAGCATAATACGTCCAGTCGAAATTTTATTGTTTTTTTCGAGAACTTGCATGTATTTAGAATGCATAATGTTCAACAGGAGGTCCACATCGATCAAGATGACGACCCAGAGAAGATTGCAATAAAATGTTTCAATGCGATAAAAGCTTGCACGTCAGGACTTCAGGGTTCGAAGCAGGGTCTACACGTGGTAGGGGCACCGGGCGTGTACCGAGTGCTACTTATTGGACCGAGAGGTGCCGGCTGCAATACGCAAGCTGTTATGCTGGCCAAGCACTTTGGACTTATTTATTGTTAGCAAATATAGTTATACGCTTTGTAGGCACAAATTAGATGCATCATATGTGTGTGTACATGCGCGTGGTTACATGAGTGCGTGCGAGCGTGCGAGCGTACGCGTGGGTGAGACTGTGTGCGTGCTTTCAAAGGTGCGTGTGTGCGTAACTTTATTTTTGAGTATCAAAATTATGATACTAAAAACATGTTTTTTTTAATAGATGATGATGAAATGGTAACCTCGCCTCCGCTATCGGTATAGGTACACTGGCAAGGTTCCAGTGAGGGATGATAGGTGAGAATGAAGCAGGTCAGTTAGCCTACCGTGACGAATCTAACAATAAATCAATCATGATGTTTTCCAGGGAGAACCACGTGGAGGTCGACCTATGCGACCTATATTGCTAGCAATGGGGCTGTCAAACTCCATTACTAACAATCCCTTTCCCCCCACCAAAAAGATATTGCTCTAACAAAATTTACATGAGACCACAACCCGGGAGTAAAACAATGAATTTCGCCTAAGAATCATCAAAATCGATTTAGCTTTACAGAGAAATATATCGTGTTACTATGAGAAATATCTACTATGCACTAACATTCAGTTTCTGCTGTAGGACGCCAACGGGTTTATTGAAATACAAGTTCAGATGCTACTTCTCTGATAAATTAAAACTAACGCTGACATTAAAGTCATTTGCTTGGGTGCCTCTAACCTATTCATGTTTTAACCGTGAAACAGTTGTGTTTGCATGGCTGTGTTTCGGTTTGAAGGGTGGTATATGGCAGTGGATTTACAGGGTACAGAGGAATAACACCTAAATCCTCAGGAATTGCAACGCATGGGGGTATCATGGGCGAAACAGTATACTCTGTTATGTCCCTGTTACTGCTCATGTCTATAGGCGACGGTTACCACTTTCCATCAGGTGGGCCGTTAGCTTGTTTGCCATTCTAAATTGTATAAAAAAAATAAAATAACGTCCTTAGAAATAGTAACGCTTAGGAGGTATCATGGACGAAACAGTATACTCATTTATGTCTATGGTACTGGTCACGTCTATATATATATATATATATATATATATATATATATATATATATATATATATATAGTTTTAGGTTTCCACTTTCCATCAGGTGGGCCGTCAGCTTGTTTGCCATTCTAAGTTGCATAAAAAAAAATTTGCTCCCTATCAAAATAGTGAACTTCAATACTCTACTGAACGAAGCTCGTGAAAAGACCGACGATATAGGCGAGAAGCTGAGGCGCTACGGATCCAGTGTACAGCTCAAGGCGGATATAGTGAAACGACGCATTTTGAAAAAGGTAGAATAAAACCTAATTTTCAACCGACTTCAAAAAAAGGAGGTTCTCAATTCGGCTGTATTGGTTTATGTTTGTTGCCTCTAATCGATTTAGAATTTTTGTTTTACAACGCAGGGAGCAAAAGAGCATGCGGCTCACCTGATGGTAAGTGACTACCGCCGCTCATGATCACCCACAACACCAGCGGCATTGCAGCACACCGCCACTCGTCCAGATAATTGGGATGAAACTTTATCGAAAGGACATACTTACAGATTGGTCCCGTAGAAATATTATCAAAATCGGTTCAGTAGGTTAAATTTTAGATCAAATCAATTATCACAATTGACATCGGTTCTTTTTGTGGGATACAATCTTTATTTATTTATTCCCAAAACATAAGGTATTTCATATAGAATATCTTATATGTATAGTATACAGCACGCGTTCACTTTTGATGACATACGATATGTTTTCTGTTTTTAGCTAGTGGTTAACAGGTAGAAAATGCCATATGGCATTACGCTCGCTTTTTGTACAAATGATTATGCAATAAAGAATATATATATATATATATATATATATATATATATATATTCAACAAATTACAGGATTGCATCGATAATGGATGGGTGATGACAGGGTACCCTCGAACCGGGATGGACTTTGAACATTTGGACAACATGACTACGCCACCTAACCGGTAGGTGCCGGGGGAAAGGGATTGTTAGCGATGGGGTCTAACAACCCCATTGATAGCAATGTTACTAATCAGGTCGATCTCCACGTGGTTACAATGATACTAATGAGGTACACTCGACTTGAGATTTTAAGAGTCGTGAGTTCGTTTTTCTTCCCACTAACACTTCGGGAATTGATTACAACAGTAGCAAACCCAAGAACAGAACAAATTACTCGATTTTTTTTTATACAACTTACAATGGCAAACAAGCTGACGGCCCAGCTGATGGAAAGTGGTAACCGTCGCCTATAGACATGAGCAGTACCATGGACATAACAGAGTATACTGTTTCGCCCATGATACCCCCCATGCGTTGCCATTCCTGAGGACTCAGATGTTATTCCTCTGTACCCAGTAAATTCACGCCTTAATCACCTCCTGTTAGATGCAGACGTTGTTTGACGTGATTGACAAGTCATATCATATTCCTTTTGAGATTAGATTATAGCAATGTGTGTGTATAGCAATGTGTTACCTTTTTGCTTCTGGGCATGTGTCTTCCCATGATATGAAAATATATCCTACTACCCAGTACTACATTAACCAGGCGGATTAATGTAGTGTTCATTCGAGTTTTCCTTCTCTTGCCTCAGTGTAAATATGTATTTTTTAATTGGATGAAAATGTATACGAGTATAGCAGGATACCAGTGAGGGATAATGAATTTTTTTTATACCACTGAGGTGGCAAACAAGCATACGGCCCACCTGATGGTAAGTGGTTACCGTAGCCTATGGACACGTGCAATACCAGAGGAATTACACGCGCGTTGCCGACCCTAAAGAAACCTCTTTACTCCCCTTTTGAAGAACCCCATGCTGTAGTCTCTTGGGAAAACCTAAAAAAATAATGGATGAAAACGAAAATAGGTCTATCAGTCCGTCGTGATCAACTCACCAGAAATGAGAACATTATTGCCCATTTCTCTTTTAAAAATATATGTTGTACTATGTTATATGCTGAAGATGAAAAAAGTTACGCTGTACTGTTACTCCATTATTTAATAAAATAATATTTTTTATTAAAGAAAGATACAGTTGCATAGGGTACAATTTACAATTTTTACAATTTATATTCAACGAGGAAATATCTGCATTATCATCAGTTTCCAAACTAGGCCTGACCTGTATCTTGGGGACTATGAGTTACCTATTTAGTAGACTTTATTTACAAAAAAAGAAAATAAATAAATAAGGTAAACTATGTGAAAAAATAAGTGCGTGTGTGTGTGTGTGTGGATTTTACTTTCTGTTTTTAATTACACTTTCAGCATAATATTCTTGAACGCGGACATGGCGACGTGCAAAGCTCGCGTGATGTCTCAAGGTGTGGACTGGTGCACCGGTCAGGCAGCGGTCCCTGGCTCTGGACCCAGAGTTATGCACCACTCAAAGAATGACGAAATGGAACTCGATGCAGAGGTTAGGATATACTTATTATATATTAGCTGTATCCGGCGGTTTTGTCTATCTAAAACAGAATATACAAGTACCGAATGTGTTAAGTTAGGAATAATCTGAAACGAGCTGACGGCCCACCTGATGGAAAGTAGTCACCGTCGCCTATAGACATAAACAGTACCACGGACATAACAGAGTATACTGTTTCGCCCATGATACCTCCCATGCGTTGCCAATTCCATCAGGTGGGTCGTCAGCTTGTTTGCCATTCTAAGTTGTATAAAAAAAAATCTTTTCCCTCAGCTAAAAGCTTTGCTTCTAATTCTGGGATGGGCACCAGATAATTCCAAGATAAACACGGAACCACCATCATTAATTCCTGTTGAATTCGTCACGATGGGACAACTGACCTGACTAGGGGGAAAGGAATGGGGTTTAACAGCCCATTACTAGCATTTTACCTTATCAGAGCGACGTGGTTCCCCCTGGAAACAATCGTGGCTAAGACTTGTTTAATTTGTCACGATGGGCTAACTGACCTGCTTTCATCCTCACCTATCATCCTTCACTGGTGTCCCGCCAGTGTATACCGATAGCGCAGGCGGGGTTACCATGCCATTATCACTAATTAAAAAAAAACTGACCTAATACATCCTCACATATTATCACTCATTGGTACCCTACCAGCGTATACAGATAAGGCAGACATTTTCATCAATAAGACATTTTCATCCCATAAAAAAGAACCATTTGACCTATTTGGGTTTTTTTTAATGGGTGATAATGGAATGGTAACCCTACCCGCGCTATCGGTACACACCGGCGGGGCAGTGAAGGATGATAGATGAGGATGAAGTAGGTCAGTTAGCCCATCGTGACGAATTCAACAAAAATTGTTCACGATGGTTTCCAGGGGGAACCACGTGGAGGTCGACCTAATAAGGCATATTGCAAGCAATGGGGCTGTTAAACTCTATTGCTAACAGTCCCTTTCCCCCCTGTAGCATAGTTTGTAAGCATGGCTGATAACAGTTTTAAGATTGTTAAGAGGGAAAGGAATTGTTAGTATAAGGACTTTAATTACCTTAAATCCTATTTACTGTTATATTAATTAATTAATAATTGTAAGTATAAGGAATTTAATTGCTAGCAAAAGGGATTAATTAAGTCGACCTCCACGCAGTTTGCTCTGGAAACCATTGTGATTAATTCTTGTTGTATCCATCACAATGGGCTAACTGACCTAGTTTCATCTTCACCTGTTGTCTCGCCAGCGTATACCGTAGCGCAAGCGGAGTTACCATTCCATTACTACCCACTAAGTACCCATGACATCAGTATCGGTTTTCGCGAGATGTAGGCGACGAAACTGTTTCCCTATTAACGTGCTATGGTCTACTAGCCGCTCGACACAGATACCTTTCTTTTGGGGTCAATATTCGCATCGCACGTTGTGTACATAATGATTAGCGAAGCAAACATTCGACGCGACGACGTGACACGTTCCGCCCGGTGTACCTCATTGAACATTGAAGGCGTGACGTACGGCCACGTGTACTCATATAATCGGAAACGCTTATGTCAAACTTTAAAATTGAAAAAAGAATTCTGTTCCGGCGTTTTAATTTTAGAGATTATCAACTGATTTATTTATTTATAGCAGGGCAACAGATCACAAATTAATACATTAGTAAAATAAATATTACATAAAACAGCATCAAATTTGCACTACAATAACTGCTTTGCATAACATTCGATATTAGAAACTTTAAAAGAATAATGGCTATAAATTTAAAGTCTAGAAGGAGGGAGAGACCAGAGGGAGACTTTGTACAAAAGTCGATTGCTTGGGTACCTCTGTCCCGTTCGTGTTTCAACCGTGAAGCAGTTGTGTTTGCATGGCTGTGTTTCGGTTTGAAGGGTGGGATATGGCGTGAACTTACTGGGTACAGAGGAATAACACCTGAGTCCTCAGGAATGGCAATGCATGGGGGGTATCATGGGCGGAAACAGTATACTCTGTTATGTCCATGGTAGTGCTCATGTCTATAGGCGACGGTTACCACTTTCCATCAGGTGGGCCGTCAGTTTGTTTACCATTCTAAGTTGTATAAAAAAAGTCTCAAATTGGCAGCCTTAATATAACATTGCAAGGATTGCTGGAAAATATCAAGCTCCTTGCATACATTGTTATATTTTCTGCACATGCGGATAAATGTATTGTGATACGATACATTATTATTACAAATCGGTATATAAAGTAATTTTTGTATTCTTTTATTACCTGTTCAGAGTGATGAATTCAGACATAGATCTTCTATTTATAAGAGAAATAATGTTAAAATGATTAAGTCTCGATTCATACGAATAAAGTTTCCTTTTTTTAATGTAAATACCTTTTCATTGTTTAGTCCAATATTTATATATGTATTTACATTAGACACACCTGGAATTTAACACGATGGTTTCCAGGGGACCACGTGAAGGTCGACCTGACAGGGTATATTGTTAGCAATGGGACCGGTAGTCCGCTTTACTAACAATTCCTTCCCCCCAGTTAGATCGATCTACACGCGGTCCCTCTCGAAAATGCTCAAGACAAATCGCGCGGCCAAGGCGATTAAAACAATTATATTTATTTGATTGTAAGTAAAAAAATTTCTTGCCTCAGTGTAAATATAATATAATGTAAAATGTAAACGCGGTGTAGGACGACGACGACACTAGATGAAGTGAAGACCTGAAATGCGTTGCAGGAAGTCAGTGGATACAGGTGGCTCAGGATAGTTCTTTATGGCAATCTATGGGGGTATTATTTATTTTTATTATTATATTACAGTATTATATTTCCAGCAGTGGACGTATAATGGCTGAAATGATGATGATGATGAAGTGAAAAAAACTTAGTGTATTTAACACATTATTGGGTACACTATACCTGCAGGTAAACGAGTGATGCGAATCTTTATTTATTTACAGTTTGATTACTACTACTCGGAGGCGTTGGCCGAGCTTCGCGCGGCAGCCGGGCTAACTGCGGTCGAAATCAATGCCGCCGAATCCATTGGTATGAATCACTGTGAATGTACATACTTTCTCGTAGACAAGACGGACGAATTGTTTTTATGATACTTAGAGATGGCAAATAATATAGGTAGGTATACGTATAATAAATCTGTAGAGAGGTAAATATATTTCCAAAATAACTATCAGGCGGTGATTAGTGATCGATACTGATGCCTTAAATGCAATTAGTAAAATTTTTATCTGTCTGTCTGTATGTTCGTTATAGAAACAAAAACTACTCGACGGATTTTAACGAAACTTGGTACAATTATTCTTCATACTCCCGGGCAGGTTATAGTATACTTTTCTTCACGCTACGACCAATAGGAGCAGAGCAGTGAAGGAAATGTTGGCAAAACGGGAGAAGTTACTCCATTTTTAAGCTTCCGTCGCGTGTGCAGCATTAATAGCCACTTTTGAAAATGTAAAAATGTCCGTGAATATAGAAAGCGACAGCATTTGACAACATACTTTAGGTGTAGTTGTGTAGGTCTAATTTAATTTTTTATTGGTCCATTTGCCAACACGGTTACAAAGGATACCGTATCTTTTTTACTAATATATACCGATTAAATTCGCGAATAAAGAAATAGAGAATAAGAAACTATTGCTGTAATAAGTAACAAAATAACATTTTAATAGCTTTATGTGCTTCAAAAAACATAATCCCAAGCCTATTTTACTGGTTGGTGGATTTAATTTTCAAATAACTGTCCAGTGTTAGAAAACACCGTTATTACACATTTTTAGATTGCATCACGCAATGTGTGATTAAATGACTCATTCGTCATATTCGTGAACGAGTAGTTTTTTTTTTATACAACTTAGATTGGCAAACAAGCTGTCGGCCCACCTGATAGAAAGTGGTAACCGTCGCCTATAGACATGAGCAGTACCATGAACATAACAGAGTATACTGTTTCGCCCATGATACTCCCCATGCGTTCCCATTCCTGAGGACTCAGGTGTTATTCCTCTGTACCCAGTAAATTCACACCATATCCCACCCTTCAAACCGAAACACAGCCATGCAAACACAACTGCTTCACGGTAGAAACACGAATGGGACAGAGGTGCCCAAGCAATCGACTTTTGTAATTTAATCAACTGACTACAAAAAGAACATTCTCAATGTGGTTATATATATTTTTTATGTTTACTACCTCATAACGACGTCATTGTAAAACTAGTAAAAAAATGCTTTTTATCTGAAAGCATACGAGTATACTTAGAGATTGATAACAGAAATTTTATATAAATTAGTCAAGTAGTTTGAAGTCGGATTTTTGTGGAGCACTATCTTATATTAATTAAAATATCACGTCACAAAGTTCTTAAGACTAATAATGCTCGGTGAAAAGCGTATAAGTCAAATGTTACGTTCAACAGCTGGCAGTCGTAAATTCTCAACTATCCTATATAGGGAGGGAAAGGGATTGTTAGTAATGGAGACTGAGAATCCCATTGCTAGCAATATACCCAACCAGGTCCACCTCCTCGCGGAAACTATCCTGGTTAATTCCTGACGAATTCATCATGATGGGCTAACTGGCCTGTTTTCATTCTCATCTATCACCCTTCACTGGTGCTCCGCCAGCGTGTCCCGTTGGCGCAGGCGGGGTTACCATACCATTTTCACCCATCAAAAAAACTATCCTATATAAGATAACAATCGTGAAAATCAAATCAATCTAATTAATTTTTACAGCAAACATACAAATATCTTTCAGATAAAGTACAAGTCAAAATTCAAGCTGCGGTGATATCTGCACCGGCGTTCGACATAGAATACTGCTCTCAGCTGCGTAATGTACGAGCCGATTAGGGTCCGCTAGGTATTTCAACAAATAAAGAGGTTTTAATAAAAAAATGTTTTATTATGTACTCCTGCGTACTTCAATTGAAATATTACTACATAATTATTCTGCTAATTAAGAACTAACAATTCAGCAGTCTCAAATTACATACATACAATAAAGAACACTGAGGTAAGTCTCTATAGAGAACCAAGACCGAATCGATTCATCGAGGTGACTAAAAACAACTCGCGGAAGACGATGGAACCGATACAGAGTGTCGTGGATTACAGGCCTTCACAATTCATACACGGAACTATTGCTTTCCAAATAAAAATGCATTAATATACACAATAACAACACACATGCGCGCATCCCTTGCACACTGCGTGCGCAGCGACAGAAACTCGAACAGATCTCGACCCTGTGTGACGCTCGCCGCACACCGACAACCGCTGCATTCACACAATAAATATACACAACACTAAATAAACACCTCCAATCCATGGTTCGTACAGGCTATGTATAACGTGAAATATCCACCCTATACATAATCTGTGGTGACCTTATAGAGATCACATTTGGCTATGATCACACAATTTACAGTCTGTTTGGTTACAACTCGTCCTTGAAGTCCTCGTCGTCGCCTCCCGCGCCGGGCGGTGGCACTCCACCCTGGCCTTGGTACAACTTCGCGATGATCGGTTGGACCACGTCCTCGAGACTCTTTTTCTGTTTCTTGTAGTCTTCAGAGTCCGCGTCCTGGTTGTCTTCAAGCCACTTGATTGCGGCGTCGATAGCTTCCTCCATCTTGGACTTGTCATCATCGCTGACCTGTTAACAAAGAAATAATGTTGTACTACAAATTCTGAGAGGCTATATTCTATAAATAATAGTTTTATTTGGTTACTAATTAAAAGTCTAATTAGTAATTACAAGTAGAATGAATTTTACAAAAAAAAACTAAATTCTGTAGCTGTATTACCATGTATTAGATATAAAATACTCCATATATTCAAGATAATATTGATGTAAGATTTTTTGTGTACCAAATTTGATTTAAATACTTTTAGCAGCTACAGAACAAAAGTTGACCACCAACTATAATACTGATAGAAATAAAGAGTACATACAAGAAATACAAACCTTAGCACCAAGTTTCTCTTTATCCTGGAGCTGGTTCTTGATTGAATAGGCGTAGCTCTCCAGTTCGTTTCTGGACTCTACTCGCTCCTTTAGTTTCTTGTCATCATCTGCAAACTTCTCGGCATCCTTTATCATCCTCTCAATGTCTTCTGGTGTCAATCTGTTCTGGTCATTTGTGATGACGATCTTCTCACGGTTTCCAGTACCTTTGTCTTCGGCCGATACTTGCAAGATGCCATTGGCGTCAATCTCAAATGTCACTTCAATTTGTGGAATGCCTCTAGGTGCTGGTGGGATGCCTGTTAAGTCAAATTTACCCAGCAAGTGGTTGTCCTTTGTCATGGGGCGCTCACCCTCGTACACCTGAATTGTCACAGTGTGCTGGTTATCACTAGCTGTTGAGAAGATCTGGGACTTCTTTGTGGGGATTACGGTGTTACGTGGGATCAGCTTGGTCATTACACCTCCGACAGTCTCAATTCCCATAGTGAGTGGATTGACATCGAGAAGTACAATAGCATCAGTGTCTTGTTCACCGCTGAGCACACCAGCCTGTACGGCAGCGCCATAAGCGACGGCCTCATCAGGGTTGATGCCTCGGCTGGGTTCCTTGCCATTGAAGAACTCTTTGACAAGCTGTTGAACCTTGGGGATACGAGTGGATCCACCGACCAAGACAATCTCATCAATGTCGGTCTTCTTCATGTCAGCATCTTCCAAAACTTTCTGGACGGGTTTCATGGTAGAGCGGAAGAGATCCATGTTCAATTCCTCGAACTTGGCACGGGTAAGAGTCTCAGAGAAATCATCACCCTCGAAGAAGGACTCAATCTCAATCTTGACCTGGTGACTGGAGGACAGTGCTCTCTTGGCTTTTTCGACTTCACGACGGAGTTTCTGGACGGCACGGTTATCCTTGCGGATATCCTTGCCCTTCTTCTTCTTGTAGAGCTTGATGAAGTGTTCCATGACGCGTTGATCAAAATCTTCACCTCCCAAATGGGTGTCACCGTTGGTAGCAACGACTTCAAAGACACCATTGTCAATAGTGAGAAGGGATACATCAAAGGTACCACCACCCAAGTCAAATACAAGTACGTTTTTCTCTCCCTCTTTCTTATCAAGACCATAGGCAATAGCAGCAGCAGTGGGCTCATTAATAATTCTCATGACATTGAGGCCAGCAATGACTCCAGCATCCTTAGTGGCCTGACGCTGGGCATCATTGAAGTAGGCGGGGACGGTAACGACAGCGTGAGTGACTTTCTTTCCAAGGTAGGCTTCAGCAACTTCCTTCATCTTAGTGAGTACCATAGCTGAAATTTCTTCTGGGGCAAAGACTTTATCACCTTGAGAGGTCAGAACTGAGACATGGGGTTTGCTATTCTTTTCTACCACCTTGAAGGGGAAGAATTTAACATCATGTTGGACAGTGGTATCGCTCCATTCACGACCAATTAGACGCTTGGCATCAAATACTGTGTTCTCAGGGTTGGTAGTGAGCTGATTTTTAGCAGCATCACCAATGAGACGCTCACCATCTTGAGTGAATGCCACATATGAGGGTGTGATCCGGTTGCCCTGGTCATTGGCAATGATTTCCACACGGCCATTCTTGTATACACCAACACTGAGGACAAAAAAAGAAGTCTTATTATGTTATTGTAAATTATATTACTTTAAAGCAGTGTTTTTAAATCATTTTCATGACACAATCCCTCTAGTATAAAAAAAATAGCTAGCGACCTCCAACTCTTCCCTTATTTTTATGTATTTCATAATGTTACAAAGATGTGTGGACTGAATACTTCAATCCATACAACTTTCTTGGGTCAAGTTAATTTTTTTATCAGTGCATGAATCAATCAGGTTTTTTTTGTTAATTTGTATTAATATATAAATATTTAAATTATTATTATTCTTAATAAATCTATCTTTATAACTTTGTTTTTTTTTTGCTGAGGTAGTTTTCACAACCCCCCCTATAAAGGCTTTGAGATCCCCCAGGGGGTAGCAACTCACATGTTGAAAAACAATGCATTAGAGAATATTAAAACTGCCGCTAAGACTGAATTATTTAGAATAATTCAGAATATTTAACATTGTCATCATCATATCGGCTGTTAACTGTCCACTACTGAACATAGCCCTCCCCATAAGGTGTGTTTGCCACTTAAACACTAACATACAACATTGTAAACTGTATTAAATATACATAGAGCTGATACCTATAATAATATTACAAATGTGCAAGTGAATTTGTTTGTTACCTACCACAGCATTCACACATTCTTAATGACTAATCACTGACACACAATTACACTGACAAATTTGATATTTACATAATATATGGGACAGAAAAGATTAAGGGCCACTATTTATCCCAGTAAGTAAACATATGCTGATCATAGTAACCATAGTAAGTATACAAAAGATTTGTAACAGCTGTTAAATAATTCTTTATAAAAACAAATATCAAAATTAAAATTTTACTCAAAATTTTAATATAAAAAAGCAGAATCATTGAAAATTAACTAGAACATAGGTTTTAAGTTTTGTTTTTTATGAATGATAATGGAATCGTAACCTTAAAGAATTTTGATTAAATCATCAGTTATTATTACCACACAAAGACGGTTTATGGTTTTAATTTAGGACTCACCATGAATACGTGGTACCCAAGTCGATACCGATCACGGTGCCGATGTCCTTGTCTTTCTCCTTCTTGTCGTCGGCGTACACCGCCGCGACCACACACACCAGTGCTATTAAACACCACCGCATCTTCACCATGCGATATTAATCTTTACACTGAAACAATTAACACTCACAATTACCTTTGATATTTTCACCAACTAAACCAATCAACCTACGCAAAGGACACGTAATCATTAGATGTGGCACACGTCATTATCCAGTGGTCTACGAAACAATTTAGAAAGGGAAAGTTGAATGGAAAAGGGGGTCTAACGGCGTATATCTAGTTAACGGTAAGTCCAGAAAACGCTAGACAACATGAACGGGATGTAGGGCATCGCGCCGGCCTACATGACACGTCGAGAAAATTCGCCGATATGGTTATACCTCTAAGGCAAATTTGTAAACAAAATGTAACCAGAAACGTATGAAAACCAATTACAAAATGAAAAGATAATGGTTTTAATAACTTATGAATATTTTCTGTACAAAATGTTTGACATACAGGTTAAAAATTTCAGCTTGGATGGAATCTCCCAGAGTAACTAAATATAGTACGTTTTAAAGATGTATAAAATGAATAATAATTACCAAATATTAAGATGATAACTGGAAATTTAAAAATGTTTTCAAAATCAGAGCCACGTTCTGAATTCTTTGCACTTTAAAATGTAACACTTGAACAAATTCACAAAATATGAGTATGTTTCACATTCGATTTTTCAAGAAGAACTAAAGTTTCACACGCTGCCACAGTTATTATTTAGCGCTAGTGTTGATCGTGGGCTAATATGATTGGTAGAGAAGATGATGACGTTCACTTTCATTTGTCGCGATTGGTCCAAGTATGAATATTTGTCGGAATCCTATTGGCCCACGTTAATAACTGGCACAAAAAGTTTGGCGTAATTTTTGAAAATGCTACGTCGTTTATCGCTGCGCTGCTATCACTAGAATATATTCGAGAAAGTTTCAAATTTCGATAATGTGGACACGAAACAGCTCGATGAAACCCTCTGATAAATTACTACATAATAACACCCATTTTTACTTATTACTATATTCTATAATTCCCATTACTTTTAAATTCTGATAAGTTCACGATTTCTTTTTTCTTATAGAAAGAAGACTATGCAGCCTATACCTTTATTTTTCAACCTATAGGCAAAACTTATGTAAATATTTTACTAGAGGGAAACTGTACAAACATTGTTTTCTTGGGCACCTCTGTCCCATTCGTGTTTCTACCGTGAAGCATTTGTGTTTGCATGGCTGTTTCTGTTTGAAGGGTGGGATATGGCAGTGAATTTACTGGGTACAAAGGCAATTAATACTCAGTATACTCTGTTATGTACATAGTACTGCTTATGTCTATAACCGACGGTTACCACTTTCCATCAAGTGGGCTGTCAGCTTGTTTGCCATTCTAAGTTGTTAAAAAAAAATTATTTCAAAAAATATACTTTACAGATTAGCTCTGGAATGGTGTTTGAGCCCACATACAAATTATATTTCCACGAGTATCGTTTTGATGAAATTAAGTTCCATTCATAGATATGTAGTGATTTGATAATAAAAAAGGTAATGTATCGGCTGTTAATTGTCCACTGCTGAACATAGCCTCCCCCTTAAGGCAGGTATTACCAGTAATTGGCGCTTGGCGGACTGGTTGGCAACTACAGTTTGGCCTTTGATGTTTTTAGAGAGTGATGTTTAAAGAGAGATGCTGCTACCCATCCCTCCACCATAAGCTTTCTCAGTCGCCTCTTACGACATCTACTGGAAATGAAGGGCTAGCCTATTCTATGCTGGGATCTACACGGCAAAGAAAAAGGTGTTAGATTCAAAATAAATAAGTATAAACCAAAATAATATTTTATTATAAAAACATTACAACAGTCTATGTACTCATAACTACTAAAATTATTGAGCAAAACAATAGTTTTTACAATATAGCCATCTAAACCAGTGTATATATATATATATATATATATAATTCATTAACAAACAATATCTCTGATTAATTTTTTGATATTATGCTAAGAACCAGTGGAGCAAAGTAAGTAATGATGCAGTCTGCTCCTGTAATAAAAAAAAAAAAGATGTTTAGAGAACATATAAACATATTACAATAAATACAGATCATAGATTACCAGTTATAAGGATAGAGGCGACTTTTTTTTATTTATTATACATATATAGAACAATATTCATAGAGTATACCATAAACTAAATCTGCAAGTATAGATATAGTTTTCATTTTTTTTTTTTTATTAAAAAGGTTTTACTTTTGTATTGGTGATCTTTTTAATTATAAACTTTAAAGTTTACAACCAAATATAACAATTATTTTTATTCGCATTGAGGTTAATTCTGAGGTGCTATTCCTCTCAATCGATCTTTAAAATTAAAACTTCAATTTGATATCACAACGAAATATTTATTGTAAGAACGAATATGAATTATATTTATAATTTGTTTAATATAAGCATTGTATTTCACTGTAATGAATTGTGAAGAGAAATAAATCTGTTTATTATTTATTTATTATTAATTTTCTCATAATTTTAAGTCAAAATTATTATGATTTTAGTTTGAGATGGTCCATAAAGCAGTCATTTTACGAAATTATCAAATTAGGGTAAGAGATAGCTTTAGAGAAATGGCGCTTCAGAATCGACCTCATTGTAACATGTTGCAATTATCAGGTGATATTGAGATTTTATTGTAAACAAATTTGTGAAATTACAGTTAAGTTTATCTTTTATGAGTTTGTCAGACCCAATGTTTTGATTTATTTTATTTTTATTTTATTTTATTTTACTTTGAAAGGGAAACATACAATATCTAATTCTTGATTCCAGTGTCTTGTCCTTTAAGGAGATCCAATCCATTACAGGATGCGAAGAGCGTTCAGTTATACGCAAAAACATGTTTGAGAATATATATCATCATCATCACCATATTAGCCTTTATTATCTCTACTGCTGATAAGACAATATAAGCCTCCCCCTTAGGGAGTTTTGCCAGTAGTTGCCACGTTTGGCAGGCGGATTGGCAACCGCAGTTAGGCTTTAGAGATGTTTTAAGAGGGACGCTGCTGCCTATTTTTCGCTGTCCCCTAGTCGCCTCTTACGACACACACGGGAAGGATGTGGTAGCCTATTCTATGCCGGGGCCTCAAGGCAACTTGTCACTTGTTAGAAAATGCTCTATCGAAAAAATAATATTATATATATTTTATATATGATATCACGCTAGAACGCATAGAGATAATGTAACAACTGTTCATGCACTAACCAGCTCTCCTCATGCATTTAAGTACTTCCATTAGTGTCGTCTCGAGCTCTCCGCTGTCGTTAGAGCGCGATAGCATCGCGTATTCGCCGGACACCTGTAGAATTAGAGTTTTAGAGGAAAAAAAAAAATTTTTTTTTTTTATTCAACTGTATTAGAATAAGTTTGCACATGAGTTTTGATTTATTTCTAGTGATTATAGAAAGATTAAGGATCATTATTCCGTTGTATTTTTTATTTGTTTACATTACGCCATATGTTCACTTTAATATTTTAATTTTTTTTTATCAACGTCTAACCTAAAATATAAATTAATTGAAAAAGAGCAGCACGCTGGTATTCTTTTGGCCACAACAAAGTTTCAATATTTTGCTCTTTAGAGCAAAGAAATAAACTGAGATGTGACCATTTTGTGTTACTATGACACACGCATGAAAGGAAAAAAAAATGTTACTTCTTTTATGTATTTTTTTTTTGTGTATGTGTGTGTGTGTGTTTTTTTTTCTATCTTTATCTGTTATTATTTATATTCTGTAAGTAATGCAAATAAATTCTATCTTTATATAAGTTTAAATACAAAAGCTCTCTTACATTGTTTTTTACAATTGATAGGTGTATACAGGGCAAAACAATAAACTAAATTGTGACCATTTTGTGTTACTGTGGCACACGCATGAAAGAAGATACTTGTTACTTGTTTTATATATTTTATATATGCATTCTTTTATCTCTTTTTATTGTGTATGTGTAACTACGTCTGTTGTTATTTGTGTGCTGTAAGTAATGTAAATAAATTATCTATCTATTGTATCTATCTATGATGACTTGTAAAATTTGTTAGAATTGAATTCATAAATAAAAATCTTTGAACCGTGAAACGTGTGTGTGTGTGAACCGTGTTGGCATGGCTCTGTATCGGTTTGAAGGGTGGGATATGGCGTAAATTTACTGGGTACAAAGGAATCTGAGTCCTCAGGAATGGCAACGCATGGGAGTATCATGGGCGAAACAGTATACTCTGTTATGTCCATGGTACTGCTCATGTCTATAGGCGACGGTTACCACTTTCCATCAGGTGTGCCATCAGCTTGTGTGCTATTCTAAGTTGTATAAAAAAAAATCTTTTCTTACTTGATATATGAATAGCGGATGGTGGGGGAATTGGTCCTTTGTCTGCCGGACGATATCCAAATAGGGAAGGCCAGGCTTCACCATCAAGAAGTCAGCACCCTCTGCAACGTCGCGAGCCTGTAAACATACAGTATGAGTTTCTTATTAATCACTTATACAAAGCATTTTTTTTAAAGGAGACATGCGCTGCCTTGGGCTCTCAATATAGTTAATCCGGCCCTGTCTGTATACCAAATTCACGACTACAGTTAGAGCCGCTAAAACACCATGAAGTAACAAACTCTCCTTAACATTTATAATATTTAGTATGGATATGAATGTGTTTTTGTTTCTCAACTACTGATGTCGGGGGAAGGGATTATTGGTAATGCGGACCATCAGTCCTATTGCTAGCAACATAGCCTGTCAGGTCGACCTCCACGTGGTTCCCTCTAAAAACCATAGTGCTTAATTCCTGGTATTATTCATCACGATACGCCGACCTGTCTTTTCAACCTCATCTATCATCTCTCACTGGAGCCCCGCCAACGTATACCGTTAGCACAGGCGGGGTAACCTTTCCATTGTCATCCATTAAAAATAAGTCAAGACGTTTTAAAGGCTTAACCGATCATTGACATTTGCCATACATACATACATACATATCTGTCACGCCTGTCTCTCATTAGGGTAGGCAGAAACAATGGAACGCCAAATGCTTCTATTCTTTTTTTTTTTACAACACAAGGTGCAAACGGGCATGCGGCTCACCTGATGGTAAGTGACTACCGCCGCCCATGATCACCCACAACACCAGCGGCATTGCAGGTGCGCTACCGGCCTTTTAAATATACTCTTTCTTGAAGGTTATGTTGTCGTATCGGTTCGGAAATACTGCTGCTGGAAGTTGATTCCAAAGAATGGTTGTGCGTGGAAGAAAGTGCCTTGAAAAACGCACGGTAGAAGACCGCCACTAATCCAGATTGGGATGAAACTTTAGTTTGTGGCGAGTTGTATGGTGGTGAAAATCAGCATTCAAACAAACTTCTTTCGCTTCCTCCACATTCATCAATCTTTTCATACACGCTCGCCGGTTACGGGTACTTTTAATTTGGCCCTTCTTTAGCACGTCGCCTATTTGGTCGACATACGTCCATCTAGGGCGGCCCCTATCGACATCTCCATTTGGCATTTGGTATATTCATAGTATTTGTAGTATTCATCCAAGCGTGGCAACTACTGGCAAAACCCCCCATATAGGGGAGGCGTATGTTCAGCAGTGGGCAACTAACAGCTGATATAATAAAAATAAATAATAACAATACTATTTGACATGGGGACGAACTTAGGATACTTTTTTTACAGTAACGCGAACAAAGTTTTAGACACAGTAAATGACTTATAGTGTACCGCGGCCCTGGCGGCGAGGTGAGCACTGCCCGGCGGCAGCTGGTAGCACTTGCGGTCGCCTTCCATCGGCGAGCTCTTCATCGTGTCACGGAACGGGCCGTACATTGACGACGCGAACTTGCACGAGTACGACAGCACTGACACCTGCAATGTGGGGGAGAGGGGATTGTTAGTAATGCGGACAAATGGACAGTCTCATTGCTAGCAATATACCCTGTCAGGTCGACCTCCACGCGGTCCCTCTTGGAAACCATCGTGCTCAACTTCAGGTATATTCAGCACGATAGACCGACTTTCATTCTCACCTATCATCCCTCACTGATGCCCCGCCAGCGTTAGCGCAGGTGGGGCTACCATTCCTGTTGCTTATATCGTCATAGTCGTAGAATACTGACGGATCTGACAAAGATTACATATAAAGATGCCACACTTGGCAGGCAGATTGGCAACCGCAGTTAGGCTTTGGTGATGTTTTAAGAGGGACGCTGCTGCCCATCCCTTAACCAATGAGTTCCCTTAGTCGTCTTTTATAGTCATATAGTATTAAGAAATGGTGAAGGACATAGGGTACTTTTATCACCATCAGAAAATCTATCCCAGTCACGAGGCCGAAGTCGCGAGTAAATGCTAGTTTTATATAATCACCAATATACCTGATTCTCCAGCCTGTTGGCAACTAGCGCGTCCTTTATTGCCTTGATCCTGTTATCCATCATGTCCGACGGGGCTACCACATGGGCACCTGTAATAATTAAAAATAAACTAAAAACAGATCTATACAAAAAGTAGAATGACTTTTTTATGATTTCACTGTATTTTTGGAAAGTTATCTGTGAGAAAGAAAACTACAAGGTAATCAAGTTACCATTTATCTAACTAACAAATTCCGTTACCATTATGTGGAGTAAAAAAATTAAATAAATTCAAGAATATTATTAGAGTATGATAATAAATCTTATGGATAAATATAGTATCTTGAAATAACTATTTCTAGAAAGCATGTTGAGATAAAACATATACCATATTTTAAGTTAGATCGTTATCTAACTTAAAATATGGTAATGTGTGTATATACCTAAAGAGGTACACTATAATGAAAACTGTGTCTAATTTAGTACAGTAATTTTTGCGTGATGTCGCAACAAACACACATACAGAGACAAAATTTTTATCTTGTCTTCTTTCTCAATGTTCTCTTTCCAAAGGTTGTATGGAAGAGATAGCTTAGCGATAAGGCCGCCTATTGCATCATTTATTAAAATTAACTGTATTTATTGCTTTTATAAATGGTGCAATAAAGTGTAAATAAATAAATAAAATTCATAAATATTATTATTTTGACTTTAATTATTCTTACTGAGACCCCACATATTTTTTTTTTTGTATTAAATATCAACCATGTAGGTAAATGACCTATCTAGATGATGTCCAGAAACAATTTTATTATATTAATTGAATTTAGTTTAAGTTAAAACAGAAAAGGAAAATTAAATATGTTTAAATGACAGATGAGATCCATTTAAAACTGTTTACATCTTAAATACATGTAAGACTAACTACAGAAGGTTAATGTTAAAAATGGCAGTTAGGAAATAAAATATCCCTATTAATGTTAGAGTTATAATTTGTAAGTTGACTTTAGCTACTTAGCATAGCACTTAAATTGGTATTAATGAAAATAGGTTCTACCATATAATGCTCCAAATCAAAATAGTTTAATGAGAACCTCACAGGGTATCCTGTGTACCATACAATCAATAACAACTTTTTACATTCATTTCACAGATCTATTCTAACTGGTTGCCATGTGTGACAAATTCTTACTTTATGTAATAGGTTTTGCCCCTTATTTTAAGCTCTAAATCAACTTGTTAACATTTTATAATCATGCAATTTGGTAAAAAAATAAAAACATTCAATGATGTTGGCAACATTTTAGAACCTCATTTAAATACCTACCTGCTTTAGCATAAGCAAGAGCAACTTCTGCTATCCTCTTTACAGAAGCAGCATGGTCAATAGCACCACTGTCTGTTAACACGCCACAGTGTCCATGGGATGTGTATGGACAGAGACAGACATCACATGCAATCAGTAGATCAGGGAATGCTGCACGAATCTTTGGCAAGGCTTTGACTACTGGGTTTTCAGGGGAATCTGCACTTTTGCCTTCTGGTCCCTGAAATATTAAAATCGATGTGAATTACAATCACACAGTATGTATAAAAATATATATGCAGCATCCCTCTTTAAAACAGCTCTGAAGCCCAACTGCTGTTACCAATCTGCTTGCCAAGCATGGCAACTACTAGCAAAACCCCCCAAGGAGGATGTCTAAGTTCACCAGTGGACAGTTAAAGGCTGATATATGATTAATATGAATAAAACTTTAGAAATATAATGAAACATTGACTGATAAGTAAATGCCAGATAAGATAGGTTCAATAATGAAGGATTATTTTAAAAATTAATAAATTCTTTCTAATCATAGAAATTATTAAAATTATCAAATATTCATGCAAAAAATTATAAATTTTTTTACTCATGTTTCTACTTTTAATTCCAGATTTTTCATATCTAAATATTAAAAGTATGGCTTGGTCTCATCCCTGTCACTCTTATCAGCCTTTTTGTCTACAATAAGGACTAATTTCCATTGACTGATTTTTATCCATCCATCCATTCAAGTAGTAACATTATAATTATGAATTATGTATGAGAATGTTGCATGCCAAACTGGCTGAATGTGAAAGCTACTTATTATCATTAATTCCATCACATTATGTACCACATTCGCTGCAAATATAATTGCATTTCATAATTTCATTTCACAAATGTAGCATAGATTAAAAAAGGTGTCAGGGGTGTCCCTATCTAGAAATCTGACTGATTCTAGAATAAGGGTATACAGATATGCAACACTGGCCTCCCAAGCTGCTGCTGTGTCCCCCCTTTCCTTTCCCACATCCTTATTCTTCTTATTTACCAATTTCCTTTATGCATCTCAATGTTTCCTTCCTTTTTTTCTCAATCCTTTCCTCTATATCATAGGTAGTGGAAACCACCAACAAATGCATTCCCAAAGAGAGTTGACATCAGGCAGGCAGCTAGTCATAAAATTATAAGCCAGATCTTTTTGTAATATGCAAACATATTATGCCCACCCCAAATAATAACTGGGATAAGAATATAAAGATAATGATGAGCACAGATTAAAAAATAAAAAAATTAAATAGTGTTAATAACTTGATAGTATTATGGTATACAAGCTCACCTTATAGAACCCAAAAGTACTAAATATATATAACTTAAAAATTGTTTCAATTTAAATTTCCAACTACAATGGCAGGACATATACTATACTCAGAAAAATGTGAACATAGCAAGTGTCACAGACTATTCTATTAGGAAATACAGTCACATGCATATTTTTTACAATACACACAATTACAATTTACTATTTTAATCATATTTTTCTATAATTGGAGGCGAGAGATAGCTGTTTTTTATGTAATCAACTACAGTTAGATAGTTTAAAATAATAAAACACCATAAAGGATGGATAATTTCAGTTATAAGAATATTAAATGATAAATACCTTTGGCAAGGCAGTAACAATCCCGAAAATGAGAATAGACTTGAGGCCTTTTCTCACCAACTCTTCAAGGGCAGGAATTAGCCTGTTGATACCATATCTGTACACATTTGGCATGCTAGTCACAGCCTGTATTGCATCTTCTTCTTCTCTGCAATAAGTAATTGATTCTATTTATTATTATTATGTTAGTATAATAATAAAAATTATGATAAGAAATTCACCTTAACATTTTATAAGTAGAAATTTTCTTGTTAATTCAAAATGTAAATTAAAATTACAACTGTTGTTAATTATATAGAGTAAAATTAATTTATACTTACAGCAAGAACACGGGGTACATAATATTATGAGGTTCAATACTAGTGTTAGGTTCCTGAAGTTTTCGCAATGTTGCATTAAAGTAACCCCCTTGGAGTATATGCTCTGGCTTCAAGAAAAGACTCATATTTATATTCGTTATATAATATAATACAGAAATATGACAATAATTAATTTATTAGAGTTTTAATTAATAAATAAAGTTTCTTCAGAATTTAAAATAGTATGGTGTAAGAACTTGCGGGTGAAATATACTCTACAATACAAATATCTATACTCTGTGTTGGGCACAGATTAGAGAGATATGTCTAAAAGTGTTAGGGCTAAGAACTAAGAACAAGGAATTACGTAGATGGAATGATAAAATAAAAACTGTAATTCATATGGTTGCCTCCTTTCTTCTTATGCAAATATAATTAGTAAAAAGAGGAAGAAAGATACACCATCACTTACTATACATACAGTACAGTTACATAGCATATACATAGCAGGCTAGTGTATAAAAAATGTATGATATGTTAAATATGGCAATGACAAATTTTACATTATTAGATTTTATATTTGACACAGTTTGTGTAAAAAGTATGCAAGCATGTTGTATCTGAATATGGTAGGGTTATACGACTATATAACATTTTATATACACTGGGCTGCTATGAATTGACAATTTTATCACTTCTTCTATGCAATTCCTTGTTCTTAGGCTAAGAACAATGTATGAAACCTTGTTCTTAGGTTCTTAGTGTCAGACACAGATTATAATACCTTTAACGCTAGTATTGTAAATGTTAGTCTGTACCTCTCTAATCTATGGTCTTTAGAGATAACTCTTACTAAAATTCCAGACAAATTATCTTTTTGAAGACTAGGCAGCATGGTCTCCGACCTTAGCCTGTTCCAAACGGAACAAACGTACTAAAAAAAAAAAAAAAGATAACTCTTACTCTGTGTATTTATTTGTTCTTAATGAAAAAAAAATAACATATTAACAATAATATTATTTGTTATAGAATTTTAGATATTTACTTGATTTTTGTAGATATTTTTTGTACACGTGTGGAAATAATTAAGTAATTAATCAAAGAATAATAAAAATATTTTTTTTTTGTCTATAATCACAGTATCTGTAGTAGTACTAAAGTATATCGTAGTATACGCGAAGGAAATTTTGTTTTCTTCCATAGTTGTATTTAATCATGATTTATATACACATTTATGAATAGTTTAAGTTGTCAACATATTTTAAATCAGACGACGACTTATAACTTGTTTCTGTTAACTAAATAACTAAAAGACCTTGACACTATGCCTGAAAATGAAAGCGATGTGGCTGGCCCTTCGAAAAAAAAGGTGGATAAAAATCAATCTGCGGAAAGCTTAGTCGTTACTGTGGACAAAAAGGCAGACAAGAGTGACGGGGACGAGACCAAACCGCGTATAGTGTTAACATTTAGATCTGAGAAATCGGGAACTAAAAGTAGTAACATGAAGATAGTTTCTAACGAGGATAAACACGAGGAGTTCTCACCGAGGCGTTCTAGCAGGACGAGAGGTAGGTGGGAGTGGTCAGAGGATAATGACTCTGTGTCACCCAAAAAAGACAAAAGTGTAAGCCAGTCTGTATCTGAAAATGATGAGGCATCTGATAGTTCGCACACTACGCCCAAACGCTCAACAAGACGCCGAAGCAAAGACTCTTCCGATAATGTCCTAGCTAACGCTATAGCAAGAAAAGAAAAATCATATAATGAAACATCTGGTCCTACTCAAAGGCTGTCCCGTCGTATAAAACCTACTGCTAAGGTATTAGAAAATGAGGAGCTACGTATTGGTGTTGAATCTCAGAATAATGCTCGGCTCGGTTTACAAGATAAGCAGGAAGAAGGTGTACGGACTAGACGCTCTGCTAAGTCCGCTGCCTCTGAAGGTACTCAGAATGTGGAGAAAAAGGATAAGAGTTCAAGGGTAGAAACTAGAAATTCTAATGATAAAAGTCAAAGCAAAGTGATGAAACTCAAGCACTTGTGTGAATTGGGGTTGCAGGCAATTAACTTGGACTCAACAGAGGATGATGTGGAGATCAGGTAAATATTGCACAAGACACAATTGTAAATCTGTGTGACACAGGTTTTTTTTACAACACAGGGGGCAAACGAGCATATGGCTCACCTGATGGTAAGTAAATACCGCTGCCCATGACCACTTACAACACCAGTGGTATAGCAGGTGTGCTGCCAGCCTTTTAAAAAGGAATATGCTCTTTTCTTGAAGGTTATGATGTCATATCGATTCGAAAATACTGCTGCTGGAAGTTGATTCCAGAGAGTGGTTGTGCATTTAAGAACGCATGGTGGAAGGCCACTACTTGTCCAGATAGTTAGAATGATATACATATATATCATAATATACTTTGAAACTTTAAACAGGCGGAGATTCTATGAGATCTAGAGTGTTTAATGTATCTTCCTTGAGGAGGCCCATTGATTGTTAGGAGAGTTTTCAGTAGTCTAATACAACTTTATATTAGATAAAATATGAGAATCTTTGCCATTATTAAACTCTAAAAAAATATTTGAATTTTCCCTAGAAGCTACAGCATGAGGTTCTTCAGAAGGCCAGAATAAGGTTTCTTAAGGATCAGCAACATGCTCATGATATCTCTGATGTTACAATCTTGGTGTTTGCTTGCAAACTTGCTTGTTTGTCACCATATTAGTGTAACTAAAAATATTTTATTCGAAAAATTTAGTTTTATTTACAAATGTTCTATATTATTTAATATGAATGTTTATTAACCCAAATAAATTATGACATTTTTTTATCAGAGACACAGAAGATAATGAAATAGAAGTGATGGATGAAGATGAAGAAGAGGAAATTGATGATGACTCTGAAGTTATCAGTAAACTTCTAGAGGCTGATGAAGACACTGCCTCTGAAAGCAGTGATGAAGAATTTTACTGCTCTGCAGAAGCATCAGAGACAGAACGACCAAGGCGCTCCCATAGACTCAACTCCACATATGGAATGAATGACAGTGATTGTTCATCACCAATAGCCCATGGTGATGAAGAGAAGTAAATATAATTTTTTATTACTTTAAAAAATTGCATTATTCCTGCTAGAATTGGAAACATTACAATATATTTTAATGTATATTTTATTACATATCATGACTAATTTGTGGCATTGTAAAAAGGTTTATTTTTTTTTTTTCAAGGTATTTTACTTTATATATTACTATTAACTTACTTAGTATTATTATAATTTTGTCGGAATTGGCAGGTTTTTAAATATTGTTATAGATTTGTACAGTCCATGTTCTAGCATTGTTGTTAGAATGACTACTATTTCATGTATATAGTTTTATTTCAGATTTAATTTAAAACACACCCACATTCAATGTTGCAATGATTACTATATATTTTTTTTTACTCTACATTTCTGCAATACCAAGTAGTAATCCATGTGGTCCTGGCATAGAAAGGGTAATCTCAAGTAAATCCATTAGTAAATCCTTTTACATGGGTGTCATAAGATGTGATTAAGAGAAAATGGTCAAGGGATAGGCAGCAGTGTCCCTCTTAAAATGTCTGCCAATCATGGTAACTACTGCATTAAAACTCCCCTTGTGAGGAGGATAAGCTTTCAGGGTACAGTTTTTTTTTTTAAGGATGATAATGAAATGGTAACACCATCCGCGCTATCGGTATACACAGGCGGGGCACCAGTGAAAGATGATAGGTGAGGATGAAGTAGGTCAGTTAGCCCATTGTGACGAATTCAACAAGAATTGTTCACGATGGTTTCCAGGGGGAACCACGTGGAGGTTGACCTAATAAGGCATATTGCTAGCAATGGGGCTGTCAAACTCCATTGCTAACAATCCCTTTCCCCCCTCAGTGTACAGTTAACAGCTGATATGATGAAATAGTAATTCAATAGTACTTGATATATATTTTAATTAGTATATAATGTAAGTAGTATATTCATTTGTTTTAACATTTATTATATAAGTAGGTAGATATTATATGTATTTATAGTGTATGTATTAATGTAATATTTTATTTATCTACATATGTGTTTATGTATTAATAGTTGTAGCACTTCAGCTGCCCGCTAACGAAATGCTGTCTCACTGTATTGTGTTGACTGGAAGAGATCTCTGTCAGAGATAAGTCCACCCTTGCTTACAACATTTATAAATACATTATTTTATATGTAACTTACAAGTGAATGTATATATATATATATATATATATATATATATATATATATATATATATATATATATATATATATATATATATATATATAAGGTTAATTAGTGTAAAAAATTACTCTAGGGCTCCACCACGCCGGTCCTCGAGGCGGACCAATAAGCATTACATCGATGACACTGACAGGTAAGCAAGTTACATTTTTTTTAATAAAACTATTTGATAAGCTTCATTATGATAGATTGCAAACCAATTAAATTTCCAATTTAAAATTTCATGAAACTATTTGTTTAATATGTAAAATTTAAAGGAATGGCTGTTTAAAAAAGCTTTTAAACAAGTTTATAAATATTCGAATGAAGATTATTATTTTTATTTGTTAAGACCCAAACTTATTTTATATGATAACATCAATATAATTGTGGCAAAACTGAGTCCTTTGATTTTCTCTCTTTCTCCGTCAATTGTCAAACACTCTGCACTGTGCCCTGTAGCTTTCTAAATTTAAAAATAATATTAAAATTCAAGCGCATTTTGGTTTCTACACCATTCATTTTACAGAGCGTACATGCCGCGACGGAAGAAAAACCGCGCGTCCCGCGGAGAGGAAGCGCAGTCGGAAGCTGAACAAGATGATAACAGGTAACATTATTTAAATAAAGGGTATGCCATTTGAAATAAAATGTACAGTTTACTCCTATAATTCATTGTATTCTCACTTGAAGATCAAGTCCAAAATCAGAAAAAAATCTATTAATTGTAATATGTGTATCAGATTTTTATCTGATATGATTAAATTTTAATTCTATTTTGTCTATGGCCCTTTATAATCTTCTTGCCCTTAAATCAATTATTTTGGGGTCGGTGTAATTCGATTATATTCATATTACACAAAGTTTTGGTTTCTGGTTTTACGACCGGCCACCTGTCTAATGTACTACTCCTCCTTGGGAATATGTTTCTTGGTATTTAGTTAGTATCTACCACCTACAGTATGGATTAAGGAAAAAAGAGTTTTGTCTATGTTTTGTACCGTTTTGGTTGTAGTGAAAGAATGTACTTGTGTATGGGGTTTTTCAATACGGGCGTATTAAGGTTTCTTAAGGGTCGGCAACACGCGCCGTGACATCCCTGATGTTACAGGTATCTATAGGCTACTATTATATATTTAATACATAGTATGATACCAGTATATATTTGCTTTGTTTAGCAACCCAGCGGCAGGTGATGAAGGTTCAGAAGCCGCCTGCCCTGACGAGGAGTCAACAGTGGTGGCTACATGTCTGTGTGAGAAGCCAAGTAACATATATCCAGCACCTGAAGAACTTACAGGTAATTTAATGAACGAATGACTACTGAAACTGGTTTTTGAACATTAAATCAATTGTTTTGAAATTATGCTGAATGTACTACTCAATTTACCTTTATTTAAAACTAAATAAATACTCTACTATATTAAATAATACCTTTATTGTTTTATCCATCTATTTATTTATATGAAAAGTTTCAATTGAAGTGCTGAGGTAAGGAATTCCAATGAATCTTTTTACTGTAAATTATCATTATCATTTTAGCCTTTAATTGTATATTTTATTAGTATTTTAAAATTTTTGCACACTGGCAATCGTGTAGGACCATGTTTTGGTTCCATAAGTCATCACTGGCAACACACACTGGTTGGTTGATCTTCGTCTTCAAATACTTTACTATAAATTATTACCCTAAATAGTAGGATCTCATGGTATTACTTTATTGGATGCTTTATGAATAGAGAACAAATATTGTTTTGGACATCTTACACGACTTGTCATTATCTTGGCAATATTTATTGGCACAGTCTTTGTTGTATTTATGTTAATTAGTAACAACAACAAACTTTGTATGCAGAGCCAGTGTTCTGCCAAGCGATTGAGATGGTGGACGGTGTTCGCGTGGGATGTTCGCACCCGGCGCGGAGGGAGGGAGGGAAGCTGGCGGCGCTGCAGCGGGCCGGGCCCCGAGCGCCCTACGTGCTGGCGTGCAGCCTCCACGCCGCTCAGCTGCAGCGCCACATGTGTTGCCCCGCCTGCGGACTGTTCTGTACTCAAGTAAGTCGTGCCGTCTATTGTCTGTAGCGAGCGGCTGGCAGCGTTGCAGCGGACCAGCTAACCGCTATCTATCTTGTCACAGAAAATAATTATTGAAAAGTTCTATAATTTGTCTAAAGTTCTTTTAAGTCTCGTACACGTTATTTCGAGAACATCTTAAAACTGGCAAAAGCGTCATGACACAGATATTTAACGTTATATAAATGGTCCATACTCGTTAAAAACAACTGTCCTGCGTTGTCTAAGTATATTGTTTACTTTACTAGGGCATATTCTACCAATGCTCAGAAGGGCATTTGTTCCATCTTGAGTGTGGGCTACCTACCGCCGAGTCAAAGTTGCTTACTGGCTGTCCGCACTGCGGCGTGCTGTCGTACCGCTGGCAGCCGGTCAACCGCGACTGCTCGAAGGTTCACGTGCAGATGCACTGTAGCAACAAGAGGATTTTTTTGCCTGACCAAAGGGAGCAGTGGTGAGTACCTTCTCTAGTTTGATTACTATTTGTAAGTTGTCGGTTTTAGTCCGACTCGGTGGACCAAAATATTAGATATGTGTTGTGGCAGTGAAATATTTTTATAATAAAGTTCTTTTAAATTATGTTTCAAGTCACTTCTTAGTGTTATTGATATAAGTTATAAAAAATTAGTAATATCAAGTCCTTATCTATGAGTAAGCTGTATTATATAGCATAAATATATATAAAATGAGAAATTATATTTATTATAGTACTCCGGCGTATCTCAGTTTCTCAACCTCGAAGCTATTACAAGAGGATGAACAGCCACTTATACCAGAAGACCTGCTGCCGTCTAACTTGGAAGATTTGAAGCGCCTATGTGAAAAACCTGAGAGTACTGACTATGAAGAACTGCTGAGCGGCTCGCCCGCGCAGACGCTCTGTGATGCCATATTAGCGGGGGAATCCATTGAGCAGCTTATACCTAAGATTGGTGAGTTTTCTATTTAGGTAAATTTAGTACATATGTACTTGAATGCTCCATAGATAATTTTTAAAATTATTTATGTAAAAAATCTATTCTCATGTTGCTTGATTAGCTCAGTATCTTGATGACATAGATTAGACACATTTGACCTATCTTTGGTCGTGTAAAGTCGGCGACCAAACCTCGACGTTCCAAAATAGCATTCAGCGTCGCCGTTGGAAGGCATTCAAGCCTTCCAACGCACGTCGTCACATAAGACGTATAATGCGGCATTGCCGAATTTACATCGACTTAAAATCGTACTACCGAACTGACGATGATTGTTTCGAATAAACGAATTTCTTTTAATTTTAGCGTCAGTCGCCGACGTGAACGAGAAACTGGAGTGCATGGACGGCGGCACGTGTGCGCACGCGGCGGCGCGGAGCGGACGCGCGGCCGCGCTCGGGCTGCTGCGCGGCGCCGGCGCGCGCCTGGACGCGGCCGACGGCGCCGGCCGCACGCCGCTGCTGCTCGCCGTGCGAGGTTAGTGCCAGCCCGGCGTCCGGCGTCCGGCGGCCGCGCTCGGGCTGCTGCGCGGCGCCGGCGCGCGCCTGGACGCGGCCGACGGCGCCGGCCGCACGCCGCTGCTGCTCGCCGTGCGAGGTTAGTGCCAGCCCGGCGTCCGGCGTCCGGCGGCCGCGCTCGGGCTGCTGCGCGGCGCCGGCGCGCGCCTGGACGCGGCCGACGGCGCCGGCCGCACGCCGCTGCTGCTCGCCGTGCGAGGTTAGTGCCAGCCCGGCGTCCGGCGTCCGGCGGCCGCGCTCGGGCTGCTGCGCGGCGCCGGCGCGCGCCTGGACGCGGCCGACGGCGCCGGCCGCACGCCGCTGCTGCTCGCCGTGCGAGGTTAGTGCCAGCCCGGCGTCCGGCGTCCGGCGGCCGCGCTCGGGCTGCTGCGCGGCGCCGGCGCGCGCCTGGACGCGGCCGACGGCGCCGGCCGCACGCCGCTGCTGCTCGCCGTGCGAGGTTAGTGCCAGCCCGGCGTCCGGCGTCCGGCGGCCGCGCTCGGGCTGCTGCGCGGCGCCGGCGCGCGCCTGGACGCGGCCGACGGCGCCGGCCGCACGCCGCTGCTGCTCGCGTGCGTGCGTCCGGCGTCCGGCGGCCGCGCTCGGGATGCTGCGCGGCGCCGGCGCGCGTGGACGCGCCGCGTCCGGCCGCACGCCGCTGCTGCTCGCCGTGCGGGCCAGCCCGGCGTCCGGCGTCCGGCGGCCGCGCGGCTGCCGGCGCGGCGCGCGCCTGGACGCGGCCGACGGCGCCGGCCGCACGCCGCTGCTGCTCGCCGTGCGTGCGCCCGGCGTCCGGCGTCCGGCGGCCGCGCTCGGGATGCTGCGCGGCGCCGGCGCGCGCCTGCCGCACGCCGCTGCTGCTCGCCGTGCGAGGTTAGTGCCAGCCCGGCGTCCGGCGTCCGGCGGCCGCGCTCGGGCTGCTGCTGCTCGCCGTGCGAAGTCAGTGAGTCCAGCCTCCAGCGGGCGGCAGGCGGCGGCAAGACTACAAATCCAACGGCGATCGACACTATAACTAACTTTGTTATAAATCAACACATGTTGCTTCTACTCAATATTTGGGAGGAAAGGGATTGTTGGTAATGGAGATCTAACAGCTTCATTGCTAGCGTTATCAGGTCAATCTACATGATTCCCCCTAGAAACTATCTTGGTTAATTTTTTATGAATCTGTCACTATGTGTCTACTAAATTGTTTCGTCCGCGTTTACCATTTCATTATTATCCTTTAAAAAAGACTCAATTTTTCTACAAATACTGAGTTTTTTTTTTAAGGGATAATAGCAATTATGGTGCTCTCATGTTTATATAATAATTGTAATAAAATAATTGTAATAAAATTATTATCATTTACAGAATTGGTTGATAAAAATGACGAAATCAGCAAAAAGTTGAAAATAACGAAAGACACTACAGAAGAGACGAAATTAGATGAAAATAAGGAGGAAGACAAAGAAGATGACGAAGCAGCTGATACGAAACAACAGACTGAAATAGAAAAGGATGAAAAAGAAACTGATGAACTCAAACCTAGTGATGAGGACCTGTTAAAGGTGATCAGATACTTGATTGCCGCAGGCTGTGATGTTAACTTTCCGGTAAGTAAGGCCTACATTATAGTATATAAATCAAATATATATAAATTAAATTTGTAATGTATTTATAAGTATTATTTGTAACATATAAAAAAATACATTAACTAAGAATAAGATGAAATTAATTGTATGTGGTAACATTGGTTGTGTACTCGACTTAAGATATAGATAGTCTAATGATTTTTGTACATTACAATGATTTTTAGTTGCCAATCATCCGCAATGGAATGTCAATGTTTGATATATTGGTGTTTTGTTGTGGATAATCGAATTGCATTTGTTACTTACGATCATACTTCACGAAGTTGGTTCAATACATCAACGTAACGTCGCGGAATGTTTGCGTTTGGCTTCTGTTCGGTTGTTGGCGTACGGACCTTTGATTGACGGAAGATTAGCAACTCTGCATTGTGTGTACGTTTTATGAGGTATTTCACATTCAATGGTGGCCCAAATATGCAGAAAATTGTGCTAGTCTTAGAGTACTATAATTTGGAGATTCCTAATGCTAAATATTATTTTAAAAAAATAAGGTTCTCAGTGTGCTTATATTTTTTTTTTTTTCATAGTTCTATCAGTTGTAATTTGCATTGGACTTCTTTTATATCTGAAAGAATTGATCGATCTGAGAAGCAAATCGATCTCATAGAGGTTTTATCAAAATTGGTCAGATAGTTTACGTTTTGAAATGAAAGTAACTGGTTTTGCTATCGAAGTCAGTTCTTTTTTTTTTTGTGAAACTCAATTTTGAACTTTTGACAAGTGTGTGTTGACGTGTGGTGTGTATGATACAGGGTCCCGAGGAGATGACGGCGCTGCACGTGTGCGGCGCGCGCGGCGGCGCGGCGGGCGCGGCGGCGGCGCGCGCGCTGCTGGCGGCGCCCGCCGCGCGGCCCGACGCGCGCGACGCCGGCGGCTGGACGCCGCTCGCCTGGGCCGCCGACCACCAGCACCCCGCCCTCGTCAGGTACGCCCTCTCGTCGCCGCCGATACTTACCGCCGACACTTACCGCCGCCATACCGACGACACACCGCCGACACTTACCGCCGCCACACGGCCCACACACCGCCGCCACCACCGACACACCGCCGACACATCGCCACCGCACCGCCGACACACCGCCACCGCACCGACACAGGGTGGAAAGGAACTGTTAGCAATGTAGACTAGCAGTCCCATTGCCAGTTTTTTTTTATGGATGATAATAGAGTGGTAACCCCGCCTGCGCTAAGGGTATACATTAGGAGGGCACCAGTGGGGGATGATAAGTGGATAATGAAAAAGCAGATCAGTTAGCCCATCGTGATAAATATACCTGGAAATCAGCACGATGGTTTCCAGGGGGAACCGCGTGGATGTCGACCTGTCAGGGTATACTGCTAGCAATGAGACTAGTAGTCCGCATTACAAACAATCCCTTTCCCCCCAATCCCATTGCTGGTGTCCCCCTAGAAATCATCGTGCTGAATCCCACGTGTATTTATCACGATGGACTAACTGACTTGCTTCATCCTCGCCTATCATCCTTCACTGGTGCCCCGCCGGTGTATACCGATAGCGCGGGTGGGGTTACCATTCCATTATCATCCATTAAAAAAAATCGCAAGTAGACAATCCAAATCGCTATAGCGACAGTACGGTCTTTCTTAGTACTTGAGAGGTATTCTGAAAACATAAACTGTCGTTCGACTAGAGAAAATTCACACCCTTTCTACTTGATTCAGTTGTTTACTAGATGAACATGTATCTACACATATACATATACATAATAGGTATATCCGGGGGGAAGAGATTGTTAGTAATGCGATCTATCAGTTCCATTGATAGCAATATACCCTGTCAGGTCGACCTCCACGCGGTTCCCCTGGAAACCATCGTGGCTAATTCTAATTGAATTCGTCAGGATGGGCTAACTGGCCTGTTTTCATTCTCTTCGATCACCCTTCCCTGATACTCCGCCAGCATAACCCGTTAGCGCAGGCGGAGTTACCATTCCATTTTCACCCATCAAAAAAAAAAAGTAGGTATATCCGCGAATTAAGATCGATCCTATTCCAGAGCGATATAAAACCACTTCTATTGTCTATGCGTTTTTAGGAAAAAGCTTCTTTTAATAAGTAGATGACATAACAAAACCAACTTTAAAAATATTTCAGGTTGTTTCTATCGGCGGGAGCGGACGCAGGCACAATTGACAACGAGGGCAACGGGGCGATCCACTGGTGTGCGCTGGGCGGCAACCAGGACGCGCTGCTGCAGCTGCTCACCGCCGCGCCGCACGTGCTCGACGCAGGCAACGCGCACGGCGACACACCGCTGTAAGTAGCGCCCCACATGACCGCTGCAGCCGCTGGCCGCCGACCAGGACGCGCTGCTGCAGCTATTCACCGCCGATTGCTGAGCTGTATGTGCTCGAAAATAAATATACTGTTTCTCCCATAATACCTCCCACGCGTTCCCACTCCTGAGGACTCCGGTGTTATTCATCTCTACCCTGTAAATTCACAGCCATATCCCACCCTTCAAACCGAAACACAGCCATGCAAACACAACTGCTTCACGGTTGAAACGTGAATGGGACAGAGGTATCCAAGCAAATAAATAAATAATAATAAATAAATATATTAATTCGTGCTTTAAGAATTTGAATATCAAATTTATTTATATACTGTATGCCATACTGATGCCGCAAAATTATAAATCATGTACATCCGCAGGCACGTGGCAGCTCGCCAGGGACACTACGCCTGCGTCGTCATATTGCTCGCTCACGGCGCACGGGTGAGTTTGTGAATTATATTAAATTATATTAAATTATATTCTTGTTATTCTTTTTTTTTATACCACTGAGGTGGCAAACTAGCATACGGCCCACCTAATGGTAAGTGGTTACCGTAGCCTATGAACACCTGCAATACCTATTTGTTAATTTTAATACTGGCTGTTGATTGACACTGAGATTTTTTAGAACATGTATTATTTTTAATTTTTGTTATTTTATAACTTGTCTTGTGGTTTTTTTACTAAATTGAATATTTTATATTACAAATTTTTATTTACGTTTTACTACTGCATTTTGTTGTTTATGTCAGTTTTTATGTTTTTTAATTTTTATTTTATAATTCTCTTTTTCAAAGGAAAGATTATTAATTACTATATCATTGAAATATTTCTTCTTATATCACAAATGTATCATAGTCCGCTTATACTGACGATCGATTTTCGGTTTATGTACAGACGGACATAGCGAACAGCGCGGGAGAGGTTGCAGCGTCAGTGTGCGCGAACGAGAGGTGCGAGGCGGCCATCTCGCTCGCCATGCACATGCGCGCCGCGGGACACGCGCCGCCCCCGCGGCTTCTATCCAAGTCAGTATCGCTACACCCTGTACCAAGTGAAATTCAACTTAATGACGTTGTAACAAAGTTTTAGTTTTCATATTTGAAGTGTTACGCATAAATACATATATTATTTATTACATTTTCTTTTTGCATTCTAAAAAAACTTACTCAAAATATCCCTAGAAATCCCTATGGGGCCCAAAGATGAATTTCGAGGATACATTAAATAGCTAAACCGCCAGACTTTATATATTTACATCAAAACTCTTAAGCAATTAAAAGTGTTTACCGCTGTTTTGATTACCAAAACAATTCAACTAAATAGGTTAAATCTTTTAACTCTTTCCTTGCTGTTAATACTACACGTAAGAAATATTGTCTATGGCACGTAAAGATATGTACATTGTAATCGTATAGCGACATCTCGCGCGGCCGCGAGTACTACCCGGTGCCGTGCGAAAACGAGGTGGACGACGAGCCGCTGCCCGACGATTTCACGTACGTGACGCAGCACGTGATGCCGCAGAACATCGCCGTTGACTACTCCATACCCACCATGCAGGTGAGACGGCGATAGAATGCTTTTTTCTATAATATAGGGAGCAAAGACTCATAAACATCTGCAACCAGTGGCGTAACAATACCATCTATGGTCCATGATAAATCCATTGAACGACATCCTTTATCTAAAATGTTGTAGTTTCATTTTTATATAACTCGACAATCAAGTAAATTTTACTTTACTGGCAGCTGATTTAATAACTATTATAAAAAAAATGTAAAATCTTTAAATCAAAGATTAAGAATTATTGTTATATTTTTTATTCCTTAAACATATATTCTAAATTTGAAACTGTTCCAAATTTGAAACCGCTTAGTGTTGACTTATGTATTCATGTGTACAGGGTTGCTCGTGTGCCCAAAGTTCAGAGGGCTCGGACGGCGCGTGCTGCAGCGCGTCGTGCGCGTGCGTGGCGCTGGGCGTGCGGCGCTGGTACGACGCACGTGGCCGCCTCGCGCACAACTTCCCCTACCACGACCCGCCCATGCTGTTCGAGTGCAACCAGACCTGCGGCTGCGATCTCGTGCGTACCACGCCCTCTGCTCTACCGACTCTACTATAGTTTTTGAATTATTTTAGTGTAGCTATTTATCTTTGAAAATTTCATTTTTTTTTTTATTTATAATTTATATTATTGATATTTTAAGCAAACTTGAGACCAATTCTTGATATACAAAAAATCGTAAGCGAATTTTCATCGATTTAAATATGGATTCTAACATTTGCATGATTCTTCTCTGACTACCTACGGCTTTATTCACACTTATTACTTATGTAATGGAATTTTGTCTACTAAATAATACAATATGAACTTATTTTTAAATGGATATCCTCAGTTAACAAAATTATAATATAAAAAAAAAACTTTTCAGTTCTAGTTCGAGTTTCTAATTGTGTCAATATATTTCAAGTATAAAAAAAAAAAGTTGTTGCCAATTCAAAAACATTGTCGACAATTATCGTTTACAGAGGAAATGCGGCAACAGTGTAGTGACGAAGCTGCTGCAGCGCGGCTCGCTGGGCGTGCGCACGGCGGTGTTCCGCACTGGTGCGGGTGCGGGTGCAGGGGGCGGGGGCGGGGGCGGGGCGCGGGCCCGCGGCCGCGGCTGGGGGCTGCGCGCGCGGCAGGCGGCGGCGCGCGGCGCGGCCGTGGCGGCCTACTGCGGCGAGCTGCTGCCGCTGCCGGAGGCCGACACGCGCGCCGCCGACCAGTACATGTTCGCGCTCGACGTCAAGCCCGACCTGCTCGAGGTGCGCTCTGACCGCTTTACACGCACTCCACTCAAAGTTATAAGTAAAAATCACAATAAAAAAAAAAAAAAAGATAAACGTGTACACAACTTTGTTACTGAAATGTGTAAACACACATACAATCAATTGTGATTGTATGTCTTCACTTCAGCAGGAGCAAATAAGTTATAGACGTGTTCAAATAAGAATATTTTGAATATTTTTATATATATTTTTTTTTATACCACTGAGGTGGCAAACAAGCATACGGCCCACCTAATGGTAAGTGGTTACCGTAGCCTATGAACACCTGCAATACCAGAGGTATTACGCGCGCATTGCCGACCCTGAAGAAACGTCTTTACCCCCTTTTGAAGAACCCCATGCTGTAGTCTCTTAATGTTGTAATTAAAGTTGCTTATTTCACTGTCGTATCTGTGTATTTATTATCAAACACAGGCAAGATTTTACTAATTTAATTCTAAACAGTAGAACATAAGCAATATATATATATATATATATATATATATATATATAAGTATAATTTAGTAGTTTTGTTTTGGTCATTATTTTGTATGTAGTTTTTATCATTCGTTAACATTATTTTATTATTTTTGTATAAAAAATCAACATATGCTGTTTCATCTCTGTGTGTGAATGTTGAATCCAACTATAATTGGATTGCAAACTTATAATGCTATTGTTGTATTCTATTGGTAAAACTTTTGTTTGTAATCTGTTGATGTATCATAGAAATAAATAAATATCCCCGGCAGCAATGTTCTGAGAAGAGCTTGCTGTGCGTGGACGCGGCGCGGTACGGCAGCGCGGCGCGGTTCATCAACCACAGCTGCCGACCCAACGTGGCGCCCGTCCGCGTGTACACGCACACGCGCGACCTGCGCCTGCCCACCGTCGCTCTCTTCGCCACGCGCGACATCGCACCGCACGAGGAGCTCACGTGAGTCACTCACACGTACTAGTATGCACGTTGTTCGCCCAACAATGCACGCACAGGGGGGAAACAGATTATTATTAATGGAGACTGAGAATCCTATTGCTAGCAATATACCCAACCAGGTCGACCTCCTCATGGTTTTCCCTGGAAACTATCATGGTTAATTCCTGATGAATTCATCATGATGGGCTAACTGGCCTGTTTTCATTCATCGATCACCCTTCACTGGTGCCCCGCCAGTGTATCCCGTTAGCGCAATGGCAACCCCGCCTTTCCATTTTCACCCATTAAAAAAAAAACAATGCACGCACACACTTCCACACCCATGCACATTCACAACTGTAGTGAATTTACGTATTTGCCTCCAGTAGGCTATTTCACGATCATATTTATTACATTTTTTAATAAATGGAATTGTAAGTTTATGATTATAAATAAAAATTCGGCCCTAACGTTGCCGTCCCTAAAGTCTGACGCCCAAAGCCTACGCGGCTTGCTGGTAAATTTTCCATTGATTCACGCACACACATGCATATTCGTCCAAGAGTTTCAAATGCCATTCACACAGCCTCAGAATGCCCCTATGTCAGAACTCACCTACCTATTTTAACAGGTTTATGGCATCGTTACGTAATGAAATAAAAATATAGTATTAAATTAAAGTATATATAAAGAGACAATTTCTATTACTCTTTTGAATTTCATCATCCTTTTTCTGTACCTTGGATTTGCTTGTTTAATTTCAGATTCGATTACGGCGACAAATTCTGGTCTGTGAAATCGAAATGGATGAAGTGCGAGTGTGGCGCGTCCGACTGCAGGTACCCAGAGAAATCGGGAGAAGACAGCGAAGGCTAATATAGTACTATAAATAAATCCAACTTTACTATTACTAGTATTTATTATAATAGAATTTTTTAAGTGTACAAACTACACTTTACAATTGTCTTAAAACATAGATGATAAGCGTAACTAAATAAACAATATATATTTTAAAAATCTTTTCGTTTTTAATTCTGTACAAGTGATGATTATGTTAAACGTGTTCTCCTTCCACTCCTCTTTCCGTTATCTGTTCACTGCTAAACATAAGTCCCTATAAGCAGGCGGATTGGCAACCGCAGTAATGCTTTTGGTGTTGTTTTAAATGGGACACTGCTGTCCACTCCTTTCATTCATTCATTCATTTCAGCCATCCGTCCACTGCTGGACATAAGCCTCCCCCATAGATTGCCATAAAGAACGGTCCTGAGTCACCTGTTAATTAGCTAGCCATTAAAATCATAAATAAAGGGGGGGGGGAAAGGGATTGTTAGTAATGGAGACTGAATCCCATTGCTAGCAATATACCCAACCAGGTCGAGCTCCTCGCGGTTCTCCCTGAAAACTATCATGGTTAATTCCTGATAAATTCATCGTGATGGGCTAACTGACCTATTTTCATTCTTATCTATCACCTTATATCACATTATTGGTGCTCCGCCAGCGTATCCTGTTAGCGCAAGCGGGGTTACCATACCATTTTCACCCATTAAAAAAAATCATAAATAATATATTATACGAAATAGAAATGCAAATTGTATAATATATATTTCGCAACATATCAAATTAATTATGAGATAAATTTAAAAAACCTTATCATACTTATAAAGCGATTTACTCCGACTTCACATGGATAGATAGGTAGAATTCTAATTAAAAAAAAAACCTATGTAATTTGTTTATAAAGTAGCGTTCTGTAGGTAAAAGAACTTTTAAAATCTGTTAAGATTAATTGAGTTTATTACGAACAAAAAATATTAATATGTCAATGAGATAGAAGACAATTCAAATACGGGGGGGGGGATAGTAATGCGGATACCAGTCCCACTGCTAATAATATACTCTGTTAGGTCGACCTCCACATGGTCCTCCCTGGAAACTAGCGTGCTGAATTCCAAATATATTTGTTAGATGGTCTAACTGACCTACTTTTTCATTCTCACGTATGTTGTCTATTTAGTTTGTGCATGTATGAGACCTCATTAACTCGAGTGCCCCGCCAGCATATACTGTTAGCGAAGGCAGGGTTACCATTCCATTACGCAAATACTTAGATAATGGAGTTTACAATTGGATGGATTGATTGGATTGGATACGTTTGGATGATACAATTTTCTATTAGCAGTTTTAAATTTCTTAATTGTGATCATATAAAAATGTAAAATAATAGCAAAAAGTAGGTATATAGTCAATTTTTATATTATTTTTTTTACATTTAAAAGTATCTCAAAATCAATTTTCTTTATAACCGCATTATACATATGTAAAACGGAACGCACAAAAGTTTAACGTCAAAACTGACATCTCGAAGAATATTTGAAAATTTTCGAATAATAGCTGTTATTTGCATTATTTAGACATTAATCTGTGATAATTAAAACTAAGAATAAGGAAAAAATATAAAAAAAAAAGAAATTTATGAAAATGTACTTATTATCTGAAAATTGACAAATGAAATATTGAAGACTATGACCGAATAATTGAAGCGCCAAAATTTTTAAAAAACATTAAAATTTCAGACAATTTATCATATTGAAGACTAGGCAGTATGGTCTCCGACCTTAGCCTGTTCCACAACGGAACAAACATACTAAAAAAAATGAAAACTTTCAAGTTTTTAACGGATTTCGCAAAAATATTGTTTTCTTTCTCATAAAAATAATTGTATTTATAAAAAAACAAGAGTGATATTTAAACTATTTTCATTACCAAATGTGTAAATTACTGTAAAATCATGGGTAGCAACAGTGAATCTACATCAAACAGTATCAAATTTGCTCCAATGCCGATGTCGGCGCTTTTGGCCAATTTGATGTCCTTACAAAAAACTAATAGCCCAGATTTGAGTTTCGCTTCAGATGACGAAAATGATAATTCTGTTTGTGAAACAGTAGTCAAGAAGCCAACCCCAAACAACCTTAGTAAAGATTTTCGAACCCCCAATGTAAAAACTTCTAAATATGAGGATATTAAAGCTTTCGCTTCAGAGAAGAAAGTTTACGGCGATCATAACAAAGAGAATTTACGGCAGGATTGGATTTCTAATCAAACTTACCCGAACAAGGATGGTCAAATTATTACACCCATTAATAATGTTCAGAAAAGTGTTACCGATAATCTTTACCAAAGCACCGATCTTATGAAACGCAGTGCACTTATTCCACACAATAACAACTCAAAAGTTGCTCCTCAAATTAATATCGTTCATAAAAAATCGCCAGAGATTTCAAAAGTACCGAACAGTGTTCAGAAAACGAAAATTGCTACACCGAAAATAAAGTCAGGAATACGAAAGTTCACTCCAGGATCAGGTAGGCTTAGTCAAAAGAAAACACCACAGAAAGTTGTGGTACAAAACAGAGATAAAGTGAGATGTGGATTATTTACTCAAAACCCATCAAAAGAGGAACAGTGTCCACTGCCACGACAGGAGGTAGTCCCAGTACCGGTGCCTGAGACACCAGTAAACAGAAAACCAATGCCGGCTTCATATGTTGCCACACCATCATATCCTCAAGGAGTGATGGGCAATAACTCTAAAGTGCTGTTAAAAAGCACTACCATAAAAGACAAAAAGTATATGTTCATAAAGAAACTGGGCACTGGAGGCTCTAGTGAAGTTTATAAGGTAAAATTTTTTACTTTCTTATAAGTTTATTCCTCTCTATATGATACCATCTATTATTAATAATTTGTCGTGACAAATTATGCTCTATAGTTTACTGATAATATCAAAGTATTTATTTTCCAATTTAGAATCAATAATAATTAATGCTTTAAACTATTATTTATCCCATAAACCATGGTCATACTATAGCCTATGTTCTTGGTTTTGTTTCTTATGTAAATGTGACAGGGGGGAGGGGGGAACAGTAGATGGTATGAATTCAATTATTTATAGCTAGATAGATAATTTATTTGGATCACTTACAGCACATAAATAACCACAGGCATAAATGGACATGTGGGCACTAGAACATACTAAATATTATTTACTAGTTTTGTCTATGACTTTTTGTGACCATAATAAATAGGTTTAATGCCTAACCATTAAAGCGCTATGAGGTAACAAACAAGCTCACTTTCACATTTATAATGGTAGTAAGAATAACAGCCAGTTCTCCTATAAATTTATGTAACTTTTTTTATGTAACTTGGAATGACAAGCTGATGGCCCACCTGATGGAAAGTGGATTCATTCCTGAGGACTCAGGAGTTATTTCTCTGTACACTGTAAATTCACTGCCATTGGGATATGGCAGGAAGGGAAGGGTGGAGCTTCAAACCAAAACACAGCTGTGCAAACACGATTGCTCACAGCAGAAATGTGAATGAGGCAGAGATGCCTAAGCACTTTTGTACAAAGTCTCCCTTTGGTATATGAAATTAAAATATAACATATCTATTTATTAAATTCCCTTCAAATCTTTATAAATTTTCACATACATTATACAGACTCATATGTCAGGTACTGGAGGTGGCAACATCGTGTGAGTATGCAGTAAAATGTGTATACCTAGCGACAGACCAGGAGCTGGCACAGGGCTACATCAACGAGGTGCGGCTGCTCAGAAAGCTACAGAACTCTGACCGTGTGATACGATTGTATGACTAGTGAGTACTGTTAACTAAACAATACCATCTATTTTGGCCAAATCATCTTATTTATCTTGTAAGTTATGTGATGTATTTAAAAATGCAGCTTGCAGAACAAACTTAGGTCATGAATTACCTATCGTCCGCATATGTCTAATCTAATCCGTCTGTATAACGATAAACTGAAAAACCAAGCCTGAACTTGATATTCACAATGATTGTCACTCTGTGTTCATGGCTAAATTAAAATGTTAATGTACCTCGCCATTACATTATATTTATTTACAATTTAAAATAATTACAATTTTCATTATTTATATTACATTATTATTCATATTGCTAATGATCTTTACTCATTTAATGACATTTAATAATTTAATTCTATCTTAATGTTTATCAAACACAAGGCACGCTGTGGTTTGTGGTGTGTGTGTTTTATAGGCAACCACAGCACAGATGTAAGAACAGTTAGATCTAATCTATCAATGTATTGTATTGAAATATTTACTTGCAAGTTATTGAAGTCGCTGGCGGAAGACCCAAAAAATAAACCAATTTTATAAATATAACTAAATTTAATTCTAAAATTAATTATTACAATAATAAGTGTCTTCAGATCGATGTGTGATCCGTAAGTAAAGTTATATAAAATCAAACATAAAGGAAATGGGTATTTTTGCTGCGGGAATTGAAATGCTGACTCGACGCAGGTGTCTTTCTCGGTAGCGCACCTTCTTGCGTCATGCTAGGTAGTCCGATCCGATCGCTGTTGAGGGTGTGTCGTATAATACTTAATAGGTATCTACTACAACATACATCTTGTTGGTAATCCTATAAATAAATAAGTTACATATCTTTCCATTTGCATGTTCCTTTAAATAAAAGTTCAGAGATTTAAGAAAATATTCAGTGAATTGCAGGATGACTTATCACAGTTGAAATGGGAGCATATCGAAAAGACATCAAAAATATTTTATGTCACCTTAAATAACATCATCATGGTATCAGCCTTTAACTGTCCACTGCTGAACATAAGCCTCCCCCTTGGAGCATTTTGCCAGTAGTTGCCATGCTTAGCAGGTAGATTGGTAACCGCAGTTAGGCTTTAGAGATGTTTAAAGGGGGATGCTGCTGCCCCTCTCACCGCCTTCCTTTAGTCGCCTTTTACGAAAACCACAGAAAAGGGTGGCATATTTAAATGTATTTGATGTAAATTTAATCCCAATCCTGTCAGCCCAGAAGTGTGATTCATCTACTTTTCTTGAAACTATAATTGTAATAATAATAAATTAATAAATATATATTGTGCAGTGAATACGACCGCACGAATCAGTTCTTGCGAATAGTGTTGGAGGTAGGCGAGACGGACTTGTCGTCGTTGCTGAAGGCGCGCGGCGCCGGCCTGCCGCCCGCCCTCGTGCTGTACTACTGGGATGAGATGCTGCACGCCGTGAACTATATACACGAACACGGTTAGTTAAACTAGCGATGAACATACATATTTGAATGCATTGGGGGTATCATGGGCGAAACATTATACTCTGTTATGTCCATGGTACTGCTCATGTCTATAGGCGACGGTTATTACTTTCCATTAAGTGGGCCGTCTGCTTGTTTGCCATACTAAGTTGCATAAAAAAAATACCATAAGATTGTCTCATTTAGAAGTATAGAATATATATACGTACACACACATATACACATATATAATTTTATTTACCTTATTCCTACAAAATTTAACTTACAGTATATTTATTTATTTATAAAAAAGATATTCTAAAGTTTTTTCTTCCAATATAAAATGTATATTTGATATAATACACTAACAATGATTTATTTACAGGCGTCATTCATGCCGACCTGAAGCCGGCTAACTTCCTACTGGTGTGTGGACGACTCAAGCTGATCGACTTTGGTATCGCGTCGGCGATCAGCGGAGACGCGACCAGCGTGGTGCGGTCGCAGGCCACCGGCACCTACTCCTACATCAGCCCCGAGGCGCTAATGGGCGGCGCCGGCGGCTACGGCGTCTCTGCTGGTGATGGCAATGCGCCTATAAAGGTACTTGTTAATCTTCATCATCTCATCTTCATCAGCCTTTAACTTGGAAGGTTTTGCCAGTAGTTGCCACACTTGGCAAGCGGATTGGCAACTGTAGTCAGGCTTTGAAGATGTTTTTAGGGAAACTAAACTTTAATACTAAGGCATGAATAAGTAACATGTTGACTGCATGGGTGAGAGTACATAGTCAATTCAATGCCACCTAAGTTTACAACCAGGATAGTTCTTGATGATTATCTTATGTTTTTTTTTTGGTGGATGAAAATGGAATGGTAACCCCACTTGCACTAATGGGATACGCTGGCGGAGCACCAGTGAAGGGTGATCGATGAGAATGAAAATAGGCCAGTTAGCCCATCATGATGAATTCATCAGGAATTAACCATGATAGTTTCCAGGGGAAACCACGAGAAGGTCGACCTGGTTGGGTATATTGCTAGCAATGGGATTTTTAGTCTCCATTACTAACAATCCCTTTCCCCCCCATCTTCTATGTATTATTGTTATTTATTATTATTATTTATATTGTTCATTTTATTAATGTTACAATTTTTCGGGGTTACCTGATCAGGAAAATGATCAGTATTTAAATTTTATATTCCTTTTTTTATATTAATACTCGCCCATTATGTACTTATTATTATAACACATTGTGATTTGTTAATCTTTGTCGGGTGCCCACGATACAGGCTCGCCTAGTGTGGGGCCCATTGTATCTTGTGTTTGTAAGTTTGTATTTTTTGGCAAATAATAAATTTCTATTGAAATTTCTATTTCTATATGTTCCATTTTGTAGTATAACATATTATAGTGAGCACACGAGAGTCTTAATGTTATAAGAGTCGGCAACATACAAGTTACGTCTTTGGAATTTGCTAGGTTTAAAAAAAAATATGCATCAGTTTAAAAAATAATTAAAAATTATTCAAGGAACTTATATATCGGAATACACAGCCTGGTACACAGCTGCTCATAGTAATATGTACTTTAATCCTTAATATTTTTTTTTTTTTAATTTTGTTTTCTAAATGTGATGCAGATCTCGTTCCGGTCGGACGTGTGGTCGCTGGGCTGCATCCTGTACAGCATGATTTACGGGCGCACGCCCTTCGGCCATATTTCTAACCTGGCGAAACTAGCCGCCATACTTGATCCCAACCATAGGATCGACTACCCGCCCGTTGAACGTAAGTATTATTTAGTAAGATATATTGATGATATTTTATGTGAAATTATATTTAAAATTGCTTATTACATCACTGTATTATATTGTTTATTTAAGAGCATTTATATTTCCATTTCCACTACTTCCATCAAGATTATAATTTTAAACCATAGACTAACTATAGTTTATTTGGAAATGAAAAATTATCTCTATAGTTTTAAATACACATGTTGTTCCACAGACCTCCCTCCATCACTAGTGGACGCGCTCAAATGGTGCCTGACATACAACGCGCGGTTGCGGCCGTCGGTGCGCGATCTGCTGCGGCAGCCGTACTTGCTGCCGGCCGCGGGTCGCTCGCCGCTGCCGCCCGAGCTGCTCGACAAGCTGCGGCCGCACGTCACGCCGCAGGAGTACCGTCTGCTGTTGAGGGCGTAACTCTAGCTCGTGTGTCTACATGCATATAAAGCTAAGGACTAGTCTACGGAGAACAAAGTTGGACGATCTCATGTGTTAACTGTTGTAAATTTATATGTTCTCTACTAGAAGATAGAAAATGCGTCAAAGGTGTTTCGTCTGCGTTAAACATTAGATTGAGTTCTGACTCCATAATTAGGATAACATCAAATTAATGGTAATGTCAATTTTAAGTTTTTATACCATTAAATTCAGATCACATCAATTAGAAGTTAAAAGGCAATGTTCATTAGATGTTATTTAGTCTTTATTACTATAAGATTACGTCGGATTTCTGTCATACCTGATTTTAGAAGTCTACAGCTGCCAAATTCAACAAAGCCACGCCAGTTTCATCATCATTTCAGCCATTACCCTTCCACTGCTGGACAGACCACGCCAGCATTGATCGCAATAATTATTGCTTTTCGTTTTGTTAGATTTTGTTTCTGCAGACACGGCTTTACAAATAAGTAAGCTATTCCAACATACAAAGTAGATAAACTGTGGTATTCTTGTAAACTTTAAACGTGCATAGATGATTCTAAATATCGATCAGACTACTCGATTTTGCCTGAAAATATCTCTGCGTGGTTATCAATAGCACAATCAGGTCACGATTCCATTTTCATTAATTAAAAAAAAATACCGAATATATATGTGTATTAACCCAAACGTCATCCAAGTTGAGAAAACACACAAAAGTTTCAAATGGATTTTTTGGCTTGGTATGTCTGATTATTGAGATTTAATACCATTTTATGCGTAATAATGTACTTAATCAAATTGACAAACGAAACCTAACGCTACTCTGCTGCTGTTTCGATAAAATAGATAGACAGATATATAGATAGATAAACTTTTTATTTGAGCCATTTATGACACGTAAATTTACAAATGAGTTTATACAATCAAATTATATACAATTTTTAAAATATACAACAAAAGGTAAAATATGGAAATATGGTTTCGTCATGTGTGTCGCAGTGACTCAAATAGGCTACAGCTCAGTGATAGTTTTGCTTAAAAGCAAAGCACTGATTTTCAATTGCAGTGCTGAAGTTAGGCTACACGGACGCGTACAACAAGCCCAGAGTGTAACCTGTGTAACCAATTTAACAGCCAAAAATAAAATTGTATTATATAGATACATACTTATATAAATGATGCATAAATAATATATTTTATTAATTAATTAAACATATAATACAAATAATTCACCACAATAATTATTATGTTGAAAGCAGTCACTACCAGGCGACCAACCCAAGTTTTTGTTTAGTTAATAAATGCTGTATTAATAACTTTTTAAAAATTGATTTGGATGCAGCTAGTCTCATTAGAGGGGGTATGTTATTCCAGCATTTAGTCGCCTGGTGGCGAAAACATACGGTAAAAGCGACTGTCCTATGGATATGAACCGCCACCGGGGGCCGTGTTGATCGAGACACATTACATCCATAATAGTTGTTCAAAGTTGGAAATTTGAGTTTTGTGTACAGATATTCAGGGGATTTAAATTTTAGAAGATCAAACATAAGTACAGCATATTAATATTAATGATATGTTATCCTTAGGTGACATTCATTGTTATGCGGATGACAGCACTGGGGATGCCCATTATACGGGTCGTATCAATGTCCCTCGTTCCATCGTGGAGGACAATCGCGAACAGCAGAACGTTAACTAGAGTCTCCGATTAGGGACGACAAAACTTAGTCCAGTTTAACCCCGCTAAGAGACAAGCTTGCGCGTTCACAACTAAAAAAACCCCATTTGCTGTGGCACCACAGTTCCAAGGCACGTCTCTTACCATCTCTAAAAGCATTGGGATCCTTGGTGTCGACATCTCTAGTGATGTACAGTTCCGTGGCCACCTCGAAGATAAGGTGAAGCTGGCATCCAAAAAACTCGGTGTGCTTAATAGAGCGAAGCATTACTTCACGCCGGATCAGCGGTTAATGCTTTACAAATCGCAAATTCGGCCTCATATGGAGTATTGCTGTCACTTATGGGCGGGAGCACCTAGATACCAGCTTGAACCCTTCGACTCAGTGCAACGACGAGCTATGAGAATTGTCGATGATCCCAGACTTGCAAGCGGTATCGAACCCTTAAGTCTTAGGAGAGATTTTGCCTCACTCTGCGTGTTCTACCGCTTATACGACGGATTGCGCTCAGAGGAATTATTCAATATGATGCCTACGGCCACTTTCTATCATCGTACGGCCTCGCCATCGACAGGGAGTTCACCCTCATACCTTTTAGCCTAAATGGTCGCGTACAACGCGGTTTCAGAGATGCTTTCTCCCACGAACACTCAGGTTATGGAATGAGCTCCCTGCCGAGGTTTTCCCAAGAGACTACAGCATGGGGTTTTTCAAAAGGGGGGTAAAGAGGTTTCTTCAGGGTCGGCAACGCGCGCGTAATGTCTCTGGTATTGCAGGCGTTCATAGGCTACGGTAACCGCTTACCATCAGGTGGGCCGAATGCTTGTTTGCCACCTGTGGTATAAAAAAAAAATTCCAAGATTTTAGATAAAAAAGGCAATATACTAATAGGTCCAAGATCTTTAAATTCCTTCGGATGGTCAACTTTAGGAAGAGGAGTAATTAATGCCTTTTTACATTGATGAGGAACCACACCTGTTACAATTGATTTGTTAATTATATCAGTAATAATAGAGAGAGTATGTGGTAGGGTAAACAAAACCATATCCCGCCCAATGCCATCAGTCCCAATTGTGTTTGATTGTATGGACAAAATCATCTTGGCAACATCATTTGCACTGATAGGTTCCAATCTAAAACAAGGCGTCGATGTATTAAATCGATGAAATTTAAAATAGGTTAGCTGTGAAATAGGGACCGTTTCAGGTCCGGGTACTTTTAGAAAATGTTTATTAATACTATTAGGGTCCTTAAAGCTGTCAGGAAGATACTTATTTTTACAAGGATCTATTAATATTCTGTCCCTCAAATTCTTCCAAAACACTTTACTATTACTCGTATTATAGTTAATATAATTTTTTTTTTGTACAACTTAGATTGGCAAACAAGCTAACGGCCTACCTGATGGAAAGTGGTAACCGTCGCCTATAGACATGAGCAGTACCATGGACATAACAGAGTATACTGTTTCGCCCAAATAACCAATAATAATTGTCAAAAATGGCGTGAAAAATAATTATCAATAAGAGTTTTTAAATCAAAGAGTTGACAAGGAATTTACTTTTTGAATTGACAACAAAAAATATTGTAAAGGAAGAGGGATTTATTCAAGTACAGTCTTCATTCCTCTTGTATATTGAAATCGATAGCACTTCCAAACCCCTCAACATCATCAATAAAATCCGAAGACTTGACATTGTTTAGAAATGTGTAAAATTCATGACAGTCAGACGGTACAGACTTCAATAATTCACGGAGATCTTGCATTCTTGCTGTTGATGAAGCTATTGCCCTCTGGCCATAGAACTGGTAAGTGGATATCTTTAAAGGCAGTTATTTCAGCTCTCTTAGTACTCTTTGATATCCTTGCAGGGATACAGTCCTGATCATGGACCCGAATATTTAAACTATTGTCTTTTTGTGATCCATCATTTGAAGTGTTGGTACTACATCTACCTTGAATAGTTTTCTGTGGAGAATCGACTACCTCAACTGCATCTTTGTGTAAACTCATTTTTGCTGCAGCTGTTGTTGGAAGCTTTTTTGCTGGCGTTTTTCTTTTCCGATTCTTAGGTATTGCTGTATTTGGCTTTGGGTCGGGATCGTATACTTCAATCTTATCAAAATCAATACTACTTTGTGGAAACTTTTGTTTACGTCCGTCTGTTTTTCTGTTTTTAGTTGCTTTTGTCGATACCTGAGGCTGTGGTACTTCTCTACTATTATTGCCGTTAGAAACTGAAGACTGGTAAAAGGAGTTGAGTGAGAAATTGGTGCAAGTATAATAGAATCATTTACGCTCTCTAACATAATCATATCTTTATCCACTGCAGAAATTATTTGATTATCAATAACCTCAAAGATGATATCATTTTTGACAGCTGCTACATCTTCAAACGTGTTTTCAGTAGTTTTCAGGAAAATAACTGACTACAGCGATTATCGTTAGACTGTATACTGGCATCAAAAAAGTCGTCTGGAACTGATATGATAGGTGAATTATTATCAAAAGACATGTTACCTAAATTCACTGGTTCCAAAACCGAAAAAGAATCTGCTGAATTGGAATAGAGTGATACATTCTCTTCTTGAGCCCCTTTGCTATGCTGTAGTGATTGGGTTCCAGGTTTCAAAATTGATACCGACTCATCTGACATGACTTGTTCTGTTTGTTAAGTAGTACTACGTTCTGCCAGATTTCAAAGAGGGATAGTACATTAACGCTAAAATAGGAATAGGGCAATAGATTATTTACGTTTACATCATATACCTTTTTTATTTAATATGGCTAATGTAGGTGTACAACTTAGCTTATTTTTTAACTCATAAAAGTTTTATCTTGTTCCTCTTGCCACTTCCACAACACGTCCTTTTTTAAAAGTTGCCTTAGTAAGGTACAAATTTACTTAAAAAATTACACATACCTAAGCACTTCTGTAACTGTTTTATATTCTTTGGTACATCTAATTGGATTATTGCCTTAATATGATCTGGATCATTTTTAATATCTTTTTCTGAAATTACAAACCTACATATTTACTGTAATTTTGATTTCCACTAAGATTTTTGTGTTTTTTCTTCTGACACCATCTTTGATCGCTAATGACTGATCTAGTGTTGCCATCATATATGACATAAACAATAATTGACATATGGAACAGTGGAATTGTAAAACTTCCTCCTCTTTGAAAGAAAGTAATGGTAATACTAAAATCAGGCAATAGTTTTTAAAGAGAAATTCCAAGGGAATGTTTTTATATCCCGCTCTTCAATCTTCATTGGGGGCCAGCTGTGTATTGTCGCGTCTTCGAAGACTAACCAAAAATTCTCTTTTGGATTGGATTTTATTTAAAATTTAAAATTTTATGAAGTTAATAAAAATAAAATATACTGCAATATATAGATCAATGTCTGTAGCTGTGGTCATTAACAGTTATTGTATAACGTATTGTATATAATATTAAATATCTGACTTTGCTTAGGCCAAAGTGCAGAAGTCTAAAAATATATTTTAAATATGTATAAAATATTAACATTTATTTCATTCGAAAATGTAATTCTATTTGAGTTATGTGTAAATAACTGTGTGTCGTTTAAAATTAGTTGTGATTAATACACATGTTATTTACATGTGTATTGATCACAACTGATTTTAAACGACAGGAAATAATTTTATTGTTTAATATTATTATAAAAGTCAATATTATTTATTCATATAGGACATTTTTTTCCATTTACTCGTCAGCACATACATTATGTTCACATGTAGGTATAGTCCATTTCAATAGAATTTGACAATGTAACCAAATTAATAACTGACGCGACCAAGTCTCCTGATGTTCAATAAGTAATAGAAATAAAATCGATTGATTGATCAAATGTTTCGATACTAATGTCGTTTAGAGAGCGACTGGTCGATTTGTTACTAATTTCATTAAGAGAGTGACTGGTCGATATGTTACTAATTTCATTTAGAGAGTGGCTGATCGATTTGTTACTAATTTCATTTAGAGAGTGACTGGTCGATTTGTTACTAATTTCATTTAGAGAGTGACTGGTCGATTTGTTACTAATTTCATTTAGAGTGGCTGATCGATTTGTTACTAATTTCATTTAGAGAGTGACTGGTCGATATGTTACTAATTTCATTTAGAGTGGCTGATCGATTTGTTACTAATTTCATTTAGAGAGTGACTGGTCGATTTGTTACTAATTTCATTTAGAGAGTGACTGGTTGATTTGTTACTAATTTCATTTAGAGAGTGGCTGATCAATTTGTTACTAATTTCATTTAGAGAGTGTCTGATAATTTCAATAAAACGTGGTTACAATTTCATTAAGTTCTATTCAAACAGAATATAAATCCAAATCTCATGTCGCATGCTTTAAATCTCTGTAATGTCTCTTTTATATGCAAACGATCGATCAAGTAATAGATGTATTAGCGCATATTTTAATTATATTATTTTAATACTATTGTTTTTAGATAAATTATTATAACTTAATATAAATTATATTAAAGTAATAAGTTTTTGATGATTTTATCTTTACACCTATTTCTTGATGGGGTTTTTTTTTATGGATGATAATGAAATGGGCACCCCGCCTGCGCTAATGGCATACACTGGCGCGGCACCAGTGAGGAATGATAGGTGAGAATGAAAAGGCAGGTCAGTTGGCCTATCGTGATGAATACACCTGGGATTCAGCACAATGGTTTACAGGGGGACCACGGAGAGGTCGACCTGACAGGATATATTGTTAGCAATGGGACTGGTTGTTCGCATTACTAACAATCGCTCCCCAGTTCTTGATGGGTTAGGTAGAACAAGCCCGGTGCCGATCCTTTATCGGTATCATATATATAATACATACATTCTTTCACTTTAGCATTTTGCGATTCAAAGTCTGTAATGCTATAACAAGTAGATCGCCTTACTTACATAACATATCCGTGTTCTGGCTTGTATTTTTGATATTTTGTTCCGAGTATTTGTATATAACCATAACGATACTAACATCTGCAAGGTGGAACAAAATTGTGACCGGTCTAATCATTAGCTATTGCTGTTGCAGATTTTTGTAACATGGTGGAGTCACGGAACCCAGTAATATCACTGCCATATTTCCTTTAACTCGAAACACGATTGAGGACGAGCCTGAGACGCAAATTTTGCGAAATCACTATTTTATGAACCATCATAAACTGATTTTCAAAATAATTTTTGCTTCGTATTGGTCCTTAAAGATTTTGCTGTAATATAATATAATTAATATTTGCATGCCATTTGATGTGGCGAAACATAATGGACATCTTATAAACTTCACAAATGCAACGCCTTTTCTACAATGTTTCTAGCAAATAAATTTCATTTCATTTCAATATCAAATAAAAATTTTAGAAATTAGAAATTGCACCACAGTGTCGATCCCAATGTTCGCATACGATACGAGTTTCCTTTTTGTATGTCTAAAGTTGGAATATATTTTCGGTATTATGTATATGATGACATAATTTAGTTGGCGTTTCATAATAATGAGTTAATTGATATAAAATGTGTAAAGTATTGGAATGCCAAAAAGATAATGCCTACAATAAGTTATTAAATACCTTCTTAATGATTTTGTATTAACAAATATACATAAAATAGTATAATTTTTATCTAATATGTAGGGAATATATCTACTAAATTAATTTATTAAACTAGATAATTAATTATACTCATAGTATCAATTAAAAGGACAAATAAAAAAAAAGTAATATTAAATGAATATTTATTGAAAAGATTGTAAGGAATACAAAAATAAATATAATATTAGCGTGGGCAAACTTACATAAGTAAGAAATATGTCATTATTATCTAATAATACAATAAATAGGCTCAACGAATGAAACGCGTAGCTAAAAACGACAGACTAATTTGTAATACCATTTCCACTGGGTTCACAGTACCAAAATTAATAAGTTTTTCGTATCCAAGAATGGGCAGCTTCTTATCTCTCTGCTACTCAGAGAGAAGGAATGCATACCCGTATAAATTTACCCGTGGGCAAATTTGTGTTTAAAATATCATCGAAAGCATGCTTCTACGTTTTCGTATTGAAGACGTGTCTCGCATTCTTCCAAAACAATAAATATATTTCTAGTCGAATATCTGTAATTTAATATACGAATAATTTATTTGAAATGCACATTAATCTTATATTTTTTGAATATTCTAATATTCTCGATATAATAAGAAGCAGACAGGAAAGCATTATGAACTTTGCCCGAACAGTAACCCTGGAATACATGCACTATGATTCTTTTGCATTCTAATACATTTGTTACAGCCAACTTTGCAGAAAGGCATCATATTCAGCAGTAGAAAACAGTGCAGTGGCAAGAAAATTGTTTTAGACTAAAACCGACAAGAAAAAATTTGAAATACTTTTATCTTTCTGATACGCAATACTTATAGTAAGGCGATCATAGATATACAATATAGGGTGCACAACGAATGAAAAACTTGAGTGTTTTGCGTTAGTTTAATATGTTATAATAGTGTAGGTACTGCGCGGGCATTAGTGAATGATTAGTTCTGGAAGAGCGTGCGAGTGAAGTCGATATAGTCGAGCGCGTTCGGAATCGGTCGCTCGGTCTTCGGGTCCACGTATGGCTTCATGCGCGCCACGCAGTAGTCCGCCATCTCCTTGGTGAGGTTCTGTAACATGATCACAATGGATAGTGTATCAGAGAACTATGTTTAAAGACTAATTAACCATTTACCATCAGACGTGCAGTATCGCTATTGGCCACCTTCATGGTATAAAAAAAATTAACTGCAACTAACAAATTTCTAAAATAAGTACACAAAATCGACTCTCTCATTAGTAATCGAGATTTAAACTACATTCAATTATTCAAATTTTAACATTTTTTTTTTTTCAATAATAGTTTACCAGAGGGAGACTTTGTACAAAAGTCGATTGTTTGGGTACCTCGTCCCATTCGTGTTTCAACCGTGAAGCAGTTGTGTTTGCATGGCTGTGTTTCGGTTTGCATTAGCATAGTATCCAGTGCTTATTACTTACAGCATAGAGCTCATCCTTGGTGACGTATGCGCGGTCCTGGTGCGCGGTGATGGCTCGGAAGGCGTTCTCGATTTCCTCGGAGGACTGCACGTTCTCCGTCTCCTTGCTGATCATGAACGCCATGTACTCCTGCAGCGACACTTGGCCGTCGCGATTCGGGTCCACCACGTCTGCGTTAACATACACAATGTTACATAGAGGTCAATAATTGAACAATAAATAGATTATTCACTACCATGTTTGCTCGGAAAATGGTCCATTATAAAAAAAAAAGTATCCCGTCCTTTGTTGTTCTTAAGTACTTATATACAGTAATTTCACTGCCATATACCTTTCACTTTGAAACCAAAGCAGCTATACGAGCACAGCTTATCGGCGACAACATCACATTTGGATACCGAGATGCTCCTGTATACAACATACATTCTTCAATATCTCTGGTAATATATTTCTAATACTCACTGAGTATAGCCTCGAACTCGGGGTCGGGCTGTCCCTCCTCCACCATGGGCAGATCGTAGCCGAGCGCGCGCAGGCACGACTTGAACTCGTGATGGTTGAGCCGCCCAGAACGGTCCTTGTCGAAGTGTTTGAACATCATAGAGAACTCCTTCAGCGCGTCCTCGCTCACGCCTGAATACATGTAAGACGAGTTATTACATATCTAATATATAAAATTCTCGTGTCGCGGTGTTTGTTACCAAACTCCTCCGAAACGGCTTTACCGATATTTATGAAATTTTGTGTGCATATTGGGTAGGTCTGAGAATCAGCCAACATCTAGGGTGACCCTCCCCAAAATATTCTTTTTTTATTATTTTGACAATTTTTTTTATTTTTATTTTATTATAATTTAGCATTGAAAAATACATACAACTTTAAATTTTCATCGTTTTACAATCAACCCCTGTATTTTAATCGCGATTTTTATATTTCGCAATAAGTGGTAAAACAACGTTTACGGGGTCAGCTAGTATACATATATAATACAGATAACATGGGTGCTTGATAAATTGAGAACAGTGGGTATGGCACTACTTCCTATGCGACTGCGTTAGGTTGACTGGAAGAAATCTCTTTTAGAGATAAGTTCGCCTTAGCTAACATTGTTATTAACTTATTGTTGTTACTGTATGTTTTAGTGCAATAAAGAATATATATTATATATATATGGAAATCAGCTGTGGTATTAATATTATGACCAATCAAGATTTTTAATTTTCATTCCCAATACCTAATACTATACTTTATTGAACATGAAGTACACATGGCTTGGCGTGAATTTACAGGGTACAGAGGAATAAGATCTGAGTCCTCAGGAATGGCAATGCATGGGGGGTATCATGGACGAAACAGTATACTCTGTTATGTCTGCCATGTACACATATATGTACAAATAAATGAATAAATTTAGTGTGGCGGTACTGACCGGAATGGTTCCTGGCCTGTATTTGCTGCTCGAGGTTGTGCTGCATGCGCATGGACAGCTGGTCGAGCTGGTCCCACTGCTGCGCCAGTCCCACCGTGCTGTGCTCCGTGTAGCGGTTGTCCAAGATTAGGTGTTCCTCTAGTGCGGCGCCTGATAAAAAAGAATAATTATGCAACGATTTAATTAAGTACCACAGTAGCCCTTATGAAGTACAAGTGACCCGACCCGGTTTTGCACGGATAATTAAGGTCTAATCTTTTTTTTTTTAAATAAAATATTGTCTATGTTACTTGTTGATTATGTAGCTTTATAAGTATTTTTTTAATTAATCCAATATAAGCAAAAAAAAAAAATCAAATCTCTTTATACAATAACTCCCTATTCATAAAAAACGACAAATGTCTCATAAACCTTTTTTACCTATTGAAGTGTTTTGTCTCTTTTTTTTTGTATTACACTTCCAATTTGAAAGAAAGTAACAAAACGCACCAATAGCTAAAATAAGTCTGTATGAAGTTTCAGTTTTTTATGATTTATAAGATTTTTTTTTATTGCTGGCTAGCTTATATTAATTTTTTTTTATTAACATTAAAATTAATAATTTCTGATACATGTCAATAATTTGCGAAGATTTGAAACAAGTTACAAGAATATTAATGCAAATAATTGGAAAGCTAAGTAGACTATGGACATCCACTGAGTAATTTTTTTATAGTAGCTGAACTAAGTGACAACACCACTTGTCTGCATCACAGCAATCTGTACAGTGAATATCCTCGAGAAGTCGAGAGAAACAAGTAGTGGGGTAATGCATCAGTTGTGAAGTGCTCACCCAATTCTTCGAGGCGTCTCAAATCGGCTCTCCTGGCGCGGACCTCGCCGGCGCGCTGCCGCAGCGTGGCCAGCTGCTGCTCCAGCGAACCGGTGCCCTCCATCATCGACGTGCTGTGTAACACATGTTCATTAATTATTGTCCATAAGTATTGTCTAATTTTGTGTTTCGTTTACTTGTATTTTATTTGTGCAAATTCTAGTGGCTGCCAAATTACTATTTAAGTATATAATTATGTATTCTTTTAGCTGTTTGTTTGCCTTAAATAAATAAAAATAAAAACCTGCGGCTCATTGGCATATTTAGACTATTTCCCAAGAAAAGGGGAATCTTCATAGTGTCAACCTTATCTATCCAATGCTGAAAATAGGTCTCCCACATTGACAGTTTACATTGGAGGATCTTGCTAGTAGTTACCACGGTTGGCAAGCGTATTGACAACCGCGGTTTCATTTTTGGTGATGTTTTAAGAGGACCGCTGCTGCCTATCCCTCGACTATTTTTTTTTTTATTGGTAAAAATGGTATGGTAACCCCGCCTGCGGTAACGGGATACGCTGGCGGAGCACCAGTGAAGGGTGATAGATGAGAATGAAAACAGGCCGGTTAGCCCATCATGATTAATTTATCAAGAATTAACCATGATAGTTTCCAGGGAGAACCGCGTGGAGGTCGACCTGGTTGGGTATATTGCTAGCAATGGGATTCTCAGTCTCCATTACTAACAATCCCTTTCGCCCCTCCCTCGACTATTTAGTTCCCTCAATCGCCTGCGACGACATCCACGGGAAAGGAAGGGGTAGCTCACTCTAAGCCGGGATCACACGGCAAGGGGGAAGCGAATGATCCCTATAAATAGACGCATATGTACTCTCACACATAGTAGTTTAGTAGTTAGTTTTATTTGTATATCCATATAATTTGATTAGGTGCAATAGAAGTACAAACATCGAAATATATATATATATATATATATATATATATATATATATATATATATATATATATATATATATATATATATATATTAAATTAAATTTCATATTTATAATTTAGGAACAAGTAGAGTCCTGAGAAAGGCCAGTGTCTAGTTTTTTTAAATCAACTGCTATATTGCATATAAATATTATTATTTTTAAAAATTGTTAAAATTTTATAAAATTAATACAAAAATAAAAAATAAATATAAAAAAATTACAACATTTAATTTAGCATCGATGTAATTATACATATATAGAGATTACATGTACAATGTACAGAGAAGGACTTGTCTTTGTGTTCACTCGGCATCATGGTACGTACATATTAGTAGAATTAAGAAAAATTAAACCAATCATATTAAAGTTAGCTTGCTAGTAGATCTATTTACAGTAGCATGTGAATATTTGAATAGAGTTTCCAAGTAAAGCCAATTCGATTAAGCTGCAAAATAGAAGAGACATCGAGAACGCAGTGCGAACAACGACAGCTTGGCAAAAGTTGAGTGGACGCTATGTGACAAAGTATTTATATATATTTTTTTAATAACGCTGTTGATTAAATTTGAATTAGTTTTACATTAAATATAATAAAATTATATAAACAGACATAAAGATAATCGAAAAAAAATTACATATAGTACTTCTTGTAATTCTTTAACTTAATAACCATGTCATGTCTTTGTATAAAGATATATATATCGACTTGAAAACATGAATTTAAGATCAATTTATTTTAAACCAGTTTGTAATTGTCCATGGCAATTATATATCGAAAAATATAATAAAGAATATCAAACAATCTAAATGGATAAGAATTTAGACAAAGATATGGATTTAACAACAAATATACTTTAAAATAGGCACATTGCAGCGAGACCAACTCAGTTTTGCCAAGCGTGGAAGCGCGTCTTGCGGGTTTAGTACAACACGCGACAACCGATACATTACCCGTCCCAGCCTAGCAGCCGGTACCTGTACACCAATATACACTTCAACGTTTTGTAAACAGTGTTATTATATGCCTACGCATCGTAGTTTGTCCTGAATCCTATGTTTAAGCTTCAAATCCATTTATCTATCGGTAATTTTTTTTTATTTAGTAATATCAGTGTTACCATAATTAATCATTTAAAAATACTGTAAAATAATATCTTCTATATCATTATAAGTAAATTTATGTTCGTTTATAGAACCTTGTTTTATATTTTAGAGAAATTTTGATGAAATTTATAACACATTTTAAATCAATATTTGATAACAGAATAAAAACAAAGTGATAAATATGCGCAATAATGAAATTTTGCAAAAAAAAATATAGATGTACATAAATATCTAAAAAAAAACATAAGTTGTTTATGAGCAAACGAGTTTTTATAGATAATAAAACATGAAGTTGAATCTCAATTAAAGCTCTATCTCCATATAAGTGTTTCTGCAGATTGTTCAAGTCCAGTATTTGGTTACTGTTAAAAAATATTTTAAGAAATATACCAGAGGGAGACTTTGTACAAAAGTCGATTGCTTGGATACCTCTGTCCCATTCGTGTTTCAACCGTGAAGCAGTTGTGTTTGCATGGCTGTGTTTCGGTTTGAAGGGTGGGACATGGCATGAATTTACTGGGTACGGAGGAATAACACCTGAGTCCTCAGGAATGGCAACGCATGGGGGTATCATGGGCGAAACAGTATACTCTGTTATGTCCATGGTACTGCTCATGTGTATAAGCGACGGTTACCACTTTTCATCAGGTGGGCCGTCGGCTTGATTGCCATTCTAAGTTGTACAAAAGAGATTGAAAAATCTATTGTTATAATGCATATCTACTGAGCATTGTCAGGAGTACTACCATGGGGTTTAAGATTGCTATATTCTTTTTTTAACAACTTGTATATTGAAATGTTACTATTACTAAATAAACCGAGTGTACATACCGCGTCTCCGTCAGCCACTGGTGGAACGCGTTCGCGTGCTTGGCGAACTCCTTGCGCAGCTTGTCGTTCTCCTCCTGCCTGTGAGCTTCCTTGGTCAGCTCGACGTCACGTTCCGCTGCAATTATAGAGCGCAATTATAAAATATAACCCTTGCATTTTACTATTCTAGAATTGGATGTTTTAATACAATTTTGTAATTGACTGGCAAATGAAATTAGCTGTACGGCGAGATGGTATACGAAAAATTTATGTTCGTAAGTGGCAGCAGCATTGTAAGTGACTGACAAAAGCAAAATAAGATTTGAGATGCAACTGTGTCTCTATCCTATTATTGTATATTGCGAAGTTGGGTACGCGACAAGTGAACACAGAGGTCGGTTACACGCTGGTTTAATAGACAAAGTCAAATGACTTATAAAGGTGGACGTAGCCACCCGTACATACTTAATACTACCCACATATACAACACCTATGTATACCAATAAGCATGTTTTATGTCAGGTATTATAGTGAAATAACTATATAAAAAAATAGGTATTGGTATCAAGAGCTTCATGTCACAAAAATCAACAACACATCTAATAATTCTGGTTTCCAATTGATGTTGCAAGCTTGTCACCAGATGGACTCTAAGCTTGTAGTTCAGTGCAGTGATCTATTAATTAATCTGAAGATACCTCGTTTAAAGGTTGAAACACGTGTCGTAAAATGTGCGTGGACTGAATAGCGGTCGGAAATTGACGGCTAATATGAAAGGTTGTAGAACTTCTCTAATAATAATAGTAGTCAATGTTCGAGTGTTGGCAGCCACTCACATACTAATGGTAGTGGAATTAAACAAAATAATCAACTAAATAGCAATATGGACCTCGGCAAAATAACCCTTAGTTCAATAAAATATAAAAATTAAATTCAAGAAAAATGTGCTAACCTATAATTTTGCGCAGATTGCGCCAGGTCTCCTCGAGCGCTTCCATGGTGAACCAGGTGTAAGGGTTGGCGCCCACGTTGAACGACTTGATCTGCTCGTCGAGCGCTGCGAGCGCTTCGAAATCGCTTTGCGCTGACGACAGCGATGCCTGTTAACCATGTTGTTTTATGAGTTTTTATGAATGCTTTATGATCGTAGGTACCTTAATGTAAACATTATTATAATTTATTGCCTGCATCCATGAATAGGCACTGCAATCGAATTGTGTGGAACTAGTTTAACATGTCTAGTACGACGAGAATAACAGAAGATTATTTACAAAAAAAAAAAAAAAAAGAAAAAACTGCAACTACGTCAAATATCGAGTTGATTTAATTAACAAGTTACGTCATCATATCATTTCATCCATTAACTGTCCACTGCTGAACATAAGCCTTCCTCATAAGGAGAGTTTTGCCAGTAATTGCCACGTTTGGCAGGCGGGTTGGCAACCGCAGTTAGGCTTTTAGAGATGTGTTAAGAAAGACACTACTGCCCATCCCTCTCACATTACGTTCCTTTTGTCGCGTCCTACGACACTCATAAGAAGCGAATAAAAATAATCATATCTAAGGTTTTAGATAGTTTACCATCCTAATTACTAGACAAGGGTGTCCTACCCTTTACTTATCTACTGATAGGTAAGAGTTAGTATGAGACCTGGAACTGCGCGTGCGCATCTTTGAGGGCGCGGATCTCCTCGATGGAGTTGCAGCGCACTGGGTCCGTGAGGTCCTCCTCCGCGTTCTCGAACCACGAGTTGAATGCTGAAGCCTGAAAATAAGTATTCAATAGTTATTTAATATTAGCTGTTATTTAATACCAGCGGGGTTTTCCATATGTCTAAAGTATGTGATGTGTTAAGGTCAGTTATCTGCTTTCATTCTCATTAGTCATCTATCACTGGTGCCCCGCCATTGTATACTGATAGCGCAGACGGGGTTACCATACTATAATCACTCATTAAAAAAAACTGGGTAATGGGTAGTTCTTTCCGTTTTGGAATTTGTGGTGAAAAAGAATGAGTGCGGCGGTTACCTTCTTAGCGAATGTGAGGTAGAGCTCCTCGATCTGGCGGAACTGGTCCTGCAGCTGCAGCAGGCGCTTCTTGCGCGCGTCCGAGTCTGCGAGCAGGCGCTGCCAGCGCGCGATGACGTCCGCGTGCCGCTTCACGATGGCCGGCGTCTGCTCGTGGCTCGCGGCCACCAGCTGCTCCTTCAGCGACGTGATGTTCTGGATGCCCTCGTGCTCGAACGCCGTCAGGCCTGAGCGTGCAAAATTATCAGTTGATTAATTGGTTGACATGTACTAAGTAAATGAATTAATGCATTTTTTTATACCCACGAATAAATGAATGAGCGGTAAAAAAAAATAATTGGGATAAAGCAGGAAGATATAGATTCAGAATGATAAACAAATTGACGGCGCACCTGATAGAAAGTGATGAGTGTCGGCAATAGATACGAACAGCAATACAGACATTATATAATAACCTGTGATGCCAATAGCCACCAGCCTAAGAATAAGGAATTACATAGGAGTGATAAAATTGTCAATTTATAGCAGACTAGTGTATAGAAAATGTTATACGGTCGTATAACCCTACCAAATTCAGATACAACCTGCTTGCATACTTTTTACATACACTGTGTCAAATATATAATCTAGTAATGTAATATTTGTTATTGACAAATAATTGACATATCAAACTTTTACTATACACTAGCTTGCTATGAATTGAGAAAAATGACAACTGATAGTGTATCTTTCGCCCTCTTTTTACTAATTATATTTGCATAAGAAGAAAGGAGGCAACCATAGGATTTATAGTTTTTATTTTATCATTCCTTCTATGTAGGTAATTCCTTGTTATTAGGTACAACCTCTTGTGTTGCAATTCTATAGGTCTATACATACACAGCTTAAAAAAAGGCTAGACACAAAATATCTGCTATTTTGAATATCATATTTCCCTCTGTGTAAATGTACCATAAAGAAAATTTTAAACAAACAAAAATCTAGCTTTACAACTCGAGTACAATCATATGGCTCGTGTGGTACCGACCGGCGTCGAAGGTCTCCTGCTTGGTGAGCAGCGTCTGCACGGTGGACAGATCGCGGCCGAACTCGTCGGAACGCACGTGCGTCTCCTTGTCGGCGATCCAGGACTCCACCACGTCCGCCTTCCACAGCAGTTGCAGGTATGCCGAGTTGTCCACCAGCGCTGCCTTACGTCGCGCCGCCAGTCCCGTTAACTTGTCCAACTTGCTCTGCGGATACACCACACATTGTTGCGATATAGAAAGCAAGTAGAGGAATAAAAGTTACAATTTTGTGGTAACTTTAGACCCTTTCCCTTTGTAAAGGAGTTTATCGATAGAATCGTTTCGGTCAGTAATCGTACGGGAAAAACATTAGGCGCCAGAACATCACTATCTCTTTTTATCTCATGGATTTCCTAGTGTTTGTTCCTAGTTCCGAGGGGCCGATTTGTCACCCAACCCATTGAGATAATAAACCCAAACATAATGGTTGTATGTTATGAATACAGCACAGGAGCTTTATGGTAACATGAACAACATCTTTTATGTAGACCTAACCTAACCGACGAGGCGCTCGGCCTCGGCCGCCAGCTCGGCGTGTGCAGGCAGTTACCTGGAGCGCGCGCATGCGGTGGTGCAGTGCGTCGGCGTGCAGGTTGCCGCCGGCGACGAGGCGCTCGGCCTCGGCCGCCAGCTCGGCGTGTGCAGGCAGTTACCTGGAGCGCGCGCATGCGGTGGTGCAGTGCGTCGGCGTACAGGTTGCCGCCGGCGACGAGGCGCTCGGCCTCGGCCGCCAGCTCGGCGTGTGCAGGCAGTTACCTGGAGCGCGCGCATGCGGTGGTGCAGTGCGTCGGCGTGCAGGTTGCCGCCGGCGACGAGGCGCTCGGCCTCGGCCGCCAGCTCGGCGTGTGCAGGCAGTTACCTGGAGCGCGCGCATGCGGTGGTGCAGTGCGTCGGCGTACAGGTTGCCGCCGGCGACGAGGCGCTCGGCCTCGGCCGCCAGCTCGGCGTGTGCAGGCAGTTACCTGGAGCGCGCGCACGCGGTGGTGCAGTGCGTCGCGCAGGTTGCCGCCGGCGACGAGGCGCTCGGCCTCGGCCGCCAGCTCGGCGTGTGCAGCAGTTACCTGGAGCGCGCGCGTGCGTCGGCGTGCAGGTTGCCGCCGGCGACGAGGCGCTCGGCCTCGGCCGCCAGCTCGGCGTGTGCAGGCAGTTACCTGGAGCGCGCGCATGCGGTGGTGCAGTGCGTCGGCGTGCAGGTTGCCGCCGGCGACGAGGCGCTCGGCCTCGGCCGCCAGCTCGGCGTGTGCAGGCAGTTACCTGGAGCGCGCGCATGCGGTGGTGCAGTGCGTCGGCGTGCAGGTTGCCGCCGGCGACGAGGCGCTCGGCCTCGGCCGCCAGCTCGGCGTGTGCAGGCGTACCTGGAGCGCGCGCACGGTAGTGCGTCGGCGTGCAGGTTGCCGCCGGCGACGAGGCGCTCGGCCTCGGCCGCCAGCTCGCGCACGCGCTCCCCGCGCGCCGCCAGCTCCGCCTCCAGCGCCTCGTGCTTCTTCAGGAGCCCCTGCACCGCCGCCATGCTGTCGCCGCACTCGCCCACTACCACCAGCTGCTGCTTCTCGCTACGTAACGGTAATGTCAACATTCACAAGATTTACTACTTGAAAACAGTACACTAGTCAAGAACATAATATATTATCAATATATATCCTACATATCAAAACCAGTTTCATAATCGAAACTGAATAAACTTGACAATTACTTTTAAATAATTATTTATAATGATTCTGCTGCCCGATTTAGTACGGTGTTATCCACAAAGAGACTTAACCAATATAAATAATTATATAGAGAATTTAAAAACTTGATTGTATACTATGACTATTGCAGTTAGAATATTAACAACATATACGTCACAAAAAACATCGAAGACATACCTTATCCAGGCCTCCTCCTCGTCGACCTTGGCGAGGAACTGCTGGTAGGCGAGCGACTGCTGCAGCTTGGCGCCGCGCTCGGCGGCCAGCGCCTGCAGCTCGGCCCAGGCCTGCGCCAGCGCGCGCAGCCTCTGCTCGATCTCGGGCACGCCCAGGTTGGACACGTCCATAAGCTTTTCGCCCGCCTCCTGCACGGCCTGGATCGCTGGTTCGTGACTCGCCAGCTCCGCCTCTAGTCGCTTATGCTTCTTCAGCAGGTTCTGCACGCCGGTCAGATCACGCCCGTAGTCATCCGAAGCGACCAGTAGTTTCTTCTCCCTGATGTAGATGATGCAATCAATTGCGTTGTAATTGTAATATCAGCTAGCTAGTTTTAAGCAAGTTTTAGCCTACTGACCGTAGACAGCTTCTAAGCAAATTAATATTATATGTCTGACAACTTATTATATATTCTGGTAAATTATGGAGTAACTATGTTTACTTGTATTGTATTTTTAGTACTGGACAATCAACTTAGAGTATAATATTGGAATGGATGAATAAAAATAATTAAATAAATAGCAAACGAATCTATCAACAGAATTATTATTGCTATTGAATCCACGAAATATGTGTAGAATGAGACAGAGATGTCCAGTCTCCTGCTTTTTTTTTTTGTGTTAGTGTTATCTGAAACATATTTAATAATAAATTTGTTTGCCATTTGTCGAGAGAGAGAGAGGGAGAGAGAGAGAGAGAGAGAGAGAGAGATAGAAAGCAGAAGGAAGAGGGAGAGCGGGTGGGAGAGGGTAAAATGGAGAGAGACGGCGAGAGGGCGAGAGGATGAGAGTTAGTTAGAGAGCGCGGCGCACTTGATCCAGGACTCCTCGTCGGCGATGTCGCGGAAGAACTGGTGCAGCGTGTTGGCCTCGTGCAGGCGCGCGCGGCGGTGCGCGGCGAGCGCGGCCACCCGCTCGAAGCGCTCGTTGATGGCGGCGCGGCGCGCGCCGATGCCGGCGCTGTCGAACTGCCCGCTCGACACCAGCGCGTCCGCCTGCGCGTTCATGTCTGCGCACGCGCATACTACCACCTCAACTTCATATAAACATATTGTTTCGAGGGAAACACACTTGAACATCGTTCCAATTTTAATATTATGCATATATGCACTGAGTATCTATATCTATATATCAGAAAATCAATAGATGCTATTTTCGTAAATATTGCGGCATGTCGTAGAAGATTCAGCTTGCTCTATCGTTCAACAGATTTTTAAAAGAGAACATCAACAGCATCCTCGCTTCAAATATAGCCTGTAATAATGCAAACCTTTGATTCTATCCTCGTGCGCCTGAATGTCGGCCTCGACCAGCTGATGTTTCTTCATAAGATTCTGTACCGACGCGAGATCCTTTCCAGAGTCCTCCGATGTCAATAAACTCTCCACCTATATACAAAAGAGTAACAATTATTTTTTTATACAGGAAGAGTAGCAATCAAGCATATATTGGCAACATCTATAAGGGTTCAAAAACGTTTAAAACTCGAGAGGTATCATTACCACAATATCGACTATTATGATAGGAAGATCTTCAGTCATAATATCTAGCAAATTCAATACTATTGCACAGATTTAAAAACAGAAAACAAAACTGCTGTTTAAAAATTATTGACTTGTGATTTTTAATACATGTTTAAACACAAACCTCTCCAAGCCAGAAGTCGAGATCCTTGACGGCGGCGATGTATGTGCGCTGCTTGTTGGCTTCCTTTAATTTTAGCGATTTTTCGGTCGTCTTTTGCGTTAGGAATTCCCATTGGTCCGCAATGGAAGCTAAACGAGCCTGGTATATTAAAAAAAAAAGATTAATTATTAAAATTAGTTTATTAATGGATTGGTGGTCGATGTAAGGGCCCTCCTTATGATAGTGGTGGCTCTTCTGGGCTCACCTCTTCATTTATTAATACTCCAGTATTAGTGAAGAGAGTAGTACAGGTGAACAGAAAAGATTCAAGTATTTCTGGATTCACTGTTCATAACTCCATGAACCCAGACCCACATGTTTCTTTTAAATAGAAATTACAATGAAAAATTGTCTCCCCTATAATATCCCCAAAGCGATCTAATTGCTAGCAAAATAATCAAGTAGATCAACCTTTATATGATTCTCTGAAAACTTTTTACTATATTTTTCTCTTATTATCTCACACTAATCATGGGTAATATGGATACCGATCCGATATCTATATATTGGGTTCCTCTAGACATTGATGGCAAAAAAAGATCATCACCCATTTCGATATCGCCCATATCGGTCGCATATCTATTTCCGAATATGTTAAAAATATGTCAACCAATATTTCTTTTAGGATAACAAATTTTTTACATATTTATTATTGGACCAATATATCGATATTGTAACTAAAATATACAGACATTGCTATTACCCACCCATTTTCACTCATTAATAGTACATTACTGCAGCAGCCAGCAACTGAGGCATTGATGGACGAACGTGCAAATGTGGGCCGAGGCGCCGCCGAGGCACACATGCGTGAGTCTATCTTTCAATTTGCAAGCCAGTTCGAAATTTATATAAAACCTTTTATTAGTTACCTCCTTGGTGGCCATGTTTCGAAGTAAAAGGTTATTCCATTTTTAAATTACAGGACAGATATGAGTTTACATAGTAATTTATCTGGCCGCAAAACACGACAGATATGAATTTTCATACAACGTTTGCCGGCCGCTGCCCGCATGTAACTGGCCAGTACGGCAATTTTGATTTATCTCTAAGAAGATTGTCAAATAATGCTCACATTTCCAAGCATGTTTGAGAAAAAGATATTGTTGTTCAGATAGTAAGAATGTGGCGGTGGTTACCTGCACAGCGTCCTCGGAGCCGCTGCACTGTCCGCGCTGCACGAGGTTGCCGCCCATGGCCAGCACGGACTGGATGCGCTCCGCGTTGGCCGCCAGCTCCGCCTCGAACGCCTGGTGCTTCTGGTGCTTCGACTGGATGTTCGCCGGGTCCTATACAGCATCACGTTCGTATCATACATACAGATAGTCTTACACTTTTATTCTTAAAAACATGTTTGTATAATTTTCGTTCCTACCAAGTTGTATAAAATTTATATGTTGTGTATTTTTATTAGAATACTATAAGAAAAATTTACTAAACATGTACAAAATAATACAGTAATCCCCCCTATAACACGGTACTGTTAGGGGAGCACGGGGGAATCAGAGCCACAGGGTAATGGGAGTTACTCTAGTTTACATGCTTCTTGACAATTTAGACCCTGTTTTGTTTTAACATATTACAAAAGGACGCGGGAGGGGTGCATATGCCTCGTTGTGTCACCGTTTAGTTGACTTTTAGTACATAAATAAATAGCACGTCAGTTTTTTAAGCTATTCATCTAATTTTTGACAACATTCAAGGACAAATTGTGAGTTTTTAATTTATTTTATTATTAGTATTGCTTCTTTTATCTTATAGATTTATCATTAGAGTATCGTATAAAAAGGTTAATTTATGTAAATAAGCAATTGTATTTTGACAATTATATGAAAACCTAAAAATGAGTATTTGGGGAAATGGGAGTCGAATGGCTCTCATTATCCACTTCATTTCTTGTAGTTTTTTTTTAAGATGCCTTGAAAACGAGATAGGATTACGGATAAATGTCAGTGGAATCTGGATGTTACTACACCGTGCTATCAAGAGAGTCAATGAAAATGGAATATCTCTGCATAAGGCCGCCCAAGAGTTTAATATTCCATATAGTACTTTGCAAAAAAGATATCGCAAAGCAGTACAAACCAATCCTCGTCTCGGAAGGAAACCAATATTTTCTCCAGCTCAAGAACAAATTTTGGCAATCATCTCACATTCACATGTCGAATCTTTTTTACGGCTTAGACTTCATGAAATTTAGAAAATTAGCATACGAGTGTGCTGAACAGTTGAAGATATCTCATAATTTTAATAAGGAACTTAAATGTGCGGGACCAGACTGGCTTAAAGGATTTTTGAAAAGAAATACTAATATCAGTGTTCGCAAACCTGAGTCAACTAGTATTAACAGAATTGAGGGATTTAACAGAGTAGAAGTAGAATTATTTTACAAAAATCTTGAGGAACTAATGGTAAAAAATAATGATGCAGCGCACCAAATATTTAATGTAGATGAGACGGGAGTGTCTACAGTGCAGAAACCAGAAACAATTTTAGCAAAAACAGGTCAAAAACGAGTTGGTACTGTCACTTCTTGGGAGAGAGGAAAGACAGTCACTATTGTTTGTGCTTCTGGCGTTTATGTGCCTCCTATGTTTATATATCCGAGACAACGTCATTCTCCTCTCTTAGAGAAAGATGGTCCTCCGGGTGCAATTTACGATTGTTCAAAAAATGGATGGACAAATAAAAATCTATTTTTTAAATGGTTGCAACATTTCAAAATGTTTGTAAAACCGAGTAAGGAAAACAAAATATTGCTTATTCTAGATAATCAAAACAGCCACTCCACTTTAGAAGCATATGAATTTTGCAAAGCTAACTACATCAACATGTTGTCTACACCACCACACTCCTCGCATCGTTTGCAGCCCCTAGATATAACATTTTCTGGTCCTCTAAAAAAAGCATACAATCGCGAATGTGACCTATATCTCAAATAAAAAAATATGATTAAAATCACAGTGTATGATATGCACATGCCCAATATTCAGATAGTGATTCTGCCAAAAATTATGTTTGTGATTTTTGTATGAGGCGATAATTGTTTTTAATTACATATAATTATCTATAATTTTGCATGTTCCTAAAGATAATATAATTGTATTTTGAATGAGAATAAGTTTAGTTTATAAACACATGAGGAAAATGTATAATTATACAATATTTTGTTACATATTGTTATTGTGGTTATCATTACCCCGGTGGATCTTATTGCCCCTTTTTCTGATTCTAATTACCCCGTACTCTTGGCAATGGGAGCCAATGTTACTTTTTTTTTTAAGTAAGAATTATTTTCATTTTAAGTATGTTTTTTTTTATTTCTATATTAACAGGATAAGCCTGATTAGTTACATTATAATTAAAAGAAAGAATTAAAATAAAAAGTGATTTATACAAAAAGTTATTTAAGTTTTAGCTTAAGTGGCGCCAATTCCCCCGTGCTCCCCTATAACGCGTTTTTCTATAAAGCGGAACAAATCTATCGTGTTATAGGTGGAATTACTGTATTTTTTATTTATAATTCACTCATACATACTTTGTAGCTCTCCTCAGTGGCTAACTGCAGTTTCTCCGCGATCCAGTTCTCCATCTCGTCAGCATCGCGCGAGAACTGTTGCAGTGTTTGTTCATCTCCCAACCTATGCAGAAAGCACATGTTGAATTAATTGTCATTGGTAAAGTTTGAAATCCAGTTATTTTGTATTATATAATAATTGTTGAAAGTTTTAGATCTTTTTAGATACAAACATACAAAATTTAAAAATTTAAATTATCATATGTACATAAATAGTCTTATATCTCAAATATATAGCATCAATTATACAAAAAGACTGTCAAAGTTTTCCATAATATACGAAATGTTTGGAGTTTATAGCAATTTATAATATTTGACATAATTTTAATAGTACTATTGATCCATTTACCTGGATCTCTTCTCAATGAGCGCCTCCTTGAGGTGCCGCCAGCGGTCGAGCACCTGGCTCCGCTTGCTGTCAATGGGCGAGGCCGCGTAGTGCTCCGCCGCGATCAGCTGGTCAGCCAGCGTCTGCAGCTGGGCGATCTTCTCCTCCTGCACCGTGCAAAATAATATGTTTCAATTCTTTCTGTAATTTTGAGTTTTACATTTCGACATTATATTTTATTTTATTGGCGCGGCACGGCGGCGCTGCCGGCGTGGTCCGGCCGCTATATGCGGTCAGAGGCAGCAGACTCACGTGCGCGTTGATGGCCTTGTCGAAGTCCTCGTGCTTCTTGATGAGCTGCTCGACGTTGTCGGAGGCGTGCGGCTCGGCGGCGTTGTCGGCGTGGTCCACGGGCGCCAGGAACGCCTCGCGCGCGCCCATCCAGCCCTCCGCCTGCTCGCAGTCGCGGTAGAACAGCTGCAGTTCCAAGTTCTGGTCCAACTTGAGCCGCCGCGCCACCCACGCCCTGCATGTACGCCGTGCAACATTACCCACTTATCAAACACCAACGACCCTTCACAGCTTTGCAAGGTTTTTTTTTTTAATAAATACAGATCATTAGATAAAAGGAAATATGTCTGGATATCTAGGTTTTGTCTCAAAACTTGTGAAATATAGTGAGAGATAATAGGACAGTGTCTCGAGATAAATCCCACTTAGTACAATTTTATAGGTTCAAGAAACATCTTATAAGAATGTAATTATTATGTAAAATGAAAAATAAACTGTATATTTCTCAAGGATAATAGTAAAAAATGTTTTTACCCAATGGTTAGCTGGTAGAGAATGCCATATGGCATTAAGCTCGCCATTTGTACAAAATTTTATTGTGCAATAAAGAATAAATAAATAAATAAAAAATATTTTTAAATATGTGCAGACACTCGTTTTTAGTATGATGAATCTTTAGAGTAATGTATACATTATCTATGAAATACTGACTTTTCCAGTTCCTGGCGCGCGTCGCCCATGTTGTTGAGCTTCTCCTGTATGTCGACGCTGGCGTAGTGTCCGCCCTGCAGCAGCTGCTGCCCGAACAGCTCCAGCGCTTGGAACGTGCCCGCGCGCGCGTCCATCTCCGTGCGGTGCTCCTGTGATACACAATCGTCGTTCAATAATAACCCTTATATTTCAAGGAATTAAATTCAGAGTCGTTCGCGAAGTTATGAATCTTACGTCATTTTGAAACTTATAATTTGCTTGCTTGTGTGCATGGAGGTTGTCTATGAATATCTCGATATAACACACATGATCAGCAAATTTGATGGGTAAATTCAATTTTTATTTATATAAAACACTGATCAACTTGTCTATGATATGCCAATTGAACAGCTATACCCATTAAACTCTACTGATCATAAGCCAAACCGTGCCATTGGTGGACGACTACAAGAAAAAGGCATAATAAATTACTTGAATTTCTATAAAATTTTTATGAACACAATAATTCGAACTTACAAATAACAAATACATTAGATTTCTATATTTTTTACTGTCTAAAATATAATTAAAATTTTTTTTACTGTTATTAATTAATTCCATTCGTTTTATGAACGACATTGGGTGTTAATTTGAAGCTCGATCAATGTTACGTGAAATATCCCAAGTGAAGAAGACAACTTCAGTAAAAGAAAATAAAAATAAAGAAGTGGTTTACAAACAAAAACTAAAAAAAAAAAAAAACATTTAAATACCTGACGCACACAAAACCAAAAAGTACATACACTCAGTTCAAAATAAAACAAAACATTTATCAGTTAAAAAAGATAGTTCTTTCTTGCATATTATAATTTATGACTGTACTTGAAAACATAACATGAATCCTAAAAGACAACAAGTATTCCTATACAAGTATAGGTTTATGTTGTTTATATTGGTGTTAATGGAAGTCTCGTCATAGTTTCGTTTGTTAGACAATCAACTCTAAATCCATAGTGTAACTACCGTTTTAGTATGACAGTTGTGTTTACTTTCTATATTATGGAACTAATATCGAAGGATAGGACAGCAAGTGTAATGTATAAATATCATGGTCCACACTTATCAAGAGAAATAGTGTATTTTGCATGTTAAAAAAAATTAAATATATTTACAATTTATTTAATAAAACTTAACATTTTTAAATTTAATAACTGGGGAGGATTTTAGAATAATAGTCCAAATGTATTAATAAATGAGTTCATAAAAACTAAAACCTATTTGAACTATGACACTATTTTGTCACTTTCATTCAAACTGGGAAGTTTGCAGAAAAAAAAAAGAGACAAAACAGTTCAATAGCTAAATTAGGCTTGTGAGAGGTTTGACGTTTTTATGAATAAGAGGATTAGATTCTTTTCTCAAACATGCTTGGAAATGTAAGCATTATTTTGACAATCTTCTTCGAGATAAATCAAAATTGCCTTACTGGCCAGATACATGCGGGCAGCGGCCGGCAAAAGTTGTATGAAAATCCATATCTGTCGTGTTTTGCGGCCAGATAAATTACTATGTAAACTCATATCTGTCCTGTAATTTAAAAATGGAATGATCTTTTACTTCGAAACATGGCTACCAAGGAGGTAACTAATAAAAGGTTTCATTTAAATTTCGAACTGATTAGCAAATAGGAAGCTGTTTATTAAAAAAAAAAACAAAGGAACATTATGGTGCGTAAAAAATTATTATTGTTCGTTATTCGTCATTGAATTTAAAAAGGAAAATTGTGTTTTTGATTACCGCGCATTGTTTGAGAAAAGTTCTATACAAGCCTTGGCCACAACTAGGCATTGATGGACTCACGTATGTGTGCCTCGGCTATGCCTCGGCCCACATTTGCATGTTTATCCATCAATGCCTCAGTTGCTGGCCGCTGCAGTAATGTACTATAATGGAGAATATTATAAAATTAATGTTGCAAACAATACACAGTTTGTCGATAGAAATATTTAATAAGTGAGGACCTGTTTCATATATTATTGCATACATGTTACAACGTGTAAGATAAATAAGTAATGTTAGACTGGGAGCACACATGCGTACAATGCGTCTGACCTGCGGCATTATGCCGTACCGCGCGTCTATCTCCAAGCGCTGGTTCTAGAAATATATTCACTCTCGTTCATTTATATATTCACACGACATAGAAGAGAAACAAGCACTCTTCGGATTGGTCTTAGTTTCGACAAATACAATAATGTTTAAAGCCACTGCCGTAGTCAGCATAAAAAAGAACTCTTTCTAACATTTGATGTCTGTAAAATGTTTCTTCGATGGCTAACAATTATGATTGATACTTACTTTTTGTGTTTCTTTATTTGATATTGTAGAAATTAAAATTAAATACAGCCATTTTGAGCAAGAATTAAAAATGTATCAGAACCAGCATTATTATATATATATAAAATACTGTATACTATGTGACAATATTTGTGAAACTAAAGCACTTTCCTTAAATATATTGCTTGAAACAATAAATAAATTACTCATTCATTTAAAGAGTTAAAATATGAAAATATTTTTTTTAATTTCATTTCATTTCAAAGACACAGTTATTTTTAACTAATGTGGCTGTTATCGTACACTTCCCTACTTTTGTAATTTTTTATGGTTCCAATAAATACATTTTTTAATTATTTAATAAAAAAAAAGGACTTTTTGCAGTCATTTCAATTTAACAACGAAATTTACCTGTTCCTTAGAAAAAATTGAATTTCACGAATGATGTCATTCAATTCATTATACACTTTTCGTTACATCATCTTATATATAAATATTATCATATATATATATATACGTTATATGATAATGAGAGTTATGTTACCTGGTGCCTCTCGAGCAGCGCCTCGGCGCCGGTGACGTCGTTGGCGAGCTCGTCGGAGCTCACCAGCGCCATCATCGAGTTGATCCACGCCATCAGATCACGATAGTCCGACAGGAACCTGTCGATAAAATACTGTATTCAGATGCATCCATACATTACATAATTGATCGCGATAAAATGTAGCCTGTCTTTCTTCAAATACTGATATATATGCATTTCATGAAGATTGGCTCAGCCGTTAAGACACCATGAGATAACATACTCATAGTCACTTTGAGTATCATGGACATAACAGAGTATACTGTTTCACACATGATACCCCCCATGCGTTGTCATTCCTGAGGACTCAGGTGTTATTCCTTTGTACCCTGTAAATTCATTGCCATACGTGGGATATGGCAATTCAAGTTCTTCAAATTAAAACATAGCCATGTAAACACAACTGCTTCACGGTAGAAACACGAATCGGTCAGAGATGCCCAAGCAAGAGACTGTTGTACAAAGTCATATCTTCCGTCATCGAATTTATAACGAACGAAATGTTAGGCTCCATTTACTGGATCGTTTTCAGTATGAACTAAAACACGCAATTGAGTCGGAAAATTTTAAATTTCATTACATGGTATCCATGCATTATGTTACATACTACATTTAACAATTAGTCTCGGCATTAACTCAACAATAAAAAAAATAGTCAGTGACGTAGCTACCTCTGCAGGTCGTACGAGTCGAGCAGCTTCTCCTTGCGGGCGTTGGCCCGCGCCTGCAGCTGCTGCCAAGCCTCGTTGATCTCGCGCTGCTTGCTGTACGTGGCGTCCGCCGAGTCGCCGTGGGTCGACATCAGCCTATTCGCGGTCTCGTCCAGCTGGCGGATCTTGTCGCCCAGCGCCGCCAGGTCGCGCTCCAGACCTTCATGCTTACCTGCATTATAACGTACATTTCATTGTAATTCTTGTAATGTTATATTGTATATAAATCCTAGTGGTCTCAAACACAAGTATGTAGGGGGAAAGGGATTGTTAGTAATGGAGACTAAGAACCCAATTGCTAGCAATATACCCAGCCAGGTCGACCTCCTCGCGGTTCTCCCTGGAAACCATCATGGTTAATTTCTTATGAATTCATCATGATGGGCTAACTGGTCTGTTTTCATTCTCATCTATCACCTTTCACTGATGCTCCGCCAGCGTATCCCGTTAGCGCAGGCGGGGCTACCATTCCATTTTCACCCATCAAAAAAAAAACACAAGTATGTATAAGATTGTACACTTATTTATTTATTAAATTTTAATACACCTAGAAAGTGTAAATAAGCGGACTCAACCCCATATGGCGTTATCTTCCGCTCAGTCGCTTATATAAATATTGTAGTATTAATTATGTGAATAATGTTACACAGTTGAGGCCATGAATGGATTAAACCCTCGAGTGTTTATGCATCATACGCTGTACCGAACAAAAATGTGGTACAGCTCACTAATGAAACAGCGTCTGTTGCATAACTCGAATTTACAGCGTCTTTTCCATTAAATTTATGTAGGTCATTAATTTACGTAGGTAATAATAATTTATCCATAACCTCTAATCGAAATTTGGTAATTTCAAAAATCGGTGACGTAGTGGGTGTAGCGAACGAGTCTAGAGTCGATCGCTCCACGGGTTAATGTGATATTTTAGGTTTTTTGGCTATTCCATGAATCGATGGTGGTGTAAAGGAGATGTTTTATGTGGATACTAACATTAATTATACCCAATTACTTATAAAGAACAGATTTGACATATAACTCTGTAATAGACCTACATGAATAAAGATATTTTAAATTTGAATAGCGAAAATCCAAAAAAGCGACATATTATAACCTTCATCCATTCATGTACTTATATATGAATATAGATGTACATATAGATAGATAGATGTGCATTACTTACAGCACAAATAACAAGAGACATATACAGTAAAAAGAGATAAAAGAAAACATATACAAAAAAAATTAAAATATACAACAATAATTATTTTCTTTCATGCGTGTGCCATAGTAACACAAAATGGTCACATCTCAGTTTATTGTTTTGCCCTCAAAAGAGCAAAACACTGATAATGTTGTGGCCAAAAGCCAGTCCCATATGTAAGATATACATATATATATATATATATATATATATATATATATATATATATATATATATATATATATATATATATATATATATATATATATGTCACGTTGAATGCATACAGCGAGTAAAGTTGCATATGTAAGCGAGTAACGTAGTGTGTGTATGTATGCGGGCAACGGTGTGCACATACGCTGCAGCGTCTGCACGGAGCGCAGGTCGCGGCCGAGGTCGTCGGTGGCGAGGGCGGCCTCCTTCTCCGCGATCCAGTCCTTGGTCTCGTCCACGTCGCGGTGGAAGCGCTGCACCTCGTGCGCGCTGCCCAGCTGCGCCGCGCGCTCGGCGGTGAGCTGCTGCAGCGACGTCCACTTCGAGTTCAGCTCCTGCACACGGGAACAAGACAAGGTCATTCGCTTATATAAATCAACTACTATACGATAGTAGAATTTAATTAAATGAAAATTTGCTTTATATTAAAAACTTGTTTAGAAAAATTATCTTTAACATTTTTCCAAAAAATAATTAATAGTGTGAAACCTGCATCAAAATGGGGGGAAAGGGATTGTTAGTAATGGAGACTGAGAATCCCATTGCTAGCAATATACCCAACCAGGTCGACCTCCTCACGGTTCTCCCTGGAAACTATCATGGTTACTTCCTGATGAATTCATCATGATGGGCTAACTGGCCTGTTTTCATTCTCATCTATCACCCTTCACTGGTGCTGCGCAAGTGTATACCGTTAGCGCAGGCGGGGTTACCATACCATTTTCACCCATAAAAAAAATCTACATCAAATGTTAGAACACATCCTATTTTATTAGGTAATTGATGGTATTCAATTATCATTCATATTACCACTCATTGATAGTGTGATTAATCATCGGGAATATAATGACAAAACATACAAAAAAAAAAAAACAAAAAAGTACATAAATGAAGTCTTTTATGTAACAACAAATATATTGATTCCATTTTCTTGAAATTAAGAAATTTAAAAATAAAATCGAATCGAATGCACGTTATCTCTTTAATTGCTATTAATATAAAATTAAATATACAACATTAATACAATTTTACGTGTATGCGTATCATTAATATTACCTGCATCTGTGTTTTGATCTTCAGCGCGGCCTCCGTTTGTCCGACGGTCATCAGCTGCACGGCGATTTCGTTCATCTCGGCGAGGCGCACCTCATTGGCGCGCAGGTCGTTCTGGAAGTCGTCGAACTTCTTCTGCATCACCTCCACCTGTTCCAAGTCTTCACCCACGTCCTGCACTTGCGCGTGCATTTCCTAACACAGAAACATTTTGTTTGTAAACATTAATCTGGTGGTCTACCATGAAATTAAATTCCGAAATTACGGGCTCAATTTCGTGTTTTTTTCGTACCGAAATCGAGCCAGTAAATGGAGCTTAACATTTCGTTCATCATAAATCCTATCTTAATAGTCCAGAGGAACGATATTTTAACATTTTTAATAATTTTAAACGGCATATATTATGTAATTTTAACATCAAATTTCTGTTTCGTTCGACCCCGAAATATCGGGAAATATTTCATGTTAGGCCCTCTGTATCTATATAATAAACCAGTGTTTTTCAAAGTGTGGGTCGCGACCCCGAACCTCTATAAAGGGGTCGCGGAAGGTCGCGAAGCAGTAAAAAATCAACATTTCCGTAAATACATCAATCAATCAATAATACATAATGAAGTATCTACAACATTATTTTATTTTATCGATACCTAACTGTGAATATAAATACAACTGTCCGGATTTCATAATTGTAGTATAACAAAATTCATACACATTCAAAACCGTGGAGGGTAGGGTGTCGCAAGATACTTTTACATAATAAGGGGGTCGCGTCATGAAATAGTTTGAAAAACACTGTAATAAACAATTAGAAATATTAGCAAGAATTGTATAATTTTAAATAATATGAAGTACAAACCTTATCTTTGATCCATGTGGCGAGCTCGGCAGCCTCGCGCACCAGTACATACGCCTTAACGGTCTCGTTGAGTTTGTTCTGGCGCTCGCGGGCCAGACCCAACAGGTTATCATATTGAGACTCAATCTGTAAGACGATATTACATGGTAAGTACCTTATCATCAACGGATTTATAATCAAACAATTGGGAGTACCTCAAGGTTAGATATTGGGACCACTTCTTAAAGAATAAATATTGGTCCTAATATAGGACCTCGAAGAACTTCTCTTTAAAATGATCATCCAAAAAAGATCTTTATAGTTCAGGATTACCTGGTTTTGCCTGGCCGCAATAGAGCTGGAGTCGACCAGATTCTGCTGGGAAGATGAGAGGCCAGCGTCAATCTTTTTCACGTATGCTGCCGGTACGAAACCTTGACGATCGTTCACCTCCACTTTCCACCAGTCCTGATAAAGATAATTATAAACTTATTAATATAATGGTATGTTAAATACGCAATTATTGGGCAAAACTTACTGATCATGCTAGTATGATTTTAAATAATTGGAGAAATCGAATATAAATAAGATATAGATTCTAGACTGTTATAAAAACTACATGTATTTGAAAAATCATCTAAATTATATGTTATAATATATAATATATCTATCTTAAATAAACAAATCAGGTATATAACTTCACGCTAAATTTCTCATGAGATAAGAAATGAGAATGTTCTTTTCTCTCTCTCGCTTACTTTTCATTCATATGATCAGGTTCGATTTTCATATATTGAAAATAATTTCTGTTCATCCAATAATTCTTTATGGGAAGAAATGGCGTAATCTTTAGTTGAATTACTTCAGACTAAACGAAAACAATTTGCAAATTCTTATTACATGACTATTGTATGACATCATACAGAAAAATAACAGCATACAATAAAGCCATTGTACTATAATATCTTTCATGTGACGAACTAAATAACTTTACAAGAATAATTCTGACTAAAAAGGAATGAATTTGTTGGCGTATTTAAAATCGTTTTCCATGGGGGGCCTGACCTCTTAAAAATATACTCTCTGAAATGTTTTATGCACAATCGAAACATGATAAGGTGGACACCAGACAATTTCGGTGTGGGCATGACACATTTAATAAATTAATTGTTGAAATCTTTATATACTTCTACAAAGTATATCCTGCGCCTCCGCTTGCATGAATCAATTCAGTATATAAAATAAAGAGTTAAATAAATAAGATGTAAATACATAAAGTCTTAAGTGCTAAGGTAACGTATAACCTATCCGTGTACCAAATTTCATTCAATTTCTTTGAGTAATTTTTGCATGAAAGAATAATAAACATCCATCCATTCTCATAAACACTAATGTTTATAAACTATTAGCTTTTACCCGCGACTTTGTTCGCGTGACCGGGATATTTTATTTAACGGTATAAAAAGTAGCCTACATTCTTTTATATCCCACAGTACGTGTATATCAAATTTTATAGCGATTGATTAAACCGTTAAGGCACTATAAGATAGTAAATAAACAAACAATGTACGTTTTTTTTTATACCACTGAGATGGCAATCAAGCATACGGCCCACCTGATGGTAAGCGGTTACAGTAGCCTATGAACGCCTGCAATATCGGGGGCATTGCGCGCGCTACCGTCCCTGAAGAAACCTCTTTATCTCTTTGGGAACCCAATACTGTAGTGTCTTGAAGAAACCTCGACAGGAAGCTCATTCCGTAACCTGAGCGTACGTACGTCACTTTCACCAAATATTTTTTTTTGTTTGTTTATAATTGTATTGTTTATATATATAATAAGTTTACTATTGTAATCTTTTGGAGGAAACAATAAAGAGTATCTATCTATCTATTTATTTCTTCATCATGAATTAATGAATGAGTATACTTTATTTGCATTATACAATATAGGAAATAAGCAGGGCAATTTACAAATCAGAGGGAGACTTTGTACAAAAATCGATTGCTTGGGTACCTCTATCCCATTCGTGTTTCAACCGTGAAGCAGTTGTGTTTTTTTAAGCACTTTTGATACACAAAATGTATTTTTTTATTGAAGACTTTAATTTTTAATAATTACTGTTTTTTGTCACTTTTTTCAAAGTAAGAAAGAGACGTTTGCATGGCTGTTTCGATTTGAAGGGTGGGATATGGCGTGAATTTACAGGGTACAGAGGAATAACACCTAGAGTCCTCAGGAATGACAACGCATGGGGGGTATCATGGGTGAAACAGTATACTCTGTTATGTCCATGGTACTGCTCATGTCTATAGGCGACGATTACCACTTTCCATCAGGTGGGCCGTCAGCTAGTTTGCTATTCTAAGTCGTATAAAAAAAAAAACACAACGACACAACTAGCAAATAAGTAAGTAAAGTAAGTTCATGAAGTTCTAAGTGAGGATAAGCGGTTACCACATGGAGTACGGTGCATTATCATATATATCGTAGGGCCTACCATGAAATGTTTTCCGAAATTTCGAAGCCAAACGAAACAAAAATTTGATGTTAAAATTACACAATACCCGCCGTTTGGAAATATTAAAAATGTTAAAATATTGTTCCTTTGGATTTTTATGATAGGATGTATGATGAAAGAAATGTTAAACTCCATTTATTGGTCCGATTTTGGTATAAACAAAAACACGAAATTGTGTCCGAAATTTCGGAATTTCACTTCATGGTAGACCCGCATATTCTTGAGAATATTTTTAATTGCCCTCTATCATTATTCTAAACAAGTTTCAATACAACCTACAATTCAACACTCACATGTGACAGTATTTGCTTCTTATCATTTCTATAATAATTAAACACACTTTCAGCTATCAGAATCACAAGCCAACTTAACACTATCATTCTAACAACTACTATCACTTTTGTATCACAGAAATTTTAACTAATTATATTAATTAACGATCATTTTCACTTATTAAAATCCACGTTTCAAACGCAGATTACCACTACATTTTAATGTTAAATGTATTATCGGTGGCGGGCGGCCTCGACGAACGCCGTCCGAATAATGTTTTCCTAATACGTCATATGATTATATAAATGTGTTTATTTGATGCGGATATGCAATGAAGGAACGACGTACGACAAGTAATGTAATTTCAAAACAAAACTGTTAGCTGTTAGGCCGCGCACCTAACCAAAACCTCTGTGATAATTGACTGGGAATAAAAAATAGCGTATTTTTTTTTATACCACTGAGGTGGCAAATAAGCATACGGGCCATCTATGGGTAAGCGGTTACTGTATCCTGTGAATGCCTGCAATACCAGGGGAATTACGCACGCGTTGCCGACCCTAAAGAAATATCTTTTTTATTTATTTTTTTATACAACTTAGAATGGCAAACAAGCTGACGGCCCACCTGATGGAAAGTCCGTCAGGTGGGCCGTCAGCCTAACCGTCGCCTATAGGCATGAGCAGTACCATGGATATAACAGAGTATACTGTTTCGCCCATGATACCCCCCATGCGTTGCCATTCCTGAGGACTCAGGTGTTATTCCTCTGTACCCAGTAAATTCACGCCATATCCCACCCTTCAAACCGAAACACAGCCATGCAAACACAACTGCTTCGCAGTTGAAACACGAATGGGACAGAGGTACCCAAGCAATCGACTTTTGTACAAAGTCTCCCTCTGGTAAAATTTCCCCTTTTGAAGAACCCCATGCTGTAATCTTGGGAAAAAACCTGCGTGTTCGTGGGTTAAAACACATTGATAATATGAACATATATCAACAAAATATTTCTAACAAGTAGATTTCCACATCGCGAGCTCGTGTGGAATGTACTTTACAACTAGATCGTGCTCCGTAATTTGTCGTTATCATTGACATTGCTTATTGAATGTACAATGACGAGTTATTGCCAGTAACGAGTTCGGCACGTGTCTATTAGTACCATAAGATGCTTATTTATTTAAATTATAATTTCAACATAAAATAAAATCAATTTTTAAATCGTTTCCGTAGGTTTCAGTCCAGATTCCAAACCAGTCTCTTAGCGTACGTACAGTCGCGGTCCGGTAAACCACATTAGAGGCATTTGTGTATAATGAGGTGGCTTAGAAACTCTTGGCAAAAACGACCCTTACAGGTGTAGTAGTAATTCGGATGGAAGACTTTTTTATATCTTATATATAAAATTCTCGTGTCACGGTGTTTGTTACCAAACTCCTCCGAAACGACTTTACCGGATTTTTATGAAATTTTGTGTGCATATCGGGTAGGTCTGAGAATCGGCCAACATCTATTTTTCATACCCCTCAATGATAGGGGTGACCCACCCTAAATATTTTTTTTTTTATTTTTTTGACAATTTTTTTTATTTTTATTTTAATATGTTTTAGCATTGAAAATTACATACAAATTCAAATTGTCACGCTTTTACGATCAACCCCTGTTGTTTAATTGCAATTTTTATAAGCCGCAATAGGTTTTCAAAATGACAATCGATTATAATATAATAATTGTAGTACATTATATTTTCATGTATAGTTCTAGAAATAATGTATATGGTAAAACAACATTTACCGAGTCAGCTAGTATATATATAAAATATATTTTTTCTACTACTTTTATATTTATATATCCAACAAATCTGTAACAGATTTATATACATTGCAAATATATTAATACAAGAGGAATTTATAAACACTTATATCTTCAAACATACTTGATAGTAAACCTAGACCATGAACAAATAAGAATTGTGTACAGAGTGACGATCAAATGCGAATTTTTAATACAATTAATAATGGGCGTCGTTTAACCTGTCACTCGTCTTTATAATCAAACATAATAAATGCAAAATTAACTTTAATAAGCAGTATATGGGTACTTAGATAAGACGCTGATAACATAACTGGTTCGCTGTTTATTAATACACTATGATATATGAAGAGATTACTTGAGTTGTGTTATCAATCATAATTTTATGTTAATTTACCGTTCTATAGAATTAATAAAAAAAATATACTAAATACTCGATACCTTTATATTAAAAATAAATTCTGTTAGATTTCGAGTTCGTATGTTACATAAATAATTTTTACTTCATATTCTTGGGCATTACTATAGTACATTATTGCAGCGGCCAGCAACTGAGGTATTGATGGTCGAACGTGCAAATGTGGGCTGAGGCATAGCCGAGGCACACATACGTGAGTCCATCAATGCCTAGTTGTGGCCAAGGCTTGTATAGTATTTTTCTCAAACAATGCGCGGAAATTAAAAAAAACAATTTTATAGGTTCAGTAAATGCTAGTTTTATCACCGATGACCTTATTTCTGTCGTCGTGATAGGGGTGCCGGACCACGATAAAAGTTATCCAAGGCCAGTTCCGTAGCGTGGTAATCTTGTTTACTTTTTTTTTATACAACTTAGAAACTGGCAAACAAGCTGACGGCCCACCTGATGGAAAGTGATAACCGTAGCTTATAGACATGAGCAGTACCATGGACATAACAGAGTGTACTGTTTCACCCATGATACCCCCCATGCGTTGCCATTCCTGAGGACTCAGGTGTTATTCCTTTGTACCCAGTAAATTTACGTCATATCCCACCCTTTAAACCGAAACACAGCCATGCAAACACAACTGCTTCACGGTAGAAACACGAATGGGACAGAGGTACCCAAGCAATCGACTTTTGTACAAAGTCTCCCTCTGGTAAATTTTGTTATCAAGGACCATTGTTAAAATTGCCTTAGGTTTTGACCCGCTAAGTAAGTAAGTAACCAATTCTGAATAATTTTAATAACACATAAAAATGTATAATATGGGTACCTTGTTGTTGGAGTTGAGCAGCGTGAGCACGTCGCCGCGCTTCATGGAGACCTCCCGCGGCGACTTCTCCGCGTAGTCGTACAGCGCCACCACGCACTCCTTGCCCGACACGTCCACCACCGGCGACTCTTGTTGCTGCACACACACACATACACACAGTCCTCAGTATACACGTGTACTATACACAAATAAAAAAATCCTCTCACGTTCGAATCCCCAGCGAGTGATGGTAACTGAGTACCCACATGTATATACATACATACATATTTGTCACGTCTGTCTCCCATTTGGGAAGACAGAAATAATGGAACGCCAAATGCTTCGATTCAAACAAACCTCTTTCGCTTCTTCCACATTCATCAATCTTGTCATACACGCTCGCCGGTTACGGGTACTTTTAATTTGGCCCTTCGTCAGCACGTCGCCTATTTGGTCACCATATCCACATGTATGATATACATATTCTTTCGCTCATAAAACATGAGTAATTTTTTCGACTTAAAGTAGAACAAATCCTGGCTGATTATAAAATTAGTTACATACATACATACATATCTGTCACGCCTGTCTCCCATTAGGGTAGGCAGAAACAATGGAACGCCAAATGCTTCGATACAAACAAACCTCTTTCGCTTCTTCCACATTCATCAATCTTGTCATACATAATGTAATAAATTATAAAATACTATCCAGACTGAACGCGATGAAAAATTTTTACAGGTAAATAGTAGTATCTGCCATACGTATCTGCTTGCTTCTTTATTGCCGACGTTTCGTTGGTCACTAATTATTAATTATAGATTAAATACTAATTTAGAAAATGACTTGAGTTAAAGCCTCTTAAATAGTAACAAATTGTTCTTGTTAAATCGGTGCACCGCCATTTACTCTTTCTATTTAGCGTAACAGTTGATTGGTAGAGAATGTTATTAGGCATTAAGTCCGCCCTATAGACATACTTTAATGTGGGCGAAAGTATAAATAAAATAGTTACTGAAGCCAAATAAAAAACTCAATGTTCAGACTTTTCTACCCTTAAAGGTATTTTAATTAAACATGAAATAAACATACCCGGCAAGCATTAGCCTGTTCCCTTAGGGATTTAATAGTGTTCTCGAAGGCTTCCAAGTCCGAGAGCAGCGCTTCGTGCTTCTTGAGCAGAGCTTCAGAGGAGTCTTCGTCCTTGCCGTAGTCCTGGGTGTTCGCCATTGGTTCCTTTTCGCGCATCCACGACTCGGCTTCGTTCGCGTCCGCGAAGTACTGCTGAGCTTGGAGCGAATCCTCGAGGTCTTGTTTGCGCTGTTGTGGAGAGGTCAAGTTCAAGGTTAGTATTGCTTTTACATTTATATACTGATTAAAGTTTGTATACCTTAATGACGATTTTCATTTAAGATTATATTATTTATTCGTATATAATCATTGTCAAAGTTAAGGTAAGAAGAATTTATAGAACACATTGATTTATAAAAAAAAAATCCTAGCACAGTCTAATTAAGTGATTATGTCCTTAGAAATGACCTGCAGCGCCTTGTCCTGCAGCTGCGCCCACTGGTGGTGCAGGGCGTGCAGGCGCGCGGCGATGTCGTCGGCCGCGAAGTGTCCCGCGTCGCGCAGGGCGGCCCCCGCCGCGCGCACCGCCTCCACGCGCGCCTCGTGCTGCGCCATCTCGCCCATCACCGCCTGGTGCTTCTTCATCAGGTTCTGCACGCCGATCAGGTCGCGCCCTGCGCACGCCACGTATACGACGACACTGTTATTGTGGAAATTACTACGAACAGTAATAGAGGCCTACAAAATCAAAGACAGCCAAATCCAAGTCTGTCTAATGTTCAGGAAACTACAAAAAAACTAATATTTTGTTTTTTTTTCTTAAACACACGGGGCAAACGACTCGCCTGGTGGTAAGTGACTAATAGCCGCCCATAATCACCCACAACACTAACGGCAATGCAGATATGCTGCTGGCCTTTTAAAAAGGAATATGCTCTTTTTTTTAAGGTTATGTTGTCGTATCGGTTCGGAAATACTGCTGCTGGAAGTTGATTTTAAAGAATGGTTGTGCGTGGAAGAAAGTGCCTTGAAAATTTGTATTTTGTCAAGGATATGGAAGAAATATTTTAAACCAGATTGAAGAAAATAAATGTGGTCCTCCTCTCTTGTTAAGTCAGCAGTTTTGCTGCCTACCCAATAGCCACCAAACATCTTGGACGGTAGCATAAAATATTAGGCTAGGGGTTTCTTAAACTTTTTGCAGTCACGGAACACTTTCATAATTTAAACAATACCACGAACCCCCGCCAAAAACATTTTAGCGCGTAGCGTAGTGTCCTGTGTAATTGCCTCTATCTATTGAATTCACTGCCTGATGACGACGATGCATCTCGTCAAGTTTATTACACAATTCCCTTATAAATATTTTTACAGATAACTGACCTACTGCCGACTCCAGATACATATACTATGGATCCCTAAGGTGTCCATGAACCCCTCTTTAAAAACCCCTTTTTTTTGCTACTTATTAAGCAAATAAGTAGCAAAAAAATTATCTATAATGAATTAGATTCCTAAATTAAATCCTGATTGAATTATAACATTTAGAAATTTTACTTTTAACCGCCTTAAAATTTTACACAGAGTAAAACTATTTTTATTAAAAAAAAAAAAAAGTTAAAACAATAAAATATTGTTTAAAATCACTTATTTAAAAAGGTATAAATTACACAACTGTATATTAATTGTATAAATGTGTTATGCTACATTATATTACACATACCCCTGTTGGTGGAGGCGATGATGGGCTCCTTCTCCCTGATCCAGGCAGCCTCGTCGTCCAGGTCGCGGAACAGCTGCTGCGCCTGCAGCGAGTCCAGCAGCCGCCGCTTGCGCACCGCCATCGGCTTGTCCAGCGCTGAGTAGCGACCCACCAGCGCATCCTATACGACACATCTCTTATTATAATCACAATATACCAGTAGCATTAGTAGGAAATAATTTTTAAATAAAACATGAAAAAAAGATACAGATAAGTAGATGTAAATTCTTTTTTATTTTTTTATATATATATATATATATATATATATATATATATATATATATATATATATATATATATATATATATATATATAGAGGACAAATGTAAATAGATTATGCATCTGTTTGGAATGCAAGAGTGTACATGTAACCGTGGACAGGTATTCAAATTGAATACACACCGAACTATAGAATGTGAGTAGTAATGTGTGAGTTTTTGTAAATAATTTGTTTTGTAAATGATGTATGTTATGTTTTATGTTATGTAATGTTACATCATTTAATAAGAAAGATTATAATAAGCGTAACAGTACAAATGAATATAGTTTTTTTCAATGTTTATATGAGTACACGTCATGTTCATATGACTAGTTAGGCTATTGTGTGTGTTTTTGTATAGTAGCTTTGGCCACAAGATTTCCAACAAGTTAAAATAATGAATTATAAAATGAAATAATCTGTAAACTTATTGCACTTTGTGGAGATGAATTAAACTTATTATATTACAAAGACAAAGTATTATGTTTGTTTGTATAAATGGTGACAGTGTAATGAAACGGGTGCGTGCGTGCGTGTGTGCGTGCGTGGCGGGTAGTGTGCGTACCCGCTTGGCGCGTATGTTGTCTGCATCGAAATGGCCGCGCTCGACGAACAGCTCGGCCTGGCCGCGCACGGCGTCGATGCGCTCGGCGTGCGAGCCCACGTCCGCCTCAAGCAGTGCGTGCTTCTTCTGCAGGTTCTGTACGCTCGTCAGGTCCTGCCGCGCCGGACAGCACGGGAAATATTAGTCAAGTACTCTAGCGGCATCGTTGCCAGTAATATAACTTGATAGGTCGACCTCCACACGGTCCCCCGAGAAACTATCATGGTGTTCATTACACCAATTGACCTGACTTCATCCTCACCTATCATGACTTACTGAGACTTTATCAGAGTATACCAATAGAGCAGGCAAAAGATATGCCTCTATTTTCATCTTTACAGTAAATACCAATCATAAATGCCTTACCACTATTATGGCCATATATTTTTGGCTTTAATAGACCTAATCATACATTTAAAAATAGATGCAAATGCATAAGTGTTAATACTTTTTAGAACTAATAATATTTTATTAAAAACATAATTTGCATTGCATACTTTTCCATAATCTTCACTGAGCAGCTGCCCTTCAACTTCAGAGAGCCAGAGCTCAATGTCTTCAACAGCACGGTTGAACTGTTGCTGTTGAGATGCCTCTTGAAGCTTACTGCCCTTGAGCTCGGAAGCCTGTACCAGCTTCTCCCATAAACCAGCTAGCTCGCCAAGGCGAGATTCGATTTGAGCTAAATATAAAAAAATAAAATAAATGTAACCACCAATGATGGAGGTGTATAAATAATCTAAATATTAACAAGTAATGTGTAACATATGTAATTAATGCTCCTTTCCACTCAAGGTTCTTGCTGGTAGAGAACTATTATAGAGTTAAGCTCACCTGTTCTATGAATGAAGGCATGTATTTTTGTGCACAATAAAATATAAATAAATAAATATGTGCTCTTAGCAATTATGAGTACTCCAATTCTTCTATCAACACTTCGATTATCGATGTGATTCTTCAGGAGTCTCTTCACCCGTATCAAATAGTGAGGATGGGACTCATAATAATGACTGATCTCTCAAATTAAAAAAAAACTAATTGATGCTTTAAAAAAAATTAATAAACACTTAAATAATGCTATACTAACGCTTGGCAAAATGCTCCTGTTCTAGCAGTCGGTTGCCGACGGTGGTGATCTCGTCGACGCGCGGCTTGTTCGCCTGCAGCTCCTGTTCGAAGTTCTGGTGCTTCTGCACTTTGCCGTTTAGATTCGTTGGGTCGAGGTACGACTCGTCGGTTGCAAACTTCAGTTTCTCGTTTATCCACCCTGGTGAGAATGAGAAAATGTAACATATTTGAGAAGAGTGAATTGTCAAGAATGGTGTCAAGAATGGTGTCAGAAGTAACAGGAAAATTTGTCCCCAGTGTCTCGGAACTGGATGAAAATTATGTTAAAATCCTGAAATAATTATAATTAAATTATTTTTCTGAACACTTTTAGGTTGGGTTTATCAATAAATGCAAAGTGATTCTTAAAGAACCTACAGCTATTTCACAGAACATTGTTAAACACATGGACACTTGGACTTATCATTATTAAAGTGAACACTCTATATAAGCAACTAATTTGAACCAATTTCAATAAAAAAACAATCTTATTAGGAAAAGTTTTTTATAGGAATAAAGAAGAGTATAAAAATACTTACCATCTGGATATTTTTACTTATTTCTTTTACTAAGCTATGTACAATAAAAAAAATATAAAGAATGTTGCTTAAAGAGAGTTTGCTTATATAGAGCATTCACTGTATTATTTTTTGTTTATTTTGTTTTTAATCATATTGTTTCATTCATGCTATTGTGTGAATCGCATGATTCTATAAATACATTTTCTTTCTTTCTACACAAACAACAGACCAAATAAAAAATGTGCCAAAATGCAGTCCAAATTATATTTGCTGTATCATAAATACAGACTCTTTATGGATCTAATTTCTGTTTGAACATTTCACAATTTGTGAGAGAAATTTCTAATTTAAGATTTATTTTATATCTCACTTTAATTTTATTTTAATAGAATCTAGTAGAAAAGTAAACAAATCTCTGTATATTTTTTTTATGAACTTAATAATAATTGGATGTTTTTTTTTAGAATATGTCGCTGTATATAATATAGTTAGGACTCACCCTTGGTTTCGTCGCAGTCGCGTTCAAACTGCTGATACTTGTAGGCGTCTTCAAGTAACGCGCGTCGCTGGTTTGATTTTTCTTGCAGAGCAGCGCGACGCTCCAGTAGCTGTATTCAAAGTTACTGTTAATATTCCCATTTCTTATCTGTCTACATCTCCATCCTATGTTAAAGACATGGAGCAAGCAGAAGGGATAAGGAGCCAATGTTATAACTTATAAATTATTTGAATTCAGAAAATATTTTCTCTGTAAAACAATGAAGTAAACAAACCTAGTAGTAAGTATTATTATTTATTACCACAAGTTGAAGACAGCACATCCTTTTTTGGTCCTTCGAACCGGATACGAACCAACTAACTTGCAATACTAACACAAAAAAGTAATACTCAAATCGCAGTGAAAATGGGACATTTTAATCACCTATCATTTCATAGTATAAAGCATAAGCTAAATTGTTTTATTGGTCTTCGAACCATATATGAATCCGTGATCTATCTAATATAGCATCTCCCACAAAATGATTCGTATATAATTACGTATTTAATGTTTAGAATTTAAAAAGAAAAAATGTAACTAACCATCTCCCTCCTCTGTGCAACATCGTCAGCGGCGTAATGCTGTCCTTGGATCAGTTTCGACGCGAATTCGTCCAGTGCTTTTATTTTCTCTTCCTGCGCCGCCAGGGACTTCTCAAAGTCCTCGTGTTTCTTCAACAGTGCCTCTACAGAGTCCAAGGAGTCGCCTACGTCATCGTTTGCGAGGAAAGCCTGTATAGATTTATTATTATTTAATAATTGAAATAAAGTTTTTAAGATTTTTTTCTATTTATTAACTACACTGTTATTTTATTAGATTGTTTTCTAAAGTACGTGAATAATATTAAACAAAATTTAACCTTAAATGATGTTATAAAAAAAATAGATTATAAATATTTAAAAAAATTCTTTGGCACATCTAGTTCCGAAGGAATTTAAATTTAGAAATTTATTATGTACCCATTTATTGTATAGCGCGCGCCGTTATCCTGGTACGGTTAATATCCCGCTAGTCAGAACTAAACTACTTCAGAACGCTCCCTTAATTCGCGCAGTACAGATTTAAACAATATTATAAATATCGTTGATATTTTTAGTAATAATTTGCCAAAAATATTAGAAACATTTGGAGTAGAGTTGAATATGTTTATTATAATTTAGTATGTTAGCAGACTAGATTTATAAGATTTGTACAATAATCTAATAAAAATTAACTCTAATTATCATAAAATATATTTTTTTTAATATTTTTTAATTCAATTCACTCATAGTTGTATTTTTTGATATTGTTCACAACTTGGGTTACATGTTTATTTTTATTATTTATTATATATTCTCGCACTGTATAACTATGTTAAAGTGAATGCTGTGAATACGAGTACGTATAACAGGCGTGTGTGCATTATCATTGTATAATATAGAATGTTGGTCGGAGGTACCTCCTGCTTGTGCATCCAGGCGTCGGCCTGCTCGGTGTCGCGGTAGAAGAGCTGCAGGTCCATGCACTGCAGGTAGAGCACGCGGCGCTGGTCCCAGAGCGCGTGCAGCGCGGCGTGGTCGCGCGCGAGCGCGTCGAGCGCCGCCGCCACGTCGGCCGCGCCGCGGTGCCCGCCCGCCACCAGCGCGCGCCCGCCCGCCGCGCACGCCGCCACCACGTCCGCGCGCGCCTCCATCTCGCCCTGCCACACCCACACCCACACCCACACCCACGTGCACATCACTCACCGGCACCGGTGCCACGCCGGCGGGTGAAGAGGGTGCTTCAGGGTCGGCAACGTTTATAGGCTACGGTAACCACTTACCATCAGGTGGGCCGTATACTTGTTTACCACCTCAGTGGTATAAAAAAAACCATTACTAGCAATATACCCAGTCAGGTCTATCTCCATGCGATTCGCCATGGAAACCATGGCAGTCAATTCCTAGTAAATACGCTACGATGGGCCAACTAATCAAACTCATTCAGAGGAAAAGGAATTGTAACAATATACCCAATCAGGTCGACTTCCACATAATTCCCCCTGGAAACTATCGTGACTAATTTATTGTTGAATTCGTCACGATGGACTAACTGACCTGCTTTCATCCTCACCTATCACCTCTCACTGGTACCCCACCAGTGTATACCGATAGCGTAGGCGGGAAATAATGGAGACATTAATTTTCGGTACTGGCAGTATAACCCTATCAAGTCGATCTTCACGCGGTCCGCCATGGAAACCGTCGCAGTTAATTCCTAGTAATTACGCTTTGATGTACCAACCGAGCTAACTCATTCTCATCACCTCATCCTCCATTGGAGGCCCGCTGTAACACCATTGACATAGCATTCCATTTTTTATCCATTAAGAAAAAAACTGGCCAGCCACCTCTAAACAACAGATAAATAAATCCTAAACACTAACTAGAAAGAAAATGGATATTTATCTACCAAAATACTTTTATATGAATGTTTAATTCCATAGATTATATACTAGGCATGCAATCATTTATCATATAATACAGAAATGCGATTTAGCCACAGTGGAAATTATATTAAATTAAATGAGATGGGAATATCTGGCATCTTGTTTCTTAAGTAAACAATAACTGAAACAGTTTATTTTTCTTTATATGGATAGATATCTTGTCCACTTGTGTAGGAACGTTGTACCAATGCGAAGTCGCACCTTGTGCTCCTGGTGGCGCTCGAGCAGCGCCTCGGCGCCGGGCACGTCCTTGGCGAGGTCGTCGGCGGCGATGAGCGTGCGGATGTCGCTGATCCACGAGATGAGGTCGCGGTAGTCGGCCAGGAACCGGTGCAGCGCGTGCGACGACTCCAGCTCCGACCGCCGCTCCTGTCACCGACAGACATCATATTATTTTTTTTTGCATTTAAATATGGACAGTATGGGTAAAGAGAATCGTATCGTATGGGGAAATAGCTACAAGTGTCCAAATGTAAATCCCTCCAGGAAGGCACTGGAGTAACAAGAGAATATAAAATGAATTCAGCAGTTATTGATGGAGTGAAATGTGCTAAATTGAAAAGTTTTATATTTTACAATTTATTATTATTTTATAACTAATAATAATAAATATAGTATGCAAAACATCAATTATTTACATAGTCCAAAATAGTTTCTGCTGACATTTCTTTTAAAATTTATCCAACTGCTACTGTAGCGTCACCCTAATGTGACTCCTTTTGATGGACATTTTCATACACAGAGAACTGGCCTCCATAGATTTTTAGAAATATTTGCAAGATATGCAGATGAATCAGTAAATATTATATGTATTATATGTATGTATGTGTGTAAGTATGTATGTATATGTTTTTGTATGTGTTAGTATGTATATATATATATGTCTCTGTGTGTATATATATATAATAATGAGTAGGGATAATATTTATATTATTATATGTATCACATCTCCTATATTTAGAACTAACAACAATTTTCATCGTGCCTCCCACCAAATTGTTTATAATTAATCCTCTCCATCCAAAGGTTGCCTGGAAGAGATCGCTCTCAGCGATAAGGTCGCCCATTGTTTTCTCATTGTGATTATTTCTTGTAATTATTTATATTTATAATAAGTTTACTATTGTAATCTTTTGGAGGAAACAATAAAGAGTATCTATCTATCTATTATACTTACATAATTTTAGATTAATAAACACAATAAATTACTTTTCATTTAATTATTCCTGTTCATATCTATAGGCGACTTTTACCATTTTTCGCCAGGTGGGTAGTAGCTTGTTTACAATTCTAAGAATCATGAAAAAGAAAACTTAAACTGTGCATGGCAACTGACCTTGGCCTTCTGCACGAGCTTCTGCCAGGCCTGCGTGATCTCGTCCCGCTTGGAGTGTATGGCGGGCGCGTGGTCGGCGTGTATGGCGGCGAGCCGTGCTGCTTCGCCGTTGAGCGTCGACACCTTGTCCTCCAGCGCCGCCAGGTCGCGCTCCACGCCCTCGTGCTTGCGCTGGCACACACACATACATATAAATAATATTATATCTACAGGAGCAACGCTACACAACTAAATAACCCAATTTGTACACAAGAACATCAAACACATATATATTCAATTTTAACAGAACTTAATATAAATGTAGTCAAATGAATTATATATATTATGTATTTTAATGTATTTCAACTTAAAATAAAAAAAAAACAAAGTTAAGCTTTATTTTGTGCTACATTAAAAATTATCTAATATATTTCTTTATAATATCACGTAGCATAGAATGCCTTGTGGACTAAGTCTCCCCTAACTCAATCCAATAATTTCCATCCCATACTGCCCTACTCCAGCATGATTATTATTTAAAGTTATCTATATACAAATTAAAATATGAACATCGTATGTAAAGCTTTTGTTGACAAGTAACAGTTTGCAAAAAATTTTTTAATCACAAGAATATTTTTGAATTTTAATTACATTTCTATTTGTGAAAACCTGTTTATAATCTGTCTATATATATTATTTATTTATTTGATTTACCAAAAATAAATACTTAATTTTTTAATCAGAAACACTACATAGGTGAGCATGAATCATTGTAACTATACAAACCTGCAATGTCTGCACGGTGGCCAAGTCGCGTCCGTAATCATCGGATCCGAGCACCACGTCCTTCTCGGATATCCAGGCGATGGTCTCGTCGGCGTCGCGGTTGAAACGCTGGATCTCGTGGGCGCCAAACAGGCGCTCCTGGCGCATCAGCGCCATCTGACGTAGGCGTTGCCAAGCTTCGTTCAGTTCCTGGGAGGATAAAAACATTTATTAAAAAAATGATTACCATAATCTTCCTATAGAAAGCCTTCCTGAAGTACAGGAAAAAGCTTAGAAAGTATTTTAATATTATAGCCATATCTTACTTGATAGTAGTGTAAAAATAACCAAGTTAATAATTAAGATTGTATTTCATAAAAATAAATTAATTTTAAAATTAAGATCGCGTTCTATAAAAAAACTACTTCAATTGTGGCGAAACTAATTATTTTGATTTAAAACTAAATTACTGAAACTATTTTGATAAAATTTATATGAGAACATTGTGTAAGTATAAAAATTAAAATCAGTTTACAACTGGCAGAACTATGAGGTAACAAACAAAAAAAATCAAATTAAGAACTTCCTTCTTTTCGAAATCAGTTGAAAAATAGAAACACCTATTTGTATTTATTCCACAGAACATAGTAATTTAAAGGTTTAGTGGAAAAAAAAACTCTTTTTAGACATGGTACACTCATACATCACTTTTCTTCTCAGTTTTTTTTCTGTGGGCAATAAAAAATAGGTTGATAAGATTACACTATAGTGATCATTAACTTTAATACAAATAGAGAGGAAGTTTGCTAAAATATCCTCTGAATTAAATAAGTTGTTATTTCTCTCTCTCTCTCAGGTCTCTTTTAAATGATAAAAGAGAGACACTCACGTCCTTGGTTTTAACAATGGTCTCCCTCTCCGGGTGACCCTCGAGCACAAGTCGCTCGGCGAGCTGATTGACCTCGGTGACGCGGTACTCCTGCGCCGCCATGTCCTTCTGGAACTCGTCGAACTTGCGCTGCAGCACCTCCACGTGTTCCAGATCCGAACCGAACTCATCGGCACACACAAATGTTTCCTGTTGAAAAAATATTATTAGTAAATTTGATTAAATGAATGAATAGTTTATTTTCTCTTTACAAGTAGTAGTAAAAAGTAACAACTTGAGGTACAATTAAATATATGAGCCCTATTTTTTAAGAGACTGGTGCCTGCAGTTGGTTTTGAAACGACCCGTGTTACAAGTCATCAGTGGCCCGTCTGCATGGAAAGTGTAAGTATGTACAATTTTGCAATAAACTTATTTTTTAAATTATTATTTTTTTAATCCACCGCCCAATTCGGATAGTAGATTCAGTTAAAAATAAAGGGTGAAAACCTGTAGGAGGTTTGAAAAAAAAAAGTAGAAATTATGTAAATTTAAATTCAAACAATATCGTTCAATAAGCAATAAATAAAATAAGGTAATACATACTTACTACGCGAACAAAAATTTTTTTGCTTTCACTACATAGCTACTTGTGTTCTCGGACCTGACTATTTCGCAACGTCGAAATTGTGCATGAAATAAAGACCCCAGTAGATAGTCAATTACGTGTGGAAATTGACTGTATGTTCTTATCACATTTGTACCACCCACATATGTATAAATTACTGCGATCAACCCATTAATGGTCTCTTCTTGTAATCTTTCGACTTCAACGTTTTGATATATGAGTTTAGAATATAAAATAAACGGTGTGCCTAATAAAGGCTTTTGGCCACAACAGAATATCAGAGTTTTGCTCTTTTGAGGGCAATAAGCTGTGACCATTTTGTTTTACTGTGGTACATTCACGAAAAATTATGTTACCTCTTTTATGTATTTTCCTTTTGTTTCTTTTTTTTTTTGTATATGTAGTTTTTTATTTCTTTTTGATTTTATACTAATTATCTTTTTTTTTTTATACTAAACCTATCCAACTTTCATTCATTTATAGGAGTATAAAGTATAAACAGTTGTTTTGTGGATTTGAGAGCCTTTCACATTATGACATACATAATGTGAAAGGCTCTCAATATTAGGCTGCCATTATTGTTACAAACTATTTATTAAAATTTTCCCAAATCGTGTGTTTTAGTTGCCTAACTTTACGATTGCTATTTTGACATTGTGTCAGTTTATTAGGAAGCCTTTTTATTTTTCTGCTACAATATCCAAGAAGTTAGTGTCTGTTTAGTGTCCATAATAATGTGAGAATTTGAAGAACTTAGTGTCAAGTTGACTGGAAATCTTTTGTAGTGATAAGTTCACCTTTGCTTAAGTGACTAATAATTAAGGCAGTATTTTATAATGTAACCGTATTATCATGTATTTTAAATTGACATAAACGTATGTTTTGTTGGTTGTCCTTAAATAAATAAATAAAATAAAAATAAAAAATTACTAATTAAAAATAATAAATTACAAAGGATGCCTGGAAGAAATCTTTTAGCGATAAGGTCGCCCATTGTTTTCTCATTGTGATTATTTTTTGTAATTATTTATATTTATAATAAGTTTACTATTGTAATCTTTTGGAGGAAACAATAAAGATTATCTATCTATCTATTTAATTGTTATTTTTACTGTATGTTTTAGTGTAATAAAGAATATGTTATAACTTAATTGAGTGAGGACAATCACTTAATAAGCAGTATGCAGTACCGACCTTGTCGCGTATCCAGAACATGACTTCGTCGCAGTGCCGCAAGAATTGCACGAGCACCAATGCCTGTTGCAGTTTCATGCCCTTCTCGGCGAGCCGTGACAGTAGCAGCTCCCAAAGTCGATGCAGCTCGTCCAGGCGACGTCGGATCGTCTCGGACTCGAAGTGGCCGGACGATATCATCTCGGTACCGGTGTTGTCGAGCACCACGATGGCGTTGGAATGGGCGGCCACCTCGGCTTCGAAGGCTTGGTGCTTTTGTATCTTGGCCTGTGAAAAACATATTTAGTTTTATCAAACCATTTATAAATTCAATGTCACATCTCACATAATTCAATCATTAAAATTGTGTTCCATAAAAATAAACGGACTTCAAGTTGACAAAACCAGTTAATTTCATAACTAAATTACTGGACCGATTTTGATAAAAATGCTATGGGAGCAATCTGTAAGTATATTCTTATAGTAAGTATAGTAGCTTTCAAATAAAAAAAGCATTTTTTTAAATCGATTTACTAACTGTACGGTTAACTGATAAAGTTATGAGGTTTAAACATAAAAAAAATACAACCTTGAAAGTTGGTTGAAAACAGTCAATTACGCAATAACAGTAAACAGAAACAAGAAATGAATCCACCTTTTAATTCGTGAAAAATGCTGTATGCAATATTAAAATAATATGAAACGTATGCCTACTTTCATGAAAATTCTCTCACCTGTAAGTTGGTGGGATCTTTGTAGCTCTCATCGCTGGCAGCCTGCAGCTTCTCTTGAATCCAGGACTCGAGTTCGTCAGCGTCGCGCTTGAAGTACTGGAAACGCCTGGAATCTTCTAGCTTCTCTCGTTTGGCGCGCGCCTCTTGTTTGAAGTCTTCATATCGGTTAAGCACCTAATATTGTAAACATTGTATTAATTTATATATCATTTCAGCTGTTATCCGTCCACTGCTGGACATAAGCCTCCCCCATAGACTGCCATAAAGAATTTACATGTATATATTTATCATATAATACGAAAAAAAAAATTACTTTCTTAATATAACAAAATTATAACTAGACGAGACTGGACGTAGCTCGCAAGAACTAGTGAACAGATATTAATAGATGAAACTTCATTGTTTTGATTAAATTAGACTGGTGTAACATAAGACTGGTGTGTATAAATGAGTTATTCCCATGGAAAAAATCAAAACTATGGAAAACTGTGAGCTAGCATAGCTAGTCACAATAATGATACATACTTTACAACAGGTCTACTTTAAACAAAGTTGTTTTATAAATGAAAAATAGTATAAAAGTGTACTGCAATAATAATTTGTGTGCTGTAAGTAATGTAAATAAATTATCTATCTATCTAACCAGAGGGATATCTACCATGAAATATTTTCCGTAACATCAAGGCCGAACGAAGCACAAATTTGATGATAAAATTATATGGTACATGCCATTTACCGTTTAAACATATTAGAAATCTTACAATATCATACCATTGGACTATTATGGTAGGATTTATACCGAAGGAAATGTTAAGCTCCATTGACTGGGCCGACTTCGGTATAAACAAAAATAAAAAATTGTGTCCGAAAATTCAGATGTTCATTTCATGGTAGCATCCCAGTACACAAGTTTCTTTATCAAACTGTTCAATATTTAAGAACGGGCAAGCCGTACGATTTTTTGCCACGTATGACTGTATAAAAAAAATTAACTGTAATAGACATAAGTACCTGTTCACGGCGCTCCTGAATATCCTCGGCAGTTTCGAGGATCTTCACCTCTTTAGGTGGTGGAATCTGCTCCATGATGGATGCGTCTATTCACCTACAACAATCGATATAAACAAAATTTATAACACAATTAACAAGCATATGGAAAATAATGTTAAGACTGTTATATTTTATATTAACTGAGTCATTGACATCTGCTACACTACACATTACATTGTATTCATGTCCTCTAATCAATCGCCGTGTGTCCCGGCATAGAATGGACCAACGCTTCCTTTCCCGTGGGTGTCTTGATGGGTGAAAATGGTATGGTAACTCCGCCCGCGCTAACTGGATACGCTGGCGGAGTACCAGTGAAGGGTGATCGATGAGAATGAAAACAGGTCAGTTAGCATTATGATGGATGATGAATTCATCAGGAATTAACCATGATAGTTTCCAGGGAGAACCGCGAGGAGGTCGACCTGGCTGGGTATATTGCTAGCAATGGGATTCTCAGTCTCCATTACTAGCAATCCCTTTCCCCCCTCCCGTGGGTGTCGTAACAGGCAAGGGATGGGCAGTAGTGTTCCTCTTAAAACATCTGTAAAAGCCTAACTGCGGTTGCCAACCCGCCTGCCAAACGTGGCAATTATTGTCAAAACTCTCCTTATGGGGAAGGCTTATGTTCAGCAGTGGACAGTTAATGACTGAAATAATAATAAAAAAAAAACAATCCCCCCAAAAAGTGGTTACTAGTTTGCATCGAGTCAAAGAAGCCTATTTGTTGCTTAATGCTGTATTTATTACTAGCTGTTGCCAGCGACTTCATCCACGTTTCCGTCGTTTTTCGTAAAATAAGTAGCCTATGTCCTTTCTCACGGTTCAGTGGTTTTGATGTAACAGACACACTTCCCTTCACTACTCTGCTCCTATTGATCGTAGCGTGATGAAAAGTATACTATAACCTGCCCAGGAGTATGAAGAATAATTGTACCAAGTTTCGTTAAAAACCGTCGAGTAGTTTTTGTTTCTATAACGAACATACAGACAGACAGACAGACAGATAGACAGACAGAGAGACAGACAAAAATTTTACTGATTGCATTTTTTATCATCAGTGTAGATCACTAATCACCCCCTGATAGTTATTTTGGAAATATATTTCATGTACAGAATTGACCTCTCTACAGATTTATTATAAGTATAGATAGAAGATATAGCTTACTATATCAGGCTTTAATTGTCCACTATTGAACATAGGACTCCCTCACAACGGAGGGTTTGTCAGTAGATGTCTGATAGGCATGACATTTTAAAATGGACGCTGCTGCTCATCCCTCGAACATTAACATCCTTCAGTCGCCTTTTACGACACCAAAGGGAAAGGAAGAGGTTCCCCTCCTATGCCGGAATCATACGGATTGCCTAAGAATACAGTATACATAAGAACACCTTTATATAATTTTAAAATACTCGAATTTACTTAGAACATTTACAATTTTAAACAGATGGTAAATGTGTGCTGGATTAGTAACTTTGTCGCTTCAGAGTAAAATTCAAATTTAGAAATCAACAAAATAATAAAGGAAAAGGCCTTGTCAGATTTTCAAGGTCAGCCACCCTCAATTTTATCATGCTTTGAACATTTATCCGAACTCGTCAACCAAGTGGTCATCGAACTCATCAAAATCTATTTAGAAAATTTAATTCCAAAATAGATTCCAGACGAACAATTATTGACTTTGTCGCGCCAGAGTAAAATTCAAATTTAGAAATCAACAAAATCATAAAGAAAAAGGCCTTGTCAGATTTTCAAGGTCAGTCACCCTCATTTTTATCGTGCTTTAAACATTTATCCGAACTCGTCAATCAAGTCGTCATCGAACTCGTCTAAATCTGTTTAGAAAATTCATATATTGATCCCTTGATTCCAGACGAACAGTTATTGAATGGAACGCTTATTCACATAAGGACGTGCTTTGTTTGACATCACCGCTCGTCTTGCTTGGTTGCCAATTACATCACGCGACCTTCACGACTCAACACAACAGCGTAATCTGTACATAATGATAATCATTACAAAGCCTTATTGAGGTCGTTATCTATATGATGTATCCAATTTATAAGGACTGATTTTGTATACACTAGAATACCCGAATATTCATACGACTTTTTTTTAAATCGGTGAGAATAGAACCCCACTTGCGCTATCGGTATACGCTGACGGGGCACTAGTGAAAGATGATAGATACAATGTACAATTTACTGTATGTTTTTGTGCAATAAAGAATATTAGAACATAGGTTTTTTTAAATATCTTCTATGTACTATCTGCACATCTAGTTACAATTTGTATTGTATTATTGTATTGTACTATTGTATCTAGTTACAATTTTATTATGTTAGTTCGATTATTTCTAAATCTTTGTAAGTAAAATAAAATGAAACACAGACATAAGATACAAATGAGAGTACGCATATATCAGCCGCGCCCCATTTGTTACAGCTCTGTAGTTACCGTAATCAATACCGCGGCAACTTGATCGCATTGCTGTTGTAGTAACTATTCAACTAAACACATATACATGTATCCGTTTTCTTGGTATGGGTTAAATTTTTCCATTTTATGCATTTTCATAATAATATTTTTCATAACATCTAACTCCAGTCACTGGGGGGGGGGACAGGGATTGTTTGTAATGGGGTCTAACTGTCCCATTGCTAGCAATACACCCTATCAGGTCGACCTGCACGTGGTTCCTCCTGGAAACCATCGTGATAAATTCTAGTGCAATTCGTTACAATGGGCTAACTGACCTGTTCTCTTCCTTCCCTATCATCCCTAACTGGTGCTCCGCCAGCGTACACAATTAGCGCAGGCGGGCTGACCATATCATTATCACCCATTTAAAAAAAGATCTTCAGTTACTGTGACTGCCACAACTCACAATCGTCTTTCTTTTTCTTTTTTTTTTTTTAAATGATATCCATCATAAAGAAAATTATGATTTCATTTTTGTGTCATTCAAAATGAACTTTACTCGAAGAGCTATTCATAAGAAATATATATTTAAGATTTTTGTATTGACATTTATCACTAACCCATATTGTGTTGTCTTTTTTAGTTTTATACCAAAAAGTCCAAAATTAGACCAGTCATTTAGATATAATTTCAATCTCTAGTATAAGCCTTTTATAAATGACGCTGGCAGGAATAATCATAGAAATACTAACCGATTGTCATTAACGAAAAGAAGAAGAAGATCACCGATTGACACATGGGGATAAATATGAAATGCATACAAGAAAAAAATTGGTATGAGATCTTTCTCATATAAATTTTTTCTCTTGAAAAAAAAATTTGAATTGATAAATGAACAAGAATGAATAGTATATATTAATAATATTTATTCATTCATTCATCTACTTTTTTTTACCTATGGTTATTTTTTACTTTGAGCATAGTATGTACCCATCATAATATAATACAATGTAACTTCTATAAAAGCAAAACCTATCCTGACTGAACTGCAAGGTAATGTATTTGTTTAAAAGAATCAATATATTATACAGGTCCAATATGATCATAAGGCTGAAACTGCAAAGCAGTAAATTCTGTTACAGAACAGAATGTGGTTAGAGTTGGAAACACAGGCACACTTAGGGATGAGCCTGGTAAAACAAGCCTCTCTCAGGATGCGAAAGGTGTTTTCAATTACATGTAAAGACATGTTAGAGTCCGAGAGTCATAAATATTTCTTTATTCCTAAACTCACAATTTTTTTAGTATGGTCAGTTTTCACATAATTTATTAATCAATTCTTTGCTCCTATCATAATATCCACCTCAAACACTGACAAGGAAATCTTATTACAACATTAATAAAATCGCAGTCTCCTTTCCATTCTTGACATTGGCAAAAGCATCAAAATACTGATGAGCCATAATTTTAAAATAAATAATAAGTTAACTAGGGATCTGGCCCAACTTCACAAAAGTAAGTAGAATTTTTTAAAAATAAAATATAGCCTATTTTACTTGCTGATAATTTAGTTGAAAGAATTTTGAAAATCAGTTGAATAGTTTCTAGTTAATCAATTCCAAACAATCAATTCTTTCCTCTATATATTATTGACATAGAGAAAAATATTTTCTTTTTTTACTATAATTTTTTTTTTTTAATATTGTAATCCAATATATTTTTGCTTTCATTTAATTAATATATTATGATGTGTTATTTAAACCACACTTTTTTTATTTGCCATTAAGTATATTAATGATAACATTAAGAGATGGTAATAAAATATATCTAAACACATTTACTGTTTTAAAATGGCAAGGCAAATATAGCAGTGTGCACAAATAATATCATTCATTTTTAGTTAATGAAAATAAACAATGACAATGAAGTATTAATTATTATTTAAAATACTTCTATTTACCAGGTATTCTTCTTAATATTTTCAATGTTTCCTGTACAAGGACATAACCAAAATTTTATTTATTGATTCTGAGAGAGAGACTTTTATTTGTTCTTGTCAATGATGACAAGGATTCCCCAAAGATACTATTTTGTTGTTAACAACTGTATCAATTCCTATTTGTTGAAAACTTATATTAATCAGCTTCATTATTATATCAAATCATTTAATTATAGACATGTCCTATATAAATTTTATCAGCCATTTCATTTGTTTAACAAGACTATGTGGGTGTGGTCTACTTTATTTACAATTGATAGAGAACCACTAAAACTGTAGTAATTGTGCTATAAAAACCGCCTTTCAGATAATCTGTTTGAAATTTTTGATTATATTTGTTCATAATACATTTTTATTCATGTTTTATATAAAAATAAAGGTCTCATTTTTAGTCTAGATTTAAAACTTTAGCTATTTGGGTGGGGTGGGGCAGACATGATGACCTAAATTAAGAAACATATTGATTATAAAAATAAAATATAATATTATTACTAAATTTTTTTCTATGAATAAAGCAAATATATTCAATTTATTTTAATATATAAAAAATGCACAATGCACAACATATAGTAAATATAATTAAAATCTAGTCTTTTCTTTGCTCTTGCCTTAAGCTAGTGTGAGTAGTCATATGGTCTGATTAATTAAAAAAAAAAACTTTATGTATCAACTTATTATAAAAATTAAAGTAATGAAATAAAGTTTAATGTAATTACATTTAGCATACCTGTCACTGTTTAGTAATTGAATAATCAATACTGCATTAGCACAACTACACTATCAGTACCCACTCGAGCACTATCTAGCGTAATCTAGATACAGCGTCGAAAGTAGATCTCTACTTGACACCCTCCAAACAGAGATATGCAGACATATTACACGACTTCGTTCTAATTTCCACGCCCCAACGCTCACTAACGTATTCACTGTACACTAATAATACAAAATAACTAGGTACCGGCATGCATACCACGATACTGACACACCGACCGACCTCTCTACTTCCCCTCTTATGTACAATGACGTAATACTCCAAAATAAACCTAATAAGGATAACGGTCCATACCTATTTTAAACTTCCGCAAAAGACCAGAAAGTAAACAGTTATAATTAAATATCACAATTGTATCGTAACAGCGAATAACTATCAATAAACTTAGAGAAAGTAGAATCAGAAAACGGATTTTAACGATGGGTGTGTCATACATACATAAACACGGTATGAATAATTCGTTGTGAAAAGTGGAAAAACAATATTGTATTGAAATGCATTAACTCACCCAATAATCTACTATACAATTAAATCAAAGAAATGTAGGTAGTAGGTATTTAACGTATTCATAGAATTTTTAGAAAACTGTCCACACTCCAGACACACAAAACTAAGGTTCACCAATCACTAACTAGTGTTGTATTGCTTCGCTCTCATAACTTAGTTATCGATTATTAATCGATTATAATTTGTAAACGTATATTAATACTCGATAATGAATTTGATAGCACAATGTAATTGAATACAAGTACTTACCTAATTATTTATTATTACCTAGGAAATCATAGTTAAAAAAATAAATTCTACATAAATGCTCTGAATAGAATAATATCAATTTCAAAATATGCCATTGAACAATGCGTTGTTTGAGGTGGTAGTAGTTGTGGGCCGATTGTGTAGTACATTGCAGTTGTGTTCTCGTGTCGCTGAAATGGTGTGATTTTTGGGTCGATCCTTTAGTATAATGTTGGGATATCAATGCATACCAAGTTTTTTAGTTCTGGATGGGCATGTTTGTAAAGCTATTTATTTCAATAATGCATATCAATTGCATAGTTGCTAGCATGTTAATTTTCTACTCTTTAATTCTTCTGCTTGTATCTTCTTCTCTCTTTTTTTTCTCTCTTGTTTTTCTGTAAGGGGATCTTCTAGAAATTAATCTAACATGTTGAAGTTTCATTCTCACCTATCATCACTCATTGTGATGATAGGTGCCCTGCAAGTGTATACCTATTCATTTGCGATACCTAGTCATTTAGGATAAGGGCAGGAAGAGGATAATGAAGACATTACGTATAATTTTAGGATTATTAAAATCACGTACTATTTAAAAGCATTTTACACAATGAGCAATTTTCAGTATATTTTAATTAATTATTTTGCAATCGATTTATTAATACAAAAATTATGTAATTCGATTTTTAAGTGATAATGTACTACATAATTATCGTTGCAACTTTAGATGTAAAACATTTTTTTTATTTATTAAAAATTGTCTTTATTCTTTATCTGAGGGCTAAGTAAAACATCGTAGCAAGAATCAAGCCTCTGTCGACTGTAAGACATAACTAACTTAGTGCCAAAAAATTCGGAATAATACCGCTTACAAAGGAAAAAAATGTTCTCTATAAACTGATTATTTATAGTAAACTATGCAAATATATTTTTGAGATGTTGTACAGGGTGGCCCATAAGTCCTTTGTAAAGAAAAAAAAATAATTAAAATAAAACTAATTACACTATGAATAATATTTTTATTTGTAAATATAGCTAGAAAAACGGGAATTAGTTTTTGTAAATAACGTCGTCCAAATGTAATCCGTTACAGTCACGGCACTCTTGCAAACGCCTTCTGAAATTGTCGATGACTGCGCGGCACGTCACTGCTGAAATGCTTGCCATTTCTCTGCGGATGTTTTCTTTTAGGTCATTAATTGACCGCGGGTTAGAGTCGTACACTTTAGCCTTAAGGTAGCCCCACAAAAAAAAATCCATTGGAGTCAGATCCGGGCTACGTGGTGGCCAGGAAATGTCTCCTCTCTTAGAGATAACTTTGTTTGGAAAAAGTTGACGGATAACGGGCATAGCAGTATTGGAGGTGTGGGAAGTTGCTCCATCCTGTTGAAACCATGTTCGGGCATTAAAGCCTGGAAAGTTTTGCAATTTTTGTGTGAAAAACTCCTCGATCATGGCCACATATCGCTCCGAAGTAACAGTAACAGCACGCCCTCTGCCGTCCTCAAAAAAGTAACGCCCTATGATGCCATGGGCTGACATAGCGGCCCAAACTGTAACTTTAGGGCTATGTAAGGGCTTCTGGTGCTTAAGTTTTGGATTAATCGGGCTCCAATAGCGGCAATTTTGTTTACTAACATGTCCGTTAATGTGGAAGTGTGCCTCATCAGAGAACATTATGTTATTGAACGAAGTAAACCGATTAAACATTTCATTAGCATAATTCACTCTCTGAATAGCATCAGTTTCTTTTAATTCTTGCACCAACTGAATTTTGTAAGGGTGCATAAGTAAATCTTTCTTCAAAATCCGTTGTAACGATGTCCTGGATACGTTTAATGCACTGGAACGCTTACGAGTTGACTGTGTAGGATTTTCACGAATAGACTGTGCCACTGTGTCGATGTTTTGTTCCGTACGTGATGTCCTTGGGCGACCCAACCGCGGTTTATCTAACGTCGAACCGGTCTCCTCGAACTTAGCAACCCAATTCTTAATCGTTTGGAGAGCTGGGGTGTCATCAAAGTTGTATAAACCTTTGTGTTCTCGAAATTTACGCCTCGCAACGGTTGCCGAATTGTTGTTTTGATAAAACTCGCGCACACAAAACGCACGGTCCGCTCCGGTGAAACGCTCCATCGCGACTAAATTCCCAGAAACCGAAGTTATTGCCCCCGCTTCCCCTGCACCGCTCACGCGGGCCGTTTTCGTTTAATTCAAATTTTACTTTTCTAAGGACTTTTGGGCCACCCTGTATTACGTCTTTGTCGATAGCAATTTTTTAAGAAATAATTGTATTATATAAAGCCCGATTATCATTAAAGGTTTAAATGCAATTCTTTGACAAACTGCTCCATGTATTTCTTTAAAATGAGGTACATGTTGATTGATTATTGGGATTGGGATACATATATAATTATATTGATCATTATTATTATATATAGATTGGATTATACCCTTAGGGTATACCCTGACACTAATTTTACTGTACTTGTCAAATAACTAGTAACAAATAGAATTAATTTATAGTGATAATTTTATTTTTTAAATCACTTATTAGTGACAGTATTACGATGCTAGGTAATATAAAACATATCAAAAAAGGAAATTGATAGTAAATGTCGAACACCAACCATCAACCTCTAAGACATACAAATTTAGGACCACATCTGTGTTATAAAAACCTTTTAGAATTAATTTTATATCATTCATAGATAGAGAATGGGCCTATCGAACTAAAAAAAAATAAAAATATTTATAAGAAACTCGCTTCGTATACAATTTTTTTTTAATCTTTTTTTATATGACAACACACGCCAGTTGTCATAGAATTCTTGTTCTGGTTTTTGTCTCTGTGTTTTCCGTATCAATTTGTATGTCAATTATCAATTAACCCCTGTTTAATGATGGCTTGTTGATTATTAAAAAGCTGTGGTTAGTACTGATGCTATCGATGTGCACTGCGGAGCTTGTTTAAAACATGGCTACGGGTGGCGAAGATCTGTGGCGCGAGTGCGCATCTTGGTTGACGAGATGTGGCTTGCTGCATCCCGACCATAAGGCAAACTGGGAAAAGAGCACTATCCATGATTTGGCATACACCCTACGAGATGGAGTGTTGCTGTGCAATTTGCTGAATGTACTTCATCCCGGCTGTATTGACATGAAGGATGTGAACCAACGACCTCAGATGGCACAGGTAATTGGGGCCCCGTTGGCGCGACCTTCGCCGTAATTACCGTAAAACCATTATTTTGGAAGCTATTGTCATAAATGTTCGTTTTGCCATACAAATTCATAGTACAGTCTTTGTCATTCACGTACCACATACCTATGTAATGTTTATGTAGGCCAAGTTAACATCTTTTTGTTAATCTAAAAATGCATTCCTTGGATATTCTAGGAAACATAATAATATTTTGTCATTGCTTTTATATAGCTTTTCATTATATCTAATAATAATCTATAAGTGTATTTTAGTAGACCAAGGGGCTAATGTCACTGGTTGTTAATTATGCATACAGTGATGAATGGCATTGTGCCTTCATTGATATCTCTGTGTTGAATACTTCAATAGTACTTATAAATATGTTCCTGTCTTATCTGCTACATAAAATTATTATGAATGGGAATAGTGTGATTTCAAATAGTGACTTTCTATATGCTCTCTTGTATATGTTTTAAAAAACTCTGCATGTTTGACTGTAAAGTGTTCATCTATTATAATAGAAAATAGAATTGAGTGTGACAAACTTAATATTTCTGATTTTTAGCTGTTTGATCTTTTTCCTTAACATTCTATCTAATACTGTGCCTGTTTGTAAATAAAAAAAAATTGTAAAGTAAATAAAATCATATAAGAAATAAAAAAAAAATCACTTTATTTTGCTACTGTTACACTGTTATCTTAGTGGAACTTAATAAAAAAAAAAATAACCAAGTTTTGTTGAAATTATCACAGAATTCTTTAAATGAAATTTATAAAAATCAAAACATTCAATCATTTTTTATTTGTGCTAGTATTGGATACCTCTATATTGTCTATAATTTGATCATGTTGTTTTTATTTAAAATTAAATTCTATTAAAAGAGACTATGCTTTTTTGTTCAATTATTCATAAGGATTCATGGCAAATTATTCCTGAATAATAAGAGAATAATTACTATTATTGGATTTACAGTGTGAAAAAATTCCAAATAAATAAGTATATTGTTATGATTTTTTTATGAATTATAAGATAAGCATTTGAAAGAATGTAGTAGGTACTGACTAAAGTGACAATGCATATATATGTATGCATACATAATAACATATATATTGTTTCATGAATGGCATAGTAGTACAACAATTAAATCATTTATACTAAAAAAATAGGGAAAATAGAGATAGAAAAAGTTTAAATTAACATTAATATGTGAATTTTTGTATCCCATATTGTTTTTTTAGTCTGTTTGTTAAATTGTAAAGATAAAGTGACTTGCCCATGTCATTATCTGTCTCATCCTGCTTTAAAACACTGCATTGTTTATCTATGTATTGTATTGTAAAATTGGAACATTGATATCATTTCTCATGCTTTTTTTGGTCTTTACTTTTTATCTCTCTTTAATGATAATGAACAATTTGCGCATCTCTGAATAATTTTCTCATATTTTATTTTATGATTCTTTTTATAGAAATGTATTTTTATACTTAATTTGTAATACAAAATAATTTCCTGTATATATTTACCATTTATTATTATCACCTATAAAATTTTGTCTGTTTTAGAAAATATGTAAATCTTTTACCAACACAAATATTTATTACAGTTAAAATAAACAAAAATAAAAAAAACTGATTCAATACATTGTGCTGGTAATAAGAGATGCCTCAGCTGTTGCTAAATATGCACACATCCAGCGAGATGCACTATTATATATAAGATATTCAAGATTAGAATGTCATCCTGTCTTGAATGCTAAAGTGGTTATAAAATAAGTATTTTGGTGAATATATAGGGTAAAACCGAGATTGTTATTATCTTGGAAAGCATGGATCGGAAAACAGCAAAGAAAGTTTGAACTTTTACATACTAACACGGCAAGCCTAGCTGTTAAGTTAGTGTGGAAGACAAAAAAAATTTTTCTCAAGAAATTATGTCCTAATATGTTTTTATAACATGAGTAAATAAAATCAATAGTCATTTTACACATCATTAAGAACTTTTTATTGTGCTTTTTGTGCAGTTCCTGTGCATGCGTAATATCAAAGTGTTCCTGCGAACATGTCACGAGGTGTTTGAGCTGCGCGAGACTGATCTCTTTGATCCGTCCATGCTGTTTGACCTCTCCAACTTCCACCGTGTGCTGTGCACTCTGGCCAAACTCAGCCAGTGTCATAAGGCACTAAGCAGAAATATCAAGTAAGATGTAGTTTTAGTCAGTTTTATTAATCTCTTTACATTGTAGTGCTCTCGTGAGATGGTCAACACATTTTTCTGTGTCTTCAATTATAACAAATTACTATTAGACTGTTCTGTAATCTTGTTACTTAAAAAAAATATACAAGAATTTTTAATTTTACATATATTTTTCGTGAATACTGTAATGTCGTCATAGTCGTAGAATACTGACGGATCTGACGAATATTAAATATAAAGATCCGTCAGTATTCTACGACTATGACGATGTGATACTTGTAAAAATTAAGAATTGTAGATTTTTTTTTTGTATAATATCTATAACATTTTCCATCCCATAGTTACATTTATGTTTTGCCAAAGGTTGTCTGGGACAGAATGCCATAAAGCATTTTTAAACCCGCCTTTTGTACTAAATATTTTTTGTAATGTAGTCAATAAAGAATAAATAAATGAAATAAAAAAAAAATTAAATCTGTCCACTATCGTCGAATATATCCCGTAATTTATACATACAAACAAATCAAACATATATAATGCTTTTTATAATGGGTGACGATGGAATGGTAATCCCGCCTGCGGTATCAGTATACGCTGGCTGGACACCAGTGAGGGATGATTGGTGAGGATGAAAAGGCAGGTCGATAAATTAGTCTCGATAGTATCCAGAGGGAACCGCGTGGAGGTCGACCTGATAGGGTATATTGATAGCAATGGAGACTAACTTCCCCACTACCAATAATTTCTTCCCCCCCTTACATACGCTTTAAACCTATTGCTTTTTTTAAAGTTGGTTTAAAATATGTTTCCGTATTCTATTTGTTAGACTTTTTATTATGCTAGGCTCGCAACTTCGCCTACGTCACCAAGCAATTCGTATGTAAATTCCGTATGTTTATACGCTAAAAGTTATTTCACTAGTTTTGGTTATATTGAGTGGTCGTTTCTGTTGCTACGTTGGCTAGTTAGGCAATTTAATAAATTTGTTGTTTACTTTTCGAATTCAAAACCAATATTTAGTATCGCCACCTTAACGATGTCGCACGCACAGCCCGAAGTTTCGCGATCACCTCTGTTTGGTTACGTGTCATTAACCTAACCTTAGTGACGCCGGTATGACCCTAGCGCTACCCGGATTTTCGTTTGCATTACAAAACAATTTCTCTGTCATTATAAAGCTATTTCCCTTTCCTTTCGAATTTCATTTCTAATAAATACACATAATGTTAACAGAGATATAAAAGAGTAACTGTTGAGTTTCTTGCGAGCTCTTCTCAACAGATAACAACCTTCCGAACCCTGCAGTAGATTTAAAAAAAAATGACGATTTAAAAGTGCTTGTAAATAAGTCTAATTGAATAAAGATGATTTGAATTTAAAATTTGTAATTATGATTGTAAGCTCGTATTTTTGCAAGTTTTGAAAATTAAAAAGATTCTCAATAAGTTCGTTTTTTTTTTGTCTACGAGTGATACCTAAGTGATATTCCTCCAATTCTGTATCGATTTTGATGATTCTTTTTTTATTATAACTGTCCTCTTCCGTGTCGATGCCATTCTAAAATCTCAAAGTCATTTTAAATTGACGCAGTTTTATATAAAGTTAACCCTCTTTCATCCCATTAGAGAATGAACTGAATGGAAAGAATCTATAAAGTATGTATTTATACCTTGCATAGTTTTAAGCCGTCACACAGGTCTTATCTCTTGAATATGAGTATATATATATATATTATAAGTATGTATGTTTATAGATGTCGGAATCAATACCTCAAACAGTATTAAGCTAGACATTTTAATTATATTGACATTTTTCTAATTTATAAACTTATTGTACTAGTTGTTACACTTAATTGACATATTAATTATTAAGTACTATTTTTCTTTAATCTAATTCTAAATAGAAGATATATGTGTACGTGACATAATGTACCATAAACCAGACTTTTAATACGTAATGACAATTAAAATGGCATAATTGAATTTAAATTTTGTTTTTCGATTTTGTTATAAAATGTAAATATTTGTATGCCTACATTGTTTAAGACAATTAAACAGGTGCCAAAATAGTACCACGTGGCTTTTGTAATAATTTTAAACTGTTTAATGCAAATAAACTAATTTAATTTAATTTAATTTCAATGTGTGATGCGGTATCTGTGTAGGTAACTGACGGATGTTTATTTTTATGCAAAATCACGACGCTGTATTATATATGCATTAATAGTATTCCAAGTTACTGGCCGCGTACGTAACTTGCTACTGGCAGCTTATAAGCATAGCGGTTTTATTCTGCTCATCGGACTTTGCAATATTTTAGTTTAAAAACTAAAACCAGGCTACTGAAATACCACGCTTTATTCTTTATTGTTCTCAAAAAGTAATTGTTTAAAAAAACAACATAATAATGCACAAGGGCGAGCTTATCTCTAAAGGAGATTTCTTCCAGCAAACTCAATATGAAATAAACTGATAGTTTACTACTTTGTAAACAAAACGAGAGAACTTTTTAGTAGGGCAGAAGCCTTAAGTGACTTCGAAAAAGCAAGTCTAATTTTCATAGGATCTTTAATTTTGAGGTAGGGCATTAGGCCTTTTAAGGTAGGACATTGCCCCTTAATACCCCCACCCCCCTCCCCATCCCCCCAGCTACGGCCTTCATACCGATGTCTTCTGCACGTTTTTCAATTGAATTGTATATTGCTGACTTTGGTTTTATGTAACTGCATTATATTATTTAATTTGATACTGCTTGTATTGCATAAGCGTACCTAGCTGTAAAAATCGTGGAACTGATCGCGATCTTATTGATGTTTCTATTTTACCGTCACGATGTAATAAAGAATAAAAGGCAAAGAATAAAATAGAGGGCAAAGGATAGCTGCTATAAGGATAACACTTATATTTCCGTGAACGTTTACGACATTGTCGCGGGAAATAAACAGTTTTTATTTTTATTATGGAAACGGGAATGGTAAACAAGCTAACGGCCCATGAAAAATGGTAATAATCGCCTCTAGAATAGGGGTGGGATTACCTAACCTTAATATAATTAAAATATATAGATATTGCTATATATTAATATAACAATGTCTATAATTTAAATAACTATATATATTGGCCCTATAATGGATATATTAATTATCCATTACCCAATGTATAATGTTTAAATATTGTAAAAAATTCTTGTTGAATTCGATATGATAGGCTATCTGACCTGCTTCATCTTCAGCTATCATCCTTCACTGGTGCCCCGCCGGTGTATACCGATAGCGCGGGTGGGGTTGCCATTCCATTATCACCTATAAAAAAAACCAGTGAAGGATGACAAGTGAGGATGAAAAAGACAGGTCAGTTAGTCCATTGTGATGAATACACCTGGAATTCAGCACAATGGTTTTAGGGGGATCACAAGGAGGTCAATCTGACAGGGTATATTGCTAGCAATGGGATTGGTAGTCTGCGTTACTAACAATCCCTTCCCCCAAGACTAGAGTGTTACGCCTTTGTATCTTGTAATTTCACTCTCATATCCGATCCTTCAAATCTAAACAATCATGCAAATATAGCTGCTAGCACGGTGAAAATATCAACCGGCCCCAAGTAGATGACTTAAGTACAGTTTCTGTCTGCTGTTTCTCCAAAAACTCCCTCTAATCAGCGCACATTTGAAATGTGACAAATCAAACTGTGTTCCAATCCAGTTGCTGTAATTATTAAATGATAAAACTGTATTGTTTCAAAATACATTTTAAAACAGATTTATTCAAATAGATAGCCAATGACACGCTTTCGGTGCGCACCGGTTTGCGACTCCGTCGACCGTGAGATTTTGTTTCAAAATCACTTTTTAAAAATCCGCTCATTCTTATTCCTGTCACTTTGTGTAATATGAAACTGTAAATATACGAGTACAATGAAGTACCACTCAGCATCACTCTGGTATCAATATATTAAACATATTTTAATGTAACTTGTAGCAATTTGCAGTGATGATTCACTAAGAATCATTTAATATTTTTTTACAAATTAAGTCTATATCGATATTACATAAATATATTTAAATTTTTCTTCGATCAAAAGTAATAATTGAAATTGGTCGAAATAATATTTATTTTTTTGATGGATGAAAATGGTATGGTAGCCCCGCCTGCACTAACGGGATACGCTGGCGGAGCACCAGTGAAAGATAGATGAGAATGAAAACAGGCCAGTTAGCCCATCATGATGAATTCATCAGGAATTAACCATGATAGTTTCTAGGGGGAACCGCGACGAGGTCGACCTGGTTGAGTATATTGCTAGTAATGGGATTCTCAGTCTCCATTACTAACAATCCCTTTCCCCGCGGTCGAAATAATTACAATAATATACATAATATATTAATAATATACAATTGGTGAATAGTAAGAAAGTTGGTATGTCTTTTATCAAATTTAAATAAAAAACTAACACCTCGATGTCTTGACAATAAGAAGAGTTGCCAAAATTATTTACTAAGTAGGCCAGGTATATAGACAATATTTATATAAAAAAAATATACGCATTTAACTACAATTGAGCTTGATATATACATATATATGTGTATATATATATATATATATATATGTGTATATATATATATATATATATATATGTGTGTGTATATATATATATATATATATATATATATATATATATATATATATATATATATACTTTATTTATTTATTGATGTACTTTAATTAATATAATAGCTAATACAAATTCCTTATTTACAGGCCGTTTTCAGCACACAGAACTCAATCAGAAGAGGATATCTACAAGGATTTGCAGTCTGTGTAAGTACATTACAATTATAATAACATATACACGTCACAGTAGCTACGTATTTATTGTTAAAATAACATATAGTATTAGAACAAACGAGAAAATTATTCGACCATAGAATACCATTGATCTGTTCCACAAGTATTTCCCTGCTATAGCCTGTAGTATATAATAAAAAGAGTGATAAAACATTGTGTAGCCGTCCTGCTCTACATTTAGTCTGAACCTAACACCCAACTTGTAGTAGCGCTGGAGTGTCCCTCGAAGCGCCTGCATACAACATGAACGAAAGCCCGGAGCACCCGGCCCAGGCCGAGGTCCCCTGGGTGCAGTTCACGATACCGAGCGCGACCTGCGAGGACCGGGTCGAGGAGATATACGAGGACCTCTGCTATGTCAAGTTCACGTCGGCCATGCCTGAGGTGCTTTGATTTTATCGTGCCCTGGTACCTCGGCTGTGCTGCCCTTCACAAATTTTGCTCGAATGCATCCACAATACAATACGATTAGATACGATTTTACTACATGTATCCCGCGGATTTGCTCCCGAATTCAATATATACATTATCGTAGGTATCATAACGAAGTATAATATTGCTCGGGTTTAAGTGCAGAGAATTCTGTTTATTGGGTGACATCGTCTTGAAGTTTTATCATTTGCAATGCACAAACGTTGGGTAACAGATATGATAAGGTCGGTGTTGATATTTATTTCTTGGTAATTGTACCGATACCTGAAGTAATATGATCACGCAAATCTACTCAGAAATATCGGACAAATCGGTCGACGAGTACATGAAATAGTAACACGTGGAAAATACACAACGGAACAGGTTGTGTCAAAGTCCCAGCGTGAAATGTAGTTTCAACCGAGAAATAAAAAATGCTAAAGATTCATACAAATTCATAGCTTATTGTTTTTAGGGTTTCGTACCTCCGAACGAAAAAACGGAACCTTTATAAAAACACTTTGTTGTCCTTCCGTCCGTCTGTCTGCCTATCTGTCTGTCTGTCGAGACTCTTTTTCTTAGGTACGCGTGCAGGTATCAAATTAAAATTAATATCATATTGTATAATCAGGTCTATAATCACTTAATGCAGTTAAAAAAATCGAGCTTCTAAGTCGATGCAATCAAAAGATACGGCAGTTTATGTTCCACTTATATCGCATGTTTTGATATTCGCAAAGGGAATCAAAACCTATAGGATACTTCCCGTTGACTTAAAATTATGAAATTTAACAAGAAGCAATGTCATATAGCACAAGTAAAGGAAAAAATCCGAAAACTGTAAATTCGTAGTCGTCGTTTCACAAGAAAAAAATTGTTTAACCATCATGATTTTGTACGGAACCCTCGTTGCGCGAGTTAGACTTGCACTTGACGGGTTTTATTACGTTTAACTTCTTTAGCGAACGTATTTTATTAATTAGGTATATTAGTTTCGAAAAAGCTATTAATTTTGAATACGTATTGCTTAAATCAATACGTATTCAAAATTAAATACCAGTTTAAGTAGGTTTTATAAAATTTATTTATTAAACAAATGACTGGAATTAGATTGCAGTGATAGAAATAATTACAAGAATATCATTTAAATGATATTAGCGGTTTTAAAAAAGTATTTAAGACCTTGCTTTAAATAGCTTTCAATATAATCTGTTTCAATAGAACACGATAAAAAAGGTCACTGAAGTTTGTTGAAATTATTACAAAAACACTCTTTGAATAATTTTTTTTTATACAACTTAGAATGGCAAACAAGCTGACGGCCTACCTGATGGAAAGTGGTAACCGTCGCCTATAGACATGGGCAGTACCATGGACATAACAGAGTATACTGTTTCGCCCATGATACCCCCCATGCGTTGCCATTCCTGAGGACTCAGGTGTTATTCCTCTGTACCCAGTAAATTCACGCCATATCCCACCCTTCAAACCGAAACACAGCCATGCAAACACAACTGCTTCACGGTTGAAACACGAATGGGACAGAGGTACCCAAGCAATCGACTTTTGTACAAAGTCTCCTTCTGGTAAAATTATTAAAATTGAAAGATTCAATCGATTTACGATTTGTTCTACTATTGGATATCAGCAGATAGTCTTTTGGTTGCATCAATTATTCGTTTGTTTATATTTCCGTCAAGTTCTATTAAACCACACTACAAGATACATAGTTTAAATTTTTACATACTTATCTATTTATCAAACATGTCTCCCATTAAGGTAGGCAGAAACAATGGAATGCCAAATGTTTCGATTCAAACAGATCTCTTTGGCTTCCTCTATATTCATAATTTTTTTTTATACACGCTTGTTACGGATTATGGGTACTTTTAGTTTGGCCCTTTTTCAGCATGTCGCCTATTTGGTTGACATATATCAGTTTAGAGCGGTCCCTATCGTCATCTCTATTTTTTAATTTCTTTCAATTTTTTTTTTTGATAAAATTCTATCAAAGTTGGTGAATCACACTGTTTATAATAACTTATAAGTTTTGACATTCAAAATCGCCCATCCATATTGGAACCTTCGATATTTAAATACCTACAGTTTTTAAGTCAGACCGTACCTCACCTTGAAGAATGATAGCCGACATGTATAACGTTTATAAAGTAAAAATATTGTATAAATAACACACGAATTAACTAAGATTTTTAAGTTCAGAGTCCTGACGCGGTACTATCAGAAAAGTACATGGATATAAATCACCATGGTAGGATTTTCCGATATTCCCATGACATAAATAGATATATATCGGATTCCTAGCATGAAAAGGCGCGGGAAATGCCACTGGTTCTATAAAAAAAAAGAAACAATAAACAAATTTGGTCACCGCTGAAGCATGCCATTTGAAATCCCACAACAGTAACCAATCTAAAAGCAGTCTAACCTGCTTGCAATCATATTAGATATCAGATTTACTCTATAATCCTATATTTCAGCTATTGTTAAAGTGAGTTATGTAGATCCGCGAAACTATTTATACAATGAAACAATTTAATCACACAAGTGTTATACTTTTGGAATATTTCTAAAAAAATACATGATAGTTGATTTATAATCGTTCCATAAAAAAAAAAAAGATATTTGGTAAGCGTTCCGTTATCTTAAAAATTTAGGAACTCCTTTTTGATAGCTTAAAAATATACCTTTCAGAACATTAGGCATCCAATCCGGTACAACGAAATAAACATAAGCGTGCACACTTTCACACACCGACGGATGCTAATAGTTTTAATTAGTGAATCTGTGAAGGACAGCATTGCTCCGATGCGTACCATCGTTTGTTCGAGGTTTTGTTTGGCGAACAAATTGATTGAGCTGTATAGAATGCTTCGGCGATATGGGCATGGCGATATTATATGCTTACACACACTTTAGGTTTTTTTTTTTTGCAGCTTAGACATTTATTTTCTTAATACTATAGTTTTACATTGATTTTTTTGAGATTAATAATTTTTCTATTTAAATGACTAAGGGAACTCACTAAAAATTGTAGTGTCGTAACCTTTTGACAAATTTTCTGTATTTAATATATTTTGTAATTGCATTAATAATATTTTACTCGTAGTTGTCTATTTCTTTTTTAAATCGATGTAATAAAATAATACTGGCCGTTTATAAAATTTGTCAAAATTTATGATATTCCAATTTTTAGCAAGAACACAATGTGTACCTATACATATATCGTCATAGTCGTAGAATACTGACGGATCTTTATATGTAATATTCTTCAGATCCGTCAGTATTCTACGACTATGACGATATGTTTCCGTTTATTTATGACGTCGTCAACATATTTATTTATACTTCTTTGTATATACTGTAATTGTATTATATTGTAAATAATCTATTTGAATGAATAGCAATAATAAACTAGTGGTAATTGGGGGTTATAATAATTTTTGGACATATCGTCATAGTCGTAGAATACTGACGGATCTTTATATGTAATCTTCGTCAGATCCGTCGGTATTCTACGACTATGACGATATATAAAAATTATTACTTTTATTACTGTATATTGTTTTGAATTATACAAAAATTATAAATTATAATCTATTCGCTAGGTCCCTGGGATATTGTTTTTAATTCTTAGTAGATTATAAAATTACTTTTCGAAAATGAAGGGATAATGAATAGGATCGTGCGTGTGTCTTGATAAAATCGTTACCTTCATAAGTATACAATTGGTATAAATCAAGAATAAAAAAAATAATTCTGACGAATAACTGAAGATAACGAAGCGGCACTTATTAAGTGTATAGGTATAAGCTGCAATGTGTATTATAGTATATTTAGAATTAAATAATAGGTATGGGTGATATCGGTACTTGTTCGATATTTATATATTGGGTTTCTCTGGATATTAATGGTGAAAAAAAGGTCATCCCAATATGGGTTTTTCAATTCGATTTCATATATTGGATAACGAATATTTAATATATTCGTTATTGTGTCAATATAAAGATATTGCTATATATTACCTATCCCTATTTAAGAATTTACTATTTGATTTGAAACAATGCGACGCAACATATTTCTCTTAAGGTGCTCTTACAAGGGCAATTGCGTAATTCTGTACAGTAAAACAATTACGTTACCAGGAATGTGTATAAGAGTTGACTGTTTTTTGGATAATAAACTCTATTTATAAATTGTGATGTAATGATCACAACAAGTAGGTTTAGAAACATCGCCATACTAATACCGATATAAAATAAGTTGTTATTTGTACGCATTAAATTGTTAATCCCTTATTCATAAAGACTATGACCTCTTACAAACCTATTTTAACTATTACACTGTTTTGTCACTTTCATTCTATTTGAGAATTTAGCATAAAAGAAAGAGACAAAACACTTTAGTTTTCTTTCATCTTCTCAAAGGTTGACTGTAAGAGATCCCTTTATGGGATAAGTCCGCCATTTTATATTAAATCATTTATCAGTGTTCAATTTGAATTATGTACAATAAAGATTTTAAATGGCATGGTAACCCCGCCTGCGTTATCGGTATACGGTGGCAGGGTACCAGTGAAGGGTGACAGGTGAGAATGAAGGCAGGTCAGTCGGCCCATCGTGAAGAATTCAACAAGAATTAACCATTATGGTTTCCAGGGGGAACCGCGTGGAGGTCGACCTGATAAGGTATATTGCTAGCAATGGAGCTGTTAGAACCCATTACTAACAATCCCTTTCCTCCCAGGATAGAAGGTTTGATGTGTTTATGAATAAAGGGGTTATTACGTGCGTTACATTTTATGACAATTTGTATCGGCGATAATATAGAATATATGGCATATTAGAAGCAACATTGGCGAAATAATTGTCGCATTGTGATTGCTCATGTAAGCGTACTTTTAAGTAGACGCTAGCTTATAATTATTATGGCCGCGTACGCTGCATGCATGTACTCGAGCGTGCGTGTGCGCGTGCGTGCGTGTGCGCCGGTTCTCGCTCCACAAATTATGCTCTTTGTTTGAAAAAAAAAAGCTTCAGAACAATCTAAACAATGCTAGATCAATTTAATCAATATTGTATTATTTTATTTACACTGAATGCTGAGGGAGAGGTTTTTTTTTTAATTCTACTTCATCGATCTAAGTAGCGAATTAACAGTCCTTTATACTTAGTCGAAAATTATAACTGATTTGTTTCCGGGTGCGTCAGTTTAAAAAATAAACTTTTCGAATGTTTCTTAATAATTTTTTTTTTTTGCTATTTGTCTCCAAAACTCAGTTATATATATTATATAAGTTGAAAGGGTAAAACATTTAATATAAAATATATTTGCACAGAAATTGAGTATATTTTTGAAAACTATAACGGGCACTTTGTTAATATTTGTATATACGAAACGAATCTATAAATTTACGTTCTGATATGAAACGTGCTTTTTGCACTGTGCTAGGAAAAAATGTGTTTATTCTTCACTTCGTAGAATAGCTGCTGTCATGTTTAAAAAAGCGGTAATTTATTACACACACACACTATCAATCATATTTGCAACGTACAATTTCAATGTTTATTATTCTATCGGTGATCAAAAGATGCAAGTTTTGGTTTGAATATTAAAATATAATCAAATTGATATGAAATTATTAATTTAGCGATTAGATTCCTAACAGATATAGATTTCAGATCTTACATACGTAACTAATTATATTTTTATTTTAATATATATTGTTCCAGTGGTTTGAGTTTCACATAGAGTTCGGACTTTGGGCATCTTTAGTTTCGAAATTTGATATCTGTACTATTTCGTTTATGATTTTTTGGATAAATTGCAATCCTATGTAAAATGTTTAAAAAGTGGTTAGAGCGTTAATTCATTTACTATAGTGTATATTTGATACTAGTTTTTAATTAATGAAAACTAACATCTATTTACGTAGACACGTTGCATTGTGTAAATGAGGTTCTCAGTTTGTACTTGGTGGAGACAATTTAGGAATCGTGTTTTGGAAAAAGGCTTTTGAATTATAGATATTCCTCGAATATTGCTTGTCAGATTTTTCATAGCACATGATGCAGTTTGAGGTCTAAGGCATAATGTGGATGTGAGCCATTTAAAAATTATAATGAGAGTTAAGCAGTGTATATTAGGGTCTGTGCCTAAAAAAATAGTATTGAGGTGTTTTTATTAAAAAAAAAAAAGTGACGAGCGTGAACCGTAGCACGGCAATGCATGAGTGTGTGGGGGTTGCGCAGTGGCGCGGGCGGCACCGGCGCGGCCGAGGTGGGTGAGTACGCGAGCTACTGCGCGCGCATCCACGACGAGGAGATCTACCACGACCTGTGCGCCGTCAAGTCCGCCAGGGAACCGCCCGCCGCACACCACCCGCCCGCTTTCAACACAGTACGCTTATGGTTTCTTTTTTTTTTTTTTGCTATGATGCAAGAAACAACAGAGCATCTATGGTTAATTTTTATACAACTTAGGATTTATGGTAATACTAGCTTTTACCCATAACTTCATTCACGTGATCGGGATAATTAGTAGCCTATATCCTTCAGATGGATTCTATCTGCATCCCATATAGTACTTGTATACCGAACATGATGTTTAATAAAGTCGTTAAGGCATAAAGTAACAAAGAAACTCACTTTTTCATTTAAAACATCGATAACGATGTTCTATTGCCGTTAAAAATCCACTATCGCTACCTTTAATACAACAAGTAAAGGTCAAAGGTAGATATAATCGACTCTGTTCATATTTTATTGAACCATGTCTCTGGGAAACAAGTGTTCAACTTTCGCTGAATTTCGGATTATGTTTTAAATGTAGGTGCTGACTGACATTTTCAAAAGTTGTTATCCATTTAATGCATAGATTAGGAATAGAACTTGTTGACTTTCTCTTTCTACGAGTTATTAATTATTATAATTTTATTATAGAATGTCAAGGTTTATCTATAAAAAAAAAAAAATCCAATTAATAGACAAAATAAAGGGTGTCTTTTCGAGCCATATGCTGCAATATACCCCATAAGGCATCAAAAATCTCACAGTCCACTTTCATAATATTTATTTCAATTATCGTAGTTAATCTGTTGATAATATTTGCAAAAAAAAAAATACCGGAACAAATTACTATTAGCCGTCGTAGCCGAGTAAATAAGTAAGAGTTGGCTTTCCGCTGATTGTCTGAATTATTCATACAGAACGCTGTTGTTTCTCGCGTCAAATATTACCGGTAGTTAGAATCACTCGACACATTTTAGTTTACATGTGTTTATTAAGAGTTTTGTGTTAGAATGCTATGCTTTTTCTTTATTAACTTTTTGCTTTGCGTAAATTGAGGTTTTATCGGTGATACCGAGTGCAGTATTAGAAAGTGACGGTTCAATGTGCAAGGTGTTGAGAAAAGTAAATCAAGTTTTAACACGCTTGATATAAGACTCAAATTGCCGTTGTCGATGGAACCTCTGCAATGTGATTACCTTTAATTTTACACTTTCACCAAAAGCTCGTGTCTCTTCCAGCTCGCGACATCGTCGCACAGTCTAGAGAAACGGGACTATGTTATAAGGGAATTGGTGGATACGGAATGCAACTATGTGGACGTGTTGAGCAAAATTATAAAGCACTTCTTGAGACCGCTCACACCGTACTTGAAGCCGCAGGATCTACAATACATATTCTTCGGCATAAAGGTAAGATCCACTGTTACATCCTCGAGGATTTTTTTTTTATGGATGAATGGCAATGGATGACAATGAAATGGTAACCCCGCCTGTGCTAACAGTGTATACACTGGCGGGACACTAGTGAGGGATGATAGGTAAAATGAAAGGACAGTACAGTTAGCCCATCGTGATGATTTCCACCACTGACCCACCCACCAGGAATTCAGCACGATGGTTTTCAGGAGGGACCATGTGGAGGTCGAACTGACAGGGTATATTGCTAGTAATGGGACTGGCAGTCCGCATTACTAACAATCCCCCCCCCCCTTCTACAACCTCCGTATCGCCATGTGGTCCCGACGTAGAATAGGTACCGTAGGTGACTAAGGGAGAGTGAGGGATTAGCAGCAGCGTTCCTCTTAAAACATCTCCAAAGCCTAACTGCGCTTGCCAATCGGCCAGCCAAGTGTGACAACTACTGGAAAAACCCTCCAAGGGGGAAGCTTGTGTTCATCAGTGGACAGTTAAAGGCTGACATGATGGTGATCCTCGGGTATCAGTTGTGCTCTATTCCTGTGGGAATTTTGAAAATTTTATTATCTGCACTTTATAAAAGGAACTAGTATTCATATGTCATGTTCCTAAACTCGGCTAGGTAGTGTATATTAATCAATTAATTAAATTAATATATAGTTTATATATGCCCGCCTCTATCCGTATTCCGTGGTTAAATTAAATACAATTAACAAAATCTATGTTTTATGCGGTTTCATACAATGGTAAAATCAAATTATCTCATGATTATTTCAATGTATTTTGATAAAACGTACACCTGGTTTGTTATTAGACTAATACTAAATTGCGAAATATTTTGAAATCCATCCATCCATTTTCTCATACAGATGTAAATGTTGAATTGAATTTCACTAAGTATTTAACAATTCGCGTAAAACACATACCTGCTGACATACAGGATAGTCCTTCTATTACTTCCTTTAAGAAATGACTGAAATCTAACCTTTTTACTAATAATAATATATGATAATACTATGCACTTATACATATGTATATGTACATATATATTTATTTATTTATTTACAATTTGTGTATGTTTGTTTTATTTACATTATTTTTACCTGTACCTCTCCTGCACTAGATTACCCGCCAATTAATTATTTTCTCTCTAACTACACTGGGTTGGCTGCAAGAGATCTCTTTTAGAAATAAGCCCTCCCTTGCTAATAAGTTGTTAAACTAACCGCTGTATCTATTGTTCAAGTGCAATAAAGAATATATAAACCTATTTTAACTGTTACATTGTTTTGATCACATTCTTTCCAATTGGGAATTTAGCACAAGAGACGAGATAATTTAAAATAGCTTATTTTCTTATTATAAAAATAAGTTTATTAAATGTTTGACGTTTTTATGAATAAGAGCGTTGGATTATATTATAGTAAGTATAGATAGATGTACGACAAGGTGAGCGTGGGTGTGCACCCGGCAGGAGCTGCACGAGATCCACTCGGGGCTGCTGCGGCAGCTGAAGCTGGCGACGGAGGCGTGCGTGCCGGGCAGCGGGGCGCCGCGGCTGGCGGACGTGTTCCTGGCGTGGCGCGAGCGGCTGCTGCTGTACGGCGACTACTGCTCCAACCTCACGCAGGCGCAGGACACGCTCAAGGCGCTCGACGCCAGGGACTCCACCTTCAGCAAGCAGCTCGAGGTCGGACGCTTTTTTTATTAATTTTTTATACCACGAAAGTGGCGCATTGGTATACAGCCCGTCTGATGGTAAACGGTCATTGTACGCTATGGACGTCTGCGACACTAGGGAGGTGACGTGCGCGTTGCCGATCCTGTAGAAACTGTTACTTAATCACGATGGTTTTTAGGGCGAATTGCGAGGGGGTCGACCTAATGGGGTATATTGCTAACGTTGGTGCAACTACACTGCATCACTAGCAATCCCCTCTCCCCACTTGTTTTCCCTTAAAGACGATTTATTTATTTCGCCATAACGACTGACGCAGTAGATAATATAAAATTGGAAATTTTAAATAACTTCGGAACTGATGACCTTGAAATATCTGAACAGATCAGCTAAGAATCATCTCGATCATATCAGCTTTCAACCAAAAAACCGCGTCATAATCGGTCCATTCGTTTAGGAGCTACGATGCCACAGAGAGACACATAGACACGTCAAACTTATAGCACCCTTCTTTTTATATTGAGGTTACTGAATAATGATAAAAAGAAAAATAGATTTATTTATTAATATCATATTGATTTTTTTTAGTACGTTTGTTCCGTTGTGGAACAGGCTAAGGTCGGAGACCATGGTGCCTAGTCTTCAATATGATAGTTTGTCTGGAATAAGCATATCATATTGTTTTCAGAAATGTCAAAAGGAGCACAGCGACGGCCGGATACAGCTGCGCGACATACTGTCGGTGCCGATGCAAAGAGTGCTCAAGTACCACCTGCTGCTCGACAAGCTAGTACATGAAACGCAGCCGGTAAGTGGCATGTTATTTAATCAGGTTGTCACGTTTCATACAACTACATAACACATACTATATAGACAATGCGACTTTAAAAATCTTCCTTCTATTACATCGCTATAAGAAATTTAAAAGTAAAAATAATTTGTATAATTTTTTTTATACAATTCAGAATGGCAAATAAGTTGACGGTCCACCTGATGGAAAGTAGCAATCGTCGTCTATAGACACGAGCAGCGCCATTGACATGACAGAGCACACTGTGTTAATGTTGCTTTCGTGATAATAAGCCCTTTAATAAACTAGATTAATTAGTTGAAAGATTTTTAAAATTATGTTCCATTTGTTTGTAATTATGCAATAGAATTAGTCTTAGTTTAAAAATTTAAAAGACGAATAGAATTAGTCTTAGAATCTTATTTGAAAATTTAAAATTACTGTTTTATTTTTAAGTAACAATCTATTTTTTTTTGCCAGTTCTCAGCTGTAACCTGTACCTGTTGGTCAAATTTAGTTATCTACTTTTATGCTATACATATAGAGAAAAAATCTCAAATCATCATAGTCGTAGAATACTGATGGATCTGACAAAGATTACATATAAAGATCCGTCAGTATTCTACGACTATGACGAAATGTCATAGGTCTATCAATACACATCTTGTTTCATCTATTTTCATACATACATACATACACGTCAATCTAGAATTGTCTTGGAAATATTCATCACTCCTTTAAATCTTAAATTACTATGATTATGATAGTTGGAAATAATTTATTTATAAGAAGAGTTTAATAAGCTTAAAAATATTTGATTGGTGAGTTTTATTAACTTGATCTTGTTTTTATGTGTGTTTAAGAATCACGAGGAATTCCGCGGCCTGGAGCGCGCCAAGGAGGCGATGGTGGATGTAGCACAGTACATCAACGAGGTCAAGCGGGACAGCGAGGTGCTCGCTCTGCTCACCAAAGTACAGGTAGAATAAATAAAATATAAATTATACTTTATAGAATTCAAATTGTGGTTCAAATTATAATAATAAAAATAAACTCTTTATTGCGCACAGTAAAAATGTATACAAGAAATATTTATACAGAATGTGCATATACAAAAGGCGGCCTTATCGCTAAAAGCAATCTCTTACAGACAACCTGGCATATAGAATGGATAAGTACAGAGAGAAAGGTAGATGGCGCAAGTCAGACAAAGTAAATATATAAAAGGAATCAAACAAAATGCTAAATATTCTAAATATAAAAATAAGATTACAATACATAAACATACATATATAATATAAATAATAATACATAAATACTAAACAGATCAAGATGAATCACACATAGTACACAAATTATTTAATTTTTACTCACATCATTATAATGATTATATTGAGTCCCACAAAAAAAGCAACTCCAAATAAAGCAAAACTAGTTATTTCATTTTAAAACTAAACTGCTGAACCGATTTTGATGAAATTTTTATATATCTCCTTCTAGCTGTATGTATATCCTTTTGAGATATAAAAAGAATTTTCTAAATCCGTTTACAACTTAGAGAGTTATGAGATAACAAACACAAAAAAAAAATACGAACTAAATAAACTTACCTTCTTCTTTTAAAAGTTGGTTGAGAAAACTTAACTTTTATCTTTTTTTAACAGATTTATATTTAAATATGTAACAATTTCTGTAATCAATAATTAATTTTTAATAACATCAATCCAAAGAAAAAATTACAATATTAACTAGTGACTGAATAAATTTGATTAGTGCTGTTGTTGTGTATTTGAAAGAATTTAGTGAGAATTTTAACAGATTTTATCAGAGGGAGACTTTGTACAAAAGTCGATTGCTTGAAGACGAATGAGACAGAGGCACCCGCCTCTGTCTCATTCGTGTTTCAACCGTGAAGCAGTTGTGTTTGCATGGCTGTGTTTCGGTTTGAAGGGTGAGATATGGCGTGAATTTACTGGGTACAGAGGAATAACACCTGAGTCCTCAGGAATGGCAACGCATGGGGGGTATCATGGGCGAAAGAGTATACTCTGTTATGTCCATGGTACCCGCTCATGTTTATAGGCTACGGTTACCACTTTCCATCAGGTGGGCCGTCAGCTTGTTTGCCATTCTAAGTTGCATAAAAAAGAAGAAGAATTGTCCTCATTTATTAATATTAAATTGATTGTTTTTTGCTGAATAAATGAATTAACTCCCTAGTAGATAGATGCTTCAAACCTTATTAGTTCCATTGCTACCTTACATTTTATTCACGGAATTGTTACGTCGCTGATTGACCATTCTTTCGCATTGTTTATCGATTTTTGGTGATATGTGGTAACTTCAGTTATAAAAGTACTGTATATCATTCACCAGGAGAGCATAATCGATTGGGAGGGCGGAGCGCTGGGTGCGGGTGGCGCTGGCTTAGCGGCATACGGGCGGCTTCTACTCGACGGGGAGCTCAAGGTGAAAGCTCACGAGGACCAGAAGCTGCGCTCCAGATACGTGTTCGTCTTCGACAAGCTCATGCTTCTATGTAAACCAGTCAAGGTCAGTTTGTGCATGCATTATGCTTTATGATATAGATGGATTAATTATAATTTAATTAATAAGCAACGATAGAGATCTAAAATGATGATGAAGATGTATGTAGCCGAAGTCACTACGATATGACAGTGAATTTACAGGGTACAGAGGAATAACACCTGATTCCTCGGGAATGGCAACGCATGGGGGGTATCATGGGCGAAACAGTATACTCTGTTATGTCCATGGTATTGCTCATGTCTATAGGCGACGGTTACCACTTTCCATCAGGTGGGCCGTCAGCTTGTTTGCCATTCTAAGTTGCATAAAACAAAAATATATATAGGTCAGTAGCGGGAGCGATCCTCCCGCCTCCCCGTATGCGCACTGAGCGTGGGTGTGGATGTGTGTGGTGCGCAGGACAACCAGTACTCGTACCGCGTGGGCGTGCGGCTGGCCGAGTACCGCGTGGAGGAGGGCTGCGGCCGGCGCGGCGGCACGCGCGGCGAGGGCCGCTGGGCCGCGCACTTCTACCTCGTGCGCCGCACCAAGGACGCCACCTTCACGCTGTACGCGCGCTCCGACGACTGCAAGCGCAAGTGGGTCAAGGCCATCCGCGACGCCATGTGAGTACCGCCCGCACGCCGCGCAGCTATACCACCTCGTGCGTCGCAACAACTGTACTCTTATTTTGTAATAATCGAACAAAAAAGCACTAAGCACTAAGTTTTTACTTACACACTATTAGAACTTCACCGACACACCACCTCACGAACGCACCGACGATCTACAGCTATTCTTTTAATATTTAAATCCCATACATGATGACTTAACTGACGTAATCAGATGGCGAGGGTTTAGACCGGCCCCCTGCCACGACCAGGTAACCGTGTAGCGTGGGACTCCCCAATACAGCTATTCTTTTTTTTTTTTCTATTTGAAACTCTTAACATTAATCTTGTTAAAGTTCAAATACATTCAAATATTAATGCTTTTTCTTCAAATCATATACCTAGAAATGATAATAAAACTGTCATAATAGAAAACAGTCTAAAACACCAATTTTTTTTTACAGAGACAATTTAGAACCGTCAGGATGTCGAAGTACGAACCACAAGTTCGTCCTGCACACGTTCGAGAAGCCGGCCACGTGTCATCATTGCTCCAAGTTCCTCAAGGGTAGAATATTTCAGGTATATACGTACATGTATTAGTATTAGTACATATATCTATAGAGTTGGTATTTTGGTTGGTTGGTTGGTTTGTATTTGCGAGGTCACACACATCGCCGCGTGTTTTTTTTTTTATTTTTTAATGGGTGATAATGGTATGATGACCCTGTCTTCGCTATCAGGATACACCTGGCGGAGCACCAGTGAGGGATGATCTGTGAGGATGAAAAGGCAGGTCAGTTAGCCCATCATGACAAATTCCACTAGAATTAACTACGACGGTTTCCAGGGGGAACCACGTGGAGGTCGACCTGACAGGGTATATTGCTAATAATGGGGCTATTTAACCCATTACTAACAATCCCTTTTCCCCCTTGACCGCCGCGTGTCGATGCAGGGCTACTTGTGCACGGTGTGCAACGCGTGCGCGCACAAGGAATGCATCGCACTTTCGGGGCGCTGCGGCGGCGGCGCGCCGTGCGTGGGCGTGGCGCCGGCGCCGGCGGGCGGCGGCGGCGGCGGCGGCGGCGGCGGCGGCGGCGCGGGCGGCGGCGACCAGGCGCTGCACTACTACATGTGGTACGTGGGCGAGATGGGCCGCGAGACGGCCACGGCGCGCCTCGAGCGGCGGCTGGACGGCACCTTCCTGCTGCGCGTGCGGCCGCAGCCCGCGCACCACCCCCACCACCCACACCACCCGCACCACCCCGACAACGACACCCACTACGCGCTCTCGCTCAAGTAAGCATACACACCTACTATTATTATTGAGAAACGACGTCATTCTAACTTGTTGTTACCGTAAAATTGGCTTACTAATTTATATTTGTAAATCACCGTGTCTTGGTAATCTCTTATGGACTCCCGCGATACAAGTTCGCCTAGTGCGGGCTCCAATGTACTCGCTGTTGTAACACTTGTCACGTCTGTAATCAATTCTTTTTTTAAATTCACTGCTAATAGTGATAGATATTTTAGGATGTTCTTAGCAGCGATGTTTTCTCTCATCAGGGTAGGAACAGTATTTTCCAAAGGAAACATAAAACCCTATATAATTATTGCGTTGCAGCCTTCATTGGCCTCCTGGCGACTACTGTCGTTAAAAGCGTTCAGAACTTTAGCTTATAGAAATGTAGCAACGTCGCAATTACGTATCATTTCACAAAAATGATTTATCATTTTTCTGATTATTTAAAAAAAACTCTACAAGTAAACTAAAATTTTTATCATAGAATACATTGTATACTATAAAGCTACCACTAAAAACTTTGCGCCTACTTTGTATTTTGCTTCAGAACTTTTCAAATACATTTTTGCCATCAAACGGTTTTAAATAATAATTGAGACTGTCACTCAGTCCACGCATGTTTTGCAACACGTGTGTCGCCTTTAAACGAGGCATCTTCAGGCAAATTAATAAATCGCTGCTAACATTAAACTTCGAGCAGCCAATCCTCGTGTTTTTGTAGTCGAACGCATACTAATGGTAGCAGAATTAACCAAAATAATTCTAATTAACTAACAAGTAAAGTAATTTATGTATTCTTTTATGTATTGACGTTCCAACAGAACGGACAACACAGTGAAACACATGCGCGTGTGCCGCAAGCCCATCGACCAGGTGCCGCACTACTACCTCTCGGAGTCGCGATTCTTCCGAAGCATCGTCGAGCTCGTCTCCTACTACGAGAAGACGAGCCTCTCGGAGAATTTCATAGGGTATGCTTTTTGCTATATGTTTTATACTTAGATTATATAGATAGAGCATCGAGTCTCAAAAACGGATCAACTTTTTGTCAAAAAAAAAAAAAACTTTTTTTTTTGTCAGTGTTCTATATTCCTTCTCGTAAAATGTATCTTGACGTATTATTTAAAAAATAAAATGAGTTTTTACGCATTTAAAAGATGCAGAAATTATAAGATAAAATAAATATAGAAGTTATAAAGGAATCACTCAACCATTTATCACGCAAAATTGTATGAAAAAGTTGACCTGTTTTTCTCGAAGCATTTCTATGGAGAGTCTCTATATAATCTAAGGTTTTATATAACTCTGTTTCTTGTTTAACATGAAAGTTTTCCAAGTAAATTGAACTCTATATTGCGAACCATACACTCTTTTTTCGATTGTTTTGTATGTAATAATGCCTTTACACAGATAAGCCACAAAGATTGTCTGAAGTCGATGCACTACGATTTTAGTTTATTTTATATTTTTACTGTTTTTAACTATATTATAATTGTATTTATCTACTTATAAGACATAAATGTACCCACTTAGTTAACATAGTCCTTTATATATAAAAATAAAAAATTAAGAGGATTAACACAATAATTAAAAATGTAGATGTACCTATTTCTTTTTGGCTTCAGCGCGTGCCCTGTCAGTGCATAGTCGTCCTCTAAAACTCAGTTTTTTTATTTTGCATCCGGTATAGTAGTTATTGCAATAATCATTGTAAAAAAAAGAACTTTGATGTATTAAAGATTTTTTTTTTATATATAATTTTTATCTGCACCCTCGCCCGCGTGACTATGATCCTTTGACCGGATTTAAATGTAGTACATGGCCTTCTCTATCGCACATGCTATCTATAATATCTATATCTATTCTGTCTATCTATACGTATACCAATTTAAATGATGATTGATTGAATCGTTAGCCAAGAGCTGACAAGCAAACAAAGTCATATTCATGTGTATAATTTGTCATTAATCAGACTGAACTCAAACCTGCGCTGGCCATTCCGGCGTGTGGTAGCGACAGTGATTCACGACTTCCGTCCGCTGGAATCGTCGCAGCTGGCGCTGCGGCCCGGCGCCAAGGTGCTCGTGCTCAGCAAGGAGGGCGATGGCCGCGGCTGGTGGAAGGGCAGGACCCTCGACAAGGTACCAGTACACGTGCACTTGCTTATAAATATTATTTACTAGTTGTTTCCCACGTGAATCAGTATAAAATTTAATTCAATTTTTCGGCTGTTTAAGCGTGATGTTAAATAACACATACATACCAACATCTTCACAAATCTTCACATTTATAATTAATAGGAAAGTAAAATATTGCTTTGTGGTCCTTTGAACCGGACATGAACTACTGTTTTACGATTTATATATTATGTATACGATTTTTACGTAAGCTCATAATATTTTATCAAATAATTGACATATGGAAAAAAATATTCGATAAATCGCTTTGCGTGTTTTAGGGAGACAATCGCTCGGGCTATTTCCCGAAGGAATGCGTACGGGAGGAGCCCGAGTGCATCGGCGCGCTGGACTGATGTCAGCTGTGCCTCGCCGAGCGCGAGCTGCACTTCGCCACGCCGCCGCCGCTGCCGCAGGCGACGCGAGCGCCCCCGCACGACGACAATTCGCCCGGAGACCTCGTCTGAGGACTTCACACAGAAATAGGTCTAAGAGAACTGGGCCTAGAATATACCTACAACCAGGTATGTTTACACAAAGGAATAACGTACTAAATTGCGAATGCAATCGAAACAAATCAAATTTATTGCTCTTAAAACAAAAAAAAATTCGCTCGGTCCAATTCCATCTTCACGCGAAGGTATAGAGGCTACCAGTTGTGCGGTGTGAATATGTGTTATAGACGAATTCTAATGTTGATAGTAAAAGAATTTGACGTGGATTACATATGACGGTATCAAAGTGAACGCTTCGTACTTCAAGTATTATGTAACATTAATGTTGCGATAGTCCAACAATGTAATTAATGACACACACACAATATAATGCGATCAAAATAAGATTTAAAACTGACTTCTCACTATGACTTTTGAGCTCTCAAAATAAGCAGACTCAGTAGAATAATATTGTAGTTTTAAGACTTTGTTAAATGTTGTTAAAGAAATTGTGTACATGAAAGATTTTTAATTTAAAAAAAAAGAACATTTATTTATGTTCCTAACGTTATTTCGATCGTTTTGTATCGTGTATCATGCAGTAACAATAAAAACGTTTGTAATATCAAATCTATGAAAAGTGCATTGTGGCTATCATTTTTGTGACATTGTACATAATATTATTTTTTACCATATATAGTCATTACTGAATAAGATGCGTGTCTCAGTCACTCATGAGCGTATTTAAGGGGGAGGGGATGGGTGTTCCATGCCCACACCAGGATCCTTTTTTAAGGCTCCACCTGAAAAATAATCTTAAATACCCTAATGATGATTTCATTATAGTACGCAATAAGTGCAATGCAGTTTATTTAGCAATTTTACATTCAAAATGAATGTATGATTATCGCTGATAATTCAATATCAAATGAAATGTGCAAACAACATTATAATGAATGCCTCTGTCGGATGACACATCAAAACATTCACTAAAGTTATATTTTTTTATCATTGACCACCAAGTAGTTTAAGTAAATATGAATTGTACAGAATTAAATCAATCAATGCAATCTCAATTTTAATTGATTGTTGATAATTAAATTGTGTAGGTTATTATAATACGATATATAATAAAGTCAAAAATGTTTATCTATACAAATTACATTCTAGTTTATTAGTTTATATAAAATACATAGTCTACTCTATGTGCTAACATACGCACACTATTGCTGTCTCAAATATTTGTCTATGGTTCTCTATCTTGAATAAAGGTTGTCTATTGCTCTCTTCTAGCGGCACTTCTGGTTTGTTATTATGGTGCGTAAAAATGCTTTAAATCTAGAATAATGATATTAAATGGAAAGTGATATATCTTGTGTTGTTTGTGTAACGGAAATAAACTGATGTTTGTATTTAAGGGAATGAGTAATGTGTTAGACCATACAACTCCATGCATAGAAATTTAAATGACAGTGTGACGTTTTAATAGAGATGTAACGCTAAAAGTTATGTCAAATAACTTATAGTTATTTCTACTTCAGTGTCACAATGTGTTGGATAAAGATTGTATGGATTTAAAGAAAAAATAATGTTAAAAGATCTGTTTGTCAGTAGGTATAAATTACAATTATATCGCTATAAAATATAGGTCTTTTATTATTATTTTTGCTTTAAAAATATTTAATTGTACAGGTAGCTAGAATCACAAAGGACATTTCAAAAGAACTTTTAATTCATATGACAAAATTATGCTCAAAAAAACATTTAATGGCATGACATTCTGCTCTATATTTTCATTGGCTGTTTAGAACATTGTTCGTTTATTAAGAAAACTCTCGTCTGTTTGTTTGTGTTTGTGTGTGTGTGTGTGTAAATTTTTAGTCATTTTAATGTTTCTCTAAACAATAGTGAGATAAAGTGCCAAATGATTTGTTCCACGTCACATCTTGTGGATTCTTGTTTACAATTAAAATTTTTATATCGTTTATCTCACACATTTTATATTGTATGTATGTTGCAAATTAATTTAGTGGTATAGAGTCCAATGTAACTTTACTACTCTCCACTTTATATTTACTTTTAGTGAACAAAATTTATTTAGATGTTAAAAAGAAGAGTATTATCGTGCAGTATAAAATATTTAAGCGGAGTCACTTTAAATACCTCAATTTCAATATTTCTCTACATTCCAATGCGTGGGCGTACAGCGCATAACCTCTGTTGCACTTGTTTAATCATATTTTGATTGATTAAGGAGGTAGACAAGGCATCATCGTCATAACGAATCATTGAAATACCAATTTTGACCACAGTTCTCTCCCCATGCAATACCCTTGATATTAAGCTACGCTATTATCCGACTAGCCTGACAGCTTGGTATAGAGTTTGAGTTTTTCAACAATTACGCTTATTGCGCTTTATTCACCAAACTACATCTTTACATATAACAGTATACTCTGTTATGTCCATGGTACTGCTCATGTCTATAGGTGACGGTTACCACTTTCCATCAGGTGGGCCGTCAGCTTGTTTGTCATTCTAAGTTGTATAAAAAAAAAAAACATGGGAAAAGCTTTTAGTGACGACATACTACTTTGTCACTATGCTTATGGTATATCAAGTCTATTATTTAATAATAATATTTTATTTTCTAACTACAATTTGGTCCATTTTGTTAGTAACAATTTTCTTACAAACTATGTTTGTAAAAAAAATATGACTGTAAATAAAGCTTTTATATTAATATTCCTTTTTCAAATTTGAAGCGATAGATGCATAATAATACATTTTGGACAATAATAAAAAAATAGACATGTTACCAACTTATAAATAGTCTTAATTAAAAAGTATTAGGTTCAGTATCTATTCCTGAAGTGTCTATATGACAATGACCCACAGATGGACGAAGTTGCACCGTGCCGCTTCTATTTCTTACACTTACTGTGAATCTAAATTATTGATTACGCTATTCATAAAAGCTTGTAAAAAGCGTTCAGACACATTTCCTCGACACAGCCCTACCTATGTTTAAAAAAAAAATAAGAACTGCAAACGTCACTAGATATCAAGATATTGTTTTTTTTTAATGCCTGTTGACAATTGATGCTTTTTCTACCTCCTTTTGTCTTCTAAGTAAATGTTAAAGAATTCTTTGTATTGAACATGTCCCAAATATTTATTATATTTATATAATACGTATATATTTCTACAAAAGTAAGAAAAGAATGGCACCTGTTGGCAATAAAGGGATCATAGATGTTAAAAATACACTATGACACGTACAGTACTCTTCACGCGTTGCCAGTTCTTGCTGAGTTGTATTGCTCAGTACCCATTATTTCACTGTCACTGTGACCTTTAAACTGAAATAAATTATATTCTTCGTAAAGCAAGGTGCTTTACATAAATAACTGCACATTATATTTTATTCACGAGTGAATATAAGACATTTTCCTGATTTTAAAGTTATAATTATCTTATTAACATTAACAGATATGTAAACTTTATGTTTATAATGATTTCACTGTAAAAATCACTTTTAATCTATGACAAAACTATATATCTATAAAATAATTTTTATTTTATAGATACTATATTGTCTATGATATTTATAATATTTATAAAAAAAATATTTCAAATTTCGATCGTATTTAAATAGAACGTCCGTTAGCGTTTCAAAGTGCTACAGTCGGCCTACATCATCGGTCTAGTTTCGCTCACAATCTCTTTGCGTACAAATTGTAACAATTTAAAACATGTCTCTTCTATTATCCCTATCAATAGATGTTAATATGTCTCAATCTACATATATTTTTATATGTAAGTTAATATTTAACAAATTGGCAATCGGTCTATATAATGAAAATCACAATTTATTGAATAAATACTAAATAAGTTCCCATGATCATAGCATAGATAATAAAATGTATGTGGCGGTTATAAACTAATTGGGAATTTCATTATATATTATTAGAAGATTCTATTCAAGACTTGTATATTCAACGTTGACTCTGTAACATATGTAAATTGCTGTTAATTTATTTCTGTCCTAGAATAAGATAGCGCGTAAAATTGTTATACGTTTGTGACGCTGCGCACACAAATGTCAATGTCGAAAAAAGAACATTTCATAGTAATTTTTACACAATTTAAATTTGAAAAAAGAACGTTATGTTCTTATTCCTAGGATAAATAAGGTCAGGCTTCTTTCTCACTAGGAAGTACATATCTAACAGCGATCCCTGATCCAACATTGAATTGACACAAATTTGACATAAGACTTAACAGAAGCTAATTCGGTAGCTTATAAGGTTTCAATTCGAGTGATTACAGTAAAAGAAGCTTTGGCACCTCTACGGCATGTTTCATCAACATTGATAGGATAATAAAAACGTATACATACAAATGGTACATTTCAAATTCTGCCCATTTGTAGTGCGTGGCCGGAATTGTTCGACGATTTTACGTGCTATTTCGCGTGTAATAAAACTTGTGTCCGAAGTGAGATTCGGTAAATTATTACGATTCGTTAGTTGATACTATAAAGACGATAAATGGTTAACATCGTGAACTGCTACCATGTCAAATAATTTATTTATTTATTTAAGGAACACCAACAGCATATTGCATTACAACATATAGGTATAACAAACATTAAATATAATACCATATTAATGCACATGCCTATTATAGGTATTCACAGGTAATAATTCTACAATGGTAGCGTTATTTGGTGTTTTTCACTAGTTTATTTAGACTGAATTTTGTTCAAATTTTTCTTATAACTCCGAATAACATTTTTAGCTCTGGATATTTAAATTAAATGTGTTTTTTTTTTATGTTTCGATAATAGACTTACTAAACCAACTAATGTGAGAGAGACAATGATATTCACGTCTCCTGTCAAATTGGTTACCTATACACTTGGCGGAATGTAAGGCAAGTTAAAAAAAGAAGAAATAAGCTTTATTTTTATAAATAGCAACCCGTACATATTAAACTTCTTAATTGAAGGTAGCGAGTATTTTGTTTGAAAGCTTAGAATCTCAACTGACACAATTTTTCTTACCGACTGATAAATTACGACGAGCGCAATGAATGTTATCCTTCCACGTAGCAGTTTAAATGTCGGTTCATGTTAAATAGATATTTATAATAGACATAAGTTATAAATGTTTATATTTAATAATATAAAATAAATTATATAAAATATATAAATGTAAACGGAAGTGGCCAATAGTGTACACTTTTGCTTAACAGATTATTTATTTCTTTGGCGCAATTGGATCTTGTTTCATGGTGAAAAAAAAAAGAATGCATGCATAAAAAAAAATCTAATGATTTGTCGATCACAGTTATGTATTGTAATGGTAGTGTAATTGTTTCGTGTTAAATAAAATTTTGAGTTGGATTTCCTTTCGGTCCGTGGACTTGGATATTTTATTAATTGACAGAGATCTGAGAGTTTTGGCTGGTATCTCCAGGTGTTATCTAGTTTTTAAAATATCATATTTTATGGACCGAAAACACACACATATATATTATTTATAGCTTCTTTATATTTTATTTAATTATATCGTCATAGTCGTAGAATACCGACGGATCTGACGAAGATTACATATATAAAGATCCGTCAGTATTCTACGACTATGACGATATGTACTAAGATTTGATTATACATACTAACTGGCCACTTTCTCTAAACGAATTGTAATAATATAAATTGCATGTATTATATAAATAAATCATAATTATATAAACGTATAGTGCCACCTAAAATTATATATGCTTCAATGTGACATTGGTTAGGACACGGTGAATGTGTGTACCCACCGCTTTATATGAAGTTGTGAACAAATAATTATAATACAATATAAAAACAATATTTAAAAATTGAAAATAGTATAGTGAATATTTTAGTCCCGTGGTGACAGGGTCCCGTCGCGGGCGTCGTTGTTATATTGTACGAGAAATATATGTTGAACATTACATTAGGTTTGTAAACATGGTTGTTGTAACATAATAGAATATATTTTTTCTATTAAGTTGGACGGCCGAGGACGGTGCGTGACGATATGATGGACGCCATATTGGTATAACCTTCTGCAGATGATATGCGAACACCTTGCCCTTGAATATGTCGGTTCGACATTACAGACTCGTTGAGCAAGTTCAATGAACTTTTAAAGTAGTCGAATGTTTATTTTAAATTAAATGGAAACTTTTTTTTTATACAACTTAGAATGGCAAACAATCTAACGGCCCACCTGATGAAAAGTGGTAACCGTCGCCTATAGATATGAGCAGTATCATGGACATAACAGTGTATACTGTTTCGCCCATGATACCCTCCATGCGATGTCATTCCTGGGGACTCAGGTATTATTCCTCTGTACCCAGTAAATTCACGCCATATCCCACCCTTCAAACCGAAACACAGCCATGCAAACACAACTGCTCGGTTGAAACACGAATAGGACAGAGGTACCCAATCAATCGACTTTTGTACAAAGTCTCCCTCTGCTGTGCTACGTTCAGGACTGTTTTTCTAAGGGACTAATTCGCATATATTATAAGATTCTTCATGAGTAAGAACCCTGGAAGGTATCTTGAAATTACTCTAGTAATTTCATTGACAATATAAATAAGTCTATTTCGTTGGAAATGAATTAAACTGTTTAATGATCACTACTATTGTCAATAAGAGGATAGACACAAGAGCAAGGTGTTTGTATATTGTTCTTCGGAGCAACGTACTAACATGTTCGTGAATTTACAAATTTTTGCATGACATATTGATGTATGGTGCCAAAAGTGGTTGAAATGTCTTGATCTCTTGATTGTGCTAATATACAATGTTTAATGACTAGTTTTATCATATACAGTTTATTACAGAGAGAAATACATTTGTATTATATAATTTTTACATTATGACGTTACAGATGTTTTGCACGAATTAAAAAATAAATAAATATTGGAGCACTCGATATGTCTACGAATTGTATACTGCACGTGGCACATATCGTCATAGTCGTAGAATACTGACGGATCTATATATGTAATATTTGTCAGATCCGTCTGTATTCTATGTCTATGACGATATGTTTGTATGCACGTCGACTGCTACAATAGATGCAATACTGGCTGTATTACATTTAAAGTTTTCAACATAACAATGTTAATTACTCACACAGCCAGAAGAATATACGCATACATATACAATAAGTCCGTAACAGTCTGTTTCAATGGAACATAATGAAAATATTAGAATAGATGAGAATGTCGAAGCTGTTTTGACGCCGAAGAAACGGCTGTTCACGTTATCTTGGAATGTGAAGCTGTGGTCCCTCAACGTTTAGAAATCCTCGGAACGATGAGGTCGCTCCGTGAGGCCTGTGAAGATCCTAGGACACTTCTGTGCTCCTGGGCGGAGCTGGGCTGACTGTACTAGTCACGACTCATGCGCACAGTGGCCCGAATGAGAGTCCAATTTACATTACATTAGAATAGATGAGAAAATTTGATTACGCGACGGAAGCTTAAAAATGGTGTAACTTCTCCCGTTTTCCCAACATCTCCCTTCACTGCTCTGCTCCTATTGATCGTAGCGTGATGAAAAGTATACTATAACCTGCCCAGGAGTATGAAGAATAATTGTACCAAGTTTCGTTAAAATCCGTCGAATAGTTTTTATTTCTATAACGAACATACAGACAGACAGACAAAAATTTTACTGATTGCATTTTTGGCATCACTAATAACACCCTGATAGTTATTTTGGAAATATATTTCATGTACAGAATTGACCTCTCTACAGATTTATTATAAGTATAGATTACTAAATAACTAAAGTTGAATAACTTGGTTATTATTGTTAAACAGTTATTTTATGTCTTATGATCGGATCAATTATACGTTTGTTTACATTTTTACTAAGTTCTATTGAAACAGATCAGACTTAATAACTTCGGTTGGTACCTAATTGAAATTGTACAAGTGTTATAAATTCAAATTGCTCTTGTACTCGTGTGTGTCGGTAATCGTTGTGTCTATAATTATTTAAAATAAATGGTTCTATCGTTAAGTAAATGTCCTGTATGTAATGTAATTTAAAAATGTTATATCCACTATGGTTTCTATTGGTGCTGCCAATTTATTTTGTGTTCATTGATTTGATCGGGAAGTGCTGTCTCGTGCGTGCGTTGTGAACACACCCGCCGGAGCGAACTTAGCAAAATGTATTTTGATATTATTTATGTTCACGTTTTGTAAATATTATACAGAAATGGCATATCTCATTGTTCGGTAGACATGTAAGTTACAACTCCACAATAAATACACGGTTGGAGATTTGTGCTCGTTTCATTTTGTTATTATCAATTTAATTTCAACCAGACTAATCGGCTTTTTAAATTTTTTATTTCTGGTGCCTGGCTGGATATGGCCTAAAGATAAGTAAATAAAAGAAAAAAAAATTGTATATTTGAATACTGAGCGTGAAAAAATTATTTGATTCCTGGTGAAAAAAAAAGAAGTAAGTATCTACTCATAAGGGATTGTTTTTTTTTTATGGGTGAAAATGGTATGGTAACCCCGCCTGCGCTAACGGGATACGCTGGCGGAGCACCAGTGAAGGGTGATCGATGAGAATGAAAACAGGCCAGTTAGCCCATCATGATGAATTCATCAGGAATTAACCATGATAGTTTCCAGGGAGAACCGCAAGGAAGTCGACCTGGTTGGGTATATTGCTAGCAATGGGATTCTCAGTCTTCATTACTAACAATCTCTTTCCCCCCATCAGGTGGGGTGTGATCACTTTGACAACAATAACATACATATCTCGGATTAAAAATTGCCTTATCTACATAATTTTATGCCTACATTGGAAAAAAAATGTGTATAATATATTAATAATTGCTTTATGAAAACAAAAATATTATTTACATATCAATTTTATACAAAAACATTTACATATAAATACTTAAGTACTTATTTTTGTATATCTATGCGATATCATAGCACAGATAAAAAATACGTGTACATTTTACAGAGTACTTGAGCTCTCATAGATAAAGTGTAGCTAGGTGGTCGGTTGGATTGCAATGAGGTTATACTATCCACATTGTAATAAAATTATATATATATCTATATATATATATATATATATATATATATATATATATATATATATATATATATAATTATTTTAAGGGCTTTTACCTTCTTCAGGTATATCAGTCCTATCGTACCCTGAACTGATGTCTCAACAAATTTATAGCCATAGAAAATGTTTACATGCTATATAGCTAACAAGTATTTTTATCACATTTTATACTTCGAAGGGTATTTGAGTCCACTGTATAAAAAAAAAAAAACTGAAATGACGCATGTGGGTAATTGTTTTCAGTAACTACTTTTATTAATTTGACAAGCGGACAAACTGCTATATATACCCATTATTCGTCATTATGAAAAATCCTATATCACTGCCTTTCTCTATAAATATATATATATATATATATATATATATATATATATATATATATATATATATATATATATATATATATATATATATATATATATATATATATATATATATATATATATATATATATATATATATATACAGGGCCGTGCCTGACGGGCGTTCATTGCGTGCACCGCACGCAGGCGGCCGAAATTAAGAGGCGGCCAAATCGTTACAAGTTGTTTACTGGGCCGATTTCGGTTAACCAAAAACTGATTTTTTTCCCGGTTTGATGCCCTGTGTATAATAATAAACATTAAAAATTAAAGTAGTTTTTTTAATGTTATCCTGGGGGCGGCCATACAGACTGCTGTATACTAATTTAATTTAGAAAAATATCCACTTTCATATTCTGCTATTAATTGTTTTGATGAGGCCATGTAACTCACACTGTGCAATTATCCCCTTAAATTTCTCCTTAGAATTCTCATAATACATCATTAGACTAACATTATTTTCCTTGTGCTGTCCACATTATTATAACTAATAATAATTTATATGTGCAATTTTTAAATAATGATAGATCAAAGACCTTGTGTTTAATACACAGGGTATTTGATGCTATACTTATAATAAATTATTAATAATAAAACATTAGACTGATATCTTATTTCGTAAATGCAAAAAATATTGTTCTTTAAAAATAATATAGTAAAAAAACCCAATTAATTCACGTCTAACACTTTCTTTCTGTTGAAATTTAAAAATCGTTAATTACCTAAATGTAATTATATCTAAGTGTAAAATTATAGACTATACACATTAGCTTAATCGGCCATTCCTTAGTCCGTCTAAATATATAAGTATTACTTCAAGTCTGGCGTACTGCTGCCCAAATAAGTCCTGAGATCGGATACAGTGGATTTGATCAGTTTGGCGGGTATGGTTTCTCTGTTGAGCCGTTTGTACGCGGTGTAGCGGTGGCAGCCGCCGAAACTGTAGAAATAGTTCCCGCCCTCTGTACCTACGATCCAAAGGACGTCGATAGGCGGCACATTTCCGATTTTCTCTTCGTTCTGCAATAGAGAATGTTTTTTTTAATGGGCGATAATGGAATGGTAATCCCGCCTGCGCTATCGGTATACACTGGCGAGGCACCAGTGAGAGGTGGAGGTGGGAAGGGCTCAAGGCAGCAGGTGCTTTAGTCAATTGTAACGAATTCCACAAGAATTAATCAGTTTCTAGGGGAAACCACGTGGAGGTCAACCTGATAGGGAGTGTTGCTAGTTATGTGGAAATTAGACCCTATTACTAACAATTCTATCCCCCCCATAGAGAATGTTTAGGTAAATAACACCGCAGGCTGTTCATCCTATGGTAGAATATTATAAAGTATAAGCTATGGTTATATCGTATTGTATTACTCTTGCAACTTATAAGTCTAATTCATTAGACAGAAGGAGTGGTGAATAGTGATGAGTAACCATCTAATATAAATAACCAGATTTACAGATATTAAAATGTTCTAAGCCTACAAAAATCCCATTTCTACTATAAATAGAAGAAAAGAGGTCAGCTGCGCGTTGAATGCATACGTCGAGGGTTCAGTAGATAAATATGACAAAAATGACCTTTATTGCATTTGCGATATGAAATAGTCGCCTAATAGTTATTATTATTGATACAATTCGTAATGTCTTATTCTGGGCCATAATTATGATAAAAAACTGGGTAATAACTAAGTTTGTTTTTGAAGATTTTCAGAAAATTTTTCTATTTTTCCTGTAATACGTGAAGTATTTGAACTGGCAAAAGTCCCGAATAGGAGGAGGTCTTAGACAATAAGGGAGACCTATGTCCAGCAGTGGACAGTTAACAGTTCATATGACAATAATGATTCACGTATATTTTTATAAACTACAATTATTTCAGATTTTTCGCTTCAGAAACCTCAGAGATAAGGGGGTGGGAATAGTTTTATTACTTTTTTTTTTATTTTTCTCACTTTTCGATTATAATTAAAAAAACTATTTACATAGCATAAATATAAATAGAATTAGTTTTAAAATGTATGAATGAAACCCTTTCATATGACACCCCACATGGACTACATCAATTTAGAAATTTTAAATACCTACCCCTATCCCCTAATGACATTCCAAATTTCAAATTGTTTCTATTTCAAATTTTTCTCATCTATTATATATGAGATATAAAACTGAGACAGACGGACAGTCGTATTTTTAGGGTTCCATACCAACCCTAAAAAGATGCTAGCTTATATAAAAAATGGACTACTTGAATTGCAATATTGGGATTCTATTGTTTCTGCCTGCCCTACAGAGCAAAGATTTACCTGTGATGATAACAAAATGGCGTGACGTACTAATAATTGATCTGTCTTTATATCGAAACCTATATCTATGTAAATCTACAAACAACAAATATAAAAATAAAAAAAAAAAACAAATAGTGCTGAACTGAAAACAAAAAACATGTTGATTTTGTGATATCAAATAATCAAGGATTAAACATTTCAGGTAGCTGTTATTTTTGTAATAAAATACCTACTTCATATATAAAATATACGCACCCAAGTCTGTATGAGGTAGAAACATAAACATTCTGATAATATCTCTATCAATTATAAATAAGCTTTTTAGATACAGAATAAAGCCTTTAAAGTTACCACTGTAGAGGAGAACTGATTATTCATTTTAATCGCTCCATTGACATCATGAAATAAAGTCACGGTCAATATGACTGAATCAGCTATATTATATTTTTTTTCTTGCTACTTCGTATATATACATACATCATACATATAGTATACATATATTGTCAACATCTGCATGTATTTATACGCATATTTTACAAATAAATAAATCTTGAATCTTGAAACATGTATATCACAAGTCGCAAAACAAATAAGGTGGACCACTCAAAGTAGATACTTTTGCCGTGTGGTTCCGAAATATAATTGGCCATCCATTTCCATGGGTGTCGTAAAAAGCTACTAACGAAACTTAATAGTCGAGAGATAGGCAGCAACGCCCCTCTTAAAACATCGCCAAAAGTTTAACTGCAAATGCCAACCCGTCTACCAAGCGGGACAACTACTAACTTGGCTAATGTGGAGTAAAAACCCCCTAATGTGGAGGAAAGTAACGGCTGATCTGATGATGATGAGACCACTCTTAAATAGCGTAATAGATAAAGCGTATCCCAGATTTTAGACCTTCAAGAATACAACTGTAAAAACTGCATCTAAATTCGTGCAGAAATTTTTGCGTTATTCTGGAATTAATAGATAGACAGACGAAATTTCTAATAATAGTTGTTTTAGCTTCAAACATTCTCATATACAGGTACCGTAAAGTTACAATTTTATTAATAATTATTTTTTATTTTTTAAATATACATCTTGTCTTTATAAAGATAAGATGTATTCATAAAGTAAATGTAAAGTAAATATCAAAAGTATAACCATAGCCATAGCATGAAAATAAATACCTGTATAGTTTCCATTAGTGATTTCACCTTGTCCTCGTCGACTTCTGGTACGAAGGGCCTCAAGATCACAGACATGGGGATGTCGTGCACCTCATCTTTGTACGCGCTGTGTATGCTTGTCATCCTGACCGCTGGCCATAAAAGTAACACATATAAATAACTCATGGAAGTACTCAACATCGTTTGTAACAAAAAAAAATCTTAATATTTTTATAAATACAATTCTCTATCTACTAGGTAAATAAATAATCCATGCTCCGAGAATTCACAATGCTAATCAGGATTCGCAGATTTTAGATTGATAAATTTGTTGATAATAGATATGTGAATTATTAAGCGCAGGGCAATACTATAGTTAGTTTAGAACAAAGTAAATTTTAATAAATAAAATTACAGAATACCCTAGATGTTTACACACATAATTTAGATATTCACTATTTTTTAAATAAACATTTTATGATAACATATAAATGTAATAAAAAGCAACTGACTTTTCTTTTTTATCTTTTGTATTTCTAAATATGTTTCAACGTATATTTTAAAGCTCCCCGATCGAAACTTACTAGATCCCATTAATATCGTAAAAAACAGGAAAAATTTAACAAAAGACTACTTATAATAATTAGCTGAGCACACACAAATATTATGTCATATTTAAATAAATTATGCAACTCCTAGAGCGCAGCTAAATTCTGAATGTTGTACAAAACAAAAGAGACATCACTTACAATTCCTCAATATTGCACTATTTGCGAAGAGTACAATCGATTTTATCATAACAAAACACTATTTCGTATAGCGTAGTGACTCAGTCGAATACACACGCGAGACTGACTGAAACATTGTTTGCAATCAGCCTTGTAGAATTTAGCATCTGATTCACACAAGGTCATGCAAGCGATAAAAGGTAATACTATTAAAATTATTTGATTGAATTTGAAGCAAGTATTAATTTAATTGTCCAACGAAAGTGAACATATCATAAACATGTATGCACTAGGGAAATTACACGAGTAATTCCTTCCATGCATGTTAAGTGGTGACGTAATCGTATTATTTATTACTTTCAATCTTTGAATACTTACTTAAAGCTATAGCAATGATAGAATCGTCATGGCTTACTGGTCTCTTACATTGATTAGAGTTCAAAAGTACCAATTAATGAGTTCCAATCTAGCTAATATATTTGTACCATTTTTTTACTATTAAAAAGGTCTCACGATTGTCCACAATATCACCTGATGGAAAGCAATTTTTTTTTAAATGGGTGATAATGGAATGGTAACGCTATTGGTATACGCTGGCGGGGCACCAGTGAGGGATGATAGGTGAGGACGAAAGTATGTCAGTTAGCCCATCGTGACGAATTCAAGAATTGTTCACGATGGTTTCCAGGGGGAACCACGTGGAGGTTGACCTGATAGGGCATATTGCTAGCAATGGGGTTGTCAAACTCCATTGCTAACAATCCCTTTCCCCCCAATGGAAAGCGATTATGTGGTCTAAGATGGTGCTCGCGGGTCCACGAATTGCCTATTCAGATTTACCTTAAATTGGTATAGATTATATTTGAATGGAAAAAAATAAACTGGGAGAAATTTCCACTTCTGATGGTACGCATGATGAAAGAAGACGCAAAGCGCTTTGTGTTTATAAATGGTACGTATTTATCTCTCCAGTGATGAAAACATCGTAAACAAACAAAACCAATATGATGAATTGTTCAGCGAAATTCTGGTCTGTCATTATTAAAATATTACAAATAATTACAATGCGTTACCGAATATACTGATATACGACGATGTGATATACAAAAAATATCTTTTTTAAATGTATTTTTCTCCTACAGAAACCATCTAGAAAAGAAAGTTTTCTGATATGCGGGGCTGTTAGCAAATGGGGGGGGGGGGGCGGCTATAAGCTGTTACTTACATAGCGTAATGAGCTATAAGATATTCAGGCCCCACCTGTAAGTACATAATATTAAAAAAAAAAAGACGAGGGTTATTAAATAAAACACACCAATATTTAACTACACAAAAATGTATTTATTTCAATCTCGATGGTCGCAATAACATTGAAGTCGTCGTCGTATACATGGTGTCCACGCCGCTGACACGTATCAATTTTATATCTATATTAAAATTTATTTAAAATCAGTTTATAATAAATATTCTGTGGTGTATAATTAGTGAGATAAAAGCTTATATTCCGACAGCGACGTGATACAATTTCAATGTTCCACAGCATCTTTTAACATATTCAAATAAATTTCTCGTTATTTTTTTTCTCGTATACTGTTTCAGATATTTTGTTTTAGAACACATCAACTTAACACTAGCAAAAAATCTTGCTCATATCCGAACTATCACTAAGTGGAACTAATCGCACGTTATACTGTATGCAGGTATGCCCGTACGCGTGTCCACGTACAGACTCGGCGACGTAATAAAACAACCTTCAACTTAGAACTATATGAAAAATATAATATTTTGTTCTGATATTCACAACTCCCGAATACATATTATATATATATGTAAAAGCAATATAATTATATTAAAAACTGTCGAGATACTGATAAAGTGGTATCCCGCCCGATATCCGATTATTAATGCACGTGGAACTAACACAACCGTTTCTAATAAAATATTAAAATTGCACACAAGTCACCGTGCGCCTGCGCAGGTGTGTGCGCCGCGCAACTGCGATATCTCCCGGTAGTGTTATGTATAGGGGACTACACAAATATTAAAAATTGTTTTCATATACACAACAAATATAAAAAAAAATTCATTATTATCATAATTTGTCGCAATAAATAAATCGTAATCAATTAAATATGCCATAGTTTTTCATTATTTTAAATACTGTAAGTTGAATAAATAAGGACGCTCTCCTAACTTTTTTCTATTTGGCTTTTTAGTAAAGTATTTAGTACCATTCAATTTTCGTGGCACGTATCAATTAATCATGAATTTATTTACATAAAACACAAGTACAATTACAGACTTGATGTTATATAAAAAATTATAGATAATGCATTGGTTTTTATTAGTAAAATAATAAGGTAAATTGTGTTTACTATTGTCAAAGCGCTATAATTCTATTACCGGGAGAGACAGTGGTTGCGTAGCGAGCAACACTGTACAGTCGCACTGTATAGGACACTAGTTAGCACAAAATATCTGAATACTTACAATTAAACATTACACTAGGTTAGCTTACAACTATCGTATATTTATTTATATCCACCGTAGTAGTAAAGACGATTAAGTAGTGAACGCTTAGAAACACGAGATCCCGCCGAACGATGTGGTGCCATTATAAAATATTAATACTGTCCAATAATCCACAGAACATAATTATAATAGTCCAAAACTAAACACCGGTTAAGAAATCATAATAATACTTGTATATAGAATAACAGTTGGAGCGCGAGAATTGATTTGTAAAACGTTACATCTATATTATAATAATAATAATAATAAAAAATTATAATAAAAATATAATTTGAAACAAATACTGGGTACCAGTCTAGTCAGTATAGTCGAACAATAATACAAATTAAATACATTTCAATTACATGTCCCTCCAAAAATACGATTGCTAGAAATATGTGTATGTAATAGTATACAATGTCCTATGTCCTAAGGCAATATGAGATGTACGGCCCTGCGCACGCGCAGTCGGCAGCAGTACTGTACGGCTCGCACCGGCTACTTAAATATATTATGTTATATAAATGGCAATTCAGTGGAAGCTGCACAATAGTATGTCACGCCCGTAACCTGCAACAATCGACAAAAAAAAGTTTTTTTTTTTTTAATATGACTAATTAAATTCAATGAACCGTACATTGACTCTATTCGCCACCTGATGGTAAGTGATTTAAAAATCTGTGTGGGTCGCAGGTTTAATGCAAGATTGCATTCAACCTGCGGAACACACTATAAATTATCGCTGGCAAGCTTAAGAAAGCAGAAAAAATATTTACAAATCATTGATAATCATTATATATGCTGAATAGAAAAAGAAAATACAACTACAGTTTATTCTTGAAATCTGTGTGGATTTTAATTTTTTCAAATAAAAAAACATAGGTTCACAATTGGTAACTACCCTAGATACACAAAAAGAAATTAAAATATGATTTGGGTATCATTTTAAACCGATTTGATTTTTTTATTTAAAAAATCTACTACTATTTGATTAATCCCATAAAATATATATATATATATATATCAAAAACAACTCAGTAGTTTGATTTTTAAATCAAAATAATTGATTCACAATGTGATTTTTGTCACTATTAGAGTCGGTTACTTTTTTTGTGGAACAAAATCTATTTGTTTAAAATCTATAAAACACCAAGATATATTTATTTATTGTTCATAGCTATTTAAACTGTAACATATAACGAGAAAAGCGTGCTGTTTGTGAAGCGAGCGCACTCACCTGCGGCACAGGTGTGAAGCTGTAGTATCTACGGCGATAAGTCCTGGTGCATGTGGTCGTAGCCCATGGAGCCGTCGTAGCTGGGCTGCGGCTGGTCATACCCGGGCGCCGGCAGGGAGTAGCCCATCGAGTCTTGCGTCGGCGCCGGCGACATCATCGGCGTCGCCGTGCCCGACGCCGCGCCCATCGAGTACGGCGACGCGCCCGCTGCTGCGACACCATTCACACTTGTCACTTGCACCAGCACATCCCCCCTTCCCCCCACGCACATTGCCCCAATCTATACTCAGCATCAGACCCAGATTCGATTCCCTATCAAGCTAATAATGCCCATCAAAAATATATAAAAAATATAAGCATTGAAAAGATATCACATAAATTACCGTGTTTCCAATAACATACTGATAAATTATAATAGGTACATGGGCAAGTTGAGTGACTATTGGCAACTGATTTAGTTACCTGCCCCATCTGTTATTACAATTGTGAGCATATTTATCTTCATTATTCATTATAACTACTGCTCGATAGCCATATGTCATGACTCGTTTACACATACTAAATAGTCGAGTGATAAACTAATTTTGAACCTTAATTGGATATAAAATTAAGTAAAATTTGGTTAGCTACTCAAATACTTAATACATGTAAACCGGGCGTAAAGCGCATACGGCCAGCGTAAGGACTATTAAACTGTTTACTGTGGTGTGGAGTGGCTCTGGCGGGAGGGGAGCTAGCATCGCGCCTGCACGCGCCCATCCAAGGCAGGTCTGTGTGCGAAAACGACAGTATAGTACGCGGGAAGTGGCGTCGCTAGTACTTGAACCGTTTGTCGGTTGTTTTTTTTTTTATATATCTATGACATTTGAATGAGGGTATGTAAATCGCGAGAATACTTAGAACTATTAATTAAAATAAAGGTGCAGGTGTAATGCTAGAAATTAGCTCAAGCCAGCCGTACATGGTCAAGAACAAAGTGACATCAATTTGCACAATCCTTTGTCTATGTATATTAATATAAGAACATCGAGAAGTTTCATATCTTTTTTTACTACTCAAGATATGAATGCCATAAATAAAACACAAATTGCGCCTTTTGTACCTTTACTAATATTATAAATATGTAGCCAGTTTGTTTGTTACCTTTTAGCGATTTATCGACTCAACAAATTATCGGGGAATTTTCTTAGATATAGTATTTGGAATTGAGGATAAAGAAATAAGCTATCTTTTATATCAGTTAATTAATAAACTGTTTATCATAATGAAAGCTCTGGCTTTGCATGGGCTGTCTTACTCATCACTTATTTATCGAAAAACACCAACTCGCGCATTGTTGTTTCACAAAGGAAATATCAATCTATACCACTATAGCCAGAAACATGCATACAATCCACCTGAATTTAGTAGTTACTTAAGTACTCAACAGGTCGTAACATGGGACGTATTCTATTTTATTATTCTATAGACTGAAATTACGACCTTATTGCACAAGGAATAAAATTGTCATTCCACAATCGTAAGATCGGCAACCCCCAGATCATGCAAATTGATACGAAAGTAATATTTAATAGTAATATAGCCGGTGTGTGCGATAATGTTGTGAAATGCTCAGTTTGTTTACCGGCTGCTTTCTTGGCGGCGTACAGGTTGGCTTCCTCTTGCGCCTTGCCAATGTTCTTCTTATAACGGATGCGCTTGTTGCCGAACCAATTGGATACCTGCAAACAGGTGTTTTTTGTATCGGTTCTTGTATAAAATATTCGGGAAAAGCGAATTAAACATAGTGTATTTCGTATAAAAAGCGAAATTTTGGTATATCTCCTTCAATTAATTCCCTATTATTTTTAAATTCTTTATCAATAATTCATAGTTATGTCAATTAAAATTTTATTCAGTTTTATTAATTAATATAAGTATAATAAAACTCTAGATTTTTCTATGGTGTTTCTATGAGACAAAATTTAACGAGTTTTAGCAATTGATTAATTTGACTGGAAAATTACAAAAGTATCAAAAATTATTGTTTTAAATCAAAAAGTACACAGAACAACTATTTAGGCATGCATTGCTAGATTTTAGTTCTTTTTCGTGCAAAATAGATTACATTCAAATTTTTATATTAGGAATATGTTTTGTTTGCTACGTCTGAAAGCCACGCCACGCTGTGTTGCCAGCATCTGCAGTTCGACATTCAAAACTTCGGTTTAGTCTTACGGCTATTTCGACCGAAGACTTCATCTGTTGCATGTTAGCAATAACTAAATATGTGAGACTGATTTCATATTATTGTAGCTGCTTTTATAACATACAACATTTTAGGTAAAAATTTTATTTATTGGGTCATTAGGAAGTCTAATCTGTGGTAGAAGGCGTTTTTAGGCCAAATGTAATAGAAGCGGAACTTCAGTCCGATCTTAGTTATGATTAACATCAAGAGAAACGACAATGGACATCTTGTAAACTTGACAAATGCAACATCTTATCAACAATGTTTCTGGCAAATAAATTTTATTTCATTTATTATTATAAGTTTTTTTTTTTATGACAGTATTATTTCAATAATGTACATATGACATTATTATTAGTATATAGTTGGGAGTTTTTCCATTTATTTTCACGTATAAAGATAGACGAGTCATGTGGACGGTTACCTACATGCAAGCGTGACTAGTGTCATATATAACATATGCATTTCGGGCAGCTCGTTACAACGAGTACCTGCGACACAGTTATACCACACTTCCTCGACAGCTCCTGCTTCACCTCCTCGCTCGGGTACGGATTAGCGAGGTGCGAGTAAAAGTACTCGTTGAGGAGCTCCAGCGCTTGCTTGGTGAAGTTGCGCCGCTTGCGCCGCGCGTCCAGGAAACTGGAAGCACCAAACAGGCGGTCATTGCGGGTCGGTTACCTGCGAGACAGTGATGCCGCACTTGCGTGCCAGCTCCTCCTTGGCCTCCTCGCTCGGGTACGGGTTGGAGAGGTGCGAGTAGAAGTACTCGTTCAGGATCTCCGACGCCTGCTTGCTGAAGTTGCGTCGCTTTCGGCGCGCGTCCAGGAAACTGCAAGCGGTAATTGTTGGTATTGCTCGTAATTTTGCGAGGCCAAAGTTGAGATGTTGGCATGCAAGTACATAACGCGTGGTAGTAACGCGTTTTAAAATATAACGTTTTTAATAAAAGAAGCACCAAGGTTCATCTGATGGTACGTGGTCACAGCGGTTTCTTTACACCAGTTTATCAAAATCAAGTTACAGTCCAATAGTAGTCAATACAGCTGTAGTAATATGTACCGTGTACATTACATTTTATTGCAACTTACCGAGAACGTAGTATCATGACGGCTTCACACGTGGACTGTTTCAATTGCATCTGGATGGAGCTGAACTTCTTATGAATGATTTGCACCATACGCTCAATTTCCTGTCGTCATAGCAATGAAAGAAAATTTGTAGAAAATGTAATATGGAAATAATCAATTGACAAACTATGTTCAGTTTATTATGGCCGCTTTTGTAATAACTGTACTTCTGAATTTAGAGCATTATGTATACTAAGTAATGTAATAAACACAAAGGTCTTTTTTTGTGTTTACGAATCTGAGTTAAACTGTCTGCCTGCCCCATCTCTGTAAGGGCGAGGATTTAATTTATATACATTTAGTTATAATCGGATTTTAATTAAATTAGTTACTGGTAGGTTATATCTAGACTCATAAGACACTGAATATATAGATACACGCGTCACCACACATAAGTCGCGAGAAACAGATAGTCCTTAATACTATTACAAATGTGAAAATGAACTTGTCTCTTGTTACATCTTAGTCTTGATGGCGTAACCAATCACTATAGGGGGGAAAGGGGCTTGTTAGTAATGGAGACCAAGAATCCCTTTGCTAGCAATATATCCAACCAGGTCGACCTCCTCGCGGTTTCCCCTGGAAACTATCATGATTAATTCCTGATGAATTCATCATGATGGGCTACTAACTGGCCTGTTTTCGATCACCCTTCACTGGTGCCCCGCCAGCGTATCCCATTAGCGCAGGCAGGGTTACCATTCCGTTTTCATCCAATAAAAATAAAAACCAATCACTATAAAATCTCGTATACACGTTCTATATGGGATGGAGAAGGACATAGGGGACACATACTAGTCACACGGACGGAATCGCGAGTTAAAGCTAGTATATAAAAAAAAAGAACTCACCTTGGGCGTGATGGGCCTGGTGCGGCTCTGCTCCCGGAGCAGGTTCATGACGTGCGTGGTGAACTCGTTGCACGCGTTCTCGTACTTGTCGAGCTCCTGGTGGTAGATCTGCCGGATCTGGGCGAGCTTCGCGCGGTAGTCCGAGTGCTCGATGGCGTTATCTGCTTGAGCCACAGTGCCTTAGTTGGCAGCACACGGGGGAAAGAAAGACAACATGCAACCTCCGTCCCAATGCGCTTGTTAGTAGTGCCTTGCCAGCGTGGAAATCTCTACCCATAGTATTGTTGTCAACAAATACAAAACTGTTACTACTTGTCAAGAAATTATATAGGGAGCTTCCGTATAAAATTATTTTCAATAATCTCCCTTTTTCTCAACTGTCAAGAGTGTTAATAACTGTAGCTTACCGAAGTATGACAAAAACACAACTTAGTCAATTTTTAAAAATAATGTAATTATTTTCAAAGTTTCTGAATAATTATTTAAAAAGTTCTCTGCTAGCCAACTAAAATGTTAATTATGCAAAATTTCCAAGCAAAATATGAAGTAGGTGTAAAGTTTTTAATGATAGATTTATATTCACTATTAACATTTTTGTTCACTAGCAGAGCACTTTTTAAATAATAAATCAGATATATTGAAAAATGTTCAATTGTTTTTGAAATTTGACAAATAATTGCGACGTTATCACACTTTGGTAAGCTACAATCATAAACACTCTTAAATGAAACGATTAAAATGTCATTTTTCTTTCATGTTTGCTGTAGGATATGTATTTCAAGATTATATATTAAAGCTAATATAACCAGGGATAATATCACAAACTTTCAATGAAACTGAATGAAAATTTGAACAATCTAATAACCCAATCAACAGATCAACTAACAGATATGTCCGATATAAGTATAATTATAAAAAAAATATTTATTGTATGAATGTTTAGATCCATTATTATTTTCATTTAAATAGTGTTATTGTGATGATTTGCAAAAGGAAACCCAGTTTATATGTTCATTAACTTTTTATTCAGAAGATTATTTGTTTCATTGTGATTCAGAAGTTTATTGACAGGAAAGCAAGAGACTAAGTCATAAGTCAAGATGTGAAAACTATGTTATTGACTTTAGTTTGAATTTCAAAAACTTGTTGCCCACAAGCTATAAACTGCTTTCAACCAAGCAAACAAATGAATGTGAAAATCTTGTAAAAAGGTTTTTAGACATTTTAATAAGTACAAATCTTTGTTTAAGAATAAATCTAGTCTGTCTCATGTAATACATTATATGTAAAATAATAATAGCTCTGAACATATCACACTTGTAGAAGATATAATTCAGCAAATTTTTATAATAATATTCAGTTGGACCCTGGACAGTATCCAGTGAATTATATTAGTGTTCCTTCTTAATGTATTCTAATTCATACTTTTGTCTAGCATATATGGTATAAATATTCGATACTTCAATATGTTGTGGGATACATACAAGGACCTGTAATGTATAATGTTACCTATTTGGATCTAAGGACCATTTAGATTAACAAATAAATGGATTATTTAATTATAAAATGAATGATGCACACAAAACATATAAGCCTTTTCTTGCTTATTTATGCATTATGCCTAATTGTTAAACAGTATGGCAGCACAAATTGCATGGTTATAATGGGGTTAGCCAACTATTAATGCAGTTATGTGAGAGCAAAGCAAAAACAAACACAATATAAATTGCCCAAATATCAACGTCATGCAAGATTTATTTATGCTGTGATAGTGCATATTCAATGAAAACCTTTCAGTGTAGTGTTGGATTCAGTTAGGTTCGGATGAGGTATCAAATCCTTTTTGTATGCTCTTCTAATTTTTATTTATTATAAACAATAAAAGACTAAGAGCATTGTTATTACATTATTTAAATATATTTTTTAATTACTATGTTCATTAACAATATCGTTTCTTTGTATAAGTTTTATAGTACATTCACATTTATTATAGAAAACAGATTATAAAGAAAATGACTAGAGGGACAGGTCCCTTGAAGGGATTTCTTCGACCTACCCTGGAGAAACTATTGTATATTGTTCCTTAGATATTTGTACTTTCATATAAGTGGTTTAATGTTCTAGCTTTTCTTTTGTGATCTTAGTAATTTTAGTCTAAATCCACCACAAAAGGTTGAAAACAAAAATTATATCAAAGGATATATTAAGACAACATTATAGGGGAAGAACAGGTTCCAGATAAAATTACTGGTTTTATTACACAAGTATGATAAGTGATTACTGAAAAGGTTGCATTTTTCACACTATTCCATAAATTGCATGCAATGAGTGAAGTTTACATTCAATGAGTGAATTTGATCAGATACACTAACACTATATATAATACATATTAAAAATATATATAAACATAAATACATATATATATATATTCTTTTTTTGAAATATTGGATCTAAACATTTCTTTATTTTCAATATTCAATTATATTTAGTATGTATAAATTTGAATAGGATATTACAATAATATAAACTACAATAATATAGAAATGCAATATTTAAGATAAATATAAATATGTATATGAAATAACATTTTCATATTGAATTTTATATATTGAAAGTGATAAAACAGAAATAATATTGTTACAAATATCTATTAAAATAATAGAATAGAAATATCCATTGTACAAATAGACTACTTTAGAAGCTTCTTTTAAATCATCATATCTTATTATTCTACTAATGGATTAGAAATGTTATCTGCTGAGAAAAGCCAACAAGAAAATCAACATATATATATTTATTTTTATAATTTCAATATACTTATTTATTGATAACTACCTACAACAGTAACAATGATGAAGCTTGTAGAAATAATGTTATTTTGTCAACAAATTAATTATTTGAATTTACTTTGACACATATATTGTGTAAATATACAACCAGAATATTAACAGCAAAGCAATTATAGGAAATGATTAATTACCCCATTCTCCAGCAGCAGCTGAAGCTGAGGCAGCAGCTCCGGCGCCCCCACCCTTCTCTGGGCCAGCAACACCCTCAGCGATGAGCATGTTATCCAAGCGCATCAACTGAGGATCTGGGGGCTCTTCCTCTTGCGTGTTTCGTAGGGACAGAACTAAATAAAGATTATTATTTTTAACTTGATTAAAAATACTTATCTATTTACTAACTGCACATAACATAGATTAGCCATTTCTTCTGTGTCATACTATACTACTCAAGGGAAAGGTGGCTTAAATATTAATCAAGAAAATTTTTTATTTTTTATTGATAGAATAATTTTTAGAATCAAATCAGTAGTTACATTTATTAATTGTTAACCTATGAATATACTATTACAAAACAAAACTCATAGGTAAATTTACTTATCACTACTTTTAAAATTATGCTAATAGTATAACAACACTAGAAAATATTAAAAAAGCAGTGTATAATTTAGGATCCAACCTGTTTGTTAACAATGTATTATGATCATAACATTTTATAGAATAAGTATTTACCTGTTTTCTCTTTGATTTCACAGAGCACAGAAAATAATGCAGGCTTCATGCGATGACAGTTCAATGTATGTTTTCTCGCTTGAGCTTCGTCCAAGCTTTGATCTGTGATGTTCATAATCTGTTGTAAGATTTCACCTATATCTTGTTTGCGAGCTTCACCCTCGCCTGCAGCCGGGGTGCCTTCACCACCTGGGAGCCCATAGCCCTGCGGTCCCATCAGGCCACCGCTGTGCGCCATCATCCGATTTGGATCGTCCATTTTTACACAGTGCAATCAATACATAAATGTGCCTAAAACTTACTATAAGTACGTATACGAATTTGTACGAAGTTAAAACAGATATTTAGCAAAAATTTTACAACAAAACTCAACAAAACCCCACTGGACGAAAAGCAAGAGCTTCTCGGAGCCAGCAATAAAATGGCCGACTTAATTTCTTTGTGCTGTCAAATCATGAAAAAGAAAACAAATAATCAAAGTTTATGGGCAGGATCAAATAGCTCTATCTCTTTTTTATATGCACGAAGCGGAAATTTATGTGAAAGAGAAAGATATCAATTGTGTAGCCATTAAAAAAATTATTCTGGGTTTCCATCTTTAATTTTTTTTTTATTGAATATCATTAAGTAGCATTAGTACGATACCTATTTATACTATATTATAATGAATATATTCAAATTTATTCACTCTATAGACGGTTAATTATTTCATACAAGCATTTAATGTCGGTTATTGTATGAAATATAGGACTTATTACATTATGTATTACATGCATTTAATCGTACACAAAACAAATCCAAATCTCAGAAGAATCCTTATCCAATGTCTGAGTATTGCATACCTGCTAAGTGTCAATGTCATTTTGACAATCTAGAACTTATAGTGATTTCAATATTATAAATAACTGCTATCGCTATATGTTAAAAATTGTTAGAAAAAATATAATTGTTATATTGTCTTTTAAACAATACATTTGTATATCATACTATTTCTGAGGTCTAGCTAAATGAGACTAATAATGGATAATTTTATGCCATTAATATAAAGCATTTTTTTATATATATTTTCGTGACATGACATATGATTTTAACAACACGACAATTTTAATATAAAAATGATTAAAAGACTGTCATCATTGTGTTCTCTTGTATCTGATATTTATGTTGTATTTAACGTGTGTATGTATGTGTGTATATGTATGTGTATGTGTATATGTATATATATGTGTATGTGTATGTATGTATATATGTGAATGTATGTGTGTATATATATATAATTATTTATAATTTATGTAAATATTTATTTAAATTTCTGTCTTGCACTACTACTGCCCACTCACTACTTCCTATGCCACTGCGTTAGGTTGACTGGAAGAAATCTCTTTTAGAGATAAGTTCGCCTTTGCTAACATTGTTATTAACTTATTGTTGTTACTGTATGTTTTTGTGCAATAATATATATATATATATATATATATATATATATATATATATATATATATATATATATATATATATATATATATATATATATATATATATATATATATATATATATATAATTAATAAGTATACATACATATCTGTCACGCCTATCTCCCATTATAGTAGGCAGAAACAATAGAACGCCAAACGCTTCGATTCAAACAAACCTCTTTCGCTTTTTTTACATTCATTAATCTTTTCATACACGCTCGCCGGTTACGTATACTTTTAATTTTGCTCTTTTTCGGCACGTAGCCTATTTGGTCGACATACGGACATACATTTAATCTAAATGGACGTCTAGAGCGGCCCCTATTGACCACTACATTTTTTCTTACTCGATAAATCTTTTACGTAATTCTAATTTCATCATCCATCCTCTCCAAATGGCCAAACCAACACAACATTCCTTTTTCGATTTTTGTATAATTAATAAATAAGTAATTGTCAATACTAACATAGTTTTCCAAAATTTTATTTTATTTTTTCAAACTGATAAGACCAATGATTATTATATTTTATACAGGTATGCATACGATCTATGAATAATAATTATTATAAAGCAACCTCAACTATGTTATTTCATATCTATATTTCACTTATGACTATTTCAGTCACAATTAGTAACATCACTATTTCGACAATTACAAGAAGTTTCGTCAGCACCACGCGTGCAATAAATTCCAATTTTTGACTGATCGGATTTCCAGATGTTATGATTTTGAAACCAGTGGACACTTTAAATATACATAAATGAGACAAGTTCTCACGTTAGTATATAAGTGTAGTGTATTTAGTAAATATTCAGTCTCGTGCGTTCCATACAGACTTTCACACAATCTCCAGTGGGGAAGTAATAAAACCCATCGGAAAATTAAAATCCCGAATCCTTACAAAGAAATTATTATGGCTGATCCTAAGATTGAAGAAATTTTAGCTCCCTTCAGAGCTAGCGTCAAAGAGCAGGGTGATTTAGTCAGAAAATTAAAGGAGGAGAAAGCACCGGAAATCGATGTAAAGAAGGCAGTAGCTGAATTGAAAGCAAGGAAAAAATTGTTGGAAGACAAAGAATTGAGCCTCGCACCCGCGGAGGAATTATTTGATCGTGCAAAAATGGAGGATTTGATCAAAAGGCGGTTCTTTTATGACCAGTCATTTGCAATCTATGGGGGCATTACTGGTCAATTCGACTTCGGGCCTATGGGCTGTGCACTTAAAAGTAACATGATCCAACTATGGAGGAAGTACTTTATATTACAAGAACAAATGTTAGAAGTGGACTGTTCAATTTTAACACCGGAGCCTGTTTTAAAAGCTTCTGGTCATGTGGAGAGGTTTGCTGATCTCATGACAAAAGATGTTAAAACTGGAGAGTGCTTTCGGTTAGACCACTTAATCAAAGCTCATTTAGAGAAAATTAAAAGTGAGAAGAATACAAAAGCTGAGCTGAAAGCTGAAATTGAAGATATTCTGGTTAAACTTGATGGTATGACAGCCGATGAGATGTCAGCTCTCATGCAAAGATTCCAGATGAAGTCTCCGGTGAGTGGTAATGAGCTTACACCACCTATTGAATTTAACCTGATGTTTAACACTCAGATCGGCCCTTCTGGACTTGTAAAAGGCTTCCTGAGGCCAGAGACTGCACAAGGAATATTTGTAAACTTTAAGCGTTTATTAGAATTTAATCAAGGTCGTCTGCCTTTTGCTGCTGCTCAAATTGGCAACTCATTCAGGAACGAAATCTCCCCACGGTCTGGTCTATTGAGGGTTAGAGAATTCACAATGTGTGAAATTGAACATTTCTGTGATTCTAAGGACCATCCTAAATTTGATACTGTGAAGGACACTAAAATGTTGCTGTATTCTGCTGATAACCAAGAGCAAGGAAAACCAGCTGAAATTACTACTATTGGAGAAGCTGTCTCAAAAGGCATTGTTAACAATGAAACCTTAGGTTACTTCATGGCTAGAATTCACCTCTACCTATTAGCTGTAGGTATTGACCCCAAAAAGCTCAGGTTCAGACAACATATGGGCAATGAAATGGCTCATTATGCTTGTGATTGCTGGGATGCAGAGTGCCTGTCTAGTTATGGTTGGATTGAATGTGTAGGCTGTGCTGATAGGTCTGCCTATGATCTTACTCAGCATACAAAAGCGACAGGCATCCGACTTGCTGCTGAAAAGAAACTGCCTGCACCTAAACAAATTGAAGTAGTCGAAGCTGTAGCTAATAAAGCTGCAATTGGTAAGGAGTTCAAGAAGGATGCAAAAGTAATCAATGATTCATTAGCTGCTATGGATGCTGCTTCTCTTGATGACTTGCAGAGCAAATTAGACTCTAATGGGGAATATATACTCAGCACTTCAAATGGTGATTTTAAACTGACACCCAACTTGGTCAGTGTCAAGAAAAGTCAAAAAACAGTCCATGTTGAAGAAATTATACCAAGTGTCATTGAACCCTCATTTGGTGTTGGCAGAATACTTTATTGTATATTGGAACATAACTTTAAGATGAGAGAAGGTGATGAACAAAGGACCTACTTCTCGTTGCCAGCTACTGTGGCACCAATGAAATGTGCAGTACTGCCTCTTAGTGGTAATACTGAATTCCAGCCATTTGTAAGAGAACTTAATCAACTTCTAACAAATGTTGATGTCTCACACAAGGTTGATGACTCGTCAGGTTCTATTGGGCGCCGTTACGCGCGAACTGACGAGTTGGGAGTCCCGTATGCTATTACAGTAGATTTCGATACTATCAAAGAACCTCACACAGTGACATTAAGAGAACGAGATAACATGGGGCAGGTACGGCTTCCTTTGGAGGATGTTCCTATAGTAGTTAGGGACCTTTCTAACAGTAAAATATCATGGAATGACGTAGAACAAAAGTACCCTAAATTCGAACAACAAGAGAACGTCAAAGGAGCAGCGGCATAGAATATGACGTAAATATTGTCATTTGCACAGCTGTAGGTATTTAATGATCTTGTATTGTTTCTCAGTTCATTGAAAATATATTTATTATTGTTAGCTGTAAGCTTTAGTTTTGTTTACAAAAATATCTGTTTTTAAAACAAAGCTTAATAAATTGCTGATGAAATCCTGTTATGATATTTTATTTGCAATCATTATTGATATAAGTAAATTGCATCACTTGAATTGAAAATTCTGTTACTATTGCATTGATAATGATAAAATAATCACGTACCATTTTTTTATGAAAGTAAACTGTCGTCGACCATTCGACGCAGCATCAGTGTCTGAAAATCATGTACTATGTCACCCATAGTTTTTTTTACAATGGATGATAATGGAATGGTAATCTCGCTTTCGCTAACGGTGTATGCTAGCGGGGTACCAGTGAGGGATCATAGGTAAGAGGGAAAAGGCAAGTTAGTTGGACCGTTATGATGAATACACCTGGAATCAAGCACGATACTTTTCAAAGGGAGGTAGATCTGATAGTTATTGGTAGCAATAAGACTAGTAGTCCGCATTACTAAAATCCCCCCCCCTGCCGTTTATGGTGTCCCTCGTATACTGTCCCACATTTTCGATAATCTCTTCATAATCGAGATTACGCAAAGCGAACAAACAACCTCTTTTTAATAAACACTACTTTTTTATACTGTACTGCACCAATATTTTTGAATGTGAAAATTACATTGAACTCTATTTAAACTGGACACTGATACGTTAAATGGACGAAGACTGATGACATTAGTCATTTTGTTCTCTAAAATCAGTGGTAAAAAAAACCCAATAGAAAACAAAATTGTACAATCTATTGAAATTGCAGGTATTATTATATTATCCTTTATAAACATCAGTTACTAGGAGACATTTAATTATGGTTAGTACTCAGCTGTCGCCATAGCTAGCAATAAAACAAAACATGAACATTACTCATACCTTATTTATTGCAATTCTCAGACACAACTGTTAATAGTCATCCTCTTAAGTATTACAAAATAACGTAACATTATCTATAGCGGCGGTCTTTGGAGCGCGATCGGCGGTGTCGGTCCTTTGACCGGGAGCGATCTCTGTAGCGGTCGCGGCGGTCGCGGTCACGTTCGCGTTCACGATCACGGTCACGATCGCGATCGCGATCGCGTCTGTCTCGCTCGCGGTCACGATAGCTGTCCCGCTCTCGGTCTCTATCTCTATCCCTGTCGTCTCGTTTTGATTTATCTTTAGAGTACCTGTAAAATAAAAATTATTTTGTGATCCGTGTGAATACATATACTATATGCTAAGTTAGGATCTAGCCATGTGCTAAACAAATTCCATTTAAATCCGTTCCGATGTTTTTGCGTGAAAAAGTAACAAACACCTATCCATCCTTACAAACTTTCGGATTTATAAAATTGCTAGCTTTTATTCGCGACTTTGTTTGCGTGACTGGGATAAAAAGTAGCCTATATCTTTCTCCACCCCATATAGTAGGTAAATACCCTAATTTGATAGTAATTGGTTAAGACATTAAGGCGCTAAAGGTAATAAACAAACTCACTTTCACATTTATAATATTAGTAGGTTTAAGTCTGGTCTACAAATTACATTTGCCCCTTACACTACTATTGGTAAAGGTGTAATATGTATCAAAGCTAATATATAAAGGCATTTGCAATATGTATTAAATTAAGAAAAATACAAATTAAAAAACGATTGAAAGGTTGGTACCATGCATCTCTTTTCCTTACATAAAAAGTAATCCTTGTAGTATTTACTAATAGAGTGCACAGTTAAGGGAGTCATTTGTGACAGATGTGATCATCATCATTTATTTATTTATTCATTAGTACAAATATATGTACATGGCGGACTTAATGCTAAAAGCATTCTCTCCCAGTCAACCATAGGGAAGTGTCAGAATACTCGAATGCGGTAATTATCATATCAGTCTTTAACTGGCTGAACATAAGGTTCCCTATTACTAGTAGTTGCCATGCTTAGCAGGCGGATGGGCAACCACAATTAGGTCTTAAAGATGGGCAACAGCGTGCCCATCTTTCCCCCTCCCTTAGTCGCCTCTTACGACACCCACAGGAAAAGGAAAAACACAGAACAGCTATACTTAAAGTTTTTCAATAAAATTCTTTGGATAGGATACAATTTTTTTACCTAAAAAATTAAATTGCAAAAAAATCTACAACACAGATATAGGGACATAATTTTTTAATAATTTCACAAGTTGACTTAGTTTTGATTCTGTACTTATGACTGTCCAATAATAAGGGATATATGAAAGAATAAAATTAGTCTATAGCGACCCGATGATATTTTTTTACAACGCATTGCAGGTGTGCTGCCAGCCTTTTAAAAAGGAATATGCTCTTTTCTTCGAGGTTATTATATATGAGAATAAGCCTCACGTGTGATGGTATTACTCACCTGTCTACCTCGCCATAGTCTCGTCTATCCCTATCATCATGCTCGCGACGGTCTGTATCCATCCTGCCTGGGTTGTATGCACTGCCAGCGCCACCGCCGCCGCCGCCGCTCCCACCGCGAAAGTTAGGAGCAGGCTTCGATGCTGCAGTCTGTCTGTTATGCTCAGCTAATCTATCATCACAACATGAATTTTGGATTACACTATATAGTGTAATCCAAAATTCGGCTTTTTCTTGTGGAATGCAAACTTAATATAATATTAATATTATATTAAGTTTGCATTCCACAAGAAACAGCCGTCTTCAATTGTGGCAAAACCAGATTTTTTAAATTAAAAAATAAACTGCTGAATCAATTTTGATAAAAAATTTATAGGACCAATTGGTAAGTATAACCTTGTATAACCTAGTTGATTTACAACTGACAGTAATAAATATTAAAAAAAAAAAACAACCGCATGAAGAACCTTTCTTTTTGAAGTCAGTTAAAAAAAGATTTGAGTGTTTATTTGTAATCAAACCAAAAAACTCACCCATTTTTAAAAATTCCTATATGTAGAAAAAACCTAGACCTATACAAACAGACATACTTTTATATTATGCATGGGTTGAACTGATAAACATCAGAAGGTGCAGTAGGTACATAACAGGTATTTAGGCATGCTCTGTTTATGACAAGAATTATGTACATGCACCTAACATATAAAATAAATAATTCTTATTCTTAGTTTTTCATAATTAGTACCATACTTTAGTCTCACAGCATATAGGGAAAAACTTTAGCAAAGCTTCTTGCCAAAGCTAGGATAAATCCTATCCTAGAAGTAGGAATATAATTCCAAATTATTATGTAACTCTACCAATATTTAAATTGCATACCTCTGTTCAATTTGCTTTTGTATAGGTACGGGAATCCTCGGGAACAAAGTGCTAAACCAGTCGAGCTTGATTAGCATCTGTCGTACCAGCGTACCGATGGTGGTGGTGCCACCACCACCTGCGCGTGGATCGACCTCTTCATCGTCATCCAAGTAGTCGGCATACCAGTCGAACAGATCTGCTGGGGGCTGCGTGTACCGAATGTACATGAAACCTACCAAACAATGAGAATATTATGAACCAAATAAAGTTATTTACATTGGTTTCTTTGTACCACTCATGAGTGCTGTGTAGGGGGGTGTAACATGGCCCTTTCAGTTAGAAGGGTGAATAAAGCAGCGGAATTGGTAACCATAGATTCATAACACATTAAGAAAGACAAAGAAGGGGCCGTATAATGAGCATCAAGGAGGATACCCTATTACGCCTAATTACCTATCACTTTCCATCAGAAAGGCCATCACCTTATTTACCATTTCTATACTGCATAAAAAAATAATGTATTACATAAGAGACATTGACCAAGACCTGCACATTATATATTTCCCACTCATATACCTATCCTTTGTTCTCATGGGAATATTTGAAAATTATTTCTTAGGAAATCTTTATACTGTACACCATAAAATAAGTTTATTACATTTCTTAATTAGTCAGTGAATAGTATTTCCTTTTGATATTGAGATACAGAAAAAAGATTTAGTCAGATTTTCAATTTAATATTAATTTAGTTTATTTAATCTAGGAGACTTATAGCACAAGGAAAGCTAGTTTGGGCTTCTGTTCCCCTTATTTGTGTCTATTTTTCTCATTGTATTATTTACACTATGTTTTATTAATATGGTTGGAAAATAAACATTATTAAGTCACTACTTCCATAAATAATACTTTTTAATATACACTCACCACACTTTCAAATCTGAGGGCTAAGGTGATATGTATCTATTGGCTATGCTTAAAAAAAAGAAGTTGCTGAAAGATAAAATTATAAGATAGTGGGCCGACTTAAAGGTATCATACAAAGCTCTATAATCAAATAAGTCTGGTTATTTGATTACAAGTGGTTTAATAATGTAATTATTTTAATGCAATAACGTTAGATTACATCTTTTACAGTATTGGAAATAGGCAACAAGATGTAGTTTGTACCTGGTTGAGATATCAATAGTCATCAACAGATAATTATGAATAATAAATAAGACCTCATAAATTATGTTTTTATGACTTCCAAATAATAGGATAATATGTGTTAGAATTAAACATCACTTTCTTACCCTTTACATTGCAGCCCTACAATACTTGAATTGTTGCATCTCTTTTGAAAGTGAGTAAGAAAGTGATCAATACCCAGAAGAATCATTCAAATACCTAAAAAAATAGAGGTAAATCACAATATAAATATATAAAATTGTATGACCAAATGATAAAAAAGCAGATCTGTGACTAGGAATCAGTACTGAATGTTTTCAGTATTATAAATGCATTTATGACATTGAATACATCAAATGTACACAGATATTGCCAGTCTGATGGTAAGAAGTAAACAAAGCCTATGCATCTGCAACGTCAAGTACATACTTGTTGCTAACATTGAAAATTTACAACTAATTCATAGAGTTGTTTTTTATTGATGATATAATTTAAAATAACTTTTTGTCTGCATCTAACCTCTTGTGGTTACAACTAGTCTCTAAATTCGTTAAACTAATATCTGCTATAAGAATATTGATGCATACCAAGAGCTCTTATGTATGGGGAATCGGTGTGTTGCAAAAGGCCATTGACCTGCTTGCGTGTCAATCTCAGAGTATACAGCTTGTAGAGCAGGCAAAATGCTGTTGACACGATACCGCCAGCTCCCACACCTCGTACCTGTCGGAATCAAAATGTCTAAGTTACTTTTCTAAAAATTTTCAAAGGTTTATATTTTACTGTAGATATGTGGCCAGTTATATTACTAATTAATGAAAATGGCAGCAGTAATGCAATAATCAAGCAGCTGACCTAAGGAATCTTCATACAACCTATTTTATTTTAGAGATAAAAATGAATGAATGAATGGATATCACAATATATGTTGTATATTGACATTTCAGCGAAACACAGACCATCACAGTCTTGTCGCCAAATGGTCAACATTAAACTCCTATCAGTAATCTATTAATGATGCCTGAACATGACTCATTTAGAAGTGAAACAAGTGTCGCAAAATGTGCATAAACTGAATAGCAGTCAGATATCGAGAACTAATATGAAGGGTTATAAAACTTCTACTAATAATAAAAATAATAGTACCGAATTCTCAAATTTTGCCAGAATTACACAAGATAATTAAATAACCAGTGATGTGGACTTCTGCACAATAACACCGAACTTAGTAAACTGTTATCATACTTCTATGGATTAAGATGACCTTTATGTCATCTTAATAATATCTATATATCACTGACTTGGCAGCAAAATATACGTATAATACTCCAGTTGCACAGAGGATTAAAAAAGCCAGTTTTAATGCATAATAAATTAATTTAATAAATTTCTATTAAAGTTTACTCATACTTTTATGTCAACAAAAATATATTTTATATTACTGAAAACTGTGTATGGAATCTGTCATAAATATTAGGAGAATGTTGATAAACATACTCACGCCGCCACACATGCCAGTTTGTCCGGCCGTCTTGCGGCTGCCACGTTCCCATGGCTCCAAATGCTTCACCTGGTAGTAGATCTCGTCCACCACTTCATGGTATGTCTTCAACTTGAACAGATGAACTGCAGGCAATGAAATAAGAATTAATGTCAATACCTACACAAAATAGGGCAAAAAAAAAAAAGTTAATATTTACTTGATTGAGAAAAACGTAAAGTAATAATGAAAATCCAAACTCCTGTGCGTTGGTATGTTTGCTTACCTACCTTTGAAGTAGCTAGAACCTTGGATATTTGCTAATATTAAAGGGTTCAGATTCATAGTCTGTTCATTACCCCATATTGGTAATATGTTATGTTGTTTGCTGGTTTTCGCAGGCTTTTGCTGATTATATTCTGAAAAAGTCAATACATTAGCAAAACGAATGAACAATGGTTTGGAGAGAAAATTGGCGTAACACTCACCTTCCACATCAGTCATTATATTATAAGATACACTATATGTATACTTATCATAAGAATGAAGAATTGCTAAAAATAATCCAATTAAGTATCCCTTTTATAAATTAAATTAATTCGTTTGCGTTTCCTATAACATCTAAATAATAACTTTAATTTTTATTTCCATGACAACAAAAAGTAAAACATAATGGCGGTTGCCACATTTCCGTTTCCTTTCCGGAACTGCGGCTTTTATTGCCATATTAAGAAAAATTGCTACAATAAATAAGTTTAAAAAAAAAAACAATCAAAGCATAGCAAAAAAATTATGTACTAATCGAGAAAAAAGTAAATAATAGCATATCTTCTATCCTCTTTTTGCTTTTATATAAACGTAAGAAGCAAACAGGCAACCATATGTTTTAATTTTAACCCTTAAATTATAAAATATACAGATTGGTAATGTCTGTGTAGACAGAAAATATAATAACATGTATGTTAGAGAGAGAAAAACAATAGGACAATAAATAATTTACATAAAATAAATCCTAAGAACAAGGAATTACATAGAAGGAATGACAAAATAAATACTGTAATTCATAGCACTAGCCTGCTATAGAAAATAATGTCAATTATATGTCAATGACAAATTTTATATTACTAGATTATATATTCGATACAGTTCATATAGAAAATACGCAAGCAGGTTGTATTGAATTTGGTAGGGTTATACGGCCGTATAACATTTTCTATACACTACTATGAATTGACAAAAATAGCAACTGATGTATTTTTTGTTCTCTTTTTACTAATTACATTTTATAAGAACAAAGGAGGCAATCATATGATTTACAGTTCTTATCATTCCTTCTATATGATTTCTTGTTCTTAGAGGATAATATATGAATTCTTTTTCTAAACTTTCCTATTCTGTTCAAAAACAATGACAAGAAATGGAATAAGTTTTGAGTACAAACTGGTTTTAAAATATTAAAATTTATATGTTTAAGTTTATTATAAATTGGAGAATTATATTTACGATAGCATCAAGATATTTAGATTCGTCAATTATTGTTATTCTACAAAATAAAGTGATTACTTGCTATGTGGCATAGGTACATATCTCTTTGTATGGATTTAGTTGTACTAAAATATAGGTAAAAATATCTTTTGTAACATTATTATAAATTGGTATTTTTTAAGTTTCTACTTTTTGTATCATTCTAACTATATAACATAATAATTAATATAGAATTAGATGGTATCGAGTACTACTACTAGTTACTCTTTTGATAGATGATAATGTAATGGTAACCCTACTTGCGCTATTGGTATATTCTGGCAGGGCACCACTGAGAACGTAGTTCTCTAAGTAGTCTGTGGAGGGATGATAGGTGAAGATGAAAGCAGGTCAATTTCGATATGGGGTGAACAAAATCTTGTCCAATTTAACCCTAAGAAGATACAAGTCTGCGCGTTCACCGCAAAAAAGATGCCGTTTGTCGTATTTCCTCACTTTCAGGGCACTTCCCTTGATAAAAAGTCGAGTCTAGGAATTCTGGGCGTTGATATATCTTGCGACGTCCAGTTTTGCGGTCATCTGGAGGAGAAGGATAAGATAGCTTCCAAAAAGTTAAGAGTGCTCAATAGGGTGAGATGGTATTTCATGCCGAAACACCGCCTGAAATTATATAAAGCTCAAGTCAGGCTGCATATGAAATACTGTTCTCACTTATGGGCAGAAGCGCCACAGTACCAACTCCTTCCGTTAGACCGCATTCAAAGTCGGGCGGCTCGAATTATTGATAGTCAATGCCTTACTGTCCGACTTGACCCACTGAAACTGCGTAGAGATGTTGCATCTCTGTGCATTTTCTACCGAATTTATCATGGGGAGTGTACTGAGGAATTGTTCGGATTGATACCTGCTGCTGATTTTCACCACCGTACAACTCGCCACAAACTAAAGTTTCATCCCAATCATCTGGACAAGCGGCGGTCTTCCACCGTGCGTTTTTCAAGACACTTTTTTCCACGCTCAACCATTCTTTGGAATCAACTTCCAGTAGCAGTATTTCCGAACTGACACGACCACATAACCTTCAAGAAAAGAGCATATTCCTTTTTAAAAGGCCGGCAGCACACCTGCAATGCCACTGGTGTTGTGGGTGATCCTGGGCGTTGGTAATCACTTACCATCAGGTGAGCCGCAGGCTCATTTGCCCCCTGTGTTGTAAAAAAAAAAAGTTAGCAACATCGTGATGAATTCCACTAGAAGTAACCACAATGGTTTCCAGGGGAACCACATAGAGGTAGACCTGATAAAGTGTATTGCTAGTAATGAGGCAGTTAGACATCATCCCCCCACCCTACCCCAATACCAACTACTAGGCAATTATACAATTAAAAGATAAGTATCCTATAAAATCCACAAGATTATATTACTTAGTCTATAAGCATAGTAAAATTAATAGTACTATGTCAAAAGGTTCTAGAAGGATTATTACAAATTTGTTATTAATAAAAATAAAACACAAATGATTAAATAAGATTTTAACTTAAAATTAGAGTAAATAATTCTATACTATAATATTTATTGATAATACAACTCCAAATTCATTCCATCATGAATTTCATCTGTGATTGTTAGTTATGGAAATCACTGGAAAAGAGCATTGATTTGAAAAAACAACAATAACTAAGATTACCAAAGTAACAATAATAAATAAAAACTAATAATTATTATTTTTTTTTTAATGGATGATAATGGAATGGCAACCCCACCCGCGCTATTGGTATACACCGGCAGGGCACCAGTGAAGGATGATAGATGAGGATGAAGCAGGTCAGTTAGCCCATCGTGACAAATTCAACAAGAATTGTTTACGATGGTTTCCAGGGGGAACTACGTGGAGGTCGACCTGACAGGGCATATTGCTAGCAATGGGGCTGTCAAACTCCATTACTAACAATCCCTTTCCCCCCAATAATTATTATTATGTTTGCTAAATCATTAAAATCTTATCTATAATATTTAACAAAAAAAAAAAAAATAATAATAATTATATCATCATAGTAATAAATTATAACTTGAAAACTGTAATTCCTGATAAGGTCATTACATACATACATATTTGTTCGCGACATTATTGTATATATAGCGATATTTATAGCAATGTTTATAGTTAGTTGTTAAGTCCCTAGTTTAATCGTTTTTGTATTCTGTTATTTTATATAGATTTTACGTAGATTTAAGATACCTATAGTGTAAGTCAAATAAAGCATTCTTTACGTGTTGTCATTATTACCTGCGAATAGAAATAGAAATTGTAAAAACAAATAGAAATAAGTAAATTGTAATAAATAAATAAACGCTATAGAGTACCGATTTGAAGAGACACGCGTCTCGTTCATTCTCGCCCCGTCCCGCTCGCGCAGATTCGCTAACGCGAGTTGGAAACGTTATCGTGCGAGCGGGCGGGTATAAAGATAGGCCGCCTCCCGTCGAGCGGCATTCGCTTCCGGGCAGCGACGCACTACACTCGAGAAGAAATAGGACAAGAAGAAAAAATACTCTCTTCAGACGGTACCGGAGGCTTCAGAATAGTAATCGCTGTGTTTCACTCCAGCCTGAACCAACGCCCCTACAGTCCACGCTCACCGAACGGCAGTCCACACCGTTCAATATTCATCACACCTATCTCCCATTGGTATAGGCACAAACAGTGCAAAGCCAAATGCTCTGGTTATGGGGTTAATATATATTTATATATGAACAACAGACCTGCCAGATTGCAATGCAAATATTTGCTTTATAAAAAATGAAAACTGCAGATGAAAAGTTCTATAATCTAACTAATATAACAAAATTGTAGCTAAATAGCAACAGTTCATGGGAGACAATTAAGAAAAATTTATGTAATAAGATATTGATAAATATTGATCTTAATAAGACCAATAGATAACAAAACAATAATTTTTAGAAATATTGTCTATCTGTCTGTATGTTTCTTTTATCAATACACACAAACTACGGTCAATCAAATTACATGCAATACAGCTGTATTCCTGAAGGTCTAACCTAAAATTTGGTATATATTTAATTTTACCATATAGAACTGGTTTTCCTACTTCTGAAATACAAGTATGTGAAGTAGTGGTCAAGAGATTAGTAAGCAGTAGTAATTTGTATATTAGTATACTAGGGGTATTACTTGGGCGATGTGCTGAAGAAGGGCCAAATTAAAAGTACCCATAACCGGCAAGCGTGTATGAAAAGACTGATGAATGTGGAAGAAGCGAAAGAGGTTTGTTTGAATCGAAGCATTTGGCATTCAATTGTTTCTGTTTACCCTAATGGGAGACAGGCGTGACAGATATGTATATATGTATGTATGGGTATTACTTATACAGTGAATTGCAGCCAAGAGTTTATAATATAAAAAGATAAAATTGAAAAAGGATACAATCAGACAGCTTAATGTGGTCCTTAAATACTGTGTACCATTTCTTCAAAACAATTTTGTCATATCTTGTACCAGTTTGTGCCGCAATAAGCTTTTTCAAATCCCCAACAGTATCGTCAGGGTTGCATTTAACTCTCACTTTCTTGCCGAGTCGATCATTGCATGTAACTTCTAACATTTTCTGAAAAATAACATTATAATTGTAAACTTCTCATAAGTTCGAGGTTATGATGTTATAGATTGTTTAGGTATGGTAAATAACGATTGTTATTAATTCTTTCGTTAAACGCTTTAGTCGTGTAATAAACATAACAGTTTTAAACGATAACTCTTGATGAATAAAATATTTGTACATACATTATTAATCTATAGAGTTGTTATAAAATAAAAACAAAAGGTAGAATTCTAATTGCAATATAGATAATTCTAGCAAAGTCTCGCAACAACAAATCAAGGAGAGCAGTCTCTTTTGACATATTTACTCTGTGAGTGACATTGACAATTGAAACGAGCGTATGCGTATACAAAGATTAATAAAAAAATAATTTTTGATACAGTTCAAAACAAATGCACTTTTCTCAGTTTTGCAGTTTCTGTTTTGTTTAATATCTACCTTATTTTAACATTGACACTGTCAGATAGACTGACTGCAAACCTATTTCATCCAAAACATCCGGTCAGAACAAATATTGTTGTAGTTTAATATATTTGGTATCTTGATTTCTTACTTAAATCTAAAAAATAATTGTTATATATTATACTTTCTATTTTTTATTCTTATTGACATAGAATTGTAATAATTTATCTACTTAATATTTTTTTTACTTAATTGGTAGTTAATTTGGAATCCAACTATCCACACGTCATTTGACAACCAACAACTGACGTGACTAGTTTGATTTCGGCAACCAAATTTCTTTTTGGTGAGTGTTCTGTGAAATACGACGAAAAATGCAAATTCCGAATGAATATGTTTCCACGGCGGAAGATTTTGCAGATCAAGTAAGTGGCTATTAATCAGATTTGTTCTACTTGGTAAACTTTGGCGTTTTTATTGTGATTTCTTCATGTACTTTGATTTGTCACGTCACCGAACTTATTTTCTTGTTGGCGCTTATTATTGAATGACTCTAAGAACGTTCTTTTCAATATTAAAAATAGTTTTGTGTTGTCCCTGTATCGCTGCCAAGTGTGATCTGTTATCATACATATCTGCTTCTGTTGAAAATAAAGCATCTAATCAATGCTACTTTTCGAAGTACAGATTATTATTATTATTATTATATTTTTCACCTACTTATGTCTACTTTAATTTACATTTTATTTTTGTCATTACACGCACAATGTATTAGAAAATATCGAGATATTACTTAGACAAACATAGCATTATTTAAAATACGTAATTTATAATTGATAAATTGAGATAAATAAGCACTTTCTCATTGAAATATTACTAACACAAAATAATTATGCAAGGTACCAATAATAAATGTTTGTTTCTATGCACTGTGAATATCGAAGTTTACATGATTCTTTTTCTATGATTCTGCCATTAGTTTTGAAATGTTAGAATGTAAAAAACCAGTTATTATGTGTAAAAATTACATGATATTGTGGATGGATCAGATATCCATATTAATATAAATATCAGATATTAATATAATAATTATAATATATATTAATTATGAAAATTTATATTGAGTGAGTGCTGTTCCTATAATTTTCTTTCATAACTCAGATTGCCAAATTAAACTAAAATAAAATGCAGATAACAATTACTTACTATAATAAATAATTACTTAAATAATGTATATTTACTTACTGCATCATAGTAAATTTATGTATGATATTTAGACAGTGTGATGGATTTGGAGCTGTTTTTCTGTAATGTAGTATTTCCATTTTAATTAATCTGTTGTATATAAAATGGAAAGATAAAAAAAAAAAATTAAAATTGGTTTATAATTGGGCAAGATATTGCACAGGCATTAAGACATGAAAGATAACACATAATAATATGAACTGATAGAATGTTTCTTTTGCCAGTTGTCAAATAGTCCATAATGCAGTGTTTGGAGTTTTTTTTTTTGGTACTTTCAGTTTATTGGTGTGACTATAATTATTTCTTTATAAAAACTAGTGTCCAACCTGGCTTCTCATGGAAATATAGAAATATATTTGTATTTTATGTTAGCTTTAATAGTTAAATTTTCAATGCTTTGGATTAGATTATTGTAATTTTTGTAGGGATTAAAAATTTTTTTAAACTAATATATGTCTGTTAATTGCTGATAATATAACTTTATATAGATGAAGGAATTTTATAATTGGTTAGGTAGTTTTATCCATTACAAACAAACAGTTCAACAAACAAACAAACATACATATTTATAAACAAACATATAAATCAAATATTTCCTCTTTTATTTAATATTAGTACAGTGAATGCTCTATTATAAGCAACATGCTTTAAATTTTATTTATTCTACTCAGCTTAGTTAGTAAAAGAAATAAGTAAAATATTTTCTAGACAGTAAAGTATTTTTATACTCCTTTTTTCCCTATAAGCAACTTTTCCCAATAAGAAAGTTTTTTTATTGAAATTGATTCAAATGAGTTGCTTATATAGAGTGTTCACTGTATATGTAAACTAACAATTAAGATAAAAAGAGATAGAAACATTTTCTGATACCACTTTTGTAATCAGAATTGTTGTTATCTGTTACTACATGTCATAGGTCGTTTTATCAATTTTTACAATATACATATTTTTATATAAATACTTGTGTTATGAAATTCCAACAGTTGTATAATTTTAGTAATTATGAGCATTATCAGATAAAGGGAAGTTAAAGATTTAATATTCTATAGAGTATTGATATCTAATGATGATATCTACGCAGGGTGAAAATGAAATAGTGTCCTTTGAAGGGAACATTCTATCAGTGGAAATGAACATTTTACCAAAGAGATGTGCTGTGTTGTAAAGGAAAAAAAAATTCAACCAACATACTTGTGTGACAACCTATTAACATGTAATATTTAACTGTTGAATTAATATGGGAGATTAATCTATTATAATTTTTTTTATTTATATTTTATGAAATTTCTGTCTTACTATGTTAAGGTATATTTTAATAATTTACTAGCGACCCGCCCCGGCTTTGCATGAATGCATACTACATCACATCACATTAGAAACCTCTAAAATTATCAGTGTTTCTTTACTATATTATGCATGTATTATATATATAAACCTTCCTCTTGCATTGCTCTATCTATTAAAAAAAAAACGCATCAAAATATCCATTGCGTAGTTTTAAAGATCTAAGCATACATAGGGATGGACAGACAGGAAGTGACTTTGTTTTATACTATGTAGTGATTTATGTATTCTGTAGGTGAAATAATTTTTAAAATGATTGAGTAGTTTTTGAGTTTATCAATTTCAAAGGAACAATCAAATCTTTGCTCTTTATAATATCAGAAACTATAGATTGTATATATGACACTCAATATTTTTAAGTCATACTTGAGTACCATTTTTAGTCTTTGTTTGTTTGTCCTGTGTTTATTTTTGCATCAATGCTCTGGATCCACTAATCATTCATACTAGAATAACACTGAGTTAAAACTGGCATAATTATGTTTTATTTTATTAGGTTTGGTTAATCTAATCATTGATACTGCCTAATCTCTCCATTGCATGAAGTCACGTAGAATGAAATGGTCTTAGATTATTTGATAGATATGTTTATTAATATTCTAAGATGATTGTATTAGTAAGAATAGAATAGAATATAATAAATATTGATTGTGAGCTGTACATTACAGTTTTTCGTAAGATGTTATTAACGTCTTAAAGGAAAATACAGCCTACCCATACATCGGGCATACAATACGATTAATTACATAACATTAATTATTTTACAGTCATACACTAAAATCGTCAATAAAATAAAGCATGTCAATCAACAGTCACAACTGTAAACACACAAGCAAGTGTAAGCACACAAGTAAACTTATATTTAATAAAATAATAAACTATTACATTATGATTTTCGAGGAATGACAAGTTTGGAAAACAAATAATTTGTTGTTTAATTTTTTTATTGTTATTCATAATCATTATCATTTAGCTGTCCACCGCGGAACATAATCCTCCCTCTTGGGGGTTTTGTCAGTAGTTGCCACGCTTGGCAGGCGAATTGGTAAACACAGTTAGGCTTTAAAAATGTTTTAAGAAGACGCTGCTGCCCATCACTTGCCCTCCCTTAGATATCTCTTGCAACATCCATGGGAAATAAAGTGGTGGCATATCCTATATCGGGACCACACAGCAATTTATTGTTATTAATTCCCATTATTATATGAACAAAGGTGGAATAGCTAGTTGATGGAACAATAATGTATGGTATCTTTATTGACACTATCAACTAAATTAACATTGCAGACAGAAGACTTAGATTTAACTCTGATAATATGGAGTGGTAAGGGGAGGAAATAAATGAGATTACAATGTATTTGATAAGGACATTGTCATTTAATTTAGGCAACAAAATTCATATTCGATTGTGCATTCAAGAGTGTCGGAATTAAACCAATTATACATATATTCACTTGTCAAATGGGGTAGTCCTTGTGTTTATTTTATTTTTAAGTCAATTTAAGTAATCCACCATGAAGAATTTGCTAGGAATTAATCATGTTAATATTCAAGGGAGGCTGTGTGAAGGTTGATAAGGAATGATAACACTTGCTTATTTCGGGGGAAAGGGATTATTAGTAATGGAGACTGAGAATCCCATTGCTAGCAATATACCCAACCAGGTCGACCTCCTCGCGATTCCCCCTGGAAACTATCATGGTTAATTCCTGATGAATTCATCATGATGGGCTAACTGGCCTGTTTTCATTTTCATCTATCACCTTTTACTGGTGCTCCGCCAGCGTATCCCGTTAGCGCAAGCGGGGTTACCATACCATTTTCACCCATAAAAAAAATGCTTATAAAAACTTACTTTTGATCATTTTTAATTTTTTTTATAAGATGTAATCAATGAAATTGGGGACTTTACTGTCTACTATATCATACATACTGTCTAAATCTAAATTGTACTAGTAATATAATCGCGAGAAGGTAAAAAAATGGCTTTCTTTTTCATAAAAGTATAAGCAGTAAGACTTTTAGCTGAATTACTACTTAGTAAAAATATTCCACTGTTTTTTTATTTAATTAGTTACTATTTTTAATATGAAATCTTATACATATATTTCATGGTGAAATTAGTAAGTATTGCACACATAGATACTGCGATTTCACTTTCTAGAAGCAATTTTACATTCACTTTCTTACGTCCTTGGGTTTACATTTCGTTGAGGCAGGCGATGGTAGTAATAGTAATGGTAGGTAGTAATAGATAAATTAGTCATAGAGAAATGGCACATCACAATCGACCTTAATGTTAGAAAGCAGAATGGCGACTATTCTACTATGAAGTTCCGCCCAGTTCTGGGTAATTCTTGTCTTGACTTCTTCAGGATTTCTCGTTCTATGAATATTTTGGGAGATAAGTGTGTAATACATGACACTTCCTAGTGTTGTAGGTGTCTATAGGCTATTGTGACTATTGTCAGACAGACTGTATGTTTGGTTTTTTTATGTAACTTAAAATGGGAAATTGACGGCTCACCTGATGGAAAGTGGTAACCGTCGCCTATAGACATGAGCTGTATCATGTACATAACAGAGTATGCTGCTTTTTACCTTCATAGTATAAATAAAAAATGTACTTATGCAATGTTTCGGGTACGCAGCTGAGCCGTCTGTCATTTTTTTTTATATAATGCAATGGTCACTCCGCCTGCATTATCGCTGCGTTATACGCTGGCGGAGCACCAATGAAGGATTATAGGTGAGACTAAAAGCAAATCAGCCCTTCGTAACGAACTCGTCAAGATTAACCACGATGGTTTCCAGGTAGAAGTCGATCTGACAGTTTATATTACTATGAGATTGCTAGATCTCCTATCTTTTATGTTAAATATAGGTTGTTTCGTCGTCGCTGTGAAAACCACAATGTACCAGCTACAACACTTTCGATTTCATTCCAAACAGGATTTGCGAGAGGAGAGGAGTGGCTTCCGAGTTGCAAAAGTCGTATTATGTCAGTTACTTAGTAACCGTCATTATTCTTGTGCTATAAATTGTGTCCAACTTTACGATTTGTTCTTGACAGGTGACTGGTTCGAAACTTCCAATTTACTATTACGTACTATTAGTTTCTGCTGGTATAAGAACTGTATTTGCTATTCGAAATTTTTCAGGTTTATAAATGTTCTTTCAAGCCTACTTTTAATCGGTTTCAGAAAAGATGTTTTGAAATTTAACAGTAGTAATTTTTCTGTAAATATCACGTGAAATGATGTCTAAGATTAATCGTGAATTATTGTCTGTCTCGTTATTAAACACATCATAATGTCGAAGAAGTGGTGAATAAAAAGAGAATCGTCCCCAGTAATGACATTTTAATGGTTAATAACAATGATGTAACTGTCAATTCTGGTTTTGATATTATAACTTTTACTTTCGTAATGATTTTATACCTGTTTCGTCAAGGTTGACGTGGTTTTAACAAAATCCAGAACTTCGAGATGCTATGTAGACTTATACCTTAAGGAAGGAGGGTAACAGGGAGACGAATGCAGTTTTTTTTTATGGGTAAAAATGGTATGGTAGCCCCGCCTGCTCTAACGGTATACGCTGGCGGGGCACCAGTGAAGGGTGATAGATGAGAATGAAAACAGGCCAGTTAGCCCATCATGATGAATTCATCAGGAATTAACAATGATAGTTTCCAGGGGGAACCGCGAGAAGGTCGACCTTGTTGGGTATATTGTTAGCAATGGGATTCTCAGTCTCCATCACTAACAATCCCTCCCCCCCCCCCCCCTAGTTACATTAGACAGATCAAGGGAGGAGTTGGTGTCGTGTCGTATCAAGAGGTGAAGAGACTCGCTAAAAGACGCATAGTGAGTGGCTAGAGCTCCACCGACACGAACGCAGCTCCTAAAATGGATAGATAGATAGATGTACTCTTATGCCCCTCTATACCATATTTTCATTGGATCAAAAAGATATAATAATTTATCAATGTATTGGCCTTACTGATGATTTAATAATTAGTGAAAATGTTCCTGATAAGAAACTTTATTTATATACCTACTGGTTATTAAGCATCCAATTAATTAACTAATGAGACATATGGAACTGAGTAGTCAGGGTCATTATGGTTACAGGCCCATTACCGTAAGCGTCGATAGGGTTACCATTCCATTATCATCCATTGCAAAAAAAAAAGAAAACACCAGACCTCACTTGGTATATTGTAGTCGATATGTTCCCTCATCTGAGAGTTAAATTAATGCACAATTTTTTTTTTTAATTATCCATTTTGAATCTCGTGACTACAATAAAAAATATGCTCTCTGTATTTCTTTTAAAAATTATGGTGCTATTTTTACCGATCGATATACCATAAGTCAACAAACTCATTTCGATGTTTCATTTTTATTTTCGTCTTTGGTTATCATACTTGACTTTTGTCATGCTTGTCTAACCTGCATGCGTAAGAGTTATTGTTGGTTATTTTGGTTGCATTCCTTTATCTATATGTATGCCCTTTGGCGCCCAAGCTCATGAGACGATCAGATATTACTGACAGAAATTGTAGAGCTAAAATGATATTTTTTTTTTTAATGGATGATATTGGAATGGTAGCCTTGCCTGAGCTATTGGTATACACCGGCGGGGCACCAGTGAGGCATGATAGGTGAGGATGAAGCACAATAAACCAATCAAGATGGTTTCCAGGGGGAACCGCGAGGAGGTCGACCTGATAGAGTTTATTGCTAGCAATGGGATTGGTAATCCCCATTACTAACAACCCCTTCTCCCCCTAATGATAATGGATTGATACGGTTATACCTACCCGTATTTATTGGGGGAGGGGGAAGGGATTATTAGTAATGCGGTCTAATAGCCCCATTGCTAGCAATATACCCTCTCAGGTCGACCTCCACACGGTTCCCCCTGGAAACTATTATGGTTAATTCTTGTCGAATTCATCATGATGGGCCGACTGACCTGTATTTATTGTCACCTATCATCTTCCACTGGTGCCTCGTCAGTGTATACCGATAGCGCGGGCGGGGTTACCATTCCATTTTCACCCTTTAAAAAAAAACTCGTATTTTTTTTTTAATGAAATTAATTTCTTTATATTAAATAGTGTGAAAGTTATTGACGTAAGCCATGTTATGTTAAATTTGGCACCTGTTTAATTGACTTAAGCAATATAGGCGTGCAAATATTTATATTTTATAAAAGTACATACAAAAATAATAATTCATATTAATGTTATAATACCATTTTATATTTTATGCTATATCACGAAAATTATTAGCTTATTGCCTACTATTTCGTTAAGTACAAAAATCTATATAATAGACCAATTCGAGATGACGAATTAGGATAAAATTAAAAACAGATTTTTTTTTTATACAACTTAGAATGGCAAACAAGCTGACGGTCCACCTGATGGAAAGTGGTAACCGTCGCCTATAGACATGAGCAGTAGCATGGACATAACAGAGTATACTGTTTAGTCCATGATACCCCCCATGCGTTGCCATTCCTGAGGACTCAGGTGTTATTCCTCTGTACCCTGTAAATTTACGCCATATCCCACCCTTCAAACCGAAACACAGCCATGCAAACACAACTGCTTCACGGTTGAAACACGAATGGGACAGAGGTACCCAGGCAATCGACTTTTGTACAAAGTCTCCCTCTGGTAAAAATTTTTATGTTAGACCTTTAGGAATACAACTGTGTAAACCGAATCCAAGGTAGTGTTTGTGTGTAGCCGTCACAAGCATATAGACAGAGAATATTTAAAAAAAGAATACTGTTTTAGCATCTATTGGTCTTATTAAGACCCCTCATATTTATTTTCCTTTAATGTTTTCCATGTATTACTCTCAGACATTGTGTAGTTTCTATTTTTTTGTTTTTTTTATATTGGTAAGAAAAGCCACTTTCCCAAAGAGGGTTGACGTCAGGCAGGTGGCCGGTCGTAAAACTAAAAGCCAAATCTTTTTGTAATATGGATAAAAACATATTACGCCGACCCCAAACAATAATTGGGATAAGGGTAGGAAGATGATGGTAAGAAAAGCCACTTGATATATAATATTAACTTTACGTATGTTTGAATGTTTTAACATTACTCGTAGTAATTTTTTGGTGTATCGCAGGGAACGAATGCCGTAAGCCCTAAGACTGGCATCTCCCATTTAGATAAGTTCGTTTCATGACTAATTGTCCGGATCGTGTAATCAGCGCCTTAGATTGTGTTTGTTATTTATGTAGCGATACGTCATGATGTCTCAAAATTAATATTACGCATTTTTATCTATACTTTTTATTTGTTATTAACGTATTATACTATTAACAATTACCTAGTTACGAACGCCGGATCGTTAATTTTTTTTATACACTTTCAAATTGTGTTCTTTTTATTAAGTATCATACATTTTACGGCTCTGGAAGCGACCCTCTTGGGCATAGATAAAGTGTTCGACGAGTAATACAAACGTTACTAGCTTTATGGTACCCGAACTCCTCTCATTTCAGTAGCCAGACGTAGAGTTTTTGCACACTGATAATAATAATAATTTCATATTTTTAACAGGTAATACGCAAAGGCAAAAATGTGCTGCCGACAGTCGCGAGATTATGCCTCATATCGACGTTTCTTGAAGACGGACTTCGGATGTGGTTTCAATGGTCAGAACAACGGGACTACATGAACATGTCGTGGGGTTGCGGCGTCTTCCTCGCTACCATGTTTGTGGTAAGACCAATATCACTTTCAGCAAAAAAAAAAAAGCTTTACGTTAAGTAACAAAAAGAAAATAATTTTGAAGAAAACTTGGTCTAATACTTGTAGAAGGAAGTAATAATTGGTTAATATGCAGTCTGTATGAATCGACTGTTAAATCGGCGTACCTATCTATCTATCCTATTTAAGAGCTGCGCTCTTGTCGGTGGAGCTCTTGCCACTCACTACGATTTGCAGCGAGTCTCTTCACCTCTTGATACGATACGACACCAACTCCTTCCTTAATCTGCCTGATGTAACTATAAATTGAGTAAAATTTACATTGAATTTAATCAGTGAAAGTGGGTCGCATATAGCCATATTGTAAATAAAATTCTCTCCATTGTTCCCTATTTCAGTGAGTGCGTCCAGTAAGTGTGTAATGCGATGTTTTGTAATCGCAGGCACGTTTCGATTACTCACGCTCCACATTACACTGATGCGTGGTGCTTAATACGAAAAATACCTATCACACGCTTTATCTTTTTGCAAAATATTCGTATAGCACAGTCTCTTCTGCTATGGCTTCCCATCACGTAAGCAGGTGAAGCACTGAAGATGGTAACGATCGTCAACACAGTGTAAATTGCTGCTATGTTAACTCTCGTATTTGGAACACATTACTTGCTTAACATCGGGCGGGGGAGTGCTCACTTTGACTAGCTTCTATGTAAAATAAAAACCTCGGACAAACTCGTTCAAAGACCTTAAGATAAAACCTGATACTGGAAATGAAGACATTTTTCTTTTCTTTCGTTAAACTTGTTTACTCCTAGCGAAACACAACTCTGATGTATGTGATCCTGCACCATCGCTTTAGGTTTTTTTAATGGATGATAATAGAGTTGTGACCCCGCCTTCGCTATCGGTATACATTGACGGGGTACTAGAAGGATGATAGATGACGATGAAGGCGAATTCAACAATAAATCAATCACGATGGTTTCTAGGGAAAACCGCATGGAGGTCGATAGGCTGATAGGTTATATTGCTAGCAATGGGATTGCTAATCTCTATTACTAACAATTAGGGGGAGAAAAGGGACCCCCCCCCCCCCCGCGCATCTCGCCGCTTTAAGTTGAAGGCGAAGATGGGATATGGCGTAAATTTTCTGGGTACGGAGGAATAACCCCTGAGTCCTTAGGAATGGCAACGCACGGGGGGTATCATAAGCGAAACGGTATACTCTGTTATGTCCATGGTACTGCTCATGTTTATAGGCGACGGTTACCACTTTCCATCAGGTGGGCCGTCAGCTAATTTGCCATTCTAAGTTGTTTAAAAAAAATTTTAAGATTTTTTTAATTGACTCCTATGATTGCTAGCATCTAATCAAATCTATCACCTAGGGCTAAAGCTATATTTAGCTGCTTTTACTTTTTACCTTGTGACATGTGGCCGTAGCATCTTGCTTTATACTACTGGCTGTGCCCGCTACTTCGTTGATTTTCGGCTAGTTCTTATGAAACTTACTTCGTTCAAATGCTGGCGGGAAGTAGCTAATATGCAGAATATTATTATTACTTATATATTTATGTACTTATTTATGTATGTATATATTTATTTATTTAATATATTAGGTCTATTTATATGTTTATATTATATCAAGTACTGCTTTATTTTTCCTCTATTCAATAATGCACCGCCTACTTATTTCTCGGTTTGCCCAATGGTTGACTGGTACGTCTGGTTTTAAGTCCGCAAAATGTACTTAGAATTTTACTGTGCATTAAAGTTTAAATAAATATATATTATTATTACATAAATATATTATATAAACCTGTTATTAGCCTTAATATTTTAAATACTAGTCTGTAAATATTAACTGTAACGCCGTTGGTTTCTAATAAATGAATATATATAAATTACTTATACTGTGGTTTTGTATAACTTGAAAACATAGATTACAACCTTTATCACTATGAACTTGAACGCCAGGTTTAGGTGTACTTTATATGCAGGCGATTAACACTGATTGTATAAACAAGACCGGGTTATCGTATTTGTATATTGCACCTATGCGCTTGACCGTGTCCACAAGGTGATAATTTTAGAGAACATTAACCTGATTCACCGCCGATTTATTTTAATATTCCAAGTGACCTGATCAATAACTGTATGGTGGGGGGGGGGGGGGGGATTGTTAGTGACGCAGACTGAGAATCCCATTGCTAGCAATATACCCAACCAGGTCGACCTCCTCGCGGTTCCCCCTGGAAACTATCATGGTTAATTCCTGATGAATTCATCATGATGCGCTAACTGGCTTGTTTTCATTCTCATCTATCACCCTTCACTGGTGCCCCGCCAGCGTATCCCGTTAGCGCAGGTGGGGTTACCTTACCATTTTCACCCATAAAAAATAAAAACTGTATAGTATTGTTTCTTACGCGAGTGAAAGGACGGATAATCATCTGAGGGCCTACCATGAAATGTTTTCCGAAATTTCGGATCCGAACGAAACAAAAATTTGATGCTTAAATTACATAATACGTACCGTTTAAAAATATTAAAAATGCTAAAGTATCGTTCCTTTGAACTTTTATGGTAGGATTTATGGCAAACGAAATGTAAAGCTCCATTTACTGGGTCGATATCGGTACGAACGAAAAAAATACGAAATTGAGCGCGAAAATTCGGAATTTCATTTCATGGTAGACCTCCTTTTGACAATGATGTCTCATGAACTAAATTTATATTAAACCAATAGGTAATTTCCAGTAGTTACCAGTAGTTTTTTTTTTTTTTTTTATTTAATGTATTGATAATGCTGCCTGCGCAAATAGTATACGTTGACGGGGTAACAGTGAGAGATGATAGGTGAGAATGAAAAGGCAAGTCAGTTAGCCCATCGTGATGAATATATCTGAAATTTAGCATGTTGGTTTCCAAGGGGGACCCCGGGAAGGTCGACCTGACAGGGTATATTGTTAGCAATTGGGCTGGTAGTCTCCATTGCTAACAATCCCTTCCCCCCTAGTAACCGGTAGGTAGGTTATAAACCAGAGGGAGACTGTGCAAAAGTAGATTGCTTGGGTACCTCTGTCCTATTCGTGTTTCAACCGTGAAGCAGTTGTGGTTTGCATGGTTGTGTTTCGGTTTGAAGGTTGGGATATGGCATGAATTTACTGGGTACAGAGGAATAACACCAGAGTCTTCAGGAATGGCAACGCATGGGGGGTATCATGGGCGAAACAGTATACTCTGTTATGTCCATGGTACTGCTCATGTCTATAGGTGACGGTTACCACTTTCCATCAGGTGGGCTGTCAGCTTGTTTGTCATTTTAAGTTGTATAAAAAAAAAATAATTATAAACTGAATTTTTATTAAGTCTTAGAGTTGCTTTTACGGCGATGTCGCAAGCTAGTAAATGAGGCCTACAATATCTATTATTTATAAAAAAAAATATGACATACTTCTGAAGTACCTGATATAGTCTATGGTCTTAAATTATCATTTTATATTTTTTCTATTATTAAATAGTAAGTGACCTAGCTTATTAAAGCTAGGTCACTTACAAAATCTAAAAAACAAACGGGAACATTTATTTAATTCGATCGCACTCACTAAAATATGCTGCTTCTTGTATGTACATATATATTATTTATTAATTATATTATTTGTAAGTAAAAATGCCGTCTGTTGACTTGATGTACTGTGTGTATATTTTTGTTCTATTTCAATTGTTTATAAATTTTCTTTTTTATAAAAAAAAAGTTACAATTGTCAATTTCATATATTGTAAAAGGTTAATTTTGAACACCTTTTATTTTTCCTTTCTGACTGGCTTTCTTTATGTATTTTTTTTTTATTTTATTTTAATAAACACGAGTGTAATTATTCTATCGTATATTGAACTATCTTTGTATAAAAATATTTGTTTTTGTTTTTTAAGATTATAAACTTAGTGGGACAGCTTGGTGGCTGTGTGATGGTGTTAGGACGACTGAAGGTCGAGATTGCGTGCGGTGTCCTCTTCTTCATAGTTGTACTTCAGGTACGTTGATTGTAATTAATTATTGTAATATATATTCAAATTTCTGTTTTGCCAAAGGTTCACTGGGAGAGAATGCTATATAGTATTAAGTCCGCCTTTTGTACCAGACATTTACCAGAGGGAGACTTTGTACAAAAGTCGATTGCTTTGGTACTTCTGTCCCACTCGTGTTTCAACCGTGAAGCAGTTGTGTTTGCATGGCTGTGTTTCGGTTTGAAGAGTGGGATATGGCGTGAATTTACTTGGTACAGAGGAATAACACCTTAGTCCTTAAGAATGGCAACGCATGGAGGGTATCATGGGTGAAATAGTATACTCTGTTATGTCCATGGTACTGCTCATGTCTATAGGCGACGGTTACCACTTTCCATCAGGTGGGCCACCACTTTCAATCAGATGTCCTTTGAGCACCGACGTGGTTGGTGCAGTGGCGAGTGGTAGATCAGGTATCTTGCGTAAATTGTTTCGAGTTCGAGTCTCGGTTGGAGCAATTTTAAATGAACTAAAGTATTTATAATTAAAGTGAACTGAAATTAATATTTCTTTCTTTATTGTACACAAACACAATTATTTTTTTTAATGTAATGTACAAAGGCGAGCTTATCTCTAATAAGAGATTTTTTTTCCAGCAAACCTTTTCTTCGGTGGCACAAATTTTTATTTTATTTTTTGTATTTCGAATTACTCTTGAATCTTGTTTGGTTCCTCATAATACGTTCTAGTTTATTTTTAGTGAAAAAATTAATATCAAGTTTTGTTAATGAAAATTACTGATTTTTTTTACCGTTTCCCTCTTCCAGACATTCGCATACAGTATACTATGGGACATACAGTTTCTACTTCGGAACTTAGCTCTCATCGGAGCGCTGTTATTAGTTCTGGCGGAAGCACGAGGTGCCGAGGGACGGAGCCTCTTCGCCGGCGTGCCCAGCCTCGGGGAGAACAAACCCAAGACGTACCTGCAGCTGGCCGGCAGGATATTACTCGCGTTCATGTTCATCACTCTTCTGAGATTTGAAGTCTCTTTCTTACAGGTGAGTTATAGATATATGGTACACTGTAGTGGCTTATTTTTTTTTTACAAGATGACAATGGAATGGTAACCCCCCCTGCGCTAACGGTATACGTTGGCGGGGCAATAGTGAACGACGATGGTTGAGATGAAAAAGTAGGTCAGTTAGCCTATCGTGATGAATACACAAGGAATTCAGCACAATGGTTTCCAGGGAGGACTACGTGGAGGTCGATCTGACAGGGTATATTGCTAGTAGTGGGAATGGTGGACATTACTAACAATCCCTTCTACTCCATAGTGACTTATTTATAAGTATATATATACGAGTATAGTATTATGTTTTATGTAATGTTGAAACAGTGTTGAAGGGGGGCTATGGCAGTGAATTTACAGGGTACAGAGGAATAACACCTGAATCCTCAGGAATGGCAACACATGTGGGCTATCATAGGCGAAGCAGTATACTCTGTTAAGTCCATGGTACTGCTCATGTCTATAGGCGACGGTTACCACTTTCCATCAGGTGGGCCGACAACTTGTTTGTCATTCTAAGTTGCATAAAAAATGTCTATTATATGATGTGACTAAACTTGCAACTCATGATGATTCTCACGCGGTTCCAATAATAAAGATTAACTATGTCAAATGTTATACGAATTGGATCCTTATTACCGATGTGTAAGTTTTAGATTCGAACGAGATGTATTCATCAGTACCAAACTGTATGAACTTAATTCGTTATTACCAGTAGAAAAAAAAATTAAGAGAATACGAAATTACGTGGCTGATTCTGAGACGCCACTTATCTAAATGTGCCTCTAAAATTGTCATTTCAAATTGATATAACAACGAAATTTTTATTCTAAGGACCAATATGAAGTAAATTTCTAATAGAGATAATTTAAAATTGTTATAAATTTAATTTATGATAGTTCATAAAACAATAATTCCATGAAACTATCAAATTAAAATTAAATTAAATATATTATGTACTCTTTATTGTTTTTTTTTTCTAAAAGATTACAATAGTAAACTTATTATAAATACGAACAATAACAAAAAATGTTCGTACTGTTATCAACGTTCAACGCAAGACATAGGTTTAGAGAAATTGATTTTCAGAAGCTCTAACGTATTATTTACTTACGTTATTTCTTAGTATTTTAGATGAAATATAATAATTTCTTATGTTCTGTACAAGAAAGAGATAATATATATATATATATATATATATATATATATATATATATATATATATGTATCTCTTTCTTGTACAGTAGTGATTGGTCAATATCCAGTACTGTATCGATGCTTCGTAATAAAATTATTAATTACGCATCAATTTTAATTGACACGAGGTAGACACGTTAAATGTGCTCTCATCGTGAAGTCATTCACCAGAAAATCGTTTCGACACAGACATCTTTAATAATATATGAAGCAGATATACGGTCCGAGGTCAACTTTATCTTGTTCACGTCACGGAGTTCATTAATATTTATGAATATTTTGTCAGAGCAAATGATACCTGCCTGTCTTTAGCTCAAGTTCACGCTATCTCCATATGTTGTATACTATATGTGGTGCGATTATTATGCATATATTTAAAAAATATATATATTTCTGTATTTTCGTTACAATATTTAATTTTTTTTATTAAACAATGAAAAACACTGCTGACGGCCCACTTAAGAGTGTTTACTTATAAATAGTTTTTTTTTTGATGGGTGAAAATGGTATTGTAACCCCGCCTGCGCTAACGGGATACGCTGGCGGAGCACCAGTGAAGGGTGAAAGACGAGAATGAAAACAGGTCAGTTAGTCCATCATGATGAATTCATCAGGAATTAACCATGATAGTTTCCAGGGGCACCCGCGAGGAGGCCGACCATATTAAAAAAAAACACTGCTACATACCAGTTTTCCAACCAGAACGTAGCCAATTAAATTCAGTTGTTTAGTGTCGGAGGGTATCTGTAATTAAAAAAAATGGTAATATTACAACGAGGAGTTCTGGCTTATTCTTTATTTGCTGTATCTATCTTTTACGGAAAAACTACTCGAGCAAATCCATTGAGTAGTTTTCCCGTAAAAGATAGATAGATAATTTATTTTCATTACTTACAGCACACAAATTACAATAAAAAAACATACACATACACAGTAAAAGAGATAAAAGAATGAAATTAAAAAGCACAAAACAAAAAAAAAAAAAAACAAAATATATAAATTAACAATTTCCTTTCTTTCCTTCATGTGTGTGCCATAGTAACACAAAATGGTCACAGCTCAGTTTATTACTTTGCCCTTAAATTAGCAAAACACTGATATTCTGTTGTGGCCGGCCATATCTATTCATCATTAGAAATTTTCGCATTTATAATATTAATAGGATTTATTAATTAATTAATAAATTCACTAGAAGACCTGTACAAATAAATGTATGGTATTTAATGTTTTTTTTTTTCTTTGATTGCTTGCAGATTGTACAAGACCTATTGGGTAGTATACTGATGATCCTGGTGACGGTGGGCTACCGCACCAAGCTGTCGGCGCTGATGCTCGTGCTAGTGCTCACAGTTCTCAACTTGTACCACAACGCGTGGTGGGCCGTGCCCTCATACAAACCGCTTAGAGACTTCCTTAAATATGACTTCTTCCAGGTAATATATATAGTTGTATTATTAAATTATTAAGGAACATATTTATCTTTTAAAGTAATAAATGTGGTGGTATATAAAACATTTTACTGTCAATGAATGTCTATCATAAACTTAACGTTCCAGCTTGGGACGTGTATTAGTTTTTGATTTCAAATAAACTTCGATCTGACTCCAATATTTGTATTAATGAATATTATACTAAATTAAATAATCGAAGGAAGACAATTTAGCACTCTTGAAATACAATATGGCTACCGAATTAGAGATGGGATGTTACTCAGGAGTCGATTGCGACCCACTAGTGATGCGCCTGTATACTTAGTAAATTTTGATATCCTATATTTGTTAGTATATTTTATATTACTATGTTATATGCTTCTGTGTACAAGGTTTTTTTTTTTTACTTAAATATAAAAGTCTTCTTTAGTTACAGTATGGATTACTTGTAACATTGCTGTGCTTTGGAAATTATCCACTGGACATTAAGTATAGTCTAATGTTAAAACAGGACTCTGGCTATTTTTATATACCTTTTTTTTTAAATGCTTTTATTTCATTTAGATATATTACTTCTATAAGGGATCTACTAAATCTTGAAAGTATTTTTTCTCAATGTATCTATCTATATTAAATCCTATGGTATAAAATTGGTTTAGTTTATAAAATATCTCCTTATTTATTTGTAATGAAATGTATTTTATTTAAAGTAATTTAAAATAATTTTCAGACACTGTCCGTGATCGGCGGTTTGCTGATGATCGTGTACCTGGGCCCGGGTGGCGTCAGTATGGATGAACAAAAAAAGAAGTGGTAGGAGCGGCCGCGGCACAGTCCGCGCCTGCGCAGAGACTCTTTAAATTTACACTAAGAATTGTTATGTGGTGCGAACGGACCGGACGATTGTCATCAGTGCCCAAACTGACTAGTCGGCGACAGAATTGCAATCACTGTCTCTTATTTCAACCTCTTGTGCAATGTAATGTTACGTAAATATTGATATGTAATGCTGGGCTGCACCTACGACTCGTAATGAATATTCACACAATTTGTTCAGTTATCATGGCGAAGTCCAGTCAATTGTCGTGTAGGTGGTGAGCCAACCAGAGGGCCTACCACGAAATATTTTCTGAAATTTTTGAGCCGAACGGAACGCAAATTTCGTGTTAAAATGTCATAATGCATACCGTTTTAAAAATATTAAAATATCGTTCCTTTGAACTATTAAGCTAGGATTTATGACGAACGAAATCCCTCCTCCATCTACTGGGCCTATTTCGGTATGAATTTCATTTCATGATAGACCCCCAGTTTTAAGTGCGACAAAGTTAGTTAATTAGATGATTTGTAATTAAAAAGATTGTAAAATTATTGCTTGATGTTTTGTTTATAATTCTGAAGCTGCAATTATTACTTTTAGTGAATGTAACATACGATACTAAATTTCGCCATAGATTGCTTCGTCACAATAGGCATAAGTGCAGCCCTACCATGAGAGTATTAAAATTATCGTCTTGGTGTTTAAATTGTCAATTTTATTTTAATGTGTTGATTAATTATTATTTTATTGACAAATTGAATAAGCTGTGATTGATGCGAGACTAATTATAACGAAAAAAAAAAAACTGTCGTCATTTAGATTTTATAAAATGTTTAAATTTTTGTATACTTCTGTCAAAATATCGTAACTAGATGTTGTTTACTTGGTTTATGTTTGTTTACTTTTATATTCGTATCTGTCGGTTATTAATATCTTTAAAATTGTCTAACTCTATTGTGACTGTCCTATTTATATGTCATTTGTAATACTTGCACAGTAATTGTAAATTCTGACGCTTTCTATATAAATAATTACAACACAACCCTATCACATGTTATGTTGTGAAATATTTATGTATCTTGTATGAATCGGCAACTCATTGCTCTATTCCCCACATAGAAGTGATATTTTCTTAGTGGAATGTTATATTTTGTATGTAAGTGTATGTCGGAGCGATGTTGTGGCTCAATAACTTAAATACTAATGTAGAGAATAATTGGTAAGGACACCAGAGCTCATAAATGCATGGCAAATTAATATATTTATAAATATATTTTATTCTAATTTACAGAGAAATATGAGGTGAAAATAAAATCAACATACCACTCTTTCATGTGTGTAACAGAAGAACAATTAGAAATAGGATCGATTGCGCCGAAGATTAAAAAAGGCTATCTTTATAAATATTATTAATTAGCTGATATCAATGTATAAACTTAATATATTTTCTTGAGAAATATATAAAATATACCTATATATTAGTAGATGACGAATAAAGGTCCTATAAGGTAGCCGAAAGTGAGACTAGTAAATGAAAATTAGATATCTCTTAGTGTTGTGGGGCCGCAACTCGCTCCTCACGGTATCGATGTTTCATTCCGAATTTCTTCTATCTGTTGTGATGTCAATGTAAATATATATTTTGTACTTATTGACTGAAACCAACAGTAACTGTATGGATTCTTGAATGTTATGAAATTCATGACCGTAGATATGAAACTGTGTAGAAATAAATTAATTCCAGTAGCCCTAAGTGCAATCAGGCTATCATCACAAACTTACTTGAAAGGTTTTTTTTTATTTTTCACCACAACAAATTAATTTTTACATTATTATCAAAGTATTTCAATGAGAAAAATATTTTTATAGTATTTTTTTTTATTTATTAATAATTTGGCCATAGATAAATTTTGCATTCCTAAACAAAACCATTTTTTTTGTTCTGAAATAAATTTTACATGATATCTTATGTTTCATTTCAGTAACCAGTCGAGCAGTCTAATATATACAATTATTAAGTATCATTGAAACTTTTTAATTTTCTATACCTTAAGAAGTTGGATGTTTAATGCCATAAATCTCTAATTGTATAAGACAAAATAACATCTTTTTATAAACATATATTTGTATATTTAAAAATAAATTTGAGAATTACATGAGAATATTTTGTGTGGTCTATTATTATGTGGCTTTAACCTGCTCTTTTTCCTTATCGTCTATATATTTGAACACTTTATTTGCTAGGTGCCTGTACTTCTCTGCATGTATACTATCTGGCAGGGCGTATATGGCTGGTTTCCCGCTGTTTATACATTCCGACATGTTTTGATCAACTTCGAAACTTTCAATTATCTCTAGCCTCATCTCGTCAGCAGTTCTCTTAGTTTCATTGCCAAAAACGTAATTGACGGTGCCACATTCTGTACATAATGCATGAGACATGTTCTCCACCAAACCTATGATAGGAACTTTTAACTTTTCAAACATGTTCACACCTCTTTTTGTAACTTGTAAAGCTGCTGATTGTGGAGTTGTCACTATTAATGCTCCTGTAAAAAAATTAATAATTTACATATTTGTTAAAACATTCCAATTTACTATTGTATACCACATAATACGTAAATATTATTTGGTACAAAAAAAAAATGTAGTAAAAGTATTCCTTGGATGTATATAATTTTATTAATTTATCTAGACGGTGGATGTATTTGGTTTTGTTTAATATAGATAGATAATCTAGTTTACAACACTGAAATACATGTATTTAGGTCTGAAGAGTGATTATGTATAACAGCAAGAGAACTGTGAATTATGGAGAACACGTGTCTTCACACACCTCACGTAAAACCAGACTGGATATTTCCAAGTACCCTCATGCACAATATATGGCATATATATACAGCCCTGGCCAAAAGTATTTGCTACCTTAGAAAATTACAATTAACTTAAAAAATACTTAAGGTTTGTACGGGAAAAAATTCATGTACTTAAAATACCTTTAATGCTAAAGTTACATTAATATTTTGTATTGAATTCCTTAGCTTTAATTATAGCATTTATTCTTTTGGGTAAAAAGGAAATTAAATTTTTACATTTTTCTGGAGTAATGGCATTTCTTTCCTGTACTAAACAATTGTTTAAAATTTCTTTGAAAGTAATCGAATGTTCCTTTATCTTGCGATTGAAAACCGATTATAAATGTTTGATAAGGATCAATTGATTGATTGAGGGGGTCAATTTAGAAGCTCTATACAATTTTCTTACGATTTTTCAAAGAAGTTTGCATTAACTGTCTGTCTTTTTTTGCAGATGTAATTTTTTTCCCTTCACTTCGTGTTCGTGTTTTGTGGCCATATTGTACCGATTTAAAGTATACCTTACAGTACTATGAGGCCATTTCATAATCTTGACAATTTCACTTTTTTTTGCCTTCAGACAACAATGGGATTTTTAATCAATTCTCCTTACTTATTTCAAGGGTGCTTAGGCATTGTTCTAGTCTTTTCATGAACTGCCTCAGGTAAAACAACAACCAATTTACAATATTTTGTCGAAAGTTCTTTACACTACGATGAATAGTAGTCAACAAAAAATTTCCCTAAAATTCGACTTACCTGGAAATGAGTTACTTCTATTGTGTTTATAGTTTTATGACATGGTGTGTTGTTTTGTTTGGCTCTAAGAAATTTCTAAGAATTTTTAGGGTAGCAAATGCTTTTGGCCAAGGCTGTATATATTTATTATTAGTAGAGTAAGTTTTATACATACCATCTATAGGGAGATTCTGTGCTAGTGATAAATGCGTATCCCCTGTGCCAGGCGGCGTGTCCACCACGAGGCAATCGAGCGGGCCCCATGCCACGTGTCGCGTTAATCTATCTAACGCTTGCATCACCATTAAACCACGCCACACAACAGCATTCTCACCAGATACCAACAAGCCCATTGACATACTGGAAATACATATTATAGATAATCATTTCTTATTGATAAAATTATTAAATTGGATGCAGTTTCACAGTTGTGTTCTTGAAAGTCTAATTTAAAAAAAATCTGATGTATATTTTGTCTGGATATGTAATCTAGACATAATCGGTTTTATTAATTTTCCTACATCTATAGATAAGAAGTAGACAAGAAGCTAGTAAATAATGAAAATAATATTTTTATGTAACTCGGAACTGCAAGAAAGCCGATAGCCTGATAGAAAGTACCAGTTCTGATAATAAAGGTTGTTATACACATCTGTAATTTCTCTTCCATATATCCTATCATATCCTTCAAGCCAAAAAAATCATGCAAGGCCAGCTGCTTAGTAGTATAATTGAAGAGTCAATTCTCTTTTTGAAAGAGGAGCAAGTACTTTCTGTTATTTAGAATGCACACTATGAGTCTTACCATTTAACACCATAATTCAGTATGGGCTCAATAAGGTTATCATCATTTAGCATGGGTTCCCCAGTAATGTTCATCATCAGAGGGACTGAGGGACCAAAGACATCTGCATCTAGGAGGCCTATCTCTTTGTCTGGCTCTATCACTTTCATTGCACATGCGAGATTCACTAAAACATTAAAACATATATTATACTGAAATGTAACATTCCCCATAATTAAAATGTTCCTGTTATAATTGATGAAACTGATGACATATTAAAAAACTGAATTAAAATATTTTAAATAGTAATTTTTTTATGATTCTGCTAAAATGATATAAATTTATTCTTATGGAATTAAACTGTTAGATATGTGCAATGCAATACACTTAAATTGTAGTGTAATGAATATTATCTACAAATAAAATCTAAATATATATTATAACATAAATAACAATCACACTTGTCTGCCCTTAAGGTAGGCATAAATAATGGAACACAAAATCCTTTGAGTCAAGCGAACCTTTTCCTCTGCATTTATCAATTATAAATAATTATTATATACATTTAAAAGCTGAATAAAAATGCATGAAATAAAATTACACAAACAGTAAATTGTAATTTGCAATTTACATACCAGCTGTAGTCGTTTTTCCAACACCTCCTTTACCAGATGCGACCAGTATTATACTTTTAACTCCCGGCAGCGGCTTCTTTTCTGGCAGTCCACGTGCCATGACCCTCGCTCTATGTTCTTTGAGATCATTTTTAGTGTTTGTAAGACGTATAGTGTTTATACTGGGTAAATTCTGAAACAAATACTCATAATATTATTTTCAAAATTAACATTATATTTACGTACATTTGTATTTTTAAATTTTATATGAAAGATGTAAAATTAAGCAAATATTGCGCGAATATTTTACATGATTGATTCTGGAAAACAAAAGATGACCGTTCAGTCTCTGTATCACTTTCTGCATTGTTCTTTTTTAATTTCAACCTATGAAATTAAAATAATGTAAATAAACACTATGTTAGAGTTAAAGTAATTTTTCACAATAATTGCATTAAAAGTTAAATAAAATTATTTTTGTGGCAGGTAGAAAGTAAAGAACGCATTAAAACTCGTAAAGTACAGAAACATGACTGTTTGATAAATAAGATGAAAGTTAGGATGAATGAAAGCTGTTTGTTTTCACAGATTACTCTATAATTTTTTCTTTTGGCTTCGGCTTTTTAGCATAGTCTGGGGTAGTTTTTATATATCTATCCTTCTCTAAAGCATTGACAATGACATAAATACGAGCCACACACTATGTGAATTATGCATTTGATCTTTTCTATTCCGAAATCTTTACTTGTTCTTAGTAACAGAGTGACAATGCAATCACTAAAACGAAACAAAAAAGTGAATTCACTTGTTAATATGTGATTATTATTACTGTATGTGGGCATGGATCAGTGCTGCACCATGCACATTCTACGTTATATGATTAATCGATTCTGTGTACAATAGTAAATTGAAATTCGAACCTTTTAATGAATTTTATTTAACAATTGGTAATTTTAAAAGTAAATATTTATTTATTTAATGTATTGTCATTCTTTACTCTGTTTCGATTTGAAGGGAAAAATTGTAAGTGTTTTCTCTATTATTTATATACATTCAGGGAAAGCACACTTATTTCTAATCAATTACATTAACTTAAAACTGATTCAATTTCGTTACGTAAAAATAATTAAAAAGTATTTTGTTCTCTCATCATAACAGCTTCGAGCATATGTTGTGTAAATTATTATTCTATTGTCTTTCTCCCTCTAACATATAGGTTATTATATTTTGTGTCATGTACATTGCCAAGCTATGTATCTTATAATTTAAAGTACCTACATAATTTTAAATTATTCGAATACATTTTTTTTTAATAAATGAAGAAGTATAAGTGTCAAATGTCAATGTCATAGTACAATGTCCCTTATCTGTACTGTACTGTCATTCTTTCTTCTCCGCGACGGACTGCGAAATGTCTGAATTTTCTTCGACTTATTTACGAAAAATTTTGTCAATTTCTTTTTTTGTGTATCTTACTGTGTAATTATCGACCTATGTGAAAATGGCTATTTGCCTACGTACCTTTACACATAAAATTTTACCAATAAATGGGATTGTTTCTACAAAAAACCATAGCAACCGTTTGTCCCGGAAAATTCCAGTACGAACACAATTTTTAGAAAATGTAAGTAATTTTATATTTAACTACCCCCTTTATCGTATTATTCATCATCAGATTATTGGTATAAATATAATAAATGTTTCTTGGACAATACTATAGTTTCGCATGACATTGATTCAATTAGGTAGTAAAAAAGCACGTATCCGGTATCTTGTGATGTTGAAAAATTTGTGTAAATATTTCTAAATAATAAATAAAACATTAAGATGGGTTAATCTTGAATTATAGAAGTAGTTTTTTTTATAATATGAAATATTTGGAGCTAACATCTCCCCAGTATTGGTCATATAATAATACCATGTGTTAACTGTCATAGAGCAAAAACATGACCAATGGTGAACAAAAAGTCTAAAAATAAAAATAGAAAAAATTAAGCAGGGGAGTAGCATGTATGAGAAATTTATTTCAAAACGGGTCCCATTTATGTGCAGGTCAGAATTACTATAGACCTATAGGTAGTGACCGTAATCTGTTTTCTATAATGTCAGTAAACAATCTTGACCTATCTTTTTATTTACATAATTAACAAATAACTATTTGTTTATTTGTCATTTTAAAAAGGATATTATAATATGAATAATAATTTCACTTCTTGATTTTGTGATATAAGTATAATTCTTTATAACACTAAACAATTATAATAAAAAAGTATACGAGGTCTGTCCGGAAAGTTCGTATAAAAGTGTTCTGGAATGCGAGAAAGAGGAGTGGGGAGGCCAGGTAAGCGCAGGACCCCTTCCTTATGTCCCTAACAATGCTTCAGTTCTGGTCTGACCGCCGTGCGGTGCGAACTGGCTTGTCACGCCATCTGTGAAGTTACCTCTTAACGAAACCCCGTCGGCATGGAGCCCGCTTCCGTTGAAGAGCAGCTCGTCGTAATCAAGTTTCTCTCGAAACTCGGCAAGAATGGCCGTGAAAGCAAAGAGTGGAAGACATCCGGGGAACCACGAACAAAAAAATCAAGAAAATCCCGCTCAAATGTCAAGACAATGTTGATTGTTTTTTTCGATGTTCGGGGGATTGTCCATCAAGAATTCGTCCCTCCAGGCCAGACAGTTGATGGAAAATTCTACGTCGATGTGCTCAGACGCCTCAAAGCTCGTGTGGCACGAGTTCGTCCAGAATTGGCGCGAGAGGGGCGTTGGATTCTTCACCACGACAATGCCCCTGCCCATACCTCTCTTGTTGTCCGTGATTTTTTGAGTAAAAATTCCATTACGGTGACCGAACACCCCCCCCTATTCGCCGGATTTGGCCCCGTGTGACTTCTTCTTGTTCCCAAAAACCAAATTGGTACTTCGGGGGCGGCATTTGGGGGACATAAATGAGATAAAAAAAGCTACGACGGGGCAGCTGAGAAACCTACAACCAGAGGACTTTCAAGGAGCCTTCTCACAGTGGAAACGGCGTTGGCACAAGTGCATTATGTCACAGGGGGAGTACTTTGAAGGGGATAAAATTGATTTATACGTACTTTCCGGACAAACCTCGTATTAATAATAATAAAGTAGTCTTATATTATATATATATATATATATATATATATATATATATATATATATATATATATATATATATATATATATATATATATATATATATATATATATATATATATATATATATATATATATATATATATATATATATATATATATATATATATATATATATATATATATATATATATATATATATATATAGATAATAAGAGTTTTATTTTTCTAGGTTACACAATTTAATGTATGATAATGTCTGAAATAGGATGAACCTGCGTTAGATATCACCAGGTCCTCGCTCTATGATATTGGCACTATTATACAATTAACATGGTAATTAATTAATAACAAGATTAATAAACATACCTAAGGTTATATATTCAACATATCCTACATACATACACTTACACATATATTATTTTAATTATATTCTCATACTGTTATAATAATATTATAAATAAATTTAATATGTAACTTTTATTAAGTTTCCCCTGTCGTCATATGTCAGACTATATGTTATATATATGTTAGAATCTATAGATGTTAGAACTATATATACATAATTTACGTGTTTTCTAAGGTACACAAGTCATCTGCTTGGGTACTTCTGTCACATTCACCAGAGGGAGACTTTGTACAAAAGTCAATTGCTTGGGTACCTCTGTGCCATTCGTGTTTCAACCGTGAAGCAGTTGTGTTTGCATGACTGTGTTTTGGTTTGAAAGGTGGGATATGGTGTGAAATTACTGGGTATAAAGGAATAACACCTGAGTCCTCAGGAATGGCAATGCATGGGGGTTATCATGGGCGAAACAGTATAGTCTGTTATGTCCATGGTACTGCTCATGTCTATAGGCGACTGTTACCACTTTCCATCAGGTGGGCCGTCAGCTTGTTTGCCATTCTAAGTGGTATAAAAAAAACATGTTTTTTGCCGTGAATCAGTTGTGTTTGTATGGCTGTGTTTAAATTTGAAGGGCGGGATATGGCAGTGAAATTACAAGAAACAGAAATGTAACATTTTAGTCCTCAGAAATGCAATGCATAAAAGGTATCATTGGCAATAAAATGTACTCTGTTATGTCCATTATACTGTTCATGGCTGTAGGTGACTGATACCACTTACCATTAGATGGGCCATCATCTTGTTTGTCATTCTAAGTTGCATAAAAACAAAGATTATAAAATGCAATAAATCAGATGCCAATTTGACACAGATATAGCTTTTAAAATTTTTCTTTCGTTTAAAATAAATATTATTTAATTTTTTTTCTAGTGCCTGAATAATCGGCGTATATCTAGCTACCAGGTTGCTCCAAAATGCAGTACAGAGAGCAATATAGATAATATCTATTTCCATGAATTAGCCGCAGCACATGTGTGTCATGTTGTAGAACAGAACACAAAATTTAGTACATTAGACACATTCAAACTGGAAGGCAAAGATGTCGGTCATGACAATGACATAAAAATAATAAAACATTTGGATCTAACTAACGATGACTATATTGAACAGAACCAGCACTCATATAATTTTAATGAATTATCCTATAGCAGTTTAAATGAAGTAGATTTAGCAAAATGTAGTAATGATGTAAGTATTTTTTACAATATAGTTATACTGCGTATTTTTAATAGAAATGTAGTTAAATTTAATTAATAAATTGTTGTAAGTTTAATTGTAATTGGGTTTTCCTAAAAAATAGCATTTAGAAATCTGAACTATTATGTTCAAATATAATAGATTAAATCTCAAATTGATTTTTTAATCAACTAATATGAAATTAATTATGTGACCATTAAATTTAATCTTCAGGAAAAATATGTATAAAATAATAATAATTTATATAATAAGCTCATTAAATTCCTGTTGTGCAATTATATGTTTTAAAAATGAACATAAGGTTACAAATGAAAATTAATAATTCAATTTTAATTTTCATTTATAATTTTTTAATTTAATTATGTAAATCATGCACATATTAAAATTATATGTAATAAAAAAAATATGTAAATAATTTTACAGGAAATAGCCCCAACTTGTCTGTCCGATTTTGAACGTGATGCTGTAGCGTATTGCAGTGGCCCCACATCACCTTCGGCGGCGCCCGCACCAGGCACAGAGCCCCAGGATGGCAAGCCTAGTGAAGAGCAGCTTATGAAAGTGTTTCATGTGCTCTCTACCACTGTTAGTATTCTGTTTTATTTATATTACAATTTGCAAGGTTGTCTTGTGTATCTGATGATAGAATCAATATATAGAGATTTATAAAACACTCCTGAGCATCTGTAGTTATTTTTATATTCTGTAGTTAATTTATAATCTGAATCATAATTTAGAACTATATTTGTATACAAAATTTAATTCTTATTCATCCAGCTGTTGAAGTTAATAGACATCTTTACAAACTGTCATATTTAATATACTAGTAGGTAGGTAGTATTATTTATTTTATTTTTTATTTTTTCTACTGTTAAGCAGTTGTGTTTGCATGGCTGTGTTTCGGTTTGAAGGGTGGGATGTGGCGCGAATTTACAGGGTACAGAAGAATAACATTTGAGTCCTCAGGAATGGCAATGCATGGGGGGTATCATGGGTGAAACAGTATACTCTATTATGTCCATGGTACTGCTCGTGTCTATAGGCGACGGTTACCATTTTCCATCAGGTGGGCGTCTTAGAAAAATTCCTTATTATCCTATAAAAAAAACTGGTTTGTGAAATCATTGACCAATGATGATTGATTTTAAAGACCATACAGATGTATCTAGGTTCACTAAATGGAGAGATCACTGCAGTACCACCTTGTTTGGTACTATAATAAAAAAAATGTATCCCTTGTATGTATTGTATATATATATAATGTTGCGACAAGTTGAACATTACTTATAAATATGTATTTTAATTTCAGATGCCCAATTTGTTTGTCAAGCCTTTAGATTATTCAATATATCATCCAAATTTAGTATTCATAAACAATATTAGAGGGATGACAACTGTGTAAGTATATATTTTTAAATTTCAATATTTAACATGTACTGATTAGTTTCTTGTATTAATGTTTCTCTGTAAGAACATATAGTTCTCATCGACTAATGTATTGAAATGCTTCTCTGTATTTGCCGTTTGTGGTCCTATAAATAAATAAATACAATGAAGTACAGTTAGCAACAGTAGTAGAGTTTAATACTCGAGATTACTGATTATAATACATTTTCAACTAAAATAGTCATTGATTATTGTTTCTAAATGTACAATAAAATGTAATTTATTTATCAACTGTATAATTTTTATGTAGGCAAATTATAAATTTTAGTAGGCGATAAATTGTTCGACTTTTTAGTACACCTGCTTTACTTATTTCTGCTGTAAACTAGCCGGGATTGCTTTATAATTAGATTTGAAGGAGTGGTAAATAAGCTTAATCATTGACAATAAAGTATTTTCCTGTGGATAATAATTAACAATTTTTGTATTATTAATTCAAACAATGAGTATTAAAATTTTATCATTTGTGCATATTATTGAAATATATTTCGTTCATTATGTTAATCATTTTATATTGTTTCAGAGGTCTTTTCCATTATGTAAAGCAAATAGCATTGTTACGTACCATAGGACATATAAAATTTGCTTACGTTAATTTTGAAATATTAAAGATCACTGCAAATCCAGAAGATTCATCTGTCAAGTAAGTATTTTATTAATAGACAATTTAGTTAAATTGATTTTTTCCATATAAGGTATTGACTTTATATAAAAAAAACTTTTTTAGATGAATTAAAAATATTATTTGATTTTGGCGTCTATTAAAAATCATCTACAAACAGATTTCAGTTATTGAATAAATGATGATATCTCAACTAGAGGCCTATAGATATAGGATGAGACATAAACACTGTTTACACACATATCTTTATAAGTGTATAATATTATGTATAATTACTTTTGATACTTTAGCTTGTTTGAATCTAAGCATTTTGCGTTCCATTGTCCCTGCCCTAATGGGAGACAGGTTTTTAAATGAAAGTAGATTTAGTTGACAAGTTTTCTACATTTACAAAAAAATTATATTAATATAATTTTTTTATATATATAATTTAATGTCTTTTAAAAAATTTAATGATTCGTGTAATTATCATTTATTCTTTTTAAATTTAAATGTTGCATGCCTAATTATGGTGAAATATGAATACTTATTGTTAACATCTATATACTTACCATGTTTTTTTAAATAAATGAATGAAATATATAAATAATAATCTGTTTAACCAAGTTCAAAACAAAGTAATAACTATTTTCAGAATGAGGTGGCGTGTCAAGGGCATATCTGGCTTAAAAGTATTTTTCATGTTTTGGAAATACAAGCTGTGGAACATGAAAGAGGTGTTTCGTGACCAGGAACTGTAAGTTTTATTTTTTCGCGGCTCCTAATTATAATACTTAATATAGATTACTAATGTAGGCCATATATTCTATGATGACATTGTAGAATTTAAAATGTATTAACAAATTGTGACCTGTTATAAAAAAATTTAAACAAACCTCACTTATATTGTAAATGTAAAAGTGAATTTGTTAATGGTTTAAGCCATTATGATGCCGAATAAATTAGTTCACTAATTGCTGCTTTTTATCGTTGGTAATGAACATATACTGGTCAGGCGAATCAAGTCGCGAGGAAAAACTAGTATATCGATATAAATATCATCATCATTATTATCATATTTGCGGTTTAATGTCATCTGCTGAACATAGGCCTCTTCCAAAAAAGGGGGGTTTTGCCAGTAATTGCCACGTTTGGTAGGTGGATTGGCAACTGCAGTTTGGTGATGTTTTATTAAGGACGCTATTGCCCTTCCCTCGACTATAAGCTCCGTCTAGTCGCCTCTTACGACACCTGTGGGAAAGGAAGCAGTGGCCAGTATAGAATAGTCTATACTGGAACCACACAATATAAATATGCTATGATTAAAAGAAGTTATTTGAATGGGGTGGATTCGTTATAGCGATATCAAAATAGGCAAGTGTACAAATATATAGAGTACTAGCTATTGGATGGCTTAAATTATGTTTTAAACCAGACAGCTGTATATTCAGAGGTTCTTTGTTTATTGCTGTATGCGAAAACATTTATAATATTGATCAAATGGGGGGAAAGGGATTGTTAGTAATGGATACTGAGAATCCCATTGCTAGCAATATACCCAACCAGGTCCACCTCCTCGTGGTTCTCCCTGGAAACTATCGTGGTTAATTCCTGATGAATTCATCAAGATGGGCTAACTGGCCTGTTTTCATTCTCATCTATCACCATTCACTGGTGCTCCACCAGCGTATCCCGTTAGTGCAGGCAGAGTTACCATTTTATTTTAACCCATCAAAAAAAAAAAAATATTGATCAAATAAATGTATCCACAATCTTTACACACTATTAGCAAATATATTTTCTGTTAATTTGTTTCTTATTAATTAATAAAAAATAATGATAACAACTAGAAATTACCTGTTATGTTTGTGTTTCAGATGGTATGATGGGTTTTCGACATTTTACGTTGGCGCCGATGGACTTATCCATAAACATATTGCTGATAAGGTAATATACTAATTAATATTATATTTAAACTTTTCTAATGTGGATTCCAATTCATTATATTATCTTTGGATTTTACATTCAAAATATGAAGGTAAATGTAAGATAAATGTAGCTGTTTGTGACTAAGGACAATCTGCACTTTGTAAATTGTTTATGAAATTGTCTGTTGATTGCCAGAATGAATTGCAATGAATTTCCAAACTAAAACATAACATATTCCTTACTACTTTACAGACAGTAAAAATTGTAACAATTACAGTTACAGTTACAAAGTTACCATCTATTTGATTATCTGTGATGCATATCTTTGTTTCAGGTAATGCCTGATCAAGACGCAATTATAGATGATGAAGAAAAAGCTCCAATCGCAGCTAAAATAGCACTTCTCATTGGGTTACTTCCTCGAAACTACCTTTCGGATGTGTCTCCATACTTTAGTTCATCATCAGGCACGGCTGATAAAACTGCTTTGCCTTTCAAAGTTCTGGAATAATTTCTGTTACTGTGTAGTTTAATATCACAATAAGCTATTAACCAAATATTGATAGCAACGGAACTACAGATTTTACTACGATAAATGTTATATTTCTCTATTTCAATGTCAGAGGTCGAATATCATTCTTAGTAGCTGAGAGTAATTTCAGTTGTGGCATAAGTGAGATACAAGATATGTATATTAAACGTTCACGAAGCTATCGCCATTTGGTTGTTAGCTTTTTAATTGTAATTACCACAAATAATGGCTGTTGCTAACATGTATTTTTAAAAACACTTTATTGCTGTTTCAAATAAATATTATAGAGGCAATCTGGCAACATTGTTGCTGTTTCCTACCATCGATTGGTAGCTAGTACTATTTCATATTATGTAGGTGTGATAAAAAGGTCTTTAAAATCATTAATATGTTTTGAATGGATAGCATTTTACACATTAAATTATTACATTTTTTCTGTTTAATAGTGATGAAATGTGTTAAATGTTTAAAGATATAACTTTAATATTTTAATTGTGGCTCTTTTTGTTATCTATACGAATAATTTCGTGAAGAGTGATATTTATTAGACATGTGATCATTTTATATTAGTTTGTATAGTTATGTATTTCGGTACAATAAACCACGTTGCAATTATTTCTGTATTTATTTTTTTTAACCTACTGAATAATTTATTTGAGAATATGGGTCGTTTTCTTTTGATTTATCCTCAATACTTTTTTTCAAGACTTGTTTAATTTTAATATAAGTCTTGAGAGTAAATCGAACTCGATATTAATATAGGTTACAATTGTTAAATTGAAAAAAAAAAACAATCTGTTTAAATTTACAGTTAATCACTACTATGGGTTATATGAAATGAAGCTTGATTCGTGTAAAGCGGCTCCTTAATTATAGAGTCACCCTATTCTATCTATAATTTAAGCTAGCCAGCCCTATAACACCAAATTGCGAGCCGGGAACAATTACAAATTGTTGCTGCTTGTCAAGATATCATATTAAGCCAATGAATTTTTATTTGTGAAATGAGTTAAATGAACTTTCCTTAAAATATCACTACAATTTAGTCCGATATATAAGCAAAATACAAAATTAATTCGTAACAGTAATGTAGTTCTTAAATCGTTTAATAGAGGCAACATCAACGTTCACCTATTTTTAAAAATTGAGAGCAAACATTGTGAAAATTTGGGCTATCTTAAACTATTTGCTGTTATAGGGATTTTTTTTCTTCATTTTGACGATGATATTTTGATATTATTAATAAAAATATTATGTAAGAAGAAAGGAGGCAACCATATGATTTACAGTTTTTATTTTATCATTCCTTCTATGCAATTCCTTGTTCTTAGATAATGGTGTTCCGAAACAAGTAATATTTAATACAGGATAAATATGGCAACACATAATTTATTATCTATGACGCTCACGTCACCGTGAATAAAAAAAGTTTTGTGTTCCATTGATATTTTCACGGAATGTATTTTGTTATCAAATACCTAATTCTTTCATAAAAAATATTTCAACGAATGATTCCAATTAAATGTTAAAGTTAAAATATTAATTTGGAACGCAATATACGCAGTCAGATTTTTTTTTTATTGACTGCTTTGCGTATTGTATAGTTATTTTTAATTCATTTGAAATTTTTAATAATTCATGGTCGGGTGTTGTGACTGAGACTGAGAAGAAAAAGGAGGTCTAGGCCTAGGCGAAGAATTGTAGTGTGCGAGTGATGTTATGACTACGGTAAGTACATATATTTTTGAGATAGTTAACTGTACAATTTCATTATTGGAGATGTTTCATCAGTGCGGGGTCAATGGTCGCGATATCATTCATCTTCGGGCAATTGTTTTTAATTACCTACTCTGGATAGTCTGGATGCACTGGAGGCACAGTTGCTATATGGTATTCCATATAGCAACTGTGCCTCCAGTTGCCAAGTCGGTCGTCGCGTAACATTGCACATCGATCTTAAAATAATTTTAGCTGGATTCCATGTGTGATAAGTTATATTATTATCAAATTCACTGGTTAGTGTGTATTCAGTGTTTGTTATGATATTTTTCTATTGTGTGTGCAAGTGTATAACAGGTTAGCAAACCCATTGTTCTTATTGAATGTAATTCTTGCACTAAACTAATAAAGTTTAGACTGAGTGATTAATAGAGACAATGCAAACTTATTTTCTGTGGCTCTAAAATTATTATAATCCTTTAGGCATCACCATAAGTTGGCTAATCTTATTTTTTATATGTACATCAGCCTTTATTTTTATTGACTTTTTATATGTTTATTGTAAATAATAATTTTTATTTAATCAATAAGGGTAAAAGATGAGTAGGTATATTATACTAAAAAATATTGTTTTGGCTTTTGTATTGCCTCCATATATTTTTTCTTAAATATTTCTTATGTACACATATCATAATTTTATTGCAATATGTGGTTAGCATATACCCTTATCCTTGTAAATAGATTGTTAAAGTGGACCTTGAACAAATAAATAAATTGACCCAATATGTTGTTATCATTATCTATTGGTAATGTAATCATTATCTGTGTTTATCTAAAGAAAATAATATATTCTTTGTTTGATCTCTGCTACCATTAATTACCATTGTCTATGATAATGACTAGCTCTATTAGTTGTAACAATTTATTTTTCTAGCTCTACAAATATTATGTACTTATTAGATTTAATTTACTTAATTTATCTTTTGCATCAGTTTAAAGGACGCAGCATGTGATGAGATGACAGTGTAGGGGCATAACACTTTCTCAGGAATAGCAAAGCATGAGGGTTACTGGTAATGGCTGAAAAGAAGCCATATAATAAATTTGAAAAAAAGAAAAATAATGATTTGAATGTTGTTATACCATTTTTGTGTCTCTTTATGTTAATGTTTAATAACTACTAATTGCATATGTAAATAAATAAATAAATATAAAAACACTAGTGAAACTACTATGGGCTTCGGAATGTATTCTGTGAAGCCCATGGTGGTCTTATCTATAGGAGACAGTTGTCTCCATCAGCTGGTTAGTCATTCCATTTTACATTTCAAGTATACTTCATATAAAATTTTCTAAAAAAAAGCATATGATTGTTAATTTCAAACTGTCATGTTATTGACACATATTTTAAATACACTGTGTATTTATAATATGTTGTATGTTTGTTTTTCAACTCTGTTTGAGTCTTTAAGATGATATTTAAGTGTATATTATGGTATTCTGTTAATAGCCTATTGATCAACTTTTACATGTTTAGAGTAAACTTATATTGATTCAGTTTCATGCATTTAGTTACTTGAAATATATAACTTACTGCTAAAGTGTGAAATACTAGTAAGAATTGGTTTTTTTATAATAATAATAATAAAATAATTTATTCAGCTACAAAACAACAATATGAATTACAACTTTATATGTTCATTAAAATAATTATGTGGTAGCAGCTGAAATGGTCCTCACTCAGCGTAAGCTGCAGTGTGGTGCTACAGCGCTGATTTTCAGTGCAGCCACCACTCAATAGATATTGTAATTAAATCACTTCACTGACGAGGGTCTTTTCAGCGAATAGAACCTTAGCAATCCAATAATTAGGCTAGAAACTATTAGTCATTAGTGACCATCTTTATTCTTCTGTAGTGACCACTAATCAGTACTTTTGGGTAAAATTATTATTCTGTCAAGTTTGTAGCTATTACTGATGTGTATGAAATGAATGAATAAAGAAAGTTCTCTTAGTAGTTACAACCAAATGTTATGGTAAAATTAACAGTTACAGTGTATGATTCATAAAAGAGAGAATGTGGGTCGGTTACCACTTAGCAAGTGTTGGCTAAAATTTTATATTATTGGCATATAACTGTATCACAGTTTAATCTGTTATCAATGTTATACTTTATGCAATTATATTCTAATTTTAAATTCTCCTTAATAACATTACTTTTATTAAGTACTTAAAATCTTTAGTATATCTAGTATCTTGAATGAAGTCACTAGCAGGACAAGTATTTGTATAAAAAAAAGTTAATTGGCTTACAAGGACTTGTTTGCACAATCATTTACAGTGTAAATATAAAAGTATCGTTGACGTCATCTTTTAAACCTGAACATCTATAAGTTAATCACGAAGTCGAAAAAACTAGGTGTATAAGTATCTATAATATGTAGCAATTTCTTTGCTACATTTTTTACAATTTTTTTTTGTATATATATATTTTGTTATTATAATTTACTCCATCAACATGTCGTGTTTGTTTTCAACATTAGAGAAAAACCTCAAAAGTCTCTCATTATAGCTACTGGCTTACTTTCCTTCACTATAATCTATAAAATTATCTGAATCGTAATGAAAAAGTTTATAAAAAATAAACCTTTTTTTTAACTAGCTAACATTATTATTTATTATATTATTGCTTACTTGTTTTTTCACTAACCATTGTTAACAGCTTTGTATTTTTTTGTATAATAATAGCTAATCATTTCGAGCAAACTAATAAACTGAGAGATGATAAATGAGTCAGGTTTGTTGGTCCGTTGTGACAAATTATCAAGGAATTAATCATAATGGTTTCCAGGAGTGTAGTCTTCGTAATAGTAGGGGTCGACCTTTGAGCCTTGCCGGAGAAGGGATTCTTAGTAATGTGGACTACCAGTCCTATTGTCAGGTTGGCCTTCACGTGACCCCACCTGGAAACCATCGTGCTGAATTCCAAGTGTTTTTATCACGATGGGCTAACAGACTTTTTATTTTCATCTATCATCCCCGCCAGCGTATACCATTAGCGTAACAAGGTTACCATTCCATTATCATCCATTACCAAGACCCTCTATATCTATATTGGGCGTCTAGTCCCCATTACTAACATTATCCAGTTCCGTCTATCTTTTAGTTTGATTAATTGTTCATATCACTAATCAGACATATTAGCTATCATCTTAAGATCACTTAAGATCATCAATTTAAGCACTATAACTTAGTCTATTCTAGGGAGGTTTAACAGAATTGAAGACTTTAATCCTTGCTAGCAAAATTAGCCTTATCTACACGGGACCGATATAGTGGTAAAATATTTTCACTTCGCTTCGATGTGGGATGAATGCATAATTTATTTCATGAGGTCGGGCGTTACTGACCTTGATTTACAGGTTCCGTATCTCTGTTAACTGAATATAGATACGGACACGGGTCCTATACAAGAATGAAATTTGTAATCTAATAATTGAGAATTGTTAAACGTATTTTAACAATTTTTCTCAACTATACTTTAATACACAACATCCTGTTCTAAAAGAGAGAAGCCTAATGAGTGACCGCTAAAACTGTACAGTTTTAATTAATTTATTGCCTTCCACACAACCGCTGACTGTCCATAATGATAATAGGGGACTGACTAATAAATTAAGTATGCATTTAATTCGCTAAGAAAGTAAAACTTCATGTTAATAAAACACGTGCAAAATAACTTATCTGTAGCGATACGTATTTTATCATGTATCCAGAACAGATACACGTTCAATAGATATTATTTCTATTACAGGGATTTCCCCGACCAATCGAGTGCAATCAAAGAAGACTGAATGACGTTATGAGAGATGAGATGAGATAGGCGACAATGTCGAAGGTGCTGAGCGCTCTCGATGGCGCACTGCCGGACGAGCGGCCGCTGCTCTCGCTGCAGATCGTGGAGAGCGTGGCCAAGTGTCCAGCCGGCTACTGGCCCGTCAGCCGGACGTACGACGAGGACGCCGACGCCGGCCTGCTGCGGCAGAATGGTCTCTTCACCAAGAAACCCAGCCATTACATCTGCTTGTCAAAGACTGAAGGTCAGTTTGTCTGCTAAATATTATAAAGATGGTTACATATTATATAATGATATTTCGGGTGACGGTCTTTGAAGTGTTGGCGTCCGTTCAGGAGTTTGCGACAATTTGTTTTTCTGACCTTCTGAAATCGTGAAGCTGAACGCGGAAATGCCCGAAAAAACTAACTAATGACCATCAGAATGTATAATTTATTATTTATGTTCCACAAAATAATACCGACATGTATTTAGTCCGTGTTGTCACGAGAACATACGCTTTCCATTGAAAAAAAAAGATTATCTGAGTCGGCGAAGATATTTTATCAAAATGTCAGTCGAATTGAGAAATTAAAATTAAATGACGACCTCATAGTTAAAAAATTAAAAAAAAATCCCTTTTGTTAATTTTTCATACGTTAAGTTTTTATGGCTTGTTTTATTTTTTTGACATTCTCTCTACTTCAAAAAAAAAAAGAAGTTTTCTATTTGACTATATTTCTTATAAATATATGGATTACATATTCTCCGATTGTGAAATATAATGTATATATGTATTTAACAGATGTGTAAACTTGAGGCGAGAGAATTTAAAAGTAAAATGACTAGGCCGCGAGCGGCGCGCGACCCGAAACGGGCGCGTTAGCTTTCATTAATTCTGTCGAAGGCCGAATCCGTTGTTGGTTACTCTCGTGTGACGGCTGCCGTGATTGCGCTAATTTCCGTCACCGTAATGATGCAGTTCGCTTTAATGGTCACGGTTATAGCCATTGGAGTACACAATGGTGCACAATAAAGCGGAACGAGCGGCTTTGTTCTGGCATCTTATGATATACAGTAATAGCTCCTTATTCACGCTTCCTTTATTTGCGTTTTCACTAATCGCGGACTAAAAGGTTGCGACCTCATTCCCAAAAGTAGCCTATATCCTTTTCCATCCCATATAGGATATGTATAACAAAGGGTTTAGCCGGATAAATATGTCGAATCTGCCCCCAAATGGGAACGTATATCGAAACTTATGTTTTAATATCTACTTGGTGTACCAACACGATTTATGTATATTTCGCGACCAACTTTCACCTTGACCTTGAGATATGAGAAAAAATAGCCGTACGCATGACTATTATTCAAAGTAATATATCTCAAAAACTTATTAAGCTAAAGAAGCGAGACCAATGCGAGGTTGTAGGTTACATTACAGAGTATATTATATATTTTTTTAGAATTTTTACAAGATCTTTTTATATAATAAAATAAAAAATAAAAAAAAAAAATTTTGTTTTTCGTGTTGTTTGAGACTTACAATCACGAAAATAATATATATCATGTACCTTTGTATGCTCTATTACACATAAAAGAGACAGACTCAGGTTAGGTATATAATATAAGTATAATCATCGGCAGGCGTGCCCGGGTACGTGATGGACGGCGTGCTGGTGGTGGGGGAGCGCGAGGCGGCACCGGCCGGCTACAGCGTGGCGGGCCGCGCCGGCAAGCGCCGCCTATGCACGCGCGTGTCACGCCGCACGCCGCCCGCGCCCGCGCCGCCCGTCACCGACGTCATCGTCTGCTCCAAGATGAGGCAGGCCCCCCAGGGGTTCATACTGGCCGGGTGAGTGTTACTGTGCCCTCTACTTCATCTACAGAACATATGTTGCAGCGAAGGCAAGGGATTGTTAACAATGGGATTTTACATCCATACTGCTATACCCACATGCTTATACCAGAGGGAGACTGTACAAAAGTTGATGGCTTGGGTACCTCTGTCCCATTCGTGTTTCTACCGTGAAGCAGTTGTGTTTGCCTTCGTTTGCCAACCTCCATGCGGTTCCCTCTTGGAAACCATCGTGGTTAATTATTGTGGAATACGTTACAATGGGCCAACTGACCTTCCCTATCATTCCTCTGCGTATACCGTAAATGTAAGATTGTCATTTTATTACCATCCAAAAAAATCTCTATCATTTCTCATTGGTGCCCTGCAACGTATACCAATAGAGCGGACGGGGCTGTCATTCCATTTTCATTCATAAAAAAACTATATGTCAACGTCATGATTAACCTTCTCATTTCTAAATATCATTAGTCGTTAACTGTCCACTGATCAATATAGAACTACCCTATAGGATCGGGGGGGGGGAGGTTGCTAGTAGTTGCCACGCTTATCATATCATGTCATGTGTGTGCCAAATGACACTCAAGACAGTTGGTTAGATTGATTAGAAAACTTCATGCTCTGGTAACAGAGAAAGAGAGGATAATTTATGTTCTGTTAATCAAAATTAACATATCCGCTCGTTGGTCCACAGTGAGATAAACGGCAAGATGGTATGCTACAAGGTGAGCGGCGGCAGCGCGGACACGTCGCCCACGCACCGCGCCAACGAGTACGAGAACGTGGTCTCCAATATTACCCCGGAAGCCAATAGGAGGTAATGTATGCAGTTTCTTTTAGAGTGATGATGCAACGGTGACCCTATCGATACACGCTGGTGGGGTATCAGTGAAAGTTGAGTGAAAGATAGGCGATGATGAAATTGGTTAATTGGCCATAGTGACAAATTCATATGGTATTAACCAAGATAGTTTTTTGGGAACCTTCTGAACGTCAGTCTGATAGGGTATATTGCTAGCAAAAAGGCTGCTAGATCCTCATTATTAACTATCCCTTTCCCCTCTCTACTGTGTGTAATTGTAACACGTCAACATCTTATAGCATGGGACATAGATTACTTACCTCCTACAGACATTATTTTGTAGCAAAGAAGGAAAAAGCGTGTGCGCTATCTAAGATAAAAATATAACCTCCGGTCATCCGTACGAGCGCGCGCATATAACTTTTTTTTTTAAATTATATTGGGTCATCGTAAAATTTGAAGTTGCTCTAAATTGTTTCCAAATTTAAAACTAAAAATTTATTTTTGTATAATGTTCTAATAAAAATATATCTCGTATCGACAGACTTCGGCCAGTGCCCGAGCGGCCGCCGAAGTTGTCCCCCATAGTGGGCGAGCTGAACAATCTGAACCTCAAGTCGCCGAGCTCGTACCCCGCCGTCGAGGAGTTCACCACCGAGCACGACTACGAGGCGCTGAGTCCCTCGTACAACGTGCGGCCCGCGCGGCCCGCGCCGCGGCCCCCGCCCGCGCCCGCGGGCCCCGCCGCCGGCCCCGCCCGCAAGAAGGGCCCCGCCCCCTTACCCAAAAACCCCAACTATCAGACGCTTGGGTTGTACAACGGGATGGATGGAGTTCCGTTCGTTCTCAACCCCAAGTTGAGAGGACTTCCGGATGATACTTTGGTAAGTCGGTGCTTCTTTGCAGCTTTTTATTCAGAGAAGGTAATATTTTTCTATAGAATTAAATAATAAATAATGGTTGACTGATAGAGAATACCGTCTGGTGTTAAGTCCGCCAAATGTACATAGAATTTTACTATGCATTAAAGTTTAAATAAATAAAAATTAATTAATTAATTAAATAGAATTTTAGTAAATTTGTAAACATTAATGTTTTTAATATTAGTATTTTCTCCTATAATTAAATCGAGTTCGATGAACCTGTGAACTATAATATTTTTAATTACAGACACAGTTGCCGGTGATAAAGCGACGTACACGCTTCGAACTCGACAGGGATTATTCTTACAACTTTGCAGTGGAGCGACAGACGTGAGATTGAGAAACGACTTAATTACATCAGTTTTAAGGTGCACAATCTCAAATTTGATGTTATTATCAGTAATAATTTCCTGCTAGTGCCCCATTGCACACATCAATTTTATCACTGTTATTACAGGCGTCACGTGTCGCCTTTATTCCGGTGTGCACGAATGTTGAAGATAATAAATTGGTTATTGAATACTTTTTATAACTTGTGAATAAATTAAACTACGTCATAAACGATTATAGCGTTCGTAGATTATCTTTTAGGTATATTTGGAGAGCACAGGTTAAAATTAGTATTTTGTAATATTTAAAGTATAAATATAAATTATTTAATGAGATAGATAACATATATGAAATGAACCTCAATATTCCACCAACATGATCGTGTACGATTGTTTAAATGGTTGTGTATATTAATAAAATATATGAGTGAAATGTGACATATTAACTATTTTAGATATAAATGCAATAATGTACGTAGATTTTTTTTTTTTGTATTTGATATGAAATTAGAAGTTTTTGCATGTATTCGGCTCATAGATATAAATATTATTGATGAAATATTTTCTGTATTGATTTTTTTTTTTATGTTATTTTTTTGACGATTGCAAAGGATAAAAGCAATAATTGTATTGGCAAATGGGAACAGTAATAGGCCACTATATTAGGATAATTGGAGATTCGACTAAGATTTATATTTAAAAATTATTATAGATTGGTTTAGTTGTGAAAAGGATGATGCCCTGGACTGAGAAGTTAGTTATATAAATTGATGGCATGCTACAAGAGTATACTTTTTAAAAGGCCAGCAATACAATGTAACAAATGATATAAAAAAATGTTTCATAATTTTGTAAACAGTATCTAAAAGAAAGTATGATGTTGATTGGAAACAAAAACTTTTGTATTGAAATGCTAGTCGCAAACCAAAAAGTAATCAGAGAAATAAGTGGAAGAAAGTTTATTTGTACCACAGATTAAATTAGTTTTTTTTAACAATACAAGAAAATTCTGCTTACCCTAATGGGAGATAAGCGTGACAAATATGTATATATGTATGAATTGTTGTGGCATATTTTATCCTTATTGCTGTAGTCTTTTTTTTTTACAGGTATCAGTGTTTTCGCCTTACAATAGCTAGGTTGTTTAGGTTATGGGCATCATCCTTCACATACAGTTCTTTTACTGTGCTATTTCATTTGCAATATACAAAATCATCAAATTTCAATTTTAATACCTCCAGAATGTTATGGCACATAAATATTGAATAGATAAAGCAAGATTGTTAATTGTTTTATTAAATGTACCATAGTTTTAAGTGCAGATTCAAATATCAAATTGATGTAGCATAATATAAGTAGACCTCGGTGGTTTTGTGACTTAACACACCATTTCACCTTTCAATGGTCGCGGGTTCGATGCCATATATATATATATATATATATATATATATATATATATATATATATATATATATATATATATATATATATATATATATCTCCTTATATGTTCAGTGGTATTTAATATAATTATATTATATATATTGGTATTTATTATAATTAAATTGTCCCATTTAAACTATAAAGCGCATAGCTATAATATGGTGAAGCAACTTGCGTTATCTATTTAGTATTCATTTATTATTGGTGGCCAATATTTTAATGTTATTTAAAAAATATATATATGTAGTGAGGTGTGGTGTGATGTGGCCTTTGAAGCGTGTACCGACGCGTTATAGACTGATTGATGCACGACACAGGAAACATGCACAGTTGATAATGTTGGCTGTTGCGTTTCCAGTGTTACCAAAGTAATGCAATATGGACTTGTTTTTAATGTGGTTACAAATATACCCAATGTTTGTTATACCCAATAGACAATTGTTTTTTTTTAATTGGTCATTTATTCAATTGTTGACAATGTGATTAAGGTAATAGTGATCAAGCAAATAATGTTTAGAAGACTGTTTAGGTCACGGTTTTATTAAATGTCAGAAAAATATGTTTATACCATTAACCTTTCTTTGCACAATGGTGGAAATTTCCATCATAACGTTGAATGCCCAAAAATTATATAAAAGAACAAGTTCACTTTAAGTTGATCGTGTCTGGATACCTTTTTAATGTCCATTGCAGAAAAAAAACATAGCTGACAATTTTTTTTTTTTACCATTTTTCCTTTAATTTTAAATATGAATTATATCAGCTTAATTTATTTCATCAATAAAAAAATCATGCAAAGAAGGGGTAAATATGTTAAAAGTAGAAAGTTCATAATTGTTTTATGACATGAGTACACATCGCTCCTGTTTATAAATTACATTGATAAACATTGTTTGGACAGAGAGAGAGAGAGAAGGACGAAGACGTTGACAATGCAGAGCGTACGACAGTATAATTTCTTCCTTAGTCTTCTTTTGCCGACACACGCTCAATGTATTTAAATCTGTTTATGTATAATTATATAAATTATTATTATGAAATAATAGATAAAGGATTTGTGACTGAATGCGAAGTTTAATAGTCCTTAATGATTATTATAGCGATATAAATGTCGATTCGTAATAAACACTTTTATTAAATATATACGTGACCCAATTTTAACGATATCCGATGATTTGTGTATACCAATTTTTTTAAAGTAAGTTTAACCTTTTTATTGAGCTCAAATTCTATGATATACAGTTTAATTAAATATTGCGTAACTCATATTGAACAAATATTTGCTTTATCAAGAAGTTTAAGTAAATTGAGATTAAAACGTGAGCATTGAATTGATGTCAATATATTTGAGTGCACAGTTTATTAGCATCTCTTATTATCATTTGGCTACTTCGATTCAGCTACAAACTATATAGAAAATAATAATAATAAATACTTTATCTTACAAGTTCAATAATTGTGACTCCAAAGACAGGTACCTACCGTAAATTGAATTTTAAACTTAGAACTCTCGCGCGGTTGTAGAAAAAAAAAGCGCGCTTAGCTCGAACTATTCCTTCCATCGTTTTTCTATACTCTTTACATTGTATGTATTTGTTTTTATACACTTATATACCAATTAGTTTTGACTGATGTATGCGTGCCCTTGTCATTAGTTGTTAACTTGTTGACGCCAATTATATATTAAAATGTGAAAATTGAATACAATTATACGTTGTGTTCGTGTTGTGCCAACCACAGTATAAAAATTGTGTTCTTGGTTACCGGCCGCGTGCCTGCCAGCCCCCTAGTCAGTGTAAACACCATTTGTATGTTTTTGTCTCATTATAGTCGTTTTATTGCTAAATTCGCTGCCGTTTGTAAACATTGATGATGGAACTCCTGCGGTCGTGTTCAGGCCCAGATGTCATTATATCGGGTTGAAGCAAACACCTCAGTCTATATGAAAGATAAGCGTGTCATATTTCTTCTATTTAAGTAATAAAAAAGTAGAAATAATTTTATACAAATAAACTTTCTCGATTTTTTTCTTCCTCTTTTCGCCTTTTTCCATATCTGTTTGGGGTCAGTGTAAGAACAAATTCTTAATGAAATATTTGCACGTCACACGGTTGAATGCAGTCTTTTCTTTAAAAACATTAAAAACTTTTAATATATTAACCTGTATTCGAGCAAGTAAAGTTATCATACATTCATTCATCCAATTTCATACATAATATTTTTCATATCACATTCACAAATATTTTTCAATTGTCAAATTTTTATAATTCCGTCTCTTGTATTTATTGTGTTACGTTATAAATTAAAAGCTATTTACTGATGGCAAACACATTCGACGTTAAATTTCAAAATGGTTTAAATGCTGTTTAACTTTTTTGATAATTATATAAAGTCGTTTCAATACAAATTCAAATTTGAAGAGTCCGAGTAAGCTCTTTTGTGCTCATTTAAGGTAAACTGACACACAGTTACATCCAACAAAATATTTCTTTGATTAGAGGTATGTTGTTTCATAACTCGCATGAAATCATCACGTTTTAAAATTAAAACGACTCGATCCACTTTTTTAAATTAGCTATTGTTTGTCGTTCAATATCTAAATTATATAACATAATTCCAAATTTGAAAATCTGTAGTAAAAACCTTTTTACACAAATCGTAATACAAAAAAATTAACATAAGTTTTAAAAATGGAATGTTTCATTCCATTTTTTTAAACTTATGTTCATTTTTTTTATTCAATATCTATATACATACGGGAAATTAATGAACTCCTGTGTTTTTGTCGTTTCTGACGATTGTTTCGACATCATCCGGAAGTCTTTCTCAGGAGTCGTTCAGTGCTTTGTGTCACAGCGTCTCATCTCGCACGAGGTGTGACGCCGTGTATATGTAGTATGTATATAGATAACGTTTCATTTCATATAACGTAACTCGGTCGAAATTTTTTTTAGGGCTAGGGCGTTATCGTAATACTTTCTCATTTAGAAGTTTATGTATGTGAAATGTAAAAATGTAAATTTATTTATATGATTTGAGTAAAGTCGCCGTGTGATCATCTATCAATCGACTAATATTTTAAGGCAATAATTTTACTGACACTGATTATAAGCGGCAGCGGATAATATAGCGTGATTAGTTACAAATTATACGTTTAATTAGAATATACATGTATACAAGTAATATTAATTATTTATGCGCATACATAAGGTATGTGTTTTATTTTATACTGTCATATAATGCAATATTCCTAAATTGTAAATGCCTGCTTTAACGCAGGTAATATTAATTCAACAAAGATTGAAATTTTGTAATCATAGCTTACCTTACGACTTATTACTTACAAAATGGAATTTAATACGATATATTTAGGTAGCTATTACATTGCCGATCTAGCAGTCTAATTTTTTTTTATTTACAATGTATAACAAGGAGGTGCTGTATAATATTGTTTTTATTAATCACCTTACACATTACGTTTACATTATTGTATAAAGCAGAGTTAATTCCTAATACTTTTTTTTTTTAAATATAATTACTCTGTCTTATTATATTTTTAATATTTGATTTTAGTAATCCTTTTTAATGAAAATCATTACTTTCTGGGTGGACAAATAGGTACTAATTTATTTATATTTTATTGCACAATAAAATGTCATAATGAAAAATAATATTCTTAAGAACAAAAATATATATAATACGTAAAGATACAAGACGTGACGACCGTTTGAATGGAAAATAAATATATGTGGTCAGACTTAAATTTACATTATGGCCACAAAGAAGTTTCAATATAAAATTTGTACCAATGGCGAGCTAATGCTATTATTTCATTCTCTACCAACTAATTATAAGTATGAAGTTATTTTTGTCAAAAATAAGTGTACAAAATAAACGATTTAGAACTTGATCGATGATTGTCTCTTTGTTATACGGGTTATATAAGCGTCATCCAGAGTGATTGGAGAGAAATTAATTCTCAGTCCGCCCAATTATTTCGTGAAAACTGCCCTCTGTCAAACTTTTGTCAATTGTTGTACATATCTAGTTTATTTTAGGCTATCGCTATTGTTAAATTAATGTGAAGGCTTTAAGACGATCAAACAAATCAATAGATTATGATTTTTAACGATAACTGACAGTTCAAATTTAATTTATTATTAGATTATTTTTGTTCGTAGCTAATAATTTTATATCTCACAAAAATAAGTAGTGTATCGTGTTATATGTAAATAAAGAAACCGATTGAACGTAGCTAATTTTGATTTGCATTTTATTATTATAGTAATATTAAATTTCTATGCCTTATTATTATTTCTATAATTTCAATTATAAACTTGTCCATTTTATTATTTTTTTTTTGAAACGACCGTTTTATTAAAACTACCTAAAAATATTTAAATATGTTACAAGACAATATATGTTCCTAAATATATCCTTTTGTATGTATTTAATAGCAAAAAAATGTATTTAAGTAAAAGTTAGGAAGTAGATGTACCTAACTAGTACTATCTACAATGGTGTTTATTTGCTATTAAAAAATAATAAAATGGACATGGTGATTGTAAAGGTTGAGTTAGTGTAAAACGCCGTCTCAAATATTTATTATTGTAAATACTACCTGTATAATGCAATTAGATAATTAGTATGCTTTTTTACGTACTAGAGAATGTATTTTAACACGAGTAGCAGCAACAGGCGACTGCCTCAGTTTTGTCGCCAACACTGCCACTATTTCAATACGTTTAACGCAGTTTAAAGGCTAAAATTTATAGAAATGAAGCAGACATTTTTTTTTTATAGAAAGTAACTGCGGAGTGATTTGGCACGATATATTTTAGTTGAAAATGAAATCGTTTCGAAAAAACGTAAAATATAAGGTACCTACCTGAGTCCATTTGATGTTTCTTTGATTTACATCTTGTCAAGTCACGTTGATGCTCAGCAATACTGTTTGATTTACTCTGATCATGCTTTTAGTTTAAAGTCCAAGCGGGTCCAAGGAAACGGCTCGTGTCGAAACTACTACTGTACTGTACTGTACTGTACTATCCGATCTGTCTACAATACTCTTAACATTATAAATACGAGGCCCTTAATTCATAGTTTACTTTTATTTGTATAGTAATAGGATTTATTTCTTATTATTTGGGTGAATTTGCCACGCTAAGCTTTGAACAGTAACTTGACTGTTTGAAGCGCAGCGCAGTGCACGCTAGTGGGTTATTTGACTATATTGTAAAATTTTGCATCCCCTGTTGCTGTTATACAATGTTTCTACTTATAATTTGTTTAGAATCATTATCAAAATTTAATAAATATTAAATTATTGACTGATTTATAAAATCTTTCTTTCTTTTTTATTATTTATACCTTTTTGTTCCTTAATCGCTTCTAGCCTTTAACAGATGAGAATAGTTGTTACTGTCAAATATTTGCAGAAAAATAAAACAAGTGACTTAACAAAAATAAGTGTATTAAAAAATATAGTTTCACAATAATTGCGTCAATTTATATTCGCTTAGTCACGATAAAAATTGCTTAAAGTAACTTTTTGAACGCTAGTAAGTATCTGGGAGATCGTACTGAGGAATTAGAAAAAAAAATCACCATCTGTAGATAAAAACAATTTGATGTAATCCGGTATAAATAAAAATAAACAAGAATCTTGCTGGTAGGTGTCTAAATTAATTAATTCAATTTGCAAAAATAAAACCTTGACTCTAAAATTGATATCTCTCGATGTTTACTAGCATTCCAGCATCAATGAATAATCACAGCACCAAACAAATAACCGAAACATATTTAGCCAATCATAGTGACCTATGGTCCATAGTGGTCTAATAAACATTTTTTTTTATAAGATTAAATTGGCGCGCAAACTGCTTTTAAAAAAGAAGCAAAAATAATGCATGTATTAATATCTACTGTATATTACCATACAGTAGATATTACTAGGTTGTTGCCATTTAAAATTTAAAAATAAAATATTGGAATTTAACTGTTTATTATCGAACGAGAAGGTCGTGATGGAATGGAAAAGCCGTTGATCGGCCTCCAAATGTGGTGACGCCTCATGTGTTGCTTTTCTTTAGAATTAAGATGTGAAAGGCAGTATTTGCTGATACAAAATGGTACGGTTAGAATCAGAAGTCAATATACACAATAAGATTTCTAAAACCTCCATACTCTGTAGCTAGCGTTCCAACCCTCCCGGATTGCCCGGGAGACTCTGGTAATAATGTTAACCTCCCGACCTCCATGAGTGCAATAAAAAATTTCTAAAAATTAAATTCATTCATCGCTTGCTCGTCGCTACTCACTCGCTTTGCGGTCTCTAATGATTCACGTGAGCGCGTATTAAACATAATGGAGCAAGACAAAAACCGAATGAGTATTTCTTTAGTAAAAGCAGAGTTACAAGTACTAACAAACTTTGAGTTTTCATGTAATTTTTTGGTGAAAAACGGACGAATATTAGATGCTGCTCGTAAACAAAATAAATATAAATTTAAAAATTAATTAATGATTTCCTTTTAATAACTCCTCTTGACAAAATTTTTATAACTAAAATTCTCCCGATTTGGTACTTTCGAGAGTTGGCAACCCTATATGTAGCATACTTACAGCATTGTATGCATTCCAGAAATTTCGATCTTATAAGATCTTCAAATCTGTCGTTAACCTTGTTGAAGTACTTACAGGTTCTGAAAATCACTAGGTATTCGACTTTTGATGCTGACTGTACATGACGTGTTCCCAATTATACATTTTTATATACGTATACACAATATTAAAACAAAATCATTAACAATGCAAAATAAAGTACAATCCAATGTTCCATACACATTGGAGTCCTACAAGGTAACCATTATGAATTCACATATTATTTAACAAAGTTTTACATTTATACATAAGTTTACATAAAAATTTACAATCGTACACAACAATGCGCTATTAACAAGGGCATAAACGGTAATTATAGATTTACCTAACTATTTGGCTCCTTCACACAATATCACGTCGTTGAAAAACTATTAACAAGAATGTGTCGTGATACTATGTAGGTTAAAGGGATTTGTTTTAGGAGTAGGATCCAAACGTTAATTTCAATTAACCTTTTAACCGCCCCGATCAGATTTATCCGAAAAAGAATCTGTAAACAGCGGGTCTACCATGAAATGAAATTCCGAAATTTCGGACTTAATTTCGTGTTTTTGTTTATACCAAAATCGGACCAATAAATGGAGTTTAACATTTCGTTCGTCATACATCCCATCATAAAAGTCCAAAGGAACAATATTTTAACATTTTTAATATTTCCAAACGGCATTTATTATGTAATTTTAAAATCTAATTTGTGTTTCGTTTGGCTCCGAAATTTCGGAAAACATTTCATAGTAGGCCCTCAGATGTAGATATGCTTGTATACTACACTTTCATGACAATAAAATAATGACAGTGTATTAAAAGAAAAAGCTTACACTATTTTAAAATTGTCAAAAAAATATAAAAATAAAGTATGATATAAACTACCTATTATAGTTAGAGGTGCGCTACTACAATACCGAGCGGTGAAAAGGTTAATATTTCTGATAACATACGTCATAAATAATTAAATTTAATATCTATATATAGCTAATACAATTCTCGCCTCTTTATTATTCAAGTACTGCAGCTAAATACGACGTATACTGTAGCACGTGAGTGCAGTACAATCATTGCTGGATTTACACTCTCGAAAATCCAATCCTAATTATACTAAACTACGAATCATGTGAGAAACATATTTACATAAACCAATCTAAATATCGCGTTCACATGTTTTGTGGTTGAGCATTTGCCGTGCTTTGTCAAGCGTGTAAATCCGGCGTAAAGGACCACAGTATATAATATATACAAAAGCGATTTTTATATTTGTATAGCTGTACTCTGTTATCAAAAGATTATTTTATTTTCTATGTTTGCATGATTATAGTATCGATATATTACATTTTTCTTTGTTAGCTACAAAAGGCGCTATAGTCTTTCAGTGGGTACGATAAATAGTTATGTCCACGCGGAGTTCTGTGGTCGGTCACTGCGGCTGCTTCATCTGTTTCTGTTGTTCGAGGAGTCGCTCGAGGGGCGATGGACCAGGCCCGGACCATAGTGACTGGAGATTTTTAAAATAATGTAATATTAAAACGTGTCACAAATATAATGGCAACCATTAGGTCTTTTTTTTGTATTATGGTGTGAATCACAAATAAGCTATCAGTACAATCGATACAAGGAGGTAACCATACCCCTTAAACAAGAATAACACCATATGGGTGGGATATGGCGTGAATTAACTGGGTAGGTACAGAGGAATAACACCTGAGTCCTCAGGAATGGTAACGCATGGGGGGTATCATGGGCGAAACAGTATAATTTGTTATGTCCATGGTACTGCTCATATCTATAGGCGACGGTTACCACTTTCCATCAGGTGGACCGTCAGCTTGTTTGCCACTCTAAGTAGCATAAAAAAAAGCTAAAACGTAAAGTAATATTTAACTTCTACAATTTTTGGAATTAATTTGTATATATATACTTAAAATACCTGGTGCGGATGTCGCTGCGCTGAGCCCCAGCTGGCGTCGGGCGCGCCGCTAAATAACGAGTAGGTGCTGGCCGCCCCCGCGCCCGGCCCTGCGCCCGGCCCTGCGCCCGGCCCTGCACCCGGCCCTGCACCCGGCCCTGGCGCCGCGCCCGCGCCGCCAGCACCCGCTGCGGAACTCGACATGGCCTGTAAAAGCATCAGGCTGCACTTTATCTGTCATATATTGAGAATACTAGTCATGTCCTACTATCATTTGTAATTTAATTTTTTTTCCTACAAAAGAGGGTATATCTAAAGAATGAAAATATTAAGTGAAAAGTTTGTTTATTTATTTTACATATACACTTTATGTAAAATAAATAAATAAAAATATTGATAATTTATGACTGTTTGTGTGTATTGGATTTGTTTTTTTTTTATAATCAAAACATTTAATTTCTTGGTATTAAAAGTACGTTAAATATTAGATAAATCAAATGAATAAAAAAATGAAGAAAAGTATGCTAGCGGTACGTAGTAGATTAGTATCTAGCTAGACTCGAGCAGGGGTGGTGTGTGACCTTGACTAAAAAATGCATATTGTGCGGTAAATTAATATCCGTGCCACGATACACCCTAGCTAGACAACAATCCTACGTCACTAATGCTTGTACCTTGTACCTTGCAACCTCTCCGAGTCGATCGAATTGAGGAAGATTGTCAGCAGTTCAAATTTTTCTCTGTTCAAACTTTAATCTGTTCTTTATAACCGTTCCCTCCCATCAATCCTATTAAAATAAGTAATAAAATTGCTTTTTTTTATACAACTTAGAATGGCAAACAAGCTGACGGCCCGCCTGATGGAAAGTGGTAACCGTCCCCTATAAACATGAGCAGTACCATAGACATAACAGAGTATACTGTTTCCCCCATGATACCCCCCATGCGTTGCCATTCCTGACGACTCAGGTGTTATTCCTCTGTACCTAGTAAATTCACGCCATATCCCAATTCTTCAAACCGAAACACAGCCATGCAAACACAACTGCTTCATGATTGAAACACGAATGGGACAGAGGTACCCAAACAATCGACTTTTGTACAAAGTCTCCCTCTGGTACTAAAAATTTAAAAAGTTTCATTGCAAGATAAATACGCACCCCAATCTGGTCTATATTCTTCATGCCACCAGCGTCACCATTCAGTGGTTCGTTGAAGTTCATATTCAAGTTCCTCTGTTGCCTATCTGCTACATTTGGCCCAAATCTAAGGTTCATATCTACCATATCCTTAGTGCCTAGATAGTTCTGCTGTTGGTTCAAAGGTTGGTATCCAAGTTTGTTGTTAAACTGCGGATACATAGAGGAATCGTAGCCGATCGTGGGGTAGGAGCCAAAACTATTCAGAGACGAGTTGAAGTTCGGAGATGAGACAAGATTCTGCAGTGTCTGAACCTGTGGCTGGCCTACAGCTGACTGGAGGTAGTTTGAATTCATTAAATTATCTGGCTTATTTTGCCCTATAGTCTGAGCTTGGTTGAACGAAGCCATACTCTGGTAAGGGTTCGACATGTTAGAGGCCAAATGTGGGGAGTAGAAGTTAGGCTGCAAGCTCATAGGCGGATTTGCGAAGTTAGAATTATAATTAGGCGGAGGATTTTCGGGCTTCCACCACGTTTGCTGCTGGTAATCGGGCCCCGGAGGGTTGTTCATCCAGCTATTTGGCTGTTGATTATTGAAAAGGGAATTTGTTTTGAAGTTTTCATCTCTAAATTTGTTCTCGTTAAACTGATTCTCTTGAGCATTCTGCCAGTATCGATACTGGTTTGCGAACCGTGGCGGCAGATCATTGAGGAAGTTCTTCTTGTCACCTGACATCTGGTAGTTGTGGTTACCAAACTTGTGACCTTCCTGGAACAGCTCCTGACGGGAGTTCTGTTTCTGTACCGCGGTTCTTACGTCTATTTCTTTCGGATTGACAACAGGCAACCTTATCCCTTGGTTGTTAACATTCGCTTGGTAATTAGGGTTGTAGCTAATGCCCGTGGATTGGATGCCGTAATTATTCTGGAAATTCATTCGCGGCTCGTTGTAAAGCTGGGCTGGTGGATTAGGACTCCAGTTTGGAGAAGGTGGCTCTTGTTTCTTCTGCTGGTAGTTCTGCTGAGAATTTTGGCTTAGTTGACTAGGCTTAGTGTCTTTCTTTTCTTCTTTGTCGTTCTTTTTAACTGGTTCGGGGTCGGTGTTCACTAGATGCGGGTATCCGGCGGATTTATCTTTAAGCGAGAGGATACCGCCCGTTTTTCTGCCGATTGGTAGATTGGCGAGTGATTTGATGGCTTTAGGCTGTATTACTTTAGGTTTGTCGTCTTTAGTGTCAGTAGAGTCACCCGCTAAATCTGGCGTGGGTGGTGGAGTTACAAATTTCACCTGCAATGAAAAAATGCTAATTAGTCATTAATTGTAGTGAAATCAACAATATTTTATTATTTCTTAATATTAGGAAATGTCATATAATTTTATAAAATAAAATACTTTATATAGGATCACTCGATTTTGTTATAAGAGCCTTTCAAAAACTGTATTATGAATTTACTTGAGATTTTTATACAACAAAGACGATTGTTATAGATGATAGGCTGCTAGTTTTACCGCTGTGTCTCGACCTGTATATCTTACAACTTTTGACATATGTATACCTGTTTGTTGGTCTCCTCTTGTTTCCTCATGATGGCCGCCATGGCGATGTTGACTCTGGCCTTCCGTGTCTCCTTCTTGTCTTCACTCTTGCTGCACTCGTCACTGCAATCCTCCTCCTAGAAAGCAAGCAAATGGTAACAGATGCCGAAAAATTTGCTAATAAATGATAAAAATAAGGAGAAAAGGGAATGGACAGGTAGAGTAAATAAAACAAGAGATATTTCTGCACATTCCGCCATCGAATTTTTCTGCACATCCTAAAGGTTGAATGGTACAGAATGCCTACAACATTATGTTCGTCTTTTGTGTCACATTTACTAGAGGGAGACTTTGTACAAAAGTCGATTGCTTGGGTACCTCTGTCCCATTCGTGTTTCAACCGCGAAGCAGTTGTGTTTGCATAGCTATGTTTCGGTTTGAAGGGTGGGATATGGCATGAATTTACTGGGTACAGAGGAATAACACCTGAGTCGTCAGGAATGGCAACGCATGGGGGGTATCAAGGGCGAGACAGTATACTGTCTGTTATGTCAATAGTACTGCTCATGTCTATAGGCGACGGTTACCACTTTCCATCAGGTGGGCAGATTGTTTGCCATTCTAAGTTGTATAAAAAAGAAAAAAATATTGGTCAATAATGTTTCAATTAATTTTTTTTTTTTCAAAAAAAGAACATTACAACAATATTCAATCAATGTCCTCCCTGAAAAGTAATAATTAAAAAAAATCTGCCAACCCTAGTAATAAGGGTTGGGATCACCTAATAAGCACAGCAATGTTTATGTCAGGTTATGTTTTCAAAGTATTCTTGAATCAGCTACAGAAATGATAACTTCATACAATTAATTATAATCCGGCTAGACCAGGGGTCGACAACCTTTTGAGACGGAAGAGTCAAAAATTACAATTTACAAAATTTCAAATTTTAAAAACAGCCACAAAAAAATTTCTTGCCAACTATAAATGGTACTTGCAATAAATAATCCTCGTTGATCGGATTCAGAAGGATTTTTAATTATTTTTTTTAGAAAAAAAAATATAATATTTGTGTATGGAACTAAAGAGCCGCAGCATCACATCCACAAAGAGTTGCAGGTTGCCGACCCCATAGCTAGATCATTCAACGTTAGTTATATAACTGTTGTAGTGCGTGGTGTTACCGGTTCATCCTGTGTGGAGGCGAGCGCCCGTTCCTCGCGAGCGCGCTCCAGCGACCCCTGCGGCTTCAGGATGCCCACGCGCTTCTCGCGCACTGAGAACATGCCAGGACGTTGGTAATGTGGTACCACTGATACGATATGACGGGAGAGGTATATAAGAGGGTGGGGGGAGGGATTGTTAGTAATGCGGACTACCAGTCCCATTGCTGGCAATATACCCCATCAGGTCGACCTCCATGTGGTCCCCCCTGGAAACCATAGTGCTTTTTTGTGTCACATTTACTAGAGGGAGACTTTGTACAAAAGTCATTTGCTTGGGCACCTCGGTCCCATTCGTGTTTCAACCGTAAAGCAGTTGTGTTTGCATGGCTGTGTTTCGGTTTGAAGGATGGGATATGGCGTGAATTTACAGGGTACAGAGGAATAACACCTTAGTCCTCAGGAATGGCAACGCATGGGGGGTATCATGGGCGAAACAGTATACTTTGTTATGTCCACGGTACTGCTCATGTCTATAGGCGACGGTTACCACTTTCCATCAGGTGGGCCGTCAGCTTGTTTTCCATTCTAAGTTGTATAAAAAAAATGTGTGTACACATGTGTTACCTTTTTCCCTAAAGTCGGCCTCCGAGATGACGATGGGCGGCGGCGGCGGCGGCGGCTCGTCGTCGCAGTCGCGGCGCGCGGCGGCCAGCTCGGCCTCGCGCGCCGCCGCCGACAGCTCGGCCAGCGCGCCCGCCGCCGCCGCGCTGAACGACGCCGCGCCGTCCTCTGCCTCGCTGCAGACGTCGCATAACAAATACTATTGCGTTACTAGTTACAGTCAAAGGTATTGAGTATATATTCTATCGAGCCCCTTGTAGTTCCTATTGAATGTAAACTTGTAATATATATCGATAAGTGAATTGAAAAAAAAATGAAAGTAAATGGTGAATTTCTTGCGAGTTCTTCTTAGCAGATGACAACGTTTCGAAACCAGCAGAAGTATTATAAAAAAATTAAGACAAACATCAAACGTCTAATAAATCTCTTTTAGCTCTTTTAAATATTAATCTTTTGCACTAAACTCCCAGAAAGTGATAAGTTTTAAATGACTCTAAAAACTATTAAAAAAATTTTATAGTTTAAATATTAAAAAAGAAAAGGGTAAAAAGGCTCCATTAGAGTAGTAAATGCGCACGTAATGCTCCCAGTATTGCAGGCGTTCATAGGATACGGTAAGCGCTAACCATCAGGTGGACCGTATGTTTTTTGTCACCTGACCATAGTATAGTTTTAGTTTCTATAAATAAGGGAATTAATATGGAGCGTTAGGGGGAAAGGGATTGTAAGTAATGGAGACTAAAAATCCCATTGCTGGCAATATACCCACGACCTCCTCGTGGTTCCCCCTGGAAACTATCATGGTTAATTCCTGATGAATTTACCATGTTGAACTAACTGGCCTGTTTTCATTCTCATCTATCACCCTTCACTGGTGCCCCGCCAGCGTATCCCGTTAGCGCAGGCGGGGTTACTATACCATTTTCATCCACCAAAAAAAAAATATGGAGCGTTATATAGTCTGTAAGTGTTTCATCATATTTCGATAGAGAATAAATTAGATTTTTTCTCTAGAACTAATTAATGATTTGAACTAGATATTTTAATTGTTTATATTAATTATAATCATATTTTTAACATAGACAGCCGATACCTTTACGTGGTGTGCCAGCTAGATAGATACTAAGAGGGAGACTTTGTACAAAAGTTGATTGCTTGGGTACCTCTGTCCCATTCGTGTTTCAACCGTGAAGCAGTTGTGTTTGCATGGCTGTGTTTCGGTTTGAAGGGTGGGATATGGCGTGAATTTATTGGGTACAGAGGAATAACACCTGAGTCCTCAGGAATGGCAACGCATGGGGGTATCATGGGTGAAACAGTATACTCTGTTATGTCCATGGTACTGCTCATGTCTATAGGCGACGGTTACCACTTTCCATCAGGTGGGCCGTCAGCTTGTTTGGCATTCTAAGTTGTATAAAAAAAAATACTAAGTATGATACATACGTGTATGTGATGAGGTCGGGCCGCAGGTCTGCGAGCCGCCGGCCGAGCTGCAGCAGACGATGCGCGCGCACCTTCTGCTCCAGTTCCGGCTCGTTACTCAAACACACCGTCGACACTTCCGGCGGCGATCTACAACCGGTACATAGTAAACATTTATTTGATTTTCGAACAAATTAATCTCTGAGTGATTCGATTTCTTCTTTTTTTATTTTTTTTTTTTTGGTGGTTTTTATAGTATTTTTATTATACAATTAAAAAAATAAGTAGTTCTAATTTCGAGTGTTTTTTTTTTATGCTAGGTAATATCTATGCCAGTTTTTCATTCCTATATATATATAATATCGAGTGTGATGACAAAAGTTACTGGCTGGTCAGAAATGAGCATATAATTTGATTTTGTAAACTCTTTGTTCAGTTCATTTAGGACGTTAGGAGATCGACTTTTGTCGTTTTTTAATTTTTGATTCTAATATATCAAAAATAATTTGTAGATTTCAGCTACAATTACTGTTTTAGTAAAGATACACTATAATTGATATAATAGTGCAATGGAGATAGTAACAAACTGACAGGTCTTCCTGTTCATCTAGGTCGGGCAAGCGGCCGCCGTATGTATCCCAGGCGGCGTGGTTGGGGAACCGCAGCCCCTTACACATCGCCTCGAGCGGCTGGAACCCCAGTAGCTCCTCGTCCTCCGGGAGAGGCACAGTCTCATCTGAAATAGTAAATTTTTAAGTTTGCCATTCTAAGTTGTATAAAAAAAGCTTTAACGGCTTAATCAATCACTATGAAATTTTGTATATACATACTACTTTTTATCCTTGTAAATAATTATATTTATATGCATCGATAACAATATGAGAAGAATAGATGTATGAGAGAAGAGCGGAACAAATTATTTAAATTTCGAATATGATGACGTTTAAGCGACGACGCGGGATTATATACAATCAACAATCAATGCGCATGTGCATATGTCTTATCACATGGATCACAGGGACATACTCGTGTAAATTAGGGCATACAAGTGAGGCTGAGCCACAGGGATGTATTTAGGGGTATGTGGGGGACACGTGACGTACTTACAGGTGTATGCGTGTGCGGCGGGCGGTGGGGCCGCGGACAGCGAGTCCAGCAGCTGCGTGAGCGCAGGCCACAGCGCCGGCCGCTGCGACCACGCGGCAGCCGCCAGCGTCGTCGGGTGCGACACCACCCACCACAACCACACCTTCACTGCACACAAATGTAATAATAAAATATCAACATGGTACCTGGAGAATAGACTAAATGATTAGAATGTTGGAAGACATTATTTTACGCGGTTACAGGAAGTGTATATCAGTGCGATTGTTTTTTAATAAGTTGAAAATGGCTTCTTTCTTGATGTTAGTGAGGTACATAGCAGAGAGTGATGATGTGGATGACATCAGATCAGTTAACTTATTATAAATTCACGATGGTTTTAAGTAAAATGGCGTAGATTTCAACCTGACAGTGAATTTTAGTAACAATAGTTACACCCCCCCCCCCCTCATCCTTGAGTGACATGTTTATATCATTCAGTTTGTCGCGAACGAATGGGCCGGCTGCAAGGGATTACGTACGGGGCGCGAGGGTGACGGTGGCGCGGCGCGGCGACAGCAGCAGCGCCAGCACGGCGCCGGCGGCAAGTGATTGTGCGAGGGCGGCGGCGCGCCGCTCGTCCGCCGATAACGTGTCCTCAGTCAGCGTCAACCCCTCCGTGGTAGAGTGCACCGCCCACATCACCACGCACGCCATCTGTCACCATCAATCAGACTTTCCCTTTTAGCAATTTTAAACATCAATTCATTTTAAGCTTCAATGCCACACATTTACAGGTAAATTTTTTTCTTTAGGAAGCAAATAAAAAAGTGAAAATTCCAGGGATGGATAAAAAACACAAAATGTCAGAAATTATGTATGAAAGAAAATTATTCAAAATTTGTAATTATAAAAATAAATATAATTATAAATTTTATTTGTAAAATACATACCTTGATTAGAGTCATGGAATCGAAACTGTCGGTCGCAATGAGAGTAGTCAGCGAGGAATTCAGCGTGTTTACTATAGTCGTCGCTGTGTCCAAGCTGAAACAGTGAATGTATCCTTTAAATTCTAAATAGATCAATATTTGAAAATTAAAACGTAGGAAAATTACATAACTTACTCTTCGACCGTGTGTATGAGATGTAGCGCTCGAATGAGTTCAGAGGTGTACGAGTGTGCGTCGAGGCGTGTGGGACCGTTGGCGGCGGTCGGCGCGGGGGGCGTGGGGGGCCGCCCCGCCGCCCCTGGCAGCACTGGCAGCGGTCGCGAGTCGCGGCTGGAATGGAACATTCACATCCAGATAACTATGTGGCGAGGAAGTAAGAATACACGTGTCACTGTCTTTCATTTCTAGGCTTGTTTTTATTAATTTTTAACACGTTCAGCCCGGCGCCGAATTTGCAGTCCTTTCCGTTCAGCCGGCAGCCGGCGAGTGATACAATGTTGTATGCTATCGCCAAGAGATTACTTTAGTACTAATGAGATAAGGAATTCTTTGTCACACTATTTTGAACGTTTTGGATGAGAAACAAATATTACCAAAAAAAGTTGTTACGTATTGTAATATGTGTAAAGATAAACTGCATTTTTGTTTAGAATGTTTCATTAAAATTATATTTGATCACATTTCATTGGGACTAATTTTATTTTTTAACTTTAATACTGTCGGTCCCACAAACCGACGCCAGCCAAACGAAAATTAAACAATTACAAGAAATAATCACAATGAGAAAACAATGGGCGACCTTATCGCTGAAAGCGATCTCTTCCAGGCAACCTTTGGATGGAGAGGAGTAATTATAAACAATTTGGTGGGAGGCACGATGAAAAATTTTGTTAGTTCTAAATGTGGGAGATGTGATACATATAATAATATAAATATTATCCCTACTCATTATTAATGTGTGTGTGTGCGTGTGTGTGTGTGTGTGTGTGTGTGTGTGTGTGTGTGTGTGTGTGTGTGTGTGTGTGTGTGTGTGTGTGTGTGTGTGTGTGTGTGTGTGTGTGTGTGTGTGTGTGTGTGTGTGTGTGTGTGTGTGTGTGTGTGTATATATATATACATACACACACATACATACTCTTAAATGTATGTTTGCATATATTTCAAAGTTTTATTTGAACCTTGGGGTGGGCTCCCCTTTTTAAATATACCGGTGGGCTTACCCGGCGGCGGCGGCTGTGGCGGCGGCGGCGGCGTGCAGCGTGCGCGCCAGGTTGGCGGGCGCGGGCGGGAAGGGCGCGCGCACGAGCAGCGAGCGCACGTGCCAGTAGAGCGCGGCCAGCCGCCGCCCGCGCCGCCACGCCACCAGCGCCAGCTGGTTGTACGGCTGCCCCGAGTGCGCCGACAGCACCAGCGCCTGCCTGCCACCAACGCCGCTTACCACTTACAATTTATACATTATACAACCCCTCGAGCGCTTATGCAGAACCGCGCACTAATGCAACAGCGTCTGTTGCGTAATTAGCATTTGCAGCGTCGTTTTCATTAATTTTTTTTTTATACAACTTAGAATGGCAAACAAGCTGACGGCCCACCTGATGGAAAGTGGTAATCGTCGCCTATAGACATGAGCAGTACCGTGGACATAACAGAGTATACTGTTTCGCCCATGATCCCCCCCCCCATGCGTTACCATTCCTGAGGACTGGGGTGTTGTTCCTCTGTACCCTGTAAATTCACGCCATATCTCACGCTTCAAACCGAAACACAGCCATGCAAACACAACTGCTTCACAGTAGAAACACGAATGGGACAGAGGTATGTAGGTTATTAATTTATATAGATAATAAACCCATTTATTATTTATCCAATAACCTCTAATCGAAATTTGGTAATTTAAAAATCGGTGACTCAGTACGTGTAGCAAGCGAGTCTAGAGTCGGTCGCTCCACGGGCTAAAAGATTCTTTTTAATACTCAAAACAACCAACCAGTCTTAAGCATGTTGTTAATACTAAATGCCTAAAACAAGACTTTTATTATAACTTTTACTAAAATATATTTTTATAACAAAAGATTTATTATATGTAAAAATAAGATGTAATAATTAGAAACTAGGATTAATAAAAAAAAAATAGCTTCCACAGTTACAACTAAATCACTGATAAAATATTGAATTTTATACTGTATAATTTTTTGCATTAGATCCAAGTAATGTACAATAGTGACCTGTAGAATGTGTGCGCGACTCGCAGCTGTTGCTTGTAGCGCGCCAGGTCGCCCAGGTGCACGAGGCAGTGCTGGCAGATGTAGCGCGCGGCGCCCGGAGCCGGCAGCCGCGCCCCCGCCGCCGTCACGGCCGCCGCCGCCGCCGCCGCCGCCGCCGCCGCGTCCGCGCCCGCCTCACACAGTACCTCCCCCGCGCCCCACCCCTCCACCCAGCCTAGAAGCGACGCACGTCGCCTGGAATACATAATATGAATTAGAAATTTTTCTGTGCACTGTGAAAATGTTATTGACTAGTCTTTTACTGTGCCTTCGACTGTGTAACCAGGATTTTTTATCGACAGGAATAAAAGGTAGCCTATATACAGTAAGTTAATTAATATTCAAAAATAATTCCTTAAACCTAGTGTAGTATTCATTAATAGGGTCTCAAAAACAATTCTCTTCACAAAAAAAAAATGTAAACTAAAAATAAAAATTCTCAAAAAAAGAACAGCCTGTATCTGTACTAACGGCACTATATAATAATAATAACCAGAGGGGGGACTTTGTACAAAAGTCGATTGCTTGGGTACCTCTGTTCCATTCGTGTTTCAACTGTGAAGCAGTTGTGTTTGCATAGCTGTGTTTCGGTGTGAAGGGTGGGATATGGCGTGAATTTACTGGGTACAGACATAACAACAGAAATAACACCTGAGTCCTCAGGAATGGCAACGCATGGGGGGTATCATGGGCGAAACAGTATACTCTGTTATGTCCTTGGTACTGCTCATGTCTATAGGCGACGGTTACCACTTTCCATCAGGTGGACCGTCAGCTTGTTTGCCATTCTAAGTTGTATAAAAAAAAAAATAATAAATATGTACATACTATTCAAATTATTTACCATTTTTAATACTAGACAGTAAAAATTATTGGAATCATCACCATATGACATATTAACTAATTGTTTTCTTATAACATAGAATCATACCTGAAGGGTAAGTCCAGTTTGAATGTGGTGCATATTTGATGCAGTAGACAGAGGTAAAATCCTGAAGCAGCTTGCAGCACCCATGACAGCATAGCCTGACCCTCGCTTCTTAATGGATTCTGTATAATATTGTAAGTTTCCATCAGTATCATTTATCATCTATTAATATTGTAGTGAAGATGTCGAATGTGAGGAAGGGATTGTTAGCAATGTTGACTACCATTCCTAATGCTAGCAATGTGCTATGTTAAGTCAACCTCTATGTGGTCCCCCCTGAAAACCATCACACTGATTTCCAGGTGTATTTATAAACTGTTATATATTAAATAAGGAATAAGACATATTGATCATGGCTTCTTTTATTGTGAATGAAGTATTACAACTGATGACAGGCTATCTGTTAGTATTCTACATAATAATAGCTTTTTCCATAAAAAGTTATAACAGTGAGGGTGGTTCTAGAAAAACACTGACACATTAAATTATTGATATATCACATAAACTATATATAATTAAATATTAATTAATATTATAAATTAATTATAATATTTATATGGTAATTATTTAAACATTAGCTGTTACCAAAGTATGTTATTATGTTATCTATGTCGAGATGGATATGTATAAAATGGACTAATGCCTGCAACTTCATTTATATGACCTGGATATGTTGATTGACCACATTAATGATTAACCTATAATTCTTTATGTCAAATACTATGTGTATGACAAATTCAATAATGACAACTTTAGATATTAATGGGTAATAAACACATTTATTTACTGATTGTATAATTATAAATGGTAACAATTAAAATTGTTTATAAGAAATATCTAATGTAAATATTTAAGTTATTCATGAAGGCTTTTAATAAATCTTAAATAGAAAGTAATTTTTTTTAAAACCATACTTTTCTGTCTTTCGAGATGGCCTGTAATGCTTCAATCTGCTGTTTGAATCCAACATTCCATAACTCCTGCTCCACTTTCTTGTCCAATGCATAATCCAAATCTAATATCAATAGTTTTTGGTATATCTGGAATTAGATTGTAATAGGTTAAAAGTTACCTTTGCTTCAAACTTGTGTGCACTTAGTAGTACCTGCCTATTCCACAAGAGATTGGTGTGAAATTAGAAAAATATATGAAACAAAAATACACTTAATACTTAATAGGAGATACTTTTTATTAGGGAACCTTATAAAGCAGAAAATAAAAGAAAAGAAGGAACAAACACCACCAAATATGTATGTTAAAACTTAAAATATTATCTGATTTTAAGGAGTTTTTTTGTTTGAGATCAATCCTTATTTACTATTTGACATAATTTCAAAGTTCTCATTGATGTATTCTGTCATAAATATAACATGAAAATGATAGAATGACATCAACTTACCTTTTGCAGTTGCTGTTGTGTGACCCACAGATTCCGTTCCTGAAGCATTGACGTCCCACTCTTGAATTTAAGAATTTTCTCTTTCAGCTCATCTGCCTCTCTGTTATAAATAGTTTTATAATGTATAAAAATTTATTACTAATGAAAATTTTACTATCATCGTTGTTCAAACTCATTCCCTTATTTGTGGTGAGTACAGCATTTGAAAATAAAATAATTGATATAATATTCAGTAGGGATTGACTTTTGTTTCATTAGAAATAAACAAAAATATTGTTATTTAAGATTTAACAGCTTCTTCTTAGCAGATAACAACATTCTAAACCCAGCAGCAGAATCATTAAGGTGACAATTTAAAAGAGCTGTAAATAAGTCTATTTGAGTAGAGATGACTTTCAATTTGAATTTTCTTCCTGCCCTTGTTCTATATCAAACATTTAAGGTCAGCATAATATGTTTTCTTCTTCCATTCCTCTCTATTTACAGTCATCTCACTAGATCCCTTTCTGGCCATATCATCTTTCATACCTTTCTTTCTTATTATTCTTTCTAATTAAAAAAAAATAGGAAATACAGCAAATAATTAAGGCAAAGATGTTATATATCTTTGCCTTAATTTTGCTTTCTCCATTTTTTTTTTGAGTTATTTTGTGCGTATTATTTATGGATTGTTAAAAATCTATTCATGTTATACAATAATTTGAAGTCATATAGTTGTAAAAACCATCTTATACACAAATTAATATAAAAATTAAAAGATGTATATAAATTCCAAGTACATTGTTACATAAAATAAAAAATTTAGAACAAATAAGTAAAACAACATTAGGATATGTGAGTTCATAAAAGCATTTCAAAAATATACTGACAGATAAATAAACAAGTGAAATAAGTTAAAAATAATGGTCTGGTAATGTGACTAATGGAAAGTAAGTCACTTAAAGTACACAACAGTTTGCAATCATGATAGTTGTGACGGGTAAGGAAAAATAAATGATAAATGTATGTGCTAACCTTAGCATTTGCATAGCGGCGTTTAGAACCATTTTGATAGAGGCTTAAAGCCTCAATATTTGTCATAGCATTAGTGAAATAAATTGGAATTACTAATTTATTGCAGAATAATGAAAAGAAAAGTGTAAAAACAAATGAGATCCATGCACTGTCACTAACAATTCAAATTGTCATATTGTGATAAAAGTCAAATTAGCATTGTTGTCTGTCATTTGGAAAATGTCATTCTTTGGTTGTTGTTATTTTAAAATTTGTCTAAAAATTTAACAGGCAAAGAGCATGACCCATACAACCTTGTCATTCTTGGTCATTTTCCTAGATTTTATTTATTAAAACATTAAAAGTCGTAATGTTTCAATCTTCATCTAATCTGTGAATGTTTATTTATTTACTGTCATCATTATTGATCTCCTTTTTTGAAGTTTTAATAAACAACGCTTATAATTTGTAACTTTGTAGTATTTATATAAAAATCACATGCTAAATATTGATACTAGACTTATTTATATGTATTAAGTTAATCAAGTTATTTAAGCATACTTGTGCGTGCAATAAAACAATTTCAAATCAACCATGGCTAATGAAATGCGACTTCAAGTTAATGAAATTTCTCCGGTAAATACTTGTAAATAAATGTGAATAAAATAATTTTGTTGTGTAGTAATTTTCTTTGTTTTGTTTCCTAGAGTCTTATATAGACTATAGTAATAAATGCTGCAAAGAAAAATATTAGTCATTGAGCTTATTTTGCATGATGACTCATGGCGTACCTATACTGCATCACATTATGAAATCAAGAGAGTATCTGGTAACCATTAAATATGTAACTAAGATCTTTGTATTTTTTTTTATCAGGAACATTCGAGTGTGGTATTTGGGCACAAGGTGTGCCAGACACGTGAAGCAAAGTGGCTATGCTTAGAAAATATCTACCAAAAATTTCACAGACCCAACTTCTATGATATCGGAGGAACGTACATTAATGATGTAGCTGACTATTGGTTTGTGTGCAAAACTGAGCTAATAGCAGATATTAAACTTCTTCACTTGTTTCTATGGAATCGTCACGAAGAGAGTGTGGTACGTGTTGCAGTGAGTGATAGTAACGAAATGCTTGTCGATAAGAAGAATGATGCAGTGTGCCTGTCAAAAAAATTAAAACAGTTTGATTATAAAAAGGTCAAACAAATCTCTAAAATATACATCACAACATACAGCTTCAATGATATTGATGTTGATTTTCTGAAAAATAGGAGATTGTATATAGGCGTCTCATTTGACTGTAATAACTCAGAAGAGCTGTCTGAAGAGATTATAGAGAATGTAAAATGCAGTCATGATTTTCATGCATTATTAAAGAATCCGGTGGGTTCAGATTTCACCATAGAGTCGGCTGATGGCCACAAATTCAAGGTTCACAAAGTATTGCTGGCTGCAAAGAGTGAAGTGTTTAAGGCAATGTTCACGGATGAAATGGCTGAGAGTAAAAATGGTTATGTGAGACTCATAGATGTAACCAAGGAGGACTTGCAAAGTGTTCTAGAGTTTATCTACAGCGGTAGTATAATTGATATGGAAGGTAGCAATTTTTTTAACCTCCTACAGATTGCGGACAGATTCAATTTGTGTGGACTGTTTGATCTCTGCCAGTATGTATTATCTCAACAATTGACATTAGACAATGTGATAGATACTTTAATTATAGCTGATATGTGTAATGCTAGTACTCTTAAGTTGGCTGCTATGAAGGTTATTAAGAAAAATAATTGGATTGTAAAGACTGACATGTTTAAAGAAATCCTAAATGTGGATTTAGTCCGAGAGCTTTGTGAGTACTTGGTGCCTTCTTAATAATATGTTTATATAAATCGTTATTAATATACCATTTGTCTAAATTGCTCCTAAGGGTAGAAACCATTGAAAATTTCTATCTTTTTAAAGTTGGTTAAAAAGTAAAGTCAGTGGCGACTGACCTTACTTTTTAAATTCAAAAGAATTGAGGTACAGAATTTGATTATATTTTTTTAAGTTTGTTACCTCATAACTCTCTTAGTTATAAAATGATTTGCAAAATTCTTTTTTTATCTTAAAAGATATACTCACAAATTTGTCCTATAGAAATTTTATTAAAATTGATTAAGTAGTTTAGTTTTTAAATAAAAATAACTAGCTCTGTCACAATTGAAGTTTTTTTTTTTTTGTGGGACACAATTTTTAATAATATTTATAAACAGCACAATAGTAAATGTATTTGTAATATAATTTCTCAATTTAGTGGAAAATTTTAGACATATTTTATGAGACTGACAGATTAAATTCAAGAAACAAACCATGTCCTAAAAACAACAATATATTGTTTATAAACAGCCTGTATTAAAATTCGAACATTTTTAGATGAGTACTAATTCTTATCATCAATTATAAAATTTCAACCAACAGTCAACATTATCAGTATTTTTTTGTTGTTTTACATTGTCATATTAATTGCATGGCAGTCTATGAGAAAAGCCTCTGTACAAGGAATGCCTGATACTCACATTTGGAATTACTAGTTGCTGTTTAATAACTCAGTGGACTTGACAAATGTTTATTAGCTCATTAGATCAAGATTGGTAAAACCGAAAGATAACTTGGAATCAAATTATTTTTAAGTACTTTTAAACACTTGATTTTATGTGATTTAAACAATTCTATCTAAAAGTGGTAAGTTTTTGTTTGTTTGTGATCAATGTAAAATATTTGAAAATGTATTTTTAATTTTAATCTTGTATGTGAGGATCTTAAAATATGCTAAGTCGAACAATTTAGTCTTCTGATAATAAGATCCAACAGGAATCAATGTTAGGAATCATAATTAGCTGATATGTGATTTTGAATTTTGTCAGATAGTGCTTTAGGTTTACTTTGCTTTTACATTTTTTTGTCTAGCATAACTTTACATATGCAAAATAATATTATTTTTATTGAATTAACCAACAGCAAAATAAATTCATTTCATTTCAACAATAATTTATATAAGTATATCAATTTTAATAACACTTTCTATAGGTTTACCTGTATATTTTATATATTTTGTTTTTTTTTAAATAAGTAACAAATGATGTAACTGGCTATTTACAAATTGTATATGAATATCATGCCTATTTCCCATTAGGGTTGGCATCGCAAAAATTTTTATACATACATTAATAAAAATATGTAATACTAGTTCTATTAGGTGGCTGTGTTTTCATAAATTAGTATATAAAATATCCTATTTTCTATCTTAGGTTATACTCTATTTATATATCAAATATCATTTAAATCCCTTTAGTTTTTATGTGAAAGAATAACAAGCATTCATCCATCTTCACAAATTTTCGCAATTATAATAAGTAGTAGTAGTTTTGTTCTTTTGGAGGCAAAGCACAAACTGTGTTGTGACCATTTTGTGTTACACACACACTCATGATAAAAGGAAATTGTTGTTTTATATAATATATATTACTTTTTGGTGCTTTTTTGTTGCTTTTTTTTAGTTTTTCATTCTTTTATCTCCTTTACTGTGTATTATGTGTATTGTAATTTATGTGCTGTAAGTAATGCAAATAAATTATCTATCTATCTAGTAATGGAAGATGAAATGAAGTTTTATGGTCTTTTTTTAATGGGTGATAATGGAATGGCAATCCTGTCTGCGCTAACAGTACACACTGGTGAGGCACCAATGAGAAACGATTATTGAGGTTGAAAAGGCAGGTCAGTTAGTTCATCATTACGGATTCACCTGGAATCAAACATGATGGTTTCCAGGGGGAACCGCGAAGAGATCAATCTGGCAAAGTGTATTCCTAGAAATAGAGAAACTAGACCGCCATTACTAACAATCCCTTACCCCCAAATTTTGTTATTGTAACATTGTTGACAAGATATACTTATTATCTCTTATTTACTGTTTGGTATTGGTAATTAGGGCCTGCATAGACAAAGGTCAGTCGGCATATTTTTGTCTATGTTTTCGTGTATAAAACTTATGGATTAAACACAAAGTTGAACAAACTAGTCGCCGCGCCGCTCGATGACGCGGTCGCATCACTTTGTACACAATTTTTTTATACAACTTAGAATCGCAAACAAGCTGAGGGAAAGTGTTAACCGTGGCCTACAGACATGAGCAGTCAATGTACATAAGAGAGTATACTGTTTTGCCCATGAGACCCCCTACGCGTTGCCATTCCTAAGGACAAATGAATCCGTACAAGCGTTTAGCTGTTTGTTAATTTAAAAGATTTTAATATATAAAGGAATAGATATTTGTTATATAATCAGTGGCGTAACAATAGGTTGGCAGAGTGGGCAAAATGCCAGGAGGCTTCCGGCCTGAAGGGCCTTGGTTCAAGAGGTTGTGTACGCAGGAAGAAAGTAATTATTTATACATAATATCAGCACTGTAGCAATTAATTTGCTGCGGCACGTGCTGAGTGGCGGCCACGTTGCCAATAACAAATATGAAGTTTGTTTTCTATTATTAATAAGTGTAACTCTTTGTTATTGGCAATAAATAATTTCTTTCTTTCTTTAAAAAATATATATATATATTTAATTACTTTAAGAATTAGAGTATTAACTGAAGAACATACACGTATTGTACAAATAAAAAAAGAAAAGTTACGAAACTTGGCAATTCTATAATCATCGAAAATTATTTGAATTTTTCTTTTTTAATTATGTAATGGCGCTTCCCTTACATAATTAAAAAATATATTCTATCTGATGAATTTGTCACGGGTTCGAAATTTTTTTTTTATACAACTTAGAATGGCATACAAGCTGACGGTCCACCTGATGGAAAATGGTAACCGTCGCCTATAGACATGAGCAGTACCATGGACATAACAGAGTATACTGTTTCGCCCATGATACCCTCCATGCGTTGCCATTCCTGAGGATTCAGGTGTTATTCCTGTGTACCCAGTAATTTCACGCCATATCCCACCCTTCAAACTGAAACACAGCCATGCAAACACAACTGCTTTACAGTTGAAACTCGAATGGGACAGAGGTACCCAAACAATTGACTTTTGTACAAAGTCTCCCTCTGGTATAGTTACGCCACTGTAAATTATTATTATTTCAGCCGTTAATTGTCAACTGCTGGACATAAGCCTTTCCCATAAGGAAAGTGTTGCCAGTAGTTGCCACGCTTGGCAGGCGGGTGGGTAATCGAAGTTAGGTTTTTACAGATGTTTTAAAAGGGACGCTGCTGCCCATACCTCGCCCTCCCTTAGTCGGCTCTTACGACATCCACGGGAAAAGGGTAAACCACTGTAAATAGTAATTATATGCTTAAGTTATTACGTTCGCAGATAAACCCAATCAGGAATTTTTTCATCACGAATAAATTCTGCGTATGTTGGTATATATTGTTTGCTCAAACATGCTTGGAAATGTGAGCATTATTTTGACAATCTTAGAGATAAATCAAAATTGCTGTACTGGCCAGATACATGCGAGCAGCGGCCGGCAAAAGTTGTATGAAAATCCATATCTGTCGTGTTTTGCGGCCAGATAAATTACTATGTAAACTCATATCTGTCCTGTAATTTAAAAGTGGAATGACCTAACTAATGAAAGGTTTTATTTAAATTTGGAACTGGCTTGCAAATAGAAAGCCGTTTATTGAAAAAAAAAAACAAAGGAATTTTATGGCGCGTGAAAAATTATTTTTGTTCGTTATTCGTCATTGAACTTAAAAAGTAAAATTGTTTTTGATTTCCGCGTATTGTTTGAGAAAAGTACTATACAAATCTTGGCTACAACTAGGCATTGATGGACTCACGTATGTGTGCCTCGGCTATGCCTCGACCCACCTTTGCACGTTCGTCCATCAATGCCTCAGTTGCTGGCCGCTGCAGTAATGTACTATTTTAGTATTTGTTTGTTTAATATAAGGTTAAACATATAATTTTTTATTAGCTATAATTTACAGAGTTGTTTCTTTTCTAACTGTTGCAATGTATAACGTCGTTACAGAAATATATTAATATATCTAATATGATTTTTATTTTTACCTCTATTTGCATTCTTTCTCATTTTTCATCGGAGGTCATTTGCGTCTTCGGCACGCAATGCGCATTATGCATTTCCTGCAAGAGGTTTTGTCGTGAATACAAATGCGGAAAATGTTCGACAAAGTTTTCACACAAACAAATAGCTGTTATAGCAATTTGTTTATGTTTGTATCAAGATAATGAAATGTAACTAGTTTTTTTTTTTTTTTTTTAAATAACAGATACTAACTGAAATTAGTAACGGATCGAAATATTTAAAAGAATCTATTTTTTTTTTACTACCGTTGGACATAGCTGGTCGCCTTATGGGCGGAACAATTATTTGTTCTTATCTTTGTTAAGTTCTACTAAAATAACATTTGCTTATCAAAACATTCCTAATTATTTACATTACACATTTGAATTAGATATTCTTTTATACGTCGATATATACATGTATAATATATTATGTATATATGTACGTTTTGGGTCATAAACGTACTTAAAGAGTAACTGGGCGGACCGTTTTCACTCCATGAAATGAAATTCAGAATTTTCGGAGCCAATTTCGTATTTTTATTCATACCGAACTCGGCCCAGTAAATGGTGCTTAACGTTTTATTTGTCATAAATCCTACCATAAAACATTTTTAATATTTTTAAACGATAGATACTCTTTATTGTTTCCTATAAAAGACTACAGTAGTAAACTTATTATAACTAGAGACAATTTAAAAAAATGTTTACGCTAGGCGATTTTTTTCCAGGCAATCTTTGATTTTTTTTATACAACTTAGAATGGCAAAGAAGAATAGCCCACCTGATGGAAAGTGGTAACCGTCGCCTATAGACATGGGTAGTACCATGGACATAACAGAGTATACTGTTTCGCCTATGATACCCCCCCATGCGTTGCCATTCCTGAGGACTCAGATGTTATCCTCTGTACCCAGTAAATTCACGGCATATCCCACCCTTCAAACCGAAACACAACCATGCAAACACAACTGCTTCACGGTTGAAACACGAATGGGACAGAGGTACCCAAGCAATCGACTTTTGTACGATATGTATTATTTAATTTTAACATCAAATTTGTGTTTTGTTCGACCCCGAAATTTCGGAAAACATTTCATGGTAGGCTCTTCGGATGCGAGTGAAGCTTCCTAGATACATGTAAGAAGACATACGCCTTTTTAAGGGATTAGACCTTTGATAGACAATAATTTTAAATAAATCTATTTACAGATATTGCATTTATAAAATAGATATACATTCGACATAATATTAATAGGATTACGACACAACACAGGTAAGTTATTTTACAAAACGTACTCGAAACATAAATACCTAATAAATCATCATCATCTTCCTACCTTTATCCCAATTATTATTTGGGGTCGGCGTAATATGTTTTCCTCTTCCATTCTTTTTTTTATTCTTATCCATATTACGAAAAAAAGGTTTGGCTTATAGTTTTACGACCGGCCGCCTGCCTGACGTCAATCCTCCTTAGGAAAGCATTTGTTAGTGGTTTCCGCCACCTGCGATGAAAAAGAAAGGATTAAGGAAAAGGAAGGGAATGTTGGACGTGCGTAAAGGAACATGGTAGATAAGAGGGATAAAAGAGTTAAGTGGGAAAGGAAAGGGAAGGAAATAAATTTCTATAATAAATTTACTATTGGAATCTTTTGGAGGAAACAATAAAGAATATCTATCTATTTAAGTGGAAATTTTGTCCTTTTAAGTTAAAAAACGTTTATTCCGATATCTGGTGACGAGTGCTATAATTTCATAATAAAGCTTCATTCAGAATATTTTAGAAAACTACCTTCATATTGCTCTAAAACGAACAAGTTGCAAAAACCTGCCAACAAAATTTGGCATCTTCTATTTCATATTTCGGTTTTAAAGTTCTCAAATAGTTTCTCGGTACTTTTTCATGAAGAAATTCCAAAGTTTAATAAAGAATGTAAGCCTGGTAGACTAAAGAGAGAGAGCAGTATCTTCTTACAGTGCCTGGCTTTTTATTGAAGTTTACCTGTCTGCTCACGAAATCTGTCTTTGCAAGATGGAATAATTCAACTGCACTCGTAATGCTTATCTACTCCTGTATGTTGCAGAATCGAGACTTTTTAACCAACTTCAAAAAAGAGATTCCTAATTCGGTTGTATTTTTTTTAATGTCTTTTACCTTATAACTCTTTAAATTTTTTTTTTAATATTATTTTAAGGGCTTTTACTTTTTTCAGGTATATCAGTCCTATTGCACCCTGAACTGATTTCTCAATCAAAATTTTATCTACTTTCCCTAGACGCGGAAAGAGAAGAATTAATGGGCATCAATAATTTACAGAGATATTCAAAAATTTCTGGTTTAAGTTCAGCTTACATAGATTGAATAACACCAACATTATCAACAAATAAATAAATAAATAAACATTCAATTTATTTAAGTTAAAGTGGTAAATCAATTTGGAATTTTTTTTTTTATAAGTATTCAGTAGTTTAGTTTTTTAATCAAAATACCTGGTTTGCCACAACTGAAGTTGTTTTTTTTTGTGAAACAAAATCTTAAATTATGATAGATCATTTCGATGTATATATTTTAATATTTTGTCCCATAAAATTAACCGACTACAAAATTAGTATAAGGTACTTTTTTGGTTAAAGAAAGATTCATAAAAATCGGTATAGGAGCGAAAATGATATGGATGGCATGTAGGTATAATATAAAAAAATGCAGTCGAAATTAAAATCTCTGAAATGTTTTGATAATCTTATGTACCTATACCTCATATCAGGACAGGAGTGTAAGGTGGGCTTCGGCATCAGCGAAAGGTAAATGCAAGTGTCAGATCGCGCAGTGCGGGGCGCATGCGCGGCCCGGGTTGCCTCCGAAATCGCCTGGCACCATGTAACCAGCTTCTAGTGATGGGAAGCAAGTTTCTTTCGCCACGATAAGTTAATTACTTAATCCCTTTTAATTTTTTTCTCTTTTAATTTTCCTAAATCTAAGGACATTATTTGTGAAACTGTATAATTTTTCATAAGATATGCCGTATGATACGATGTATATATATATTTGAACGTACACATATCATACGAACTGTCCACATTCAGCCATGAAGTACGAATGGCTGATTTGATATTGATATGAATTGCGCGATCGAAAACGATTTTAAAATTATTGTCAGAAAGATTGACATTTTAAATATTCTGATAAATTTATCTCGTATGACGATTTAAAAATTTGACATGCTATTTGTTACTTATTATTTTTTATTGTAATTAGAATAAATATTGTTACTGTAAGGCACGCCATTAAAACAATGTGGCTAAATATGTGATTCTATAACACTAATGAAGATCTATTTCAACCATAAAATTATTAGGTATTCGTATTTTAAAACATGTTCTTTTTTAAAATTTATCATTTATTTTTTTATACAACTTAGAATGGCAAACAAGCTGACGGCCCACCTGATGGAAAGTGGTAACCGTCGCCTATAGACATAAGCAGTACCATGGACATAACAGAGTATACTGTTTCGCCCATGATACCCCATATATGATGATATAAATGATGATATCATTTATATAATTTTAACTCACTTATACTGTGACTTGGTCCATGTAACTGGGATAAAAAGTAACCTATATCCTTCTCCATTCTATATATATACTACATATATACCAAATTTCATAGTGATTAGCTAAGCCGTTATGGCGCTACACAAACAAACTCACTTTCACATTTATAATATTAGTAAGGATATACTAACAGAGTAACTAATTAACTAAAGCGTAGTAAATTATTTACAATCACGAATGGGCTACGGCTATGGCATAGGAGGCTGGTAGACATAATACCAATGTATGTATCATAGTAATGAATACCATAGTAATGAATTTACAACATTGATAATGGTGCTACGGCGTAGAAGACAGTTTAAACGATGCTACTACATAGTAAATGCAGCTACAATACTACACGGTGCTACGGCGTAGCTTACTTCTACGCGTAGAAAATATAAGTTGTTTTTTAAACGTGAACTAGGTTACGTTGCATAGATTATAGTTTTAATATAGGCTTCATATACATATAGGTATGTAACTATTACATTGTTAAATCGCTACATATTATACTGTAGCATAGTGCTACAATTAGCCTAATGCTTATATTACAGCGTAGCGTTACACAATATAATTTTGTTGTAGATTTCATATGCTTATAGTTATGCTTTTTTTTTAATGGATGATAAAATGTAACGTTTATATGTAACTTACAAATGCAATAAAGAATATAGTGAAGGATGATAGGTGATAAAGCAGGTCAGTTAACCCATCATAACGAATTCAACAATAAATCAATCATGATGGTTTCTAGGGAGGACCACGTGGAGGTCGACCAGTTAGGGTATATTGCTAGTAATGGGACCGGTAGTCCACATTACTAACAATCCCTTTCCTGCCCGCCTATAGCTACATTTCGGCATGGTATGCTACGGCGTAGCCCCACACGTAGTTTTAACGTCGTAGCCACTGAAGCGCAGTACTATGTCATAGGTAAAGATTTTTTTTATATCAGTGTCTTAATGAAATATTAATTCTTATTTAATACTGAATATTCCGTCTGTGCTTAGTAGAAATTAAATAATCTAATGTAGTAAATTGCCAAAATTTCGAAAATGGTCAGAGATAAATTTTAGTTTAACTACATATAACTTTTTTTGGTATCAATAAAGAAGAATCCATTATATCTAAAAAAAAAAAATATTTACTGTTCTCTCATCCCGCGTCGCAGCACTACACTGCAGCATTTTCAAGGTTACATCTCTCAGTGGGCTGCAAGCAGCCGGCGAGTTCGCACGATGACACGTGCGCTATGAGTACACCACGCGAGACAAGGTCCAACGATAACGTAGAGCTACTGCCGCTGAAGTCAGCACTCGTCAATAACAATTACAGAGACGATGACGCCTACTACCCCCCGCACCCGGTCGTCAACAACAACCCGTCGAGTTCCAATCTATTCGAATACACGCTCCTCTCGAAAAGGACACCGGCCTCAAAACGGTATGTGGCCTATCAATATTGTGATCAAATTATGGAATATTGAATCTCAGTTCGAATTTTAAAATATTATTGAGGTAATATTATTAAAATATCGAATCTGTCCGAGATAAATTCATCGTCAAATTGTTTTCAGTTATCTTGTTTTTGTTATTTTTATGTTATCAAATGTTAAAGCCTATACATGACAGATACATGTCTAAAGAAATCAGTTGTTTTTAACTAGTAATTTAAACTTATTATTAATTTTTGTCATAAGAAACTTGAATTTAGAAAGAAAAGATTGAATTTAGAAATTTATTTTGCTACTTATCTAAAAAAGTTTATATTTTTAACTCATAAAACATATGTAGATAACGCATATTACGAGAAAAAGTTTTTTTTTTTTAATTAAAAGTTGTAATTTGCGGTTTTTAATAAATGAATGTGCTTTTATTTGCTTTTTATTATACTTTGTTTCCTACATATTGGCGCTCTGTTGTTTCTACGACTACTCACCTACTCCTCAAGGTTCTGGCGCGAAGTAGAGGAGATTTATTTTTAATTAATAAATAGATGCGTAAGTTTTATTATTAATATTAATTAGGAAGGGATTGTTAGCAATGCAGTTTGACAGCCCCATTGCTAGCAATATGCCCTATCAGGTCAACCTCCTCGTGGTTCCCACTAGAAACCATCGTGAACAATTCTCGTTGATATCGTCACGATGGGTTAACTGACCTGCTTCATACTCACCTATCATCCCTCACTGGTGCCCCGCCGGTGTATACCGATAGCGCTGGTGGTGTTACTATTTCATTATCACCTATAAAAAAAATTAATAAGTATTAATAGGCATATGGTGGCTCAAGACCGTTCCCTATGGCAGGCTATGGAGGTAGGAGGAGGAGGTTTATGTCCAGCAGTGGACAGATATAGGCTAAAATGATGATGATGGTGAATATGTATATGAGATTAAGCGATGTTTGTTGACTAGTTATACTACGCCCGTTTTTGGCCCCATTTATTAGGTACTTAGTAGGATAAAAGGTATCATAATTAAGTTTGCGTACCAAATTTTCATTAAAGCACATTCAGTAGCAACAAATATCTTTATAATTTTTCTTTTTTACAAATTAATAAAATACGTTACACACTTTCGCATACATCACGGCTCAATAAACAAGAAGTTTCGTGCTCTAACCTGTAGTAAGTTAAAAAAAAAATTGAATAACACCGTATGAAGTCATTATTAAGTTATCAGGTTCCTGAAAGAATTTATTTTTATTATTCATTGATACCATTAATTTAAGAATCGCAACTTCGCATAGACTTACATTGTAAACTAATTTGACATGTTATCTCTCGATTCAGTAAAAATATCCGTGGAAAAAATAAATATACTAGCTTTTGGCCATGACTGACGTGCATGTCCGGGATATGTTTATTGACCGGGATAAAAAGTAGCCTTATATCTTTCTTCATCTCATATACCATAAGGTGCTATAAGGTAACAAGCAAACAAACTCAATTTCACATTTTTAATGTAAGTAAGGATTATTTCTCAGATGTAATGTTACATACATACATACATATCTGTCACGTCTGTCTCCCATTAGGGTAGGCAGAAACAATGGAACGCCAAATGCTTCGATTCAAACAAAACTCTTTCACGTAATGTTCTAAATATAATAAATTTTTAGAATGACATAAATAGGTCCAGATCATTGCCTCCTATCCACAGATTACCATTAACATTTTGTTTGTATGTTACAAACAAAATTTAATTCAGTCACGGGTAATCCGTTTTGATCATAATATAATATAATATATAACATTAAAACCCTTTTTGTTGAAAAAGGAATTTCATAATCGAAACCGAATTATTGTGGCAACACTTGGAAAACAACGGACGTTAAATAAATCTTTCCAGTTGTTTTTACACGCTTATTACATTAATTAATTGCTTCGATGTTGTGAAGGTTATATATTGTGTTTTAGGTTCAGCGCAGACTAACAGACAGGCGCGAGCACCTAAAAATTCTTACTAATATAATCGCGAGAGTATAATTATTAGTTTGTTTACTCTTCCTGCTTTAACGCATGAGGGGTATCATGGGCGAAACAGTATATATACTCTGTTATATGTTTTACTAGAGGGAGACTTTGTACAAAAGTAGATTGCTTGGGTACCTCTGTCCCATTCGTGTTTCTACCGTGAAGCAGTTGTGTTTATATGGCTGTGTTTCGGTTTGAAGGGTGGGATATGGTGAATTTACTGGGTACAGAGGAATAACACCTGAGTTCTCAGGAATAGCAACGCATGGGGGGTCACATGGGTGAAACAGTATATTCTGTTATGTCCATGGTACTGTTCATGTCTATAGGCGACGGTTACCACTTTCCATCAGGTGGGCCGTCAGCTTGTTTGCCATTCTAAGGTCATATAATTTGATAGCCGTGTGATTCCGGTATAGAAAAGGCCATCCCTTCCTTTCTCTTGGGTGTTGTAAAAGGCGACTAAGGGAGGGCGAATTGGCAGCAGCGTTCTCTTAAAACATCTTCAAGCCTAACTGCGGTTTCCAATTCGCCAATTCTGCCAAGCGTGGCAACTACTGGTAAAATCCTCTAATGGGGAGGGTTATGTTCAGCAGTGGACAGTTAAATGCTGATATGATGATGATTATAAATGTAAGCGTATGATGATTTGTTTCTTAATTCTTCTCGCTCTAAAGGTCCAAAATTAAAGTCATGTAATTAGATATGTACGAACATTCAAAGGAATTTTCTCCTACAAACGCTCAGGCTTTGGGATGAGCTCCCTGCCGCGGTTTTCCTTAGAAACTACAGTATGGGATTTTGTTTGTTATATTAAGGTTTCTTCAGGGTCGGCAACGCACATGTGACACCCCAAATGTTGCAGGCGTCCATAGGCTACAGTGACCGTTTATCATCAGACTTCCTATTTGCTTGCTTGCCACTTTTGTAGTATAAAAACATACCTATGGTATGCAAAAGAACATAAATTACTATTTATCAAGGTCAATCGACATATTGCCGCGTCATGCGAAGAATGTCACGGGAAAAAGCTAGTCGTTTAGAAGTTTATCGCAAAAATACATTGTGCGTCTCGCTCAGGAGTTAGCAGGAACTTAACTTTTTTTTTTTAGAGATGTAAACGGAATGAATTTTTATGTTTAATAAAATAAAATAAAGGATCTCATGAAATTTGATTCGGTGGGTGAATAGCGTAAATTCAGCATCCTTTTCATGGTCGTCATAAAAAAAAAAATATTTAAAAGAAAGAAAAAATTTTAAATGTCGTTTTTTTTTTCATCGCAAGAGGAGAGGGGTTATCCGAAAATTGCTCAAGGACTCCAGGTAGGCTAAGGCCAACGCTGTGTCTTTCAATGTATATCATTAGCTTGAGCGGGTGTACCATTCCGTCTTCATTCATTAAAACGAAATAGCCTTTGTGGGACATCAATCACTGTCACGTCACTTCGAGCGCTTCCGCGCGACTTAGACCGCCCCGTTTATTTTATTATACGAATTTCAAATTAGAACGAATTAGTCTCTTCGTCGCTCTGTTTGCGCTGACCCTTAAAGGGAAAGCAACTACCCACCTACCTCAACCGTCGCTAGAAATGCTAATTTTCTCTTGCTATCATAATAAAACAATCTGGAGAGGAAAAGCTTGCTTGTTTTCAAGTGGCTCCAATTAGTTGTTGTTTGCGTTTGTTGTTTGTAGACATATACCTGTGACACTGTTTTTCCAAGTTTACTCTCATGTGACAAGCGGAAATAAGCATGCATAAACACAAACAAAAGAGAAACAATAATGACATTATTTAGTTCCTGACATTAATCAAATTTGCTTGAATTATTCAATTGGTAGATTCCGAGGGAGATTTTATACAAAAGTCGCTAGTTTGGGTACCTTTTCCCCATTCGTATTTTTGTCTCGAAGCACTTGCGCTTGTATGGCTGCGTTTTGTTTCGAAGAGTGAGATATGGCAGTGAAATTAGAGTACGGAGGCATAACACCGAAGTTCTCAAGAATGGCAATGCATAGAGAGACACCTATTATTATTTGTTTTACATTTCATTCCCATTCGTGTTTCAACCGTGAAGCAGTTGTGTTTGCATGGCTGTGTTTCGGTTTGAAGGTTGGGATATGGCGTGAATTTACTGGGTACAGAGGATTAACACCTGAGTACTCAGGAATGGCAACGCATGGGGGGTATCATGGGCGAAACAGTATATTCTGTTATGTCCATGGTACTGCTCATGTCTATAGGCGACGGTTACCACTTTCCATCAGGTGGGCCGTCAGCTTGTTTGCCATTCTAAGTTGTATAAAAAAATAAAAATTAAAAAAAAATAAAATTTTTCTTCAAAATCAAATTTATTTATTATCAGATAACAAGATCCATACTGTTAGTAACAAACATACAATTATAATAGTAAAAAAAATTTTTAGTAAATCATATGTCAATAAACCATACACCTGAGAGAGTAATACCATATGGTATTGCAGCATGAATGGGCCGGCTCGACCGGGGAAGTACCACACCCTCACAGAATACCGACGCTAAGTGGTTGCACTTTCAGTGCGATCACATTCCGTACGGTGAGTGAGGGAGTCCGGAGGCCCATCCCATACCCATCCCTTTCCTATTCCTAAAATCCTTTCCCCAACCCCGTCCCCCTATCTTACAACACGCAACCATGGCAGTGGAATTAAAAAAAAATAGCATACCCCAGGGAGGTACCAGTAACCATGTTGCTGGAGAATCCTCTCTCGAGCAACCACGCTCGGGCTGCCCTGCGTATTCTGGGGGGGGCAAAATTCCGCTCTTTGGAACCAAGGGCAAACGGAGCAAGATTTCTACGGCATCCCCTTCGCTCAATGTGAGCTTCTGCAATATCAGGGGATTACATTCTAACCTAAACGCTGTCCACCACCACCTAGAAACGGCGCGGCCGGCATTGCTCTTTCTAACGGAGACACAGATATCCTCTCCAAACGAAACTTCATACCTGACGTACCCGGGCTATAAACTTGAACATTGTTTTGTTTCGCGTGCCGGTGTATGCGCGTATGTCAGAGAGGATATCTGCTGTCGCCGCCTTGGAACTCTTGAAGGTACGGACCTGTCTATTTTATGGCTGCGCGTAGACTGCAATGACCATCCTCGCGTCTATGCATGCCTATACAGGTCCCACAGCGGTAACATCGAAACCGACCAACTCATTGAGCACGTCCAAATGGCTACAGATTCCCTGCTCGAACAGATTCCTTCCGCTGAAGTCGTGATTCTTGGCGATTTTAATGCCCACCATACCGAATGGCTTGGTTCACGTACAACCGACTATGCGGGAAGATCTGTTCATGACTTTGCTTTGGCTTATGGTCTGACGCAGCTTGTTTCCTCGCCTACGCGAATACCTGATGTGTTGGACCATTCACCTTCACTGTTGGACCTTCTGCTGACCACCCACCCAGACAACTATGTGATTTCCGTCGAAGCTCCGCTTGGATCGTCGGATCACAGTCTGGTGCGGAGCGAGGTGCCTCTCATGAGTCCGATTCCACCACGTTCCACGGGTAGACGTCGTGTCTGGCACTACAGGTCAGCGGACTGGGATGAGATGCGGATTTTTTTCGCATCTTACCCATGGAGGCGGGTTTGCTTCACACTGGATGATCCTGACGCCATTGCCGATTCCATTGCTGATGTGGTGCTTCAGGGAATGGAATTATTTATTCCTAACTCTGTGGTGCCCGTCGGCGGGAAATCCCAGCCCTGGTATGGAGCCTCTTGTAGAACAGCATCTCGTCTGAAACAGGAGTGCTTCCTAACCTGGGCTAAAGGTGTGGCGTCGCGAGATCCTAACACCAGTGCTCTCAAAAAGAAGTATAACTCTGCCTCTAGGTCTTTCAAAAGAGTTATAGCCACAGCGAAGTCAGAGCATATCAGTAGAATTGGCAAGAGATTGGCTAGTTTGCCCTCTGGGACTCGAGCTTTCTGGTCTCTTGCCAAAGCTGCACAAGGGAATTTCTGTAAGTCATCTTTTCCACCATTGCGCAGGGAGGATGACTCGTTGGCCCAGAACGCTAAGGAAAAGGCCGATCTTCTTGGATCCATCTTTGCGTCAAACTCGACATTGGATGACGGGATGAAATCACCACCGACCATCACGTGTTGTAGGAGCTCTATGCCTGACATTAAATTCACGCATAGCTCAGTGCGTAGAGCACTTTTCTCCCTCGAAATCCATAAGTCGAGTGGGCCCGATGGTATTCCTCCAATTGTGCTTAGGACGTGCGCACCAGAGTTGGCTCCGGTTCTTACGCGTCTTTTTCGGCTTAGCTACTCATCGGGCATAGTCCCAAAGTTTTGGAAGACTGCTCTGGTGCATCCGATCCCTAAAAGGAGATCGCTCAGATCCAGCTAACTATAGGCCCATAGCTATCACTTCCTTATTCTCGAAGGTTATGGAATCCATCATTAACCGTCAACTGCTCCGGTACCTAGAAGAGCACCAGCTGATCTGTGATCGCCAGTACGGCTTTCGACAGGGACGTTCGGCTGGTGATCTTTTAGCTTACTTAACACACCGATGGGCAGTGGCAATCGAGAGTAAGGGAGAGGCCTTAGCAGTTAGTCTGGATATCGCGAAGGCCTTTGATCGGGTGTGGCATAGAGCGCTGCTTTCAAAGCTACCTTCATTTGGGTTGCCTGCGAGACTGTGCATTTGGGTCGCCAGTTTTCTCAAGGAACGTAGCATTAAAGTCGTAGTCGACGGAGCATGCTCTGATTTAAAACCTTTGAATGCTGGTGTCCCGCAAGGCTGTGTACTATCTCCGACTCTGTTTCTTCTGCATATCAATGATATGTTACAGATAAGTAATATTCATTGCTATGCAGACGACAGTACAGGAGATACATTATATACCGGTCATGCAAAGATCTCGCGGGCACATACCGATGAGTGCCGGAATAGACTTGTGTCTGAAATCGAAACTTCACTCCATCAAGTTTCGATCTGGGGTGAACAAAATCTTGTCCAATTTAACCCCAAAAAGACACAAGTCTGCGCGTTTACCGCAAAAAAGACGCCGTTTGTCGTATCTCCTCACTTTCAGGGCACTTCCCTTGATAAAAAGTCGAGTCTAGGAATTCTGGGCGTTGATATATCTTGCGACGTCCAGTTTTGCGGTCATCTGGAGGAGAAGGCTAAGATAGCTTCCAAAAAGTTAGGAGTACTCAATAGGGTGAGACGATATTTCATGCCAGAACACCGCCTGAAATTATATAAAGCCCAAGTCAGGCCGCATATGGAATACTGTTCTCACCTGTGGGCAGGAGCGCCACAGTACCAACTCCTTCCGTTAGACCGCATTCAAAGTCGGGCGGCTCGAATTATCGATAGTCAACGCCTTACTGTCCGACTCGACCCACTGAAACTGCGCAGAGATGTTGCATCTCTGTGCATCTTCTACCGAATTTATCATGGGGAGTGTTCTGAGGAATTGTTCGGATTGATACCTGCTGCTGATTTTCACCACCGTACAACCCGCCACAAACTAAAGTTTCATCCCAATCATCTGGACGAGTGGCGGTCTTCCACCGTGCGTTTTTCAAGGCACTTTCTTCCACGCACAACCATTCTTTGGAATCAACTTCCAGCAGCAGTATTTCCGAACCGATACGACAACATAACCTTCAAGAAAAGAGTATATTCCTTTTTAAAAGGCCGGCAGCACACCTGCAATGCCGCTGGTGTTGTGGGTGATCATGGGCGGCGGTAGTCACTTACCATCAGGTGAGCCGCATGCTCGTTTGCCCCCTGTGTTGTAAAAAAAAAAAAAAAAAAAAAAACCTGAGAGGCATCCCGTCAGGATGGCAATGGACCAGGGAATGATTATTTTCAATTTTTTCATCGTTGTGATAAAATGTCCTATAACAAGTGCATGGATATCTTCAGCTTTCATTTTAAGAATGGTGTTGTTACTCCCTTCATTTGTCTCTTTATGAATGCGACTTTCTTATAAATGAGGCCATAGAAAACATCAATCCGTTCTTAAACGAACCTTTCTGAGGCGCTATAAAAGCGAGGGTCCCAATATCATACTGAAAAAGTTATTGCATGTGATACGTAAAGTATCCAGCGATTTTTAGTATATCTGAGTCTAAAACCACCCGTGCTAAGACTCTGACGAGACAATATGCATTGAACAGTGTAATTTTGACCTGGTTCGAACATCGCATACATTGCATCAGTTACAGAAATAATAAATATATTATTATTACCATGTTAATTAAAATATATATTTTATGTTTTTCATGTATACATGTAGACGACGATTACCAGTTTCCATCAGGCGCTCGTATCGTTTAGCTTGTTTGCCATTTTAGCTATTATAGAAAAGTCAAATGATTTTAAATTTTTTTTTGAATGGGTGAAAATGGTATGGTAACCCCGCCTGCGCTAACGGGATACGCTGGCCGAGCACCAGTGAAGGGTGATAGATGAGAATGAAAACAGGCCAGTTAGCCCATCATGATGAATTCATCAGGAATTAACCATGATAGTTTCCAGGGAGAATCGCGAGGAGGTCGACCTGGTTGGGTATATTGCTAGCAATGGGATTCTTAGTCTCCATTACTAACAATCTCTTTCCCCCCGATTTTAAATATTATATATAGATATAATGGTAATATATGGGAAAAATATCATAAATTCTTGTGCAGTCTTCTCTCGTATCTTCATTACCGAGAGTCGTGACGTGATCATATGAGGTCGTTACTTTTTGCACCATTACTCACCAAGCCGAGTCGTACAGTTTGTATATACAGATGCTTAGTTTTTTTCTATAATAACGGACTAGGTACTATGTAATAGGTTGGGAAAAAAAAATACATGTATATGATGGCAGAGAAATTTACTTTACATGTAATAATACAATTATTATTTACGATTCCCGAATACAGCATTTCGTAATTTAAAATGAAAAAAAAGTTACTTGGTAGAGTAGCTGTTTAAACGTGTTGTAAAGATCACGGTCCTGAGCCGCTGGTATCCATTGACTCCCTGCAATGGATTTGAGGTCGTCACTCTATCTAGTGGGGGGTTGTTCTACACTGCGTTTGTCCCACAAGAACCTTTCATTCCCATCGGTTGTCAGTTCTTCGAGTTATGTGACCAGCCCATTATGTATGGTTACGCCTCTATAACCTGTAAATTCATTGCCATTTCTATAAGATAAGAAATATTAATGAAATCTATTTAATTATTGCCTGTTCTCAGATTACTATCGAAAACAACACAGCCGGCGCCGACCCCACTGGTGACGCTATGTGGCGCGCCGCCACCGTCGCGGAAGCGCGAAGAGCTAGCAGCCCTCGCCAATCTGCGCAAGAAAGTTGCTCCGGCGTTGCTACACGCTGACAAGTAAGTGGAACTGTTTTTTTTTAGTTTTAGAAAAAAATTATGGTTTTTTAATGCGTTTAAATATAATATGAGATATCCACCTGCACTATTGGCATATAGGTATCAGTGAGGGATAAAAGATGAGAATGAATTCAGGTTAATCCGGTCCATCGTAATTATTTCACCAGGAAGTGACCACATTTACGGGGAGAACAACTACGTGGAAGTAAGCCATTAATCGTTATGACTAAAAATCCCATCTCTCCTCACAAAGATTGGTAACTTTATTTGCTTTTATGGTGGTACATTGGACACCAGGGAGAGATGATTGGTAAAAATTAATTTATCACGATTGATTTCAACGATAACTACTAATATAGTCCATGAGAAACTTAACTGAAGATGGATTTGGAGATTTATATATATATTGTTAAGAAATAGCACATTATAAATTATAACTCCATTTTTTAAAGGTTTATTTAATCCCAGTTATGGAATTTAAAATTCCCATGTAAGAACAACGCAATAAATAAAGATAGCGTCTATGATATATTCGATATTTAAAAGCTATTTAATGGAGCTATGGAACTGTATAATTTATTATGGAACATAAATTTTAGTAAAACCTTTTTTTTCTTGGGCTATAAACAACTGTAGTCCTATCAAATCAGTGCCATCCGGTATCAATTCGTTCCATATCAGGCCTTGAACCCCTTTTGACTACTGATTAGCTTGTGGCACGCTAGCATAAGCCCTTTTACAGCGCAGGTGAATTGGCAGTGACTTTTAGCATTTAGCTATGTATTTTACTTAATACATGCATATACGTTATATTATGAATTGTGGTATATGAAACAAACTGTATCAGTGTTTTTAGTATATAAAATTATGTACAAACTGAAGTGGCAGTGAGCTGGTCATGTATTTTTTTTATACAACTTAGAATGACAAACAAGCTGACAGCTCACCTGATGAAAAGTGGTAACCGTCGCCTATAGACATGAGCAGTACCATGGACATAATAGAGTATACTGTTTTGCCCATGATACCCCCCATGTGTTGCCATTTCTGAGGACTCAGGTGTTATTCCTCTGTGCCCTGTAAATTCACGCCATATCCCACCCTTCAAACTGAAACAGAGTTATGCAAACACAACTCTGCTTTACGGTTGAAACACGAATGGAACAGAGGTGCCCAAGCATACGACTTTTGTACAAAGCGATGGGGAAGAAAGGTTCTTAAGTGGCGACCCCGTACGGGCAAACGCAGTGTAGGATGACTTCTCACTAGATGGAGTAACGATCTCAAATGCATTGCAGGGAGTCAGCGGATGTAGATGGCTCAGGATCGTTCCTTATGGCAGTCTATAGGGGAGCTCCATGTTCAGCAGTAGACAGATGATTGCTGAGATGATGATGATGATGTCATAAACTTTATATTCTTGGGTAGATAATTGATCTCATTTTATGTAAAATACGTAATCTCATTTTATGTAAAATACGTAGTCTCATGTATATTTTTCATACAAATATCACGCCAATATGATCGATTTAGTATTAATAGATTGAAAATATATTTTCATAATCTATATTTATTTCTCCTGGGGAAATTTTAATGATTTAGTGAATTCTCTGGAGGGCGAAGTAGTTATAATAGCGAATTAATTGCAGGTGTATTTATTCATTTATTTATTACATAACATCTTGTAAGGCATTATAGTCTTCACCAATTTGCATGACAAGGCCTTAAAATATACAAATTTGTAGAATAATTTTTGTTCGAATTAATTATCACAGGAAATTAATTTTGTCGCCATCTTGTGTAGTAACTCTTCAACAGCACTTATCAATTTGTCTATGTATCTTTATTGTTAGTCAAACTTTCGATTAGCAGTCAAGTAACCTATAGCTTCCTGTATTTGTGACGCCGAAATTAATTCTCAAACATTCCACAGCTGTGCACGGATCTCTCTCCGTGACAGGAGGATATGAGCAGGCTAATATTACAATGTGCAGGCGGTACGATATAGACAAGATATAGTATCAAATTCGATATTACCTTCTCTCGCTGTGATGTATTATGATTTATTCCCTCAATATTATTATTTCACCTATGCCTTATTCATATTTATATTCATATTAATTTATTCAATAACAATCATATAATTGTTTGGAATAAATTACAATATTTTATAAAAAAAAAACAAAAAACTAAAGAAATAAACGATAAGGTCAATTAAAAAAAAATAGCTTATAATAGATAGTAGATAATATAAATTCGTCAAAAGTATAAAAAAAATCTTTCAACAAAAAGCTTAGTTTTAAAAGTATTGAAATTGTCAAGTTCTTAGTCGACTCTTACAATATGCTGGAAAAGAAAATAAACGGCTATACATTGTAATCTTACTGTCGTCATCACACTGGGGTTACATTATTGGAGCAACCTCATAAAGTAATAGAACAATATAAATAATATAGTAATAGCCAAGGTTTGGTACGAGTACTTATATCACGGGTATAATATAATGCTTTTAATTAAAGCAATCAACGATTGTAACTCAAGAGTCCTAATACGATATGATCTCTCACCACATGGAAACTTTGTCTTCTACATGGCTACCTCTGTCGTACACATATTTACACTCATTTTGTGTTGTAATGATGAAACACAGCCAGCGTTTCATCATTAGGAACTGCAGATTCTGTCCATAATCTATGGTCAGGAATGATCATTTATTGTTAAGTGGGCCGTCAACGTGTTCTATAAAAAAGATAATTATCTAGTAAACTAAGAAACTTTTTAAAAGTGCAGTAACTATTTAAGCTACTATTACCAAGTGAAACAATATTTTTTATTGCAGAAACTCCAAGAATAACAACGAAACAAATAAAGAAGACAATGAAGAACAATTGGACAACAGGCCTAAACTTCTACAGAAGGTATGTACGTTACATCAACAGTACATAACTATAGCAAAACAACAATGGATTGGACTAAAAAATATCTGTGTTTCAAACACAATTTTTTTTTTGTACCATGAAGGTAGTAAACAGGCATACAGCTCGTATAATAAATAGTAAAAGGTTACTGTAGTCTATGGAGGGCTGCAACATTAGGGGGGTTATGTGCACGTTGCCGGTTTTATAGAAACTTTAATACACGCTTTTTGAAGAACCCCATACAGTAGTCTCTAGGGAAATCTCGGCAGGGAGTGTAATCGCGAAAAAATTCCTTTTAAATCGCACTGTACGCGACAATTTAGATATATACATACTCTTTACTGTTTCCTTCAAAAGATTACAATAGTAAACTTTTTATTAATACAAATAATTACAAGAAATAATCACAGTAAGGAAACAATGGGCGACCTTATTGCTAAAAGCGATTTTTCCAGGTAACCTTTGAATGGAGAGAAGTTATAAACGATTCAAACGATATAAACTGTTTGAATGGAGGCACGATGAAAATTCTATCATTTCTAAATATGGCGACGTAATAATGTAAATGTAAATAATAACCCTACTCATTAATATAATAATTATATGTATATATATATATATATATATATATATAGGTATATATATATATATATATATATATATATATATATATATATATATATATATATATCTAAAAATATAGTTAATTAAAAAATAGAGTTAAAAAGTTTTTATTTGTGCCAGTAATTCTAAATTAATTAAATAGATATTTGCCACAGCATCGCTCGCACTTAAATTTCCTATTCGTGTAGGAATATTAGTGAAATACAAATATTCCAGCCATCTTAGACAAATGGCAAACGAGTCTGTCGATAATAGGTTTTTGTTCGCATACATATGGGAAAGAACAAGTCGTTGAACAATGTTTTATTTCTTGCACTCGTTAAGAGTGTTAAAGTAGGGCAACGTCGCAATCATCTGTCACTTTTAAAAAAATAACCTTCAAGAAAAGAGCATATTCCTTTTTAAAATGCCGGCAGCATATCTGCAATGGTTTAGGTGTTGTAGGTGATCATGGGCGGCGGTAGTCACTTACTATTAGGTTGCCAGGACCCACTTTTTATATTTTACAAATTATTACAATTATCTTTTTTTTAATAATTAATAAGAAATATTAAAAATCGTTAAACTCTTTTAGAAAATTGGTATATAATTGCGACGTTGCCACACATATCAAAAGTTATGAACGCTTTTAAAGATAACAGTTTTAAGGTAGATCGACTGCTTCTGCGAATGACAGCAATATACTCACTTCTAGTTACGTTGACTTCTAATATGATTGTCAAAGTGCGGGTATGTCGAGAGTTACATTCGCCACAGCGTCTACAGTCAACAATTTCTGTAACTTTAGGTGTTACATTACATTATTTTTTATATCCGTTAGCCCATCAGAGCAACAGATCCGATATCTATATATTGGGTTCCTCTGAACATTAATGACGGGAAAAAGTCCTCACGTATTTTGATATCGCCCATATATGTCGAATTTCTGTTTTCGAATATGTTAAAAGTCTGTTATCCAACATTGTTAAGGCAGTATCTGTAATATGTCTTTGCTATAATATAGAAATAAAAAAATATTGTCTGGTAAAATATGGCGTAAAAAATATACGGAAAATTATATCGGAAATTCGGCATTTTTAATTTTATATCAACCTCGGAATAAACAAACATAATTTTTTGGATAACAAACTTTTTAGATATTCTTTATTGAATCAATATAAAGATATTGCAACTAAAATACGTAGATATTGCTATATATATCTCACCCCTAATAGAAAAATAAATTAGTATTTTATATTAGCTTTAATATGATTTTTTTATTCTTTTGACTACATTATTATAAATTGGGTAGGAATAATAATATATAATATTCGTTACTCTCTAATAATATAGTTATCTATAGGTGAAAGAATTTTGCAGTTTACAGTTGATTAAACTCCAACAGACTACGATATTACATTACAAACAAATATTTACTCTTTATAATATTAGTATAGAGTATTGTGAAATACAAAATACAATAATTATTTATATAGCACAAGAAAATCCGCTAAGCTCGACGGTTGATCCGTCTGACTGACGTTAGGCTTTATATGTAGGTAAGCTATTTTGATATAGGCAACCACTAAAAGGGTTTTCGTCAAACAGCCCTAAAGACGGTGCGACGAGAGACGCACAAACATTAAATATTTATGCTGAAAATAAGTCTTCTTTTGAGGTTTTTTTTTTTGGTAAAGTTTTTAACGACTCTGGAAACTAGTCATTGGGCTTAATCCCAACTAAAATGTTCAGAAATGAATAATTTTTACACTAAATTCATTGAACAATGTTAGTAAGGTTGCCAGATACTCATTTTGATTTTTACTCATACGTTGAATATTTTTTCTACAAATCGATACGATTTCAGAGACTTTTGTCTCATTATAAACTTGTATTGTTTTTCACTATGTTTTGTCATGTGCCACAAAGTGAACGGTGAAAAAAAAAGGTCATTCCTTCTGTTTTTATTTTTCACTCTTATTATTTTCTGTTATGCATCTTCATTATCATATTTTACTTAATTACATCTTTCTTTCTTTTTCTTTTTATACAACCTAGAATGGCAAACAAGCTGACGGCCCACCTAATGGAAAGTGGTAACCGTCGCCTATAGACATGAGCAGTACCATGGACATAACAGAGTATACTGTTTCGCCCATGTTAACCCCCATGCGTTGCCATTCCTGAGGACTTAGGTGTTATGCCTCTATACCCAGTAAATTCACGCCATATCCCACCCTTCAAACCGATAGCCATGCAAACACAACTGCTTCACTGCTACATACCTTTAAAGACTTATAAGTACAATTTACATACTTGTATAGTTATATATTTAGTACTCTAAAACTGTTATCCAAAATATCTAAAAATTATTACCTTAATTTCTCCAAGCCCATATCATTTTTCCAAGATTTTGCGAACAGAAAAATTTTTACCCGAAAATACAAAAACAAAATACCCAGTTTGACAATGCTGTGCTGTAATCTGTTAAAAATCCAAAAGGCAACACAATAATTTTTAGATTCTTGTGTCTGAATATTTGTTCTGGTATCACGCAAAAACTATTACAAAAAATATTGAGTCGAATGGGTTTTCATAGCTATACTCCTGCAAATTAAAATAATCTGGTGTAGATTTTATCTTAATACGCTATCATCTAATTAAACGATTTTCCTAATTTCGAAATCCATGAATAGGAAATCACGGGAAAATGTTAATACTCAATAAGCTTAGTTGTTCTAACACTTAATTGTACTTATATAATTGCTATATAATTTATAAAGAATGCTGTACAATGCCAGGATTATCTCTAGAGTCTAATAGTCTGTGCAAACCATTGTTAAACTAAACCTCAATAAATATAAACCTTAGTTGTGTGATAAACAAGTTTATAACTCAGTACTTACTCAGATAACGTAAAATACTAGCTGTGACTGGGGAATAATAACTATGTCACTTAAAACAGTGTATTTGAACCGCAGGTTACCCATCTATCTTTTATCTAAAATTATATTATATATATACTTTTATACAACTTAGAATGGCAAACAAGCTGACGGCCCACCTGATGGAAAGTGGTAACCGTCGCCTATAGACATGAGCACTACCATGGACATAACAGAGTATACTGTTTCGCCCATGATACCCCCCATGCGTTGCTATTCCTGAGGACTCAGGTGTTATTCCTCTGTACCCTGTAAAGTCGGCAGCACATCTGCAATGCCGTAGGTTTTGTGGGTGACCATGGGCGGCGGTAGTCACTTACCACCAGGTGAGCCGCATAATCGTTTGCTCCGTTTTGTAAAAAAAAAAATTCACGCCATATCCCACTCTTTAAACCAAAACACAGTCATGGAAACACAACTATTTCACGGTAGAAACACGAATGGAACAGAGGTACCCAAGCAATCGACAATCGTATAGGGTAATAACCTACCTTCTAAGACATAAACTGTGCATTTGTCTAATTCAGTGTCATACAGTCGTTTAAACGTTATCGAGTAACAAACATCTAGACATTTTTATAAACTGTCACGTTTATAATAGCAGTAAAATATATTTTAGATCGCATTTAAAATTTCACCAAATATCAACAATCTCTCTCATCAACATCTGTTGTTTAAGGAACGCTGTCTTTTGGGATGACTTTGTGATTTAATTAAAGGCGTTATACGCAAAACTGTACCACGGGTGTTTGAATTTGTTACCAGAGGGAGACTTTGTACAAAAGTCTTCTGCTTGGATTCCCATATCGCATTCGTGTTTCTGTCGTAAAGCCGTTGTGTTTGGAGATATGCCAATGAAATTACAGGGTACAGAGACAAAAAAAAGCATATTCCTATTTTAAGAGGCCAGCAGCACATCTGTTATGTCTCCGACGTTGCGGGTGATTATAGGCGGCGGTAGTCCCTTACCATCAGGTGAACCGCATGCTCGTTTGCCCTCTGTTATAAAAAAAGGCATAACACTGTAGTCCTCAGAAATGGCAACGTATAAAAGGTATCATAGGCAAGACTGTTATGTCCATGGTACTGTTAGGCGACGTATTTAGTTATTAGTAATTTTGACTGCCAATTTGCGGTTTTTTTTTTTAAATGGATGATAAAGGAATGGTAATCCCACCCGCGCTATCGGTGTACACCGGCGGGGCACCTATAAAGGATGATAGGTGAGGATGAAGTAGGTCAGTTAGCCCATAGTGACGAATTCAACAAGAATTGTTCACGATGGTTTCCAGGGGGAACCACTTGGAGGTCGACCTAATAAGGTATATTGCTAGCAATAGCAATGTCAAACTCCATTGCTAATAATCCTTTTCCCCCCGCCAATTTGCGGTTAGGTTAGGTTAGGTACTTTTAACTGTTATTTTAGTTAAAAGTATTATTGACTAAAGCATA